CCTTACCCTTACCCTACCCTACCCTTACCCTTACCCTTACCCTTACCCTTACCCTTACCCTACCCGCAACCCGGGGCTCTGCCCTGTGGCAACCCGGGGCTCTGCCCTGTGGCAACCCGGGGCTCTGCCCTGTGGCAACCCGGGGCTCTGCCCTGTGGCAACCCGGGGCTCTGCCCTGTGGCAACCCGGGGCTCTGCCCTGTGGCAACCCGGGGCTCTGCCCTGTGGCAACCCGGGGCTCTGCCCTGTGGCAACCCGGGGCTCTGCCCTGTGGCAACCCGGGGCTCTGCCCTGTGGCAACCCGGGGCTCTGCCCTGTGGCAACCCGGGGCTCTGCCCTGTGGCAACCCGGGGCTCTGCCCTGTGGCAACCCGGGGCTCTGCCCTGTGGCAACCCGGGGCTCTGCCCTGTGGCAACCCGGGGCTCTGCCCTGTGGCAACCCGGGGCTCTGCCCTGTGGCAACCCGGGGCTCTGCCCTGTGGCAACCCGCTTATTAATCATCAGGTAAACCTGACGATTAATATGCGGGTTGCAGATAAATTGGAGTGTAGTGCCTATCTTTTATTTCTGTAATTGAAATCTTGAATAATTGATTGAAAGTACCTAACAATATTTTTTAGTTTTGCATTTTGTCCTAACATTTTTGTAAATGTAAACCTTGACGAATAAGATGGTAGTTGCTTTAAATTTGTATAAAAAGGTTTTTTATATCTCAGAAATTCCATTTTGATTCAAAGATTGAAGTTTTAAAAAAATATAATAAAATATATTTTGCATAATGGGCAGGAGTTTTCATCTATGAAAACTGCTGTGAAGAATAATTATTTTACTATATTTGATAGAATTGATTACGTAGTTTTTAAAAGAAAAATCTTTGATTTACAGAGATAGAATTTTGTTAAATTAGATTTAATTTTTAATCGAATATGTTAATAACAACTATATTACTCTAAAAATAAACCAAATTACATATAGAATAATTGATTCTATTAATGATTCAAATATTGATTTATTTATTAATGTATTCATTAATTCATTGATTTAATAATGTATTCTTTTCTTTCTTTGTATTAATATATTTATTAAGTTTTAATTTCTAAATACTTTTATATTCATTTTTTTGAATTAATTCATTAATTAATCATAGATGCTAAAGTAAATGAATCATATCAAGTCATGTGAATCGAATAATAAATATGATTTATTATTTTAAAACTGATACTATGATCACCACTTTACAAATTGTCATTTATCTACTCTAAATGTTATTGTTTCTGCGTTACATTTATATAATTGTTATTGTTATTAATCTTATTAATAATATTTCCATTTGTTGTAGTTGTTGGAGTTGTAGTTGATATTAAATCTATCCTATTGAATGACATCTTCTTCCAGTGTATGATATCTAAATTTATAATTTCCTAAATGATAATCAATATATATATTAGTAACATTCTATTAATTAATAAATCTTTTTTCTATAATCATTTTTCTTCTTCTAATTCATTTCTCTTACTTGATTGAAGACTTGTCTTTTAATAACTATTCGGTTTGTTCTTCATCGTCATCCTCTGGTTTGTTTGGAGTGATATGCTCGATGGCTGATCGATGGACGCTTTAAACTCTTCTTTGGCCATTTGAAGTGCTGTCATATCTTGTTTCTGTTTCTCTCGCAATCTTTTATTATTTACTTGTTGATTTTGTTGTAACTTCTATTATCTACATTTGGTTGTTGTTGCTGTTGCTGCTTCTGTTGTTCATATTCAACTTGTTGTTGATGTTGCTGTTATTGATATGCACCATAATCAACATGTTGTTGTTGCTGTTATTGATATGCACCATAATTTCCTAAATGATAATCAATAAATGTTAGTAACATTCTATTAATTAATAAATTAATGCTTATCTTACTGCTAATCTATCTGTAGCAATTTAAAGATTGTTGGTGTCGATAATTGTAATCCAAATGTAAATGATTCGAAACATTCGATCTCGCTTGCTCAATAGTGACCATATCTTCTTGTCAGATGGTAGTGGCTGCATTGACTTTGATCAAAGTGTTGGTGTATCGTTCACCTATTAGGTAAGCAAAGTAAGCTTTTGACAACAAATTGTACCTGATGAATATCATTTTCCAATGCTGTGTTGAAATAAAATCTAAATATAAATTAACTTGACTCTCTATATGATTGTGGTATATTAGATAATTGCAATAGATTTACAAATTTTAAAAATTATAAATTTACATACCTCAATAGCAATAAGAACACACATTTGTAATGTTGATGACCATACTATTAAATGGTTGTACTTGAAATGTATTACTCTTGCAATGGTGCTTTCACTCTGATAGTATCTTTAATCACGTTGATCCTTGTCATGATTTAGCCAAAGAGTCGACCACCACCGCTTTTGTCCTATTTCACATCAGCTTCCAAAATAAGTATCTATCTTTGAGAGTATAGTCAATTTGATATCTAATCTTCATTCATCAGAACCAACCACTACTCAACTAATATATTGACATTGCTGACAACAAACGATATCTAATCTAACGTTGCATATTCTGTATCTATTAATAAATTAATATTAGTTTGTTAGTTTAGTTTAGTTTAGTTTAGAATTATAGGAATGATCATTATCTCAACATTACTCTTCAAGTTAAGTTTACTTTTTGTGTTCTAAAAAGATAGATATTGAAGAGTGAGTGAGACATTATAATAGACTTACAATACTGAAATCATTGACTGAGCTTACATTTGAATTGAATCTTACTTTCTTTAAATAATTATTATATTCTAAAGCTGTAACATCTTTTAAAATTGAAAAAATAAATAAATATTGATATTATTATATTGATAACGATATCTTAAGATCTAAAAGTAAAAAAAAAAAAACAATTTGTTGATCATAAACACTGAACATCAAAAGTATTTTTTTATTATTTTAATTGTTGTTAGTTTCATTGTTGTTAACAACAACTTACAATCATTTATCATTTTGACTAAACTATAGCTTTATTAAACAAAAATTAGCATATTTTATATTTACCTCTATTATCATGCAAACTCTTGTAAAGATAATTTAAAAGGTTAGTTAACTTTTATTCTTATCTAATCTACACTCTATCTTTACTGTTTTTTATTCAATAAAATATCGATTTAACTTGTTTATAGACAAAATACAATATTATATTCAGACAACTTGGATTACTAAATATTTAAACTTTAACATAATTACACACCAACAAAATAATCTTTAACTATCTTGAATCACAATTACACAATTATTAAAAATAACATAACAAAGAAACCTATACTTTGAGTATACAATCCTATACACTAATGATTTATGCTCATCACGATTATTCACACTTGATCTACAATTGAAATTGATTCTCAATTCAAATAGCTCATTTTATTCATTTATTTATATAATTCATTTAATCAATCATTCATTAGTTTTCTATTTTTATAACAGGTGACATGATATTATCTGAAGCTAGCTATCTTTTGTGGTGTTTCACCCATCTTTTTGAGTGCAATACTCGTTGAATAGGGATCTTAAAAAATATTCAAAACAGTACTCCCAGCCACAGTAGCGAGTATGATGGTCATCACAGTGTTGCATTTATTGTCACTGCTGTCACTGCTGTCACTGCTGTCACTGCTGTCACTGCTGTCACTGCTGTCACTGCTGTCACTGCTGTCACTGCTGTCACTGCTGTCACTGCTGTCACTGCTGTCACTGCTGTCACTGCTGTCACTGCTGTCACTGCTGTCACTGCTGTCACTGCTGTCACTGCTGTCACTGCTGTCACTATCGGGGTTGTTTCAATTGTTTCGTTCATAGTTAGTATCTCTATTGGAATCAGAAAAGATTAGAAAAAATCTGATCACAATCTGTAATTTTATTCTATTCAATCATTTAATTTAATTCACATATAATTAAAAATAAATAGAATCACATCTTACTCAATTGCTTTCAATTTTTTCTATCTTCAAAATTTTTTTTAAAAATATCAAAATATATATATCTATATTTAATTAGAAATATTGTATTGAAATGGTACTTTTTCCAATAAGGACTTAATTTAAAAAACAAAATCATAAAAATCTAGATTTTACAAATTTGTAAAAGAATATTTCTTAGTGCTCAATATTTTTCAAAAGATGAGATTGATGATGTAAGCACTCTCAGAAACCAAAGATCACAAACTAATTAAATCACCTCTTTTGTTTTTTTTTTTTAATATACTTTTACAAAATTAAATATAATTAAAACCATGAATAAACAAATATTATCAATTTTATCACTATCAATATTATTAATTGGTAGTGTATTATCAGCAACTATTGACTGTACTGTAACTAAAAAGGTTACTGGTTGTGTTGATCAAAAATGCCCAGATATTCAATCATGTATCACAAGTTTTGCTTCAAATTATAATATCCTAAATATATATGTAGATGGTAGTGAAGGTAGTTTCCCTTGTAAACAATCAGAGACTGAATCTTTACAAATAAACTCAACAGTTTCCATCACAATCCAACCTAAAAACTCAAAACATATCCCATTATTTGTTTGTGAAGTATGTATTACGATGTTCTCTCGAATCACATTTATGATTTATTAATGGTTTTATAAGTTTGCAAACTCATTTTTAAGAATACAATCTGGATACTCCACCATCCAATTGTCTATATACTCAATTAATATTACTGGTCAAAACTTCTATGGTTACAATCGTGGTAGCTACATTTCAGTTTATACACCAATAAACTTTGAAACACAAAATTATGTTAATCTATACAATGTAACAATGACAAACGCCGTTGCTAACAATGTACTTACACTTCAAAATTATGAAGCCGGTTCTCTTTCCGTCCAGAATTTCAATCTTAATCTTCAAGGATGTATCATAGATAAATCAAGTGGTGTGGGTTATGGAGGTAAGAAAATATATATATTATGTAATTTTAATATTTAATTTACAATCAATTCTAATCAATTTTTAAATAATAGCATCATCTATTTTATTTGTAGGTGGAACTTTAATTATAACATCTTCCTCCATTACAAATGGAAATTCATTGAATGGTCCAGCTGTCACTTTTAATGGTGAAGGATTAGCGGTCACAAATTCATACTTTAAATACAACTCTGGATATTCAGTCTTTAACGCTTATGCTTCAATTTATGTTTCTTTTGCCCAATCTTCTTTCGAGTTCAACCAAGGTTTGTATGGTGGAGCAATCCTTACTCAATCCGAAGCAATATATGTTACCCAGACTACATTCAACTCCAACACTGCAACCAATGGAGGAGCCATTGTAAGTACATAAGTTTAAATAAAATTTCAAATAGATAATTTAAACTAATAATTTCAATTTTTATTTAGTACATTAGATCATTAAGTGACTCTTATCATTATGACACCTATTCTTTTAGAGGTTCCAACTTTGTCAATAATACTGCTTCTGCATATGGTGGTGCAATGGTTTGTTTTATTTTTTTAATATTAACAAGGAACCTTTAATTAAAACTAATATATTTTTATTAAAGTATATTGAACAATCAAGTAATTATTATTTCCCAGAAACAATCTTTGAATTAAACTCTGCTTCCTCTGGATCGGATATCTTTTTCTATAAAATCAGTTTATCTTTCTACAATGGTGTTTTTATGAATCCAATATCAAACTCATAGTAAGTATAATATTGTGTAGTACTTATTTTTTAAATATTGACAATTATTTTTTTATAATATACAAGTTACTCTGAATATCCATCATTCCCATCTTGGGTAGTTGATATGAGTATAATAGAGACTAATGTAGATTCTTGTCAAGATAACTACCAACTACTTGTAAATAACAATGTAAATACTTGCATTATGGTTTCATACAGAACTCCCTCTTCTTCATCATCATCTTTTTCTGAAGAATCCTCAAGTTTTAGCTCTGAAAGTGAATCAACAAGTGAATCAACAAGTGAATCAACAAGTGAACCATCTCAACGTGACAGTGATGGTACAGCCACGGCAATTTCCTTGACTATTGCCTCAATAATTGGTTTTGTATCATTAGTTTCATTCTTGACCGCTGTTATTATTGCCTCAAGAGATAATTAAATCAACTGTAAAAATAATATTCTATTAAATAAACATTAAAAATAGGATCATGCAACCAATTTTTTTTTTTACCAAAAATAACAATTAATAATAAAACTAAACTTTAAATCCACTCTATCAATCTGATATATTAGATTCTTTTTTGTTTCTTTCACATAGAATTAAGTGAAATATATTAAGATTATCAATTCTAATTTATTCCACTGTTCCAATTAGTCATTCCTTTTGATTTTACTTGTTTTAATGATCTTTGGATTTAAAATAGAAATGATGAAAAAATAATTTTAAGATATCCAAAGAAAATAAAGAAAATTAAAAATAAAATTGAGTGTTCGATTTAACTCTGATCCAAGAGCCCACATTTATAAATAAAATGTATATGATGTGGTCTTTTTTGGATTTTAAATTTTTGATGACACGAAATTTGGCTTTAATTCAATTTTTATACCTTCTAGAACATCAATATGGTGCATTTTCCAATTTTTAGGGGTTATATTTGCAGATGTATTTATAATGTATATACATTTTTAAATTAATTTTAATATGTAAGGTGAAAAAATCTCAAAGTTAATGGATAATGAATTGATTTGTTTTTTGATAGAAAAGTATAAATAAATTTGATTTGAGTTTATAAAATAAAATAAAATATACAAACAAAATACAATAAAAACAAATTATTAATATAAATATGAATATCTTGGTTACTGGTGCTACTGGAAATTTCGGAAGAGATGTATTTGACATCATTGCCAAAAGAGGTATCAATCATTCAAATATCTCTGCTTTGGTAAGAGATGAAGCCAAAGGACAACAATTCACCTCCAGAGGTTTCGGAATTAAAATCGGTGACTACAATAACTATGAATCTTTGGTCACCGCATTTACTGGTGTGGACAAACTTTTATTTGTCTCTAGTAATGACGTTGAGAAGAGAGCGATTCAACACCAAGATGTGTGCAGAGCTGCCAAGGCTGCCGGTGTGAAATATATGGTCTACACCAGCTTCGTCAGAAAGACAGAAGATGGAAGCTCACCGGTTGCTTTTATCGAAAAGGCACACTCTCAAACCGAGCAATTCCTCAGAGAATCGGGAATCAATCATACCATCTTGGTCAATGGTCTGTACACTGACATGCTCACAGAGTACTTCATCGGCCCAAAGGTTCTAGATATGGGAATGATTTTCTATCCAACAGGTGAAGGTCTTGCCAACTACATCTCCCGAAAAGAATTGGCAGAGGTTGCTGTAAACGTTGTCTTGGATACCACTGACCAACATTTGAACAAGGATTACAGACTGTACAATACCGATCAATGTACTATGGCAGACATTGCGAGATATCTTAGTGAGTCCTTTGGTAAGAACATTGCTCACATCTCACCAGACGAAGCGACCTTTGTTGCCCAATTGGAAAAGATTGGTCTTCCAGCACCATTAATCCAAGTATCCTATGCCTTTGCCTGTGCCATCAGAGTAGGTGAGTTCCAATCAAATACATCCGATATCACCCAACTTTTAGGTAGAACTCCAACCACCATCAGAGATTTCATTGTAAACTATTACAAGAATTTGGCATAAACATTAAACTACAGTTGTTTTCACCTATTTAACTTTAATAAAATAAATATTATTTGTTCACATTAACATTACTGTAATGAATATTGTTATCTTAGCAATGGTGCACATCATAAAAAAAAAAGATTTTTGTATAAAAAATACAAAGATGTTCAAAAAAAAAAAATAGTAAAAATAATGTAACCTTCACATTTAAACTGAACAAGTGAGTGGAGTTAAATTAAAGCTATTTATTATACTATTAATACTAAATGTGAAAGATTATTATGCTATTATTATTTGTTATGAATGAATATTATTACTTTCATTGTTTAGTTGTTGAGTATCGAATTGTTGTTGTTGTTGTTGTTGTAGTTGCTGTGCAGGTGCTATATATTTGTAAATGAGTGCTTTGATGTTTTCATAGTGATCAGAGATTGTCTTATCTAGGTTCTCTAGGGTGATTTCTTTAAAGCCACAAATAATCGCATAGAAGAGATCGTCGTGTGATTTCGAGATGTCTGGTGAGTTTCGACCGATTTCGATGCATCTAAGTAGATTGTCGATGGAGAAACACTCAAGGCACTGTGCTTTCAGTTTGAGAATCTTTTGCATCAGTACCAGAGTACTCTGGCGATGACCTTTTTCTATTGACAGATGCAAGGCAGTGTTTTGATCACAGTCGATAATGGTCGGATCTGCACCCTTCTCAAACAAAATATCTACAACCTGATGTGAGAAATAAGTTTGTGAAGGCTTACCAAATCTTGTCATTCCCAGCCAATCTTGATTCTAAATACAATAAATGACAACGATCAGTTTATGAATGATACAAATTTGTGTGAATTTATATATATATATATATATATATTTTAGCAAAGTAACTTACTCTTAATACACATCTATGTAATGCACATCTTTTCTTGTTATCCAGGATGTTTACATCGATACCGTTGAACTCTAAGAGTTCTTTGACGATTGGGTACATACAACTGTGTGATGCAATGTGTAGTGGTGTATCGCCGTGGTTGTCTTCGAGTTTCGATTGAGGTGTCACATTAATTTTACAATTTACATTTATGTTTTTGTGCTTTAGGAGTAATCTGACCATTGCCAGATTGTTCTCCTTGGTTGCAATGTGTAGGGGGTGGAGACCATCGTTCTGAGACAACATGACATCGGCACCATGACTCAAAATTAGATCGACCATCTTTACGGAATCGGATTGATGTTGTTTCACTGCGATATGTAGCGGTGATCTTCCTTTATGATCTATTAAATTAACTTGTGATCCGCATTTATCTGATAACAATAACTAATAGTGTGATTTGATAAATTAAAGGTTAATTAATTTGAAACAATCAAACTCTTAATTGATTACATACTGCAACGATTTGTAATCTAATATCGGAATTTGGTTCTCCATGAATAAAACACAATGAATAGTGTAATGGTGTTTTACCATTCTTTGGATGTGGTTTATTTACATTGATACCCTTTGATACAAGTAACTCTATTAAATCTTTAAAACACCACTTTAAAAAAAAAAAAGAAATGAAAAGTTAGAATCTAATATTAATAAATAATAATTATAACATACTTTTGATGCTAAATGTAATAGATGTAAATCATCGATTGATTTACCTTGTCTATCTTTTACACTATCTATCATTAAATTGATGTATTCTCGTTTGGATTGTACTTTCTTTTCATAACGATTGCAATTGCTGTACGGTCGCTTTAAAAACTTCTTTTTCTCTTTGACTAAAGCTGAAATGGTAGGATAGATCTTACCCATTTCATCATTTAAAAATACACCGACATGAGGACCTAAATCACTGTATAGTAAAAAATAAATTAATGTCAACAATATGATGATAATTTAAATTGATTGGTTTACAAACAAGAGGTTGTTTAACTTACTATAATAATAAATGTTGAGGCTTCTTACTATGAACATTGTAAGAAATGACAAGATTACTTGGTTTGGAACTCTTTCTAATTAAAAATGTACCTTTTGCCATATTCTGTAGTTTTGCTGTTGCTTCCTCTCTCGTCAATGAATAGTGATACCATCCTGTATATTTTAGATACTAAATAAATTGTGTGAATCAGAGTCAATATATATCGTAATAAAAAAATAAAATGATGTAAATTCTAATTACTTCTGTTGCCCAGTAACGATAAAAATCTTTCCAAGATTTATTTTCACCAAACTTTAATTTCTCTTCATAAACACATCTCATCCAAGCCCATTGTGAAACACATTTCTCTTCCCCTATAAAAAGAATATTAAAAATAAATTGGCAATTAATAAACAATCCAAAGAGTCAACACACACACACATATGAATATTTACATAAAGCATCGGATGAGCAGAGAATAGACCAAAATTTACAAACACTGGCACACTGTCTCAGGTCGAACGGTGAGAGGAATCTAAAGATGTGGATGATCACTTCGAGTGCGAGATCGTCGATGACCGCACAATAGTTGAAGCAATTCGAGGTATACGATTGCTGTGAGCTGTAGTGAGAGAGACTACCACTCGACGAGTAGTTGTAATGCACTGCACGTAGCTTGTTGCTGTTCTTGATGTTATCGATTTCGTCTTCATTGTCAAAGTTGCCACTGTCGATACTGCTGCTACTCATGCTCATCATCGATCGTCCATTCATACTGCTGTTCAATAGCAAAGCATTGCTAGAGCTGTTCAAACCTGTCGAAGCACCTGCCGAGGTTGGCCATGAAGAGTCGCTCTTCCTAACATCAAATTTTGTTGACAACGCCGAATACGACGACGACAACGAGAATGGTGAACCTATACCTCCATGTTCACCATTATTACTATTACTATTTCCAACATGATTTGATGACGAATTTAAACTAATATCACTACTCATTCGATTAATCTATTTATTATTATTATTATTATTCTATTTATTATCTTTATTTTTAAAACTGTCGGCAGCGGTATATTTCTATGAATCTCTTTTAAACACGTGTTGCAAAGTAAATGACAAACATAAATAAACAAGCTTATTATCTAAATATTACTAAGGGTATGGAATGAAAGTTTTTAACTCTTATAATAGTTTCCTTATTTTTTGTCTTTTAATAAAGGTTGTATTTTGTTGTATTAATTTTGCTGATATGTTGTTTTGTTATTTGTCTGTTTGTTTGCTTATTGTTTTTGTTGAATAACTAATATCTAGACTAAGTTTAGTTAAACTATTGGTTATTTCTACTACTGGATATTTTTATTAGTACTGTTTTGTTTTGCACTTATTAGATTAATTTTACAACAAGCAAAACAACAAATGATTTCTATATATATGATATTTTCTATCGTTTATTGTCTTATTTCTTCTTCTTTTTTTTTTGTTATTCTACTACTGCTTCTTCTCCTTTCTAATAATTAAATATCTAACAAATGTGGTTAGTTTGGTGTAAATATGAGTGAACGGCTTGAATTCATATGTTAATAATTAGATATAAAAAGGTGTAATTTAATAAAAAAAAATAAATAAATAAACAGTAGAAGAAAAAAAAAGTGGGAAATCAATACAAAAAGGGTTATATATTTCCCAGGTCAAAAAATATTTTATTTTTTCAATTTTTGTTTTTTTTTTTGCCATTAATTTTTTTACCAATGTCAAGAGAATGAACTCCAAAAAATATGTGCAATTTTTTTTTTTGATTTTTTTTTAAAAATGTAAATGAAGAATTGTTTTTTTCCATCTTATTTTTAGAACTCCAACCTTTCACTTTTACTTTATTTAGTTGTTTTTAATAGTAGTCTTAGTTTTAATTTAATATTTCAAGTTGGAATTTTAGATTTTTGTAAAATATTTTATTCTATGAAACAAATCAAAGGTAAATTAAATAAAAAACTTGAGCTTGATTTACATAAATGATTTGTTTTTATTTTATTATTATTTGTTTATTTTATTATTTGAAATATAGTTGATTAATTTTATTTTGATATCAAAAAACAATAGTATCGGCACCAGGTAAAGTTATCTTGTTTGGAGAACATGCAGTAGTTCTAGGTAAGACATCGATTGCCACAGCTCTTTCACTTCGTACAAATGCCACTGTCGAACAAATCGAGGAGCCCGTTTTGCATATATTATTACCTGATCTCAAAGATTTTGGTGAACGTAAATACAGTCTATCGGATCTATCAAAGTTAAACTCTTATAATTGTAAGTAAAACAATACAACTCGAAAAAAAAAAAAAAAAAACCAAGTTGGTTAACGAGTTTCATTTTTAGCTATCAATGAAATTGATTGTTTTGTACCAAGAGAATGTAATGCAGAGTTCTTAGATGCTTTGTCACAACTAGAGAGTATTAAGGGTATTCAATCGGTACTCTTTTTGTTCTCTGTATTATCAAAGCTGAAACATGGAATAAAGATTCACTTCAGCTCAAACTTACCAATGGGTGCCGGACTTGGTTCTTCTGCTTCATTCAATGTTTGTTTGGTGACTGGTATTCTCTCTCTATTCGAAATATATGCATGTGGTGGATGTGATCAATGTAAGAAAATCAATAGTAGCAGTGGCACCACCAACAATGTACCATGTTCAAAACAATTGGAATTGATCAATCAATGGTCATTACAGGGTGAGAAGATCATGCACGGAACACCCTCTGGAATCGACAATGCAGTAAGCACCTATGGAAGTGCATTGACATTCACACGTAAAGATGGCTTCAAGAATCTAGAGAGAATCCCACCACTACGCTTATTGATCACCGACACAAGAGTGAGCAGATCCACCAAAGTTTTGGTCGAGAACGTCATCAACAGACACAAACAATATCCATCACTCATCGAACCAGTAGCAGTACTCATCGATACGATCTCCAAAGAATGTCTTCAAGCATTCGATCAATACTTTAATGATCATAACGATATAAATCAACTTCAAAAAACTATCGAGGTATGTTAGTTGTTGTTAATATGTTGTGATTATCAAACAATAATAACTAATCTAATTGTTAATTTTTATTCAGTTGATGATCGATATGAATCATTCATTGTTATCGGGATGTTTCGGTGTTGGACATAGTACATTGGATATGATTGCAAGTGTTTCAAAACGATTCGATCTTCATAGCAAGTTAACAGGTGCAGGTGGTGGTGGATGTGCAATTACATTGTTAAAGCCATCCACTGACTCTGAGACAGTAAACAATTTGAAATCGGCATTGAAAGAGCACGGCTTTGAAAGTTGGGAAGCTACCATCGGTGGTCAAGGTGTTATCATTGAATCTTCAACTAATTCTTCCAATTAAATTATACAATTAATATATCATTAAAATTAAACTATTTAAAAAAATTCAAACTATCGATTTTAACAATAATCTTACTATTTTTTTTAAATTTCAACAATATTATATAGTGTAACGTTTTTTTTTTTTGACCCACACCAAAAAATCAAAATTTAAAATAATTTCAAAAAAACGAACGAAACTATACAATAATCAAAAATAATTTTTTTTTAATTTTAGTTTCTCATTTTTTATTTAAATATTATTAATAATAATCTCTTAATAATAATTTATTCAAGAGATTTTACATAATTTTAGTTAAAAACTTGTTAAATCTTAGTCTTGTTATAATTTAATATTATATATATATATAAACAATGCCAAAGAGTAAGTTAGCAAATCATTTTTTTATGAAACGTTATATGATCACATATTAATTAATCATCTTTTGTAGAGAGACAAAGTAAGCGTGTTTCTTTACATAAGAAATACAAGGTAGAGAAGAAAGTAAATGAACATAATCGTAAACTTAGAAAAGCTCACAAGTTGGCACCTATTTTAAATAGTCAGTAGTAAAAGTAGCAGTGTGTGCCGTATTTAATACAGTGTATATTAATATTGATTTATTTTTATTTATTTTAATAGAATCAAAGAAGGATCCAGGTATTCCAAATTTATATCCATTCAAAGAAGATCTTTTAAATAGAGTTCAACAACAGAAGGAAGCGATTGCCGCAGAGAAGGCAGCAAAGAAGGCAGAGAGAAAAACAATGGCCTCATTGGCAAAAGATGCTGCTTCGCGTGAGAAGGAATTCAATCGTAAGCAACGTGATGCCGAGAAAGATTTAGAGATGAAATCAATTCGTTCAGTAGAACCAAGAGACAACTCACTCAAATCATTCTATCGTGAGGTCAAGAAAGTCATTGAAGCTGCCGATGTCATCCTCGAAGTCTTGGACGCACGTGATCCAATGGGTTGTCGTTGTCTCGAAATCGAAAGAATGATCCTTGAGCGTTATCCAAACAAAAAGATTGTTTTAATTTTAAATAAGATCGGTAAGCGCCGCCTATTAACAACTGAACAACTGAATAACCACCAAACACTAACTCTAATATTTTTTATTTACAAAAGATTTGGTACCAAAAGAAAATGTAGTAATGTGGTTGAAATATTTGCGAAACTACTTCCCAACTTTGGCATTTAAATGTTCGACTCAACAACAAAAGAGAAATTTAGGACATAGTTCGGTTGCACCAGAGGTCGCTTCTACTAAATTGTTGGACGGTTCCGAGTGTTTGGGTGGTGAATCTTTGTTGCAATTGCTCAAGAACTACAGTAGATCGTTGAATATAAAGACAAGTGTTGCTGTTGGTATCATTGGTTATCCCAATGTCGGAAAGAGTAGTTTAATCAATTCATTGAAACGTGCACGTGCTGTCAGTGTCGCTCCAACTCCAGGACACACCAAGGTCGCACAGGAAGTACATCTCGACAAGAACGTCAAGCTGCTAGATTCACCGGGTATCGTTCCAATTAAGGGTGAGATCGACGCCAACGTCATTCTTAGAAACGTAGTCAAGGTAGAAAAGATCGAAGACCCAATCTCGCCGGTCGATGCCATCGTACAACGTTGCAGCCGTGAGCAACTCCTTAGAATCTACCAGATTCCAGTGTTTAAGAATACTACAGAGTTTTTGACTTTGATAGCCGACAAGCGTAAGAAGCTCATTCGTGGTGGTACCCCAGATTTGAATGCTGCCGCACTCAGTGTTATTCGTGATTGGGTCGGTGGTAACATTCCATTCCACACACTCCCACCAAAGGATACTTTCCATGTCGACTCTAAGATTGTCAACAACTTCTCAGACGAATTCAACATTGATCAATCAGACGAAATCTCTTCGCTTGCCACCAACAACACAGTTGGAAGTGTTTCTATTGAATCAACTGCTCAACAAAGTTATATCGATACTTCAATGTTTGATGATGAGGAAGAAGAAGAAGAAGAGGAAGATGATGATGAAATGGAAGAAGAGGAAGATGATGATATGGAAGAAGAAGAGGAGGATGACGAAGATGATGATGACGAAGAGGATAATGTTATGGAAGAAGATACTACCGCTCAATTGGTAGCACTCCAAAAACAATCACAAATGATCCAACAAAACAAGGGCAAACCATCAAAGGTCAAAGTACAAAACCTCAAGGACGAAGACGATCAATACAATCCACAGTCCAACAAGAGTCTAAAGAAACAAATGAAGAAGAACAAAAAGAAGTTTGGTACCATCACAGCTCCATCGGAAGACTACTCATTCGAATCCGATTTTTATGATAATCTTGAAGAAGACGACATTGTACAAGATGACGATGAAGATGAACAAGATTATGATGACAGCGATGATATCGACGAAGAAAATGTTTTCTAAAATATATTTATATCAAAATCAATCACTATGGACCGAAATGAAACTACAACTTTTCAAACAAACAACCATAAATAAAAATCTTTCCCTCTAAATCCCATACTGATCATTTTTGATTAGTTTACTTATTTATTTATTTTTTAATTTTTTAAATTGACAACCAACCAATCACTAATTATACTTTTAATTTTTAAATATTTATTATCATAATTGATTATCTCTAACTGGTTGATTAGATATATATCAACAACAATAAAATAAAATTAAATAGAGCTGAAAGTGGTGGTTCTAATTTTATCTATTTCTTTTGGAAATCTGACTTGATCATGTAAGAAAATATAATAAAGATCTTTTGGGGAGTGTATCAACAGTAGATCAAGAGAAAAGAAATAGAACAAAGAATCATGTAATGATTCTCAATGTAAAGTTCTACTTTTCAAAATAACATTACGAAAGAACTATTAAAATTCTTTGGGGCCAACTACTACTGTTAGGGATTATATGTTTCCATAATAATGAATTAAAAGTAACAAGTAATTCATTTTTTTTTATTTATCTTGTGTGATGTGTTAACATTGATATGTGTGAAAATCAGCTTTAAAAAAAACAAAACATTCGATCACACTTTTTGATATTACATCATCAAAAATAACAAATAAAAAACCAATAATTTTCAATAAAATATTAAAAACTAACATTCACACCTTTCCATCTTCATCTAAATTAATAGATGGAAATCATATATGATCTATCTAAAGGATTGTAATAAACACTCAATTTTTCACTCTGTTGGAGAATCGATGGGTCATATTGGTTGCATTATAATATATTTTTGAAATTGTTTTACATTTTCTACATTTTGAAGAATGGAGAGATTTATTTAATTTCTTAAGAATAGTACAACTTTAGCTCATAATCATTGTATTAAAATATGTTTCATTTATTTTTTATTTACAATGTCCCATATCAAACCTCAAGACATATTTTTTGTAATTCTTGCTAGCATTGTGGTCAATGCAATTGTACAACTATACTAAACGGTGTAAGGTAAAAGATGGATTATATTTCATCAAGGTTATTAATAGTAAATAGAATAAAAACATAAATCCACTTTATTTTTCAATTAATTTGACTACATTTTTTATTTGTTTGTGTACAATGTCACCTCATGATTTTTTTTTGTTAATATCAATTATACACAACAAAAAATATTCTTAAACATTACCAGAAAATAAAAAATCCAATATCAATATATACAGATTTTAAACTCTAACAGTATTTCCTATAATTTATTAATATTACCCTCTAAAACCCATTAATTCTTTTATTTCAATAATTATTATTAATAATTATACTCTACCACCTACCTCTGCCTACTACTTCCTCCTACTTCTACCTACCTACTGTCACATTAGACATCCCTTTAACTCATATTTAATTCTTATAATATACTACGTTTTCAAACAAAAAATATACCATTGATTGGATAAATAAAATATCAGTCATAGTTAATATCATATCTACGATTTCTTGTTCAATTATTTCTTCCAGAATTTTAAATCTAAACTTCTATAATCTTTCTATTCCTCCTACTCTCTACTATCTCTCCTACCTTCATCTCTTCTGTCTCCCTACCTTTTCTTCTGTATCCCTACTTTTTCTTCTGTCTCCCTACTTTTTCTTCTGTCTCCCTACTTTTTCTTCTATTTGCTTTGATTTCCTGAAGTGTCTGATTCTTTCAAGCTAAATATTCTTTTGAAGTTTTTTTATCAAATCCAGGAATTTTTAAATCAAACTTTATTTACCTTCAAACTCTCTATTAAAGATGATTATAAGTAAGATATTCCAACTACCATTTTAAATTTTTTTTTTAAATGTTGGTTGAATAAAAATTCTGACCCTAATTTTATTATTATAGATTGTTTAAAAAGCATCAATCCGTCAAATTTTGTTGGAAGAGTAAATTCTAAAAAAGAAGGAATAACATCTTTTAACTGTAAAGAATACATCGAAACAAATTCGATATTAACATCATTGATTAGTGCCGATGGAGAAGCAACTATAGGATCATCTTCATTCCGTTGGTGGTCCAAATACTGGGAATAAACAACTATTGGAAATAGTAATAATAGTTTCAAAATACAATCCAATTATAGATAGAGTTTGATTGTCGATTGATCAAATCATCTTTAAGAAAGTCTTTTGGTATCCTCTTTTGAATGACTCTCCTAATATTGGATCAATTCAAAAGATTTTCAAAAAGATAATTAATTTTTTTTCTGATTATTAATAGAACCTGGCATATGTCATCATGATAAAAATTAATAGTTATAAAATAAATAAATAAATTAGTGATAAAGGTTGGAAGTTAGAAAAATTTTGAGAGAGATTTTTTTATGTTTCCATGGTGAAAAAATGATCAGATTTTGAAACTTTTATTTGATGATGGAATAAATTAGGATGGAGGATTTTTTACACCAAACTGTTAAAATGCTTGGTGCATTATGTTTATGTAATAGTATATTATATTTTTTCCGCTTCAATTCTTAACAAAAATATATTATGTGTTGGTAGCAATGGAGTTTAACGAAGGAACAAGATTTCAGAGTATTTTGGAAGTGGCCAGATGGTATCATCGATGATGGTTTCCAAGTGGTCACTTACTCTACGGACTTCTCTCATTGCTGGGATAACAGAGGTGCTCAACATGAAAGCATGGTCCTTCTCGTTGGCAGCGCTCTTGGTGGCCTTGACTGCGGCGAGCAACTTAACGTTCAAGTCGCTGAGCGAGTTGATGGCGGTAACCAAGTCGGTCAACACTGCAATTTGAGCGGTTGGTTGTGGAAGATTCTTTTGTCCTTGGACGAAAGGCATGATGGCGTTGAGTGAATCGGCAACATTCTTTTGGTGCTTGAAGGCAGCTGGTAACACCAAGGTAGAGACCATATCATACATGGACTTAGCTTCGATGGTGATCGACTTGACGTAGATTTCATAGAGAATGTGTTGACGTGATTGTAACTCGATTGGTGAGAGAATGTTGAATGACTCGAACAACTTGATGTTCTTTTCGCTGTTCAAAGTGGCGAGTGCCTCTGGGGTGGTACGCATATTGGCCAATCCACGCTTGGCGGCAATATCACGCCACTCTTGACCGTAACCATCACCGTTGAAAATGACTCTTTGATGGAGTGAAAGTACACGCTTGATGACATTGTTAAAAGCAGTGTTGGCAGCGACGTTGTTGGTCTTTTCACGCTCGATCTCCTTACGGATGTATTGGAGTGATTCGGCGACGATGGTGTTGAGGATAATACATGGGAAGGCAACTACTTGACTAGAACCGACGGCACGGAATTCAAACTTGTTACCAGTGAAGGCAAATGGTGAGGTACGATTACGATCGGTCGAATCCTTTGGTAATGGTGGGAATGCACCTACACCAAGTGACATCTTCTCACCGTTGCAGTCACCATTGGCTTCAGTCTCGGTGGAGTGGACAATGTCGTTGACGACACGGTCCAACTCTTGACCCAAATAGATGGAAATGATGGCAGGTGGAGCTTCGTTAGCACCCAAACGATGCTCGTTACCTGGATTGGCAACGGAAGCACGGAGCAAATCGGCATGGATATCGACGGCACGGATGATGGCAGTAAGGAAAAGGATGAAACGAGCGTTTTGGGCTGGAGTTGAACCTGGTTCCAAAAGATTGACACCAGTGTCTGTGGAGAGTGAGTAGTTGTTGTGCTTACCACTACCGTTGACATAGTCGAATGGCTTCTCATGGAGCAAACAAATCAAACCGTGACGGGTTGCAGTTGACTTGAGAACGTCCATCAACAACATGTTGTGATCAGAGGCAACGTTTGCACGCTCGAAGATTGGGGCAACTTCGTATTGACCTGGTGCGACTTCATTGTGTCTGGTCTTCAATGGCATACCGAGTTTCCACATTTGCCACTCAACATCTTGAATACAAGCAACAATTCTAGAGTTCATTGTACCGAAATAGTGGTCTTCCATCTCTTGTCCCTTTGGTGGCTTGGCTCCAATCAAAGTTCTACCGCAAGTAATCAAATCTGGTCTTGACAAATAGAATGATCTATCAATCAAAAAGAATTCCTAAAAAAATAATAAGAGGTAAGTCAAAAATATCCATATGTTCGACGATTTCATGTTGACAACAAAAAAAACACTTACTTGTTCAATACCCAAAGTTGGTGAAATTCTCTTGTAGTTCTCTTTGAAGATGGATGAGAGGACAGCAAGTGATTCCTCAGAGACACGCTCCATAGAACGAAGAAGTGGTGTCTTTTGGTCGAGTGCCTCACCAGTCCATGAGCAGAAAGCAGTTGGAATACAAAGGGTGGAACCGTTTTGATCCTTACGAATGAAGGCTGGTGATGTGGCGTCCCAAACAGTGTAACCTCTGGCTTCCCAAGTGGAACGAATTCCACCGTTGGGGAATGAAGAAGCATCTGGTTCACCCTTGATCAATTGCATACCAGAGAATTCGAGGAGGAGACGGTCGTCACCTGGGAAGATTGATACGAAAGCATCGTGCTTCTCGGCAACCAAACCATTGAGTGGCTGGAACCAATGGGTGTAATGGGTGGCACCACGCTTGATGGCCCATTCTTTCATACCGTTGGCAACCATGTCGGCGATCGCTGGATCCAATGGCTGACCTGTGGAAATTACCTCACGGATCTTCTTGTAACAATGTGATGGCAGGGTCTCACGCATGGCATTCAAACCGTAGGTATCAGAGTCGTACAACTCTGTGAGGTTCTCTGCACTATCAAAGGCTTCAGAGGCCACTGGTACACGATTATCGATACCTTCGATCAACTTGGTTCTTCTTGTTCCGGCAAAAGACATCTTTTAATTTATATTATGTATTATTATTATTATATTACTGTGTATAGTAACTAGATAAAGTAAATAAATAAATAAATAGTATGTATTAGTAAATTTGCTATTGCACAAGTTAAATGCAACTGAATCACAAATTTGAATTTGATGGTTGTTTTTTTTTTGTTTTTTTTTGTCGTTGATTATCGGTAATAAACGAATGAATTGTTCGGAGTATTCAAAAATAAAAAATAAAAATAAAAAATCTTTGTTTTTTTTTTGATTTGAGTTGTTGTGATAATAAATTTTAGGTAAATACAATACTTTGAATATATCATTAGAGAGAATTATATATTTATGTTATTGATTATTAATGTTTGAACTAAATAAAAAAAAAAAAACTATATATATAGTTCTCGAAAATAACAAAATTAATAATTAAAATAATAATAACTCATTGATTTGTATCATCTTACGATCGCTGTGCGAGTTGATGTTATTATTGCAAAAATTATATAATGTGTTGTTATCAAATTATTTTGGTGGTAATACAGTGTTGGAATATGGTAAAACCAAGGTGGGGTTTGATCCACAAAAAACTCATTGTTTTACAAATTATTAATGGTTATTATTTTTATTTTTTGTCATTATTATAATTAATAGTTTATAATATTAGATAGGAAGATAAGATAGAATAGAAAATAGATTCATTCATTTAATTTATTATTTATTAAAATAAGTTGATTTAATTTATAGGTTTATAAATATTGTTTACTGCAGTTATATCACTGATCGTAATTGATATCGAACACACTTTATACTATTACATGTAATGATAAAAGATTCAATGAATACTTACGATATTATATTATTTTTAAATGTTTCCTATCTACTTTTTTAAATGTAAAGATAGAAAATTGAATCGTCGAAAATAGATATTGTTTATTTATTGATACAAACAAATATTGATTTATTTAAATAAATAATAAAAAGATATTTTTACAAATAAAAGTAAAGTTATCTATAAATATAATTAATCAAATATTAGTTATATTTGTGTAAATGAGAGCAATCGAAATGATACGAAATGAAAATCCTTTTCAAAACTATTTATTGTTGTTAATACAAATGTGAAAAATGGCAGTAGCGGTTCTCTGCTGTTTCTCACTTCGAATCACAATATGATATTGTAAGTTAGTTCAGCAAGGCATACTTGTATTTACTGCAACATAAATGAGAAAAAAAAAAAAAAAAAAAGGGGGTAGGTGTGATGTCATTAACTTTGTTTCGGCGTCTCAAAAAAAAAAATATATGTGCCTCGTTTTTTTTATTTTAGTTTTGCAAATATATTCCGCACTCGTTTTTTTTTTGTTTTTTTTTTGAAAATGAGATGTGAAGGTTCCCAAAAAAAAAAATTTTGTAGTCGGTTATTTGTTCTATTGTATTTATCAAGCCTTTATGACTGACCATAAAATCAATGATCAAAATTTCAATTCAATAGTTTTCTCATTTATTGCCGTCAATGGTCATTAATTGTTAACAAAAGAAATAAAAAAATAAAATAAAAATTGTAAATAGTTTATTCTAAGTTTTTTTTTTTTTTTGATATTTTAATTAAATTACCGGTCACCATTGGTTCCCTAAAAAGGTTTAAATCGTGTCTATAATTGAACATGATAATAAATAGATTTAATTTTCTCAATAATAGTAGTAGTAGTTTTATTTCAGTAATTTATAGTTTTATTTATTTTAGTATACGTTTAATTTGTTTTGTTTGATAATGTAGTGATTAATGTTATGTTTGTTATGTCAAGTTATCTATCTATCAATCTTATCTTTTATATATATATTTTTTATTTATAAAAATAATAATGATAGTTGCTTAAAAAATGAATTATTATAATTATATTATTATTATTAGTATATATATTAAAATTATATTAATTTCTTGTTGTTTTCATCTTTGTATTTCCTCCAAAAGACGAAACCAAAAATAAATATGGCTTGAACAAAGAGGAAGTATGACCAGAATCCGAACGAGGTTTGCTTTTCGATGGTTGATGCGATCTCGTTGGCATTAACCTGAAGTGTCGATGCAATCTTTTGAGTGTCCTTGGCTTGTGCGTCGACCAATCTCTTCAATCCATTGACGCTCTGTGACAATGCTTCCAAAGTCTTGCTTACATCATTATCGTTATTATTCATTCTGCTATTGACAGTTGCTTTCATATCACCAATCAATTGTCTATATAGATTTCAATTAGTATTATTATAAAGAATTGATTTGAAATGTGATTAACCACTACTTGCACTTACTTCAACTCGGTTAATTCTTTGAAGGATTGTGAATTCTTAAGTTCATAGTTGTACTTGAAACTCTCGAAATCCTTCTTGGTGATGATGTTCTCGGTGAGGATGATGAGGGCTTGTCCGACGTTGTTGACTTGATCTCTGAGACCTTCGACTGACTTTTTAACTTCGGATTCATCGAGAACCGAATGCAATGAATGGATGCTCTCTTTCAAGGTCTCTACTTTCTGGAGGATTTGAGCTGGAACATCGTCACCAGATATAGTTTGCTTTGGTTGCTCTTGAGTTACTGGTGGTTGTTGTTGTTGCTGTTGGTTTGGTTGTTGGAATTGTTGTTGTTGCTGTTGTTGATTTTGTTGTTGTTGTTGTTCGAATCCCTTAGTAATATCCTTAATCTTTGCCTTGAAATCGTCTTCTTCATGAGCAACTGGTTGTGGTTGTTGTTGATTTTGTTGCTGATTTTGTTGTTGTTGAATGTTTTGTTGTTGTTGCTGTTGGATATTTTGTTGTTGTTGCTGTTGTTGTTGATGTTGATTCATATAGTTTTCATGTCTACGATATTCATTTCTAATTGGTGCATCAAGACTGTATGTGTCGAATGAATAAATATCATGATTGTCTGTTTTATTATTATTTGTGTAATAAATAAATAAATAGTTGGTTAATTTTGTTAGTTTGATTGTCAATTATATATATATATATATAGTTTTTTATGAAAACATACCATGAAGACCACCGGTGGCAGCAGAAAGAGCAAAGTGATAACGAGTTGGAAGGGTGATTCTGATGTCATTGACACAGGAGTCGTAGTTTCCACTTGAAGAGGTATCGATGTGAATTGAAAGAGCACCATTAAAGTACTTGATCTTGGCACGAGTGTTCTTGTGTACATTTCTGAATTTATTGGTACATCCACCCAACTTCATATTACCACCGTCCTTTGCAGTATCAAAGAATTGAGTTCCATCGTTATAGACAACCGAAACTAATGGATTATCTCCCTATAATATATATATATATATATATAGGTAAGAAAAAAGAGTAATTAAATTTCGATTAATTTGATTTGATTTGATTTGATTACTTACATTTCCATCGTTATCAAAAGTATCAAAGAAGATACCAAGACCTTTCCACATGTTACGATTACCAAAGACACTGGTGTCACGTGATTCAGAGTGACTGGGGTCGATGTACCAGAGTGCGAGACCGTCGGCACCGATACGACCGTTACCGTGGATACGGAACTCGACTACGATCTCCCAAGATGGGAATTCGAGTGGTTCGGTGTTGATGATCTGTCCCCAAGACGATTGGGCGTCGGCAGTCAAGTGAATGTATTCCTCACTGATGACAGTGTCACCACGTGTATTCCAATAGGTGATACCACTGGCCGTAGCAATAAATGGTGCACGGAATGAGTGTCTGTCTTCTTTTCTAACCAGTGGTTGTGGATAGGCCATCGCAATCGACAACACTGTAAGCACATAGAGTGCCAACAATATCAAACTGATTTTATTTGACATTGTCGTTTCTTTAATTTACAATCCTACAAAAAATAAAAAATAAGTTGTTCTAAAAAAAACTACTATTTTTTTATGTATATATTGTTTTTATAAAAATAAAACGCAAAAAAAGTTAGAATTTAAATTTATGTCAAGCTTTTAAAAAAGTGATGATCACACACCAAAAAAAAAAAAAAAAAAAAAAACAAAAAAAAAAAGTCAAACATGGTTTTGAACACATAAAAAAATTAGTTACATTTTTGAAAGAATAAATGTTTAAACTTTGTGAGTCACCAAATTCACATTAATAATGATCAATCATATTTAGATAGTAAATTGTTTATCCTAATAATTAGTAGATATGATCAAATCTACTGATTAAATAAATAAATAATATATTATACATATATATTTTTTCAATTAGTCTACTTTATTGATGTTTATGAAAGATTTAAAAATGATTACATAGAAATTTAGTTCCTTAATTAATATTACAAAAAAATAAATAAAATCTATTGGGTAACCTTAATATTAAAGTCTTAAGAGCAACTTTTCTAAGATTTTATTAAAATAGGTAGATATAGAGCAATTTGTTCATCAACATGTAATATTTTCATGATCCCCAAGAAAATACCGATTATTTTTATCGAGATTTAATTGACTATTTTAAGAGTTATATTATTATTATAAAAGATTTTTAATAACCCCCAGTTTCTGAATTTTTAAGTTACTTTTTTAGTTTTTGCCACGTCGTTGTCCAAAATTAATACCTTTTTGATTATTAAAAAATCAGAATAAATAATTTAGCTAACAACGTGGGGGTTGGATTAAAATACATAATATAGTAATTTGTAATGTGTTAAAGTATTATTTAAAAACTTGGTCTTATTAAAATATTTATACGATTTCAGATATGGTTGCTAATGATAAAAAAGGAGCAAACCAGAAACCCTTAATTTACAATATTTGAAGCCGGGTCATTTTTCTCCGATTTTCACGATTGGTTAGTATGCCTAGCAACGTTGCAAATATTTAGAGACTATAAATACTTAAAGTATTGTAACTTTTCATATATCAAATAATCAAAAAAAAACTTTAATATAAATATATTTCCTATAAACTTTTTAATTCTATACTTAATCTATAATTTTTATTGTATAATAAAAAAATTATTCGAAAAATGAAATTCTTTGCTGGATTAGTTTTATTATCCCTTTGTTTGGCAATTGGAAGCGCTGCCCCAACTACATTGGAGAATGGTGTCTACACTGGTACTTTGTCCAACTGTACTGCCAAGCTTGGAGATTTCAAGTTCGTCGTTGAAAACAAAAATATGTCATCAAGTGCTGTTTCTGGTGGCCTTACAGCTTTCCACGATATGTCCTTCCAAATTGTAAACAACACCCTCACCACTCAATCTAAAGGATGTTGGGACTTCAAGAATACCAATAACAACTGGATCTTCTACATTCCAAACAACGGATCAAAGACTTGCTTAGGTCAAACCTGTACCCAATCCTACATTGCCAATGTTACCTACAGTGACTCTTCTATGATCAAGATTCCAATTTTCGGATTGTTCTTCTTCTTGGCTATTACTTTATTAATTTAAACTCTTTTGTTTAGATACATATTAAATAATATAATTTGTTAATAAAATAAAATTGTTTTCAGAAAAAAAATTCATATTTCTTTTAGAAAATAAGTGATTTTTTTATTCATTATCTTTTTATTTCCTTTTAATAATTAATAACTTAAAAATCAATACTATTAATAGTAGAGGGAAACAATTTAAATTGTTTCTCAGTATCGAACTAAATTTAAAGCTTTCATATTTATAGTTACAAAAAAGTTGATTAACGAATTTATTAATGTTTGTCGATAAGTTTTGCAGCTTTTCTCTTTTCTTTTTCTTTTCTTTCTCTCTTGAGGTTCTTTCGTCTCTCGAGTTCAGCTAGGTCCACCTTTGGTAGTGATTTAAAGGTATCGAATATCTCACCGATTTCATCACCTTGGTCGGTATAGAACAGTTTTCTGGTGGGGTTGACAAGATCACCAATTAGGAAACTGAACGAATCCTCACGGTATGTGAATCCAGAGACCTCCTCGATTTCCCAACGATCGATTTCATTTTCCATAGGTTCATCGTACAAGACAATCAGTGTCTGATTCAATCCGAACCAATACATTGGTTTCTGGTTGCGTTTGGTGAATATCGAGAACCATGTAGTTCCACTGTAGGGGAATGAGGCAGATCGCTCCAAATACTTGGACAATGCTTTCTCGGGTGTAATCGATTTCTGAGCGAGATGACTATGTGATTGGTTGATTTTCTGTACCCATTCACAGAGTTCCATTCGATTGATGAGCGTCGCGGGAATACAGAGTGAGACAGTATCCTCGGAAATGATGGGATTATCGGGGTTGAAGTCACCTTCTTGTGCCTGCAGTTGGAATGAAGCCAGTGTCAATGCCAACTCGATGGTAAGACCTGGAATTTTACCGGCCAACACATCATGGACACACTGATAGAACATCAGCTCCAACATTCCATTGCTCATAGAGAAAGAGGTGTGTGGAATCCATATCTTTCGAAGAAGTACCAGTTTGCCAACGATGGGTTCATCTTCCTTACGCGAACGCTTCTCCTTCTCCTCGAAAATCGCTAGAACATCGGTAATTTTCTCGTGATCCTTCAAACATTGTTCTTTTCCATTCCAATCTTTATAGATGGCAAATTCCTTCCAGTAGGCAAGATCGAGTTGTTCAGCCAACACCTTGAGTGCTTCGAGAGCTGTAGTCGAAGGTCCAATCTCAATGGCTCGCAAAGGACCGTTTGCCAACTGAATTTTACAACTGATCATTCTTCTCTCCTTGACGGCATGGATCTCCTTTTTGCATGGAGCAAACAGTCTTGGACCTTTGAGAGCGGTTGTTTGAAGCTTCTTGATACAAGTCTGAGAGTATGGGTTATCGATTTGGGTCAAGAACAAACGTAGATACGGGAAGAGCTCAGCTGTAGCTGGGAAGCATCCTGCACACAAACTAAACAATACCATTCCCTTTCTGATACCCTCATTGTTTGGATTGGCTGTGAGTTGTCTACAAATATAGAAATACAATTCATCACGAACCTTGGGATTGTTGATACCTTTTTGAATGATATTCTGAAGTAAACGACTCTTGTGTTCTTTTGGGGGTAAAGGATAGTCATCCATATACTTCATAACCTCAATAAAAATTGCTTCAATCTCTTTCTGTAATTCTATTGGTAAATCTGTTAAAAATATACTTGAATCCTGTTGAGTAGCAATTGAAAGGAGAATTTTGAAAATTAGTTTAAATATCTTTTTTCAAAATGATCTATTTGTTTAAACATACAGTTAAAGTTGTAGAATGTTTAAGTCCTTCTGCTAATTTAATGGCTGGTAATGAACGGAGTCTATTGATGGTATAGGTCATAAGTGGATGTTTAGATCCGACCTCAACGGATTTGGTGGTGAATGATGTTTGAGTGGTTGCTTGTTTGTTGGATCGTTTGCTTCTTCTCATACCAACCGATGTTCTCAGTGATATTTCATCGGTGGAAGTGGTCGACAGTTGGTTGATCAACGGCTGGACATAGTCGATTGGGAATGATCCGATTATGCCACTCTTGCTGGTACCGCTACACCATCCGTCATCGCCACGACTCTGAATCTGAATGATATCACCTTTTTTGAAACCAAATGAATCAGAGGGAGGAGTATAGTCGCGCAACGCCACTGCGTATTTGGCATCGGATGCCAAGTAGCTTAGATAACCGTTGATCAGCACCGCCATCTCAGAACACTGTGGACTATTGATACAAAGTTCTTCCTGTCCAATGGAGATGATTGTCGTTTTATTCTCTGGTTCAATGTCACACTGGAGAATAGAGGCATAGGGGAATGACTTGAGGACTTTGAAAGATTTCGACTTTCCAAGCCACTTTGGGAAACTTCCTCCGACCGACATCATCTGGTCTTGCTCGCCATTGGCATTGGAGCCAGATCCGCTCTCTGAATCCATTCCATCCTCACTTCTGGGTGTTGAAACAGAAGATTGATCGTCCGATGCATTTGGATTATTGCTATTCTTCTTTTGAATGTCGATTGTCGATTTCGCTACGATGTGAACACCATTGATATCAATGACCGTATGGAATCCATCTAGTGCACCAGATATCTCGATTTCACTCCATTGATCGATTTGACAATCGAGAAACAATGTAGATCCATAGAATGGTAGTGACATAATATAGTTTACAATGAGATTTCTCAGTTCGTCTTTGGAGAGAATACGGAGGTGTTGTTGGAACTCGATGTAATGCTCTTGGATCATGTCAGACCACTCTTTGATTGGGTGGAGCAGTAGCATCTTCTCGGGAATATATCGCTGCCAAATGTCAGCACTGGAGAATGGTTTCGAATTTTGAAGTTGGTCAAAGTGCTGTCGGAGTGCAGCCAATTTGCATAGATCACTCTCACGGATTGGCATGTGTCCTTTCGAGATTGCTTTGATAAGCTGATGGAACAAGAATTGAATATCAAATTTGTTGGTGAGTTGTTTCGTTGGTTTCAAAAACAACTGCACTTTGAAACAAAATTGGAACGGTTCCAATGAGATGATCTCACCGTTGTTGGGGACACCATGCGAGAGATTATAGAGATTTACAGATTGATAGTACGCTTCCCACTTTGAGACGACATCTAGAATGAATTCATTCTTGCGAAGTGAACGTTCTTTGTTCTTAAAGATTTCGAAAATCGCCCAAACATGTGACTCTGATCGCAGACCGGCCAACTTCATTAGGTGCTCTGTGACTTGTCCTGCGGTCGTAGTGCTGTCTACTTCAATTTCCTCACCGACTTCATCTGGGAATAGGAATAGAACCTTTAGATTGAGACGTCGTTGAACGGCTTCCACTTCTTTTTCGACGGGTGGAAGTGCACGTGGTCCAAAGGTGCTAATTGCTTGTAGCCTGTTGAATGCAATCATTGCGTATCCTTCATCATCGTGATCACTTCCACGATGTAGCAAGAAACTAGAGATATATTTTAGTAGCCTTTGTTTTGGTGCAAACGATCCACAACAAATAGCCATCAATTCCCATCCTCTAACCTTGTTGTCACGCTTTGGATGATTGGTCAGTTGCTTGATCAACTGGCAATACAACTCGTCTTGCAGCTCTGGATTCTCAAGTGCCAACTTGATTACATAGATAGCGATTTGAGCCATTGGCTTTTTACGTTCGGTATCGCCCATATACATTAAAATATGATTGAAAATATCGAGTGCCATTTTCTCGTGTGCTGGATCCGGAAGCTTGTGGAGTGGCGAAGTCAGTTTCTTTGAGAAACTCGATAGGTTTCCAAAGGAGATTGATTTCTTTCGGATCAACGACTTTTTAGCACGCAGTTCAAAGTTTTGTTTGGCATAGTCAACAATGAGGAACTCCTCGGCATCGGCTTGTTTGACGACAATCGACTTGGAGCGACGTCGTGGCGACATAATACCAACGGTGGTTTCACTTCGAAGATGAGGAAGCGATGCAGTCGCTCTGTAGATAGGCATAACCGGCGGAATTAGTTCCGGTTTCTTTGGAAGTGTCGAGGGAGAAGCGCTAGCAGTTTTCGGTGTGGTTTTCACAGAAGGACTGGCAGTCGAAGGAAAATAAATAAATGAAGGTGAACTTGGTGAGAGTTTCGGTGAAATTGGATGGGAAACCTTGCGAGTCAGTGGATTGGGTGTGGTAGGCGAAGGGTTGCTAGAGGGTGTGCGAGGCGACGGCATTGGATTGCCGGGTTGGCGAGGCGAAGGCAGAGGATTCGGACCACCGACAGGTGTGGATACTCCACTCTTATTGCTATTGTTGCTATTGTTCAAATTGATAGACATCGAGCTATTGTTCTTCTTTTGCGAACCGGCTTCGGCACTGCTACTCTCGAACGAGGGCATTGAACGTGCTCTATCGAAAATGTTGATGGGAGGTGGTTTGTTTGTGGTGGTCTTGGACGTGGTGATTCCAATGGTAATAGATGTCCGGAAGCATCATACAGTTGATTGCCAGTCGGTGTGGTAGTGGTTGAAGAGGTTTTGATATCACGCTTTGGTGAGATCGGTGGAGAGATCGCAGGTGACTCCATTGACGGTGACTCACTACATGGTGTGACAGAAGATGGAGATGCATTGGGTGTGTACATTGGTGATGGCATCTCCTTTCTTACCGAACCAATTCTGAGTGGAGGAACACCTCTAGCCAAATTTGTTGGTTTCACTGGATGAGTTGGTCTTTGAATATTTATAGTTGGATTGTTTGGAGTTGTTGAAGTAGTGCTTATACTACTAGTTGTTGTTGTTGTAGTTGTTGAAGTAGTGTTTATTGTTGATTCCACATTATTATTGTTATTGGTATTGGCTGTACGATTGTAGAATAAACGAGAGTGAATATTACTATTTCCAGTGTCGGTTGAGGATGTCAATGATTTGAAAGTTCCAGGCGAGGTGGGTGGCGATGTACAAGGTGTGATTTGGACAATCAAGGAAACTGGAAGTGTTGGTAAAGCTGTGTTGTTCTTGACGGACAGTGAGAGTTCCTGGCTATATTGTTTGGCCAGTGATCCACGAAGAAGATTCTGTAGCGCAAGAGCAGAGTGTTTAGTTCTGAGGAATCGGATGCGCTGAATTGACATACGCGCAAACGACTCGAGGATAATGACTGCCGCGCGAATCGAGTGATATCTTCGCTGCACCAAGAAACGTCTGGTACACTTTTGTATTGAGACAACCGCACGTTTCATCTGGAGGAAATTCTTGCGATCGCGATACATTCGCCATGTCTTTTGGATGGTGATTGCCGAGTGATTCCTACGCTTCTGTCGCTCCGACTCGAGCAGCGAGCCAAGAGTGTATCTCATAAAAATCCTAGAGTTACCGATTTGGATGCAAGGCGCCAGAATCGATTCTATCTGGATGCCACTGTCTCTCATCTTCTCCAGCACATTGGTCAACATCGAGGAGACACGCTGTTGATTCTGGAAGAAGAAAGAGAATCGCTCGAAAAACATTTTACTTCGATAGTTGATTGTATATCCAAACTTTTGAATGCGACAACTCTCGACCAATCCAAAGATGCGCACCTGTTCAGTGATAAACTTATTGTCAAACTGAGCCGATAGCTTCTTGGCATTCGGTTTGAGACAACGAACAAACTGAACGTTGGCACCGGCCGGAAGTGTCTTGATAATGGAGAGTGGTGACTTCCTGGATGTCAACTTGACGGCGGAGGAAGTTGGCGAGGAGTTGGATGTCGGTGAATTTGGCTGTTCCATCAACTCTTTCAATCCACTGTTTGTAGTGCCAGTGAATAACAGTTTGATAATCGAATTCCTATAGATATTGGAAGATCTGTGGAATATTTCATCACGATTCTTCTGAATGAATCCCTTGATGTCATAAAACACAGTTCCAAAAAAGTGTTCGACACCAAACTTTTTTTGTTTTACAGTGTAGAGATGATGTTTACCCAAGAACAAATTCAACTTTTCCAAAAAGATACTATCATTTGAATTCATATTTTTAGATTCTTGATCCAATAAACTTACAATCTAAAAGTATATATTATTATTAGTATAAATCTGTATGATTACTATCTATTGTTATTATTATTATTATATTGATTTTTACCTTTTGCATTAAATCAGCAGAATCAGTATTATCTTTAAAGACAATTGGATTGGTCCATTGTATTCTCTCTTTTTTATATTCGTCTTGTTCGTTTTTCAATAGTGATTGAATGTAGAGTTGTTGGAGTTGTTCCTCGAGGTAGTTGATTGAGAACTGTTCGTAGCCACTGAGCTGTTGATTGCTACCAGACTCGTGACCGAAAAGATCGAGCAGTCCAATCTGATGATCAAAAGCAGTGGTTGGTGCCAGCTTGGAATTCAAAATATCGATAATCCACTGAAACAAATTGTTATACAATGACTTGGCCAGAGAGTCTCTATTCTCCACCGCTTCATGTATTGTATTTGTCTTGTTTTCCTGAATGAGAATCGCTTCTAATTTCAAAGGATCGAATGAAATTGATTTTGAAATATCTTCCAAATCTTTTAAAATATTATTATAATTAGTACGAAATAATAATATAAACATAATCACATTATTAATATTCTATTTAAACTTACAAGATTTATCTTTGATATCAACTTTTGATTTAGATTGTGAAAATGTTAGATTTCCAAGATTTAAAATGAATGCCAAAGTACGAAAGATTAGGTCGGTCTGTGAGGTGGTGAAATCAAAGAAACTGAATGCCATCTTGAGACGATCGAAAGACTGACAATCGTTGATTTCATCTTGGTTGAATTGTCCACCCTGGTTGAGATAGTAGTAGCTATTCCACTCGGCCAGACCATACATTTGTTTCTCCTCATCACTGGTTCCCAGCAAGAATTGATAAAAGATATGAAAGTTTCTTTCTCCTTTCGATTGAAATGTAACTCTTGATTCATCAATAAAATCTAGAAATAAATAGTAAAATAATAATAATAATCATAAAAATGTTATTAATAATCCCATTATTTTCATTGTTTTCAACCAATATTGCTAACACAACTTACAATTAAATATTCTAGCACCTCTTATTTCACCATGATAACTATAGTAGATCTCAATGTATTTACCGAATCTAGAGGAATTGAAATTGGAGTTGGTCGAGCAATTTCCAAACGATTCGAGAATGGAACTCGACTCCAATATCAGATTCTCAATATTAGAGTGTTTCGGATTGGTAGCCAACAAGTAAAGTATAATCAATTTGTTATTCTCTGATTTTCCACTACCACTTTCACCACTACATTAATAATAATAATAATAATAATAAATAATAAAAATAACAAAAATTAGTAATCTTTATCATCATAATTATTAATATTATTATTAAGTAATTACCCTAAACATATAACTTGATTCCTATGAAAATCAACCATATCCAAATAAGCTTTCTCTGCAATCGAGAAGATATGTGGAGCTAGTCGAACTCCATTACGTTGCTTATAGACTCTCAATATATCCTGTGTGTAAATCGGTAATTTCTGATATGGATTGATTGAAACTAAAACCGGTCCTATATTTGTCTATTGAATAATAAATTGTCGTTAATATTGTTAGATAATAGTTGTTTAGATTGTTAATGTTTCAACACCACATACATATATAATATTCTTTTTATATCTTTGTTGTAAATTATTTAAAAGAGTTTCTTCGTCGATATCTTTCAGCTCGGATGCATCGTCTAGTCCGACTCTGTTCATCTCCAAGCATGATAGATCCAACTGTTGTTGATGGTGGTGGTGGTGGTATTGATGTTGTTGTTGTTGTTGTCCATAGTTAATATAAGAGTTATTCTGTTGGTTACCATTGTTGTTGTTATTGTTGTTGTTGCTGTTATTGACACCGCTCCCGCCACTCCCACTACCTGTATACTGAGGTGAAGTCAAATCGTTTGGTTTTGTCCTTGTCTCTGTCATCTCTTTTATAAATTCTTTAATCACCATTTTCTTCTTTTTCGTTTTCTTTCCTGTATTTATATCTATTGATTTATCTGTAGCTGTAGTTGTTGTTGCTGCTTTAGTATTATTGTTATTGTTATCTATCGAATATGTTGAGGAAGGTGAAGTTGAAAGTGAAAGTGATTGTATTACTATGTTTGTATTGTTATTGTTATTGTTGGTTGGTGTCATCGATGTGGAAGATGCATTTGAAGATGATCCAGATGCACGTAGATTCCTACTGACACCACTGTTACTATTGCTAATTCCGATATTTGATGTTGTTGAACCAAATATAGGTGAACTATTATTATTATTATTTGTATTTGTATTTGTATTGTTGTTTATGTTGAAAGCGTTCGGACTGCTACCATTACCATGGTAATTACTACCAACAGAGAGTGATTCAAAGTTGGAAATGGACAGACTTGGTGTTGATGCATGTCCACTCATAAAAGTGGGTGGAGTTGTTGTCGAAGAAGCATGATTATTATTGTTGTTGTTGTTGTTGCTGTTGTTGGTGTTACCAGTTATGACAACACCATTGATAGATGTAACTAAAGGTGATGAATTTGCAGATGTAGATGGTGCGTTATTGTTGTTATTACTGTTATTACTATTATTATTATTGTTGTTGTTATTACTACTTCCACCACCACCACCACTATATAAAGTTCTAAAAGGTTGTGTTACAACACTGAATATTGAAAGTGAAGGTTGAGGTTGCTGTTGCTGCTGTTGTTGTTGTTGTTGTTGCTGTTCATCTTTATTATTACTATTACTAATATTGGATTGATTTTGATACATTTATACAAAGATAGAGAGAGAAAGAAAAAGAAGAATATAATATAATATAAATAAAAAGAGAGATAGATAGATAATAATACTGTAAAAATAAATAAATAATGAATTTGACAACTAAACTACACAAACATAACTAAGTTAACCACAAACAAACTTTTAAACTTTTTTTTTAAACTTTCACACTTTACAATAACATTAAATCTCTTTAAATAATTCGCCAATAAATCTAATCTATCGATCGATCGATCTGACTATATAAACAAAGACCAACTAACTACTACTATGTGGCGAAGTTAAGAAAAAAAGAAAAGTAAATTTACTTTAGTTTATTAGTTAATATATAATAGTTTGTGTTTGTTTTGTTTTTTTGTATTTTATTATTCTTTTCTTTTTTTTTTTTTTTGTATTATTTTTATTTAAAAAAAAATAAGTAAATTATTTGATTATTATTATTATTGTCTTATGATGATGTTAATGGTGTTTTGTTTGACGATGTTGATTGATTGATGATGAATTGATAAATATTAATATTAAATCTTTAATCTTATATCAATTAATATTAAATTGTTGATCAATTCCTATTAACAAAAAAATGTATTATTATTACCACTTTGTGTGTGTATCAAAAATTATTTTGGTAAGTGATTTTTTTTTATTTATTTATAATTGTTGTTTTGATTTCAAAAACCCCAACAGACCACCACCATCAAACAATAAAAAACAGTTTTTTTTTTTTTTTTGGTCAGTGGAAAATGTTTGAAAAATTTAATGAATAAATTTTTTATTAATCACACATTATTACTTTGAAAGGGATAAACTTTTTTTTTTTTTCACTTTGGTTCTCTTTTAAAACAAATCAATTCAGGTTATATTAGTAATAAACTAAAGTCAAGTCACTCTTATTCCTATTATTTGTTTCTTTACAACTAATGATGATCATGTTGGAAAAGAAAATTTATAAAAATCAAAAACTTGATTATTTAAATTGTTTAGTGTGAGTTTTTTTAAAAAAAGTGTTTAAAAATAAATGATTATTTTTTGCAATAGCAGTCAATTGATTATGTTTTTTTTTCACCATTATCCATCCATTTTGAAAGAAAAGGGGATTAGTTTAGTTAATAAGTCAACAACGCTTTAGTAAATCAATAGTCTCAGAGAATTAAAATAATAAGTTATCATTTTTTTTTGTTAGTTTGTGAACAATAAAAATAAAGAAAGTAAAACAACAATGTCTGATACCGATAAAATCAATAGAACGTTCAACAGTATTAGAATCAGTAACAACAGTGATGATGAGTATGTAGATGATATACAAGTAAAGAAATATAAATATCCTGCTAAAGATGGACAGGATCTAGAGTTTGATATTACACCTGATGCTTGTCAGCGCTTTGGTTTCTTCTTTGGTCAGCTTGTTTCAACACCAAGTGGACCAGCAAAAGGTATGAAAAAAAAGCAAAGACAAACTAAATCTAAACCAACAACAAGTTTTATTTTATTCTAACATTTATATATTATCTATTATTTAGTTATTGGTGTTAGAAATGGACATCTTTGGTTTCATATTGAAAAAGATATTGGTGCAACCTATTGGGATAACGGTAAAGATAATAAATCGTTGATTGAAGATTTGAAAATTAAATTGGTTGAAAATCAATTTTTGGTATGTTCAACAATTAAAATTGCCTATGGTTGTACACAGAGGAGAGTTACTAATGTTTATTTATTTGCAACAGGAAATTGAATGTAAAGTTAAAGCAATACAATATAATGATAGAACAGTACAGATCGTTTTGAATGAAAATAAACCACAATCTATGTTGGTGGCTATTGCCAATGTGTTGTTGTTGCTCGGAAAGATCACATTCGACACCGAAGATAAGAATAAAGTAAAGATGAGCCAGATCGGTGCACTCGTCTACAAATACATGGAAGGACAATGCAAGTCCGACAAAGAAAAACAGAATGCACTCAACAAGTATCGTGAAGACGAACTCCAATTGCTCATCTACTCGGGCGTAAGCGATGTCAACGTAAAATTCTCTGCCATCGATCAATTCGAAATGAAATCGATCTACAACATCTTTAATTTCGTTAACATCAAGCTATATCATGGTTGGATCTATTCAGAGAATGAAGAAGTATGTAATAATAATAATAATTAAAAATAATATTATTGTTAAACATAAACTTACTTACATATCTATATATAATTTATAGGGATATGATATAATTATGGAACAAAATCTTACACACCACGATTTGGAAGCAAAGATGATAAGATTTATTGAAATATTCCCAACTATGTCCATTCAATTTGAACGTACTGGTAAGTTTAGTTGTTTGTTTGTCTGTAGTTTAATTGGTTAGAGTAATCTTGTATTAACATTTATTTACTTTTTTTTAACAATCCAGTTAAAGATTTCTTGGCAGGTGAACAACTGACATATGATGGTTACAGATCACTAAAAGAGAAACTTGAAAATAATCAGCTATGTGTCTTTTATAGAAATAATCAATTCCAAACTCTGAGAAAACAAGATAATGAACTTTACACTTTGGAGGTTGGTCAGAATCATTCAAACACCGCATGGAATAAAGTTGAAATCATTTAAACCATTTCAACCAGTGATTAAACATGTAACAAAAAAAACAAATCTTTAAGAAAGAGTGATACAGTGTATACTCTCATAGTCTTGCTCATCATTGTTCAACTCAAGATTATATACTTTTAAACCAACCAAACCAAATGTAAATAAAGCTAACCTGTTCAAATCAACGAAAAGAAAAAAAAAGTGTTGGCAATATTCATTTTCTTTGTTTAAGATACTGCGACTTTTTAATATGACACCTTTCGTCAGTTAAACCAAAGAAGTGTTCCACTTTAACTTTTTAACAATAGCTCTTACTTTTGAGTTGTTCTTTTTTTCTTAAACATAGAATATACCGTGAAGTCTTTGCTAATAGCTTGATAATCTAATTTGTTTATAAGTAGTAATCTATTCTGGAGGTGTAATTCCGTTGGAGGTCTGTACAAGAACCGATCGTTTGAAAGTTTGACTGTACGATTGTACAAGTATCTCACGATTACCTTTTGGGTCATACAATACTTCATAAAAATAGTAGAGCGATATTCGAGTTGTTCCATCAAATATCTGACTTGGATTACTCAATGAAGACCAGTTGGAGTACCAATTGCTTGGACTGAACTATGCGAAGACATAAAAAGAGACGAGATGAGATCGAACTTGACTCTCTTATAAGAATTTTTGACTATGTAGAAAAGATAATAGTAGATAAAATATTAACTTCAAGTAAATGATTCAATAAAATAAATAAATATTTTTTTTGATTTAATTTTGGTTGTTGAGCTTGATTGCAATTTTAGTGGAAACTTTAATGTCGATGGTCTCTAGTTTTATGTTGTAAGTCTTTCATTGAATTGATTTTTACATTCCTTTAATAATACTACAAAAATATAAAAAAAAACTAATGGAGAGTTATTTTAAAAAATGTATTTTTGTTTAACCAATTATTATTATTTGTTTTTTGCCTAATTACAAACCAATAAAGTCGGCAACTTTATTAGTGTTACACTACATTTTAATAATAAGAATATACTCTCTCATATATATAGTTGAACAGAATATCAACTTCAAGTTTTATTTATAGTTTTAATCCAACCAAACCAAAAGTAAATAAAGTTAATAAATCAAATCAAATCAAATCAAATCAAAAAAAAAAAGATTGGAAGATAACAAAGACGTTAACTTAATCATATTCTTCTTAATTATTGGATTCCTTGTGGTAAACATTAAATAAATCATTTGAAAATTTTCAAATAATGAAACTTTTAAAAAAACAATTATTGTTTGTTTTTTTTTGTAAAAACTATTAATATTAAATTTGGTTCAATACCATTTTAAGGAATTCAAAAAGGATCTTTTGTATTAAATAATATTTATTTGTTTTAGCATCATCTTTTTTTATTCAAAACAATAAGTGAATCAGAAAATTATCTTAATAAAAAATAACACTTTAAAAATTAATAAAAAAAATTTCCAAAATTGGTATTTTTGAATACCTATTTTAAAAAAAGGCAAGTGGTGCAAAAAATGTCGATACAAGTCATGTTTTATGTTGTTGTCAGCTGACACATCTTACTTTCATATGTCATTGTGAATTTGATTTTTACATTCCTTTTAATTATAATTACTCTTGCTATTACTAATCATATTCATTCAATTTTGTATAATTGCTACAACAAAAATAATGTGTAAACACTAATACCTTTATAAAGTAAAGCCTGAATGTCCTTACTGTATTGGTTTTTTTTTATTTTATTAGAAAGCCAAAGTTAAAAATAAATAATAAATTATATAATAGTATATTGTACACTGATATAATAGGTTGTTTAAAAAAATATAATAAAAAATAAATAGAAAAAAAAGTAAAAGAGTAAATGTATGTCATTCCTCAAAAATAAGATTAATATTTTAACTCTTCATTGAAATATTTAAATTTTATGTGTTATATAAATAAATATTAAATATAATTATAATAATAATAATTTGGTTGGTATTTCTTTTAAAAAGAATAAAATAAAATAAAATATAAATCAATTAAATAAAGTGTCATCTTTTTCTTTTAGCTTGTTATGTTATACAATTATTACAGTTACTAGTTTTATATATCTTATAAATGAAAAAACAAAATTCATTCTATTATTAGTTTAAGGTTTTTTTTTCTCTGAGAGAGAGAAAATTAAAATACTTCAAATGGTTATCGCTCACGTAAAAGGTTTAGATGTTGCTATGTTTCGTTTTATCAAAAAATCGACCCAAAACTTTTTTTTTTACTTTTTTTATTTCATTTTTATTAGATTGCGCTCTTTGCTCTCGTTTTTTAATCCACCGATTTCTTTAAAAGTTACCACCTGTTCGCTATCAAAAAAATCATCAAAAAAATAAACAAATTAATTTGCTCATTTGATTAATAAAAATTATTTTTATTTGATTTTTTTTTATGTTCTTAAACTGTGTGTGTTTTTGATCCACAGACAGAGCAAAACTTTAGTGACAATTGAAATCATTCCAAAAAAACACACACAAACCAAACAAAATTATCTAAACATCCACACCACCACCTCCACTTTCACCCTAAAATACACAGTTTCACAAAAATAACCACCTCACACAATCAAACTAATTAATATAACAAACCAAACCAATCCTCCCATCAAAGCATAGTTGAGCAAGTTATTTTCATTTTTGTTCACTTTTTCCACACATTCACATACATCAAGTACATATATAATTATAGTGATATATATCATTTAATCAAATCAAAATATAGTAGTAGTAGTAGTTTTACTAATTTATCAACTTCGTATCTCTTTTCTCTTTCTTTCTTTCTTTTTTTTTTATTTCACTCTAAAAATTTTTTTTTTAGATTAGATTCGATACACATATATTTATAAATATTAGAAACAGTTAGAATTAGTTCAGTTAAATACAGATTAGATAATAAATCTGATAATAATTATTTTTTATATTTTCTTTGAATCAAACTGAGATGGAAACTCCCCATTCAACTGGAGGAGTAGGTGTTACAAACAATGGAAATGATGGTGATGTTGAACCTTTAGCATCGTCGTCGTCGAATGCAACAACAATCACTACAACAACAACAACTACTACTGCAGTGATACCTACTCCTACTCCCACCACCACTACCAACAACGGCAACAACAATAGCATTGGCAGTAGTGTAAACAATAGTAGTAGTTCATTTCTTAATACAAATAGCCTCAATAGTAATCGTAGTAGTATGAATGGTAGTCATGGAAGCAGACTCAGACAAAAGTTGAAATTAACAAGTAGTAGCAATGGTGTCAATAGATATAGCAATAGCAATGATAAACAACTCTCAAATTCATCTTCGTCTTCATCTAGTGCCAACAATACAACTACTGTCATTAGTAGTACTACAACAACAACCTCATCTTCGAATAATAATAATAATAATAATTATAATAATAATAATAATAATAATAATAATAATAATAATAATAATAACAATAGCAACAATAGTAATTCACATCTGAAAGCACCTCCTCCTTCACCTACACATTCACCTAAACATCATAAAATATCAAAGTTTGTTAATTATAATTATTATAAAAATAAATTGAAACCTAATAAGCATCAAAATCAACAACAACAACAACAACAACTACAACAAGCTCAGCAACAAACTCAACAACCAAACAATAAACACCTATCCAATGCTACAGATAGTAGCGGTCACCCAAATCCATCGACATCACCATCATCATCATCCAAATCAACATCTTTTTTAAACACAGCAGAGACACCTCATTATCTTTTACCAGATCCTATAAAACAACAACAACAACAACAACCACAACATACTCATCATCATCATCATCATCATCATCAGGAACAACAACAAGAAATCATAGTAAATAATGCACATATTGAAACAATGGATAGTAGGTTCGTACCTAATCCACTACCGGTATCATCAAACAATGTTTTACTAAAGGATAGGAACAAAACGTTGGTACTGGACAGTACAGGTGCCAATAGACACAGTGGCGGCGATCATTTGATGTTGGACGAAAAGAATCTCGATGAACTCTTCTACCAGATTGAATCACTCAATCTCAATGGAGAAGACTACTCGCCGTATCACAACGGCAGTGACAGCGATACCTACAGCGACAGCAGCAGTGCCTACAGCTACATGAGTGACAGCAATATCAGTAGCAGTACCGCTGCCACCAACAACATGCCACCGACCAACTCGAACACCAACAATCCAAATAGCAATAATAGTCACATCACCACAACCACTACAACTCAATCCGGACCAACCTTAATAACAACCACCACAACAACCACCAACGCCAACAACAACAATCACAGCAACAGCAATAGCACCAGTAGCACACCCTCTAGAAGTCATACATTTAGTGGGCATGTAAACAGTATGAAAGCAGCTCTATTCACACCGCCACTACGACGTCATTTGGCACCTAGAAAACGTTCGAATTCGACCATGGTCGAAAATCATCTTTATAAAAAAACATATTGTAAGTGTTATTACAACAGCTGATAAAGTTATTTTATAACTTAAAATATCTAACCAATATTTTATTTATCTGAAAATATATTTATTTAGTTGCAAGAGAAGAATTACATAATCTATATAATCTATTTAGAAAAGATGAGATTTCACTACAGGATTTCTCAGAGTTTCTTATATTTCAAGGTCTTTGGTTTCTCACTAATCTACCACATGGTATTAATATATTGTCAGAGATTCTGGCGACCAGTGAGCACGATGAGAAGTCAAATACCTCGACAACCATGATCGACGATATGATTCAACAGAAACATAAACAACAACAAGCAGAACAACAAGCAGAACAACAAGCAGAACAACAGAAACAACAACAGCAACAACAACAAAACGAACCAACCGAGAATATGCATATTTCAACACCAACAACATCCGATACAATACCGAAAGCAACAACAACAACAACAACAAGTACCACCACTACAACAACAACCACTAGCACAGCAGCAGCAGCAGCAGCAACAACAACCACATCGACCACTACAACATCGACTGATTTACCAACTAACGAACCAAATAGTCCGTCTGGTCCAGAGATTGATGAAATAGGTGCATTCAGTTATCAACTGCTGTTGGTAAAGAACTCTAATATTTACAGTGGAAAGAACTTACAGAATGCCGAGTTTAGCTATCTAAACAAATCGGTATTGGTCAACAAATGGCGTAGTGTCATCGATCGACTCGTACAACTACTCTTTATTTACATTGCCAAGAAGTTTCAACTTGCACCCAACAAAAATCCATCTATATCACATATTATTGATTTAATTTCAATTATGACAAGAGGAACTATTAAAGAAAGATCTGAATGTAGGTGTAGTTTAAACAACAAAAATATATTAATAATCAACTTATATATATATATATATATAAGTTATAAACAAATACTAATGCATTTTTTACTATTACTATTACTATTATTATTATTATTATTATTATATTTATAGTGGTTTTTAGAATTTGTAAAAAGAAATCAGAAGAGTATATTTATAAATCAGAGTTGTTAGAGTTGGTTAGATTAGTAGATTCACTGACGGTTTTCAATGAGTTTGGTTATGGAAATATTGGAACACCAGAGGAGATTGTCAATACCATTTTCAAAGAGTCTTCGAGTAATCTCAATTCAATACAGAAAGGTGCTGTTCTAAAATCAACCACCGATTTCTATACCAAGGAAATGAATGCATCCATGGTACACGATGCATTCCTTCGTCGTGCCAACGTCAACCCAGATCTACCGAGATGTTTCGGTTTCTTTGATCTAATGTATTTTTGTTTAGTTAAACCAATTGAAGATGTAAGTTATATTCAATTAAATAACATTAATAATACATTTCTAATAATAATAATAATTCTATTACTATTATGCCAACTAGTTACATTCAAATGTAAAACAACAACAATGTGCAGGTTATCTTTATAAAGTTAAATATGTTGGATTCTTAAAGTATGCATATTCACTACGTTACTTTGAGTGTAGGAATGGATTTTTGATTGCCTACAAACGTTTGTCTAGTAAACCGTCAAAGGTCATCTGTTTGTTCAATACCAGTGTAAAGGTGTTGCCAAAGGAACATCCGAACCATCACAACTATCCTTCGATCTTGAAGAAAGTGCTACGCTCCAATGCCAAGGAGATCGAGGAGAGCAAGGATGCCACCGATTTCGTGTTGGACACATTCGACAAGGAGTATACATTCATTGCCCTCACCACATCAAAGGCATCGATGTTTGTCAATACCATTCGTTCCAATTCGAAAGGATCATATCGTTTTCATTCTTTTGCAATGCCTCGAGACGATATTCAGGTCAACTACTACATCAACGGTTTGGATTACTTTGAGCGTATCTACTACGCCATAAAGAATGCGCGAAACGAGATTTTCATTGGTGGATGGTGCATATCGCCAGGTATCACTCTCATCAGAGATCCCAATTGCAGCGCAGAGGAAGCCGACCGATACAGACTCGACAAACTACTCTTTAAGAAAGCAGCGGAAGGTGTTAAGATCTATGTTTTGATCTGGGACGAAACAACGCTTGCCACTGATCTAGGTTCGCGTTTCGTAAAGGCATTGTTTGAGAAGCTACACGCCAGAAACATCAAGGTCATCAGACATCCACCGTTCGTTCCACTCTCGTGGTCACATCATCAAAAGATTGTAGTGATCGACCAGGTTCTTGCATTCCTCGGTGGACTTGATCTGTGTTACGGTCGCTACGACAACCATTTCTTCAAACTAGCGGATTCCGAAGAGAAAGTATTCCCTGGACCCGACTACATCAATACCTGCATTGTGAAACCACGTTCGAACGAGCGCATCTGTCTTATCGATCGTAACAACCACCCGAGAATCCCATGGCACGACGTCTCTGTTTCCGTCAATGGCAATGCTGCGCGTGATATCGCCACCAACTTTATTCAACGTTGGAATCACGCAAAGAATTCGAACAGAGACTACAAGAAGTATCCATATCTCGTTCCAACACTGGAACCACTGCCACCAACCAACGGTACTTCCAAAGTGCAGATTGTCCGATCGGTATGTGATTGGTCTGCAGGTCAATCGCTAGAGAACTCTATCTACAAGGCATACATCAATCTCATCAACATGTCACAACACTTTATCTACATTCAGAATCAATATTTCATTACATCCGTTGGAACACCACAGCCAAACAATCAAATTTCATTTGCATTATTTAAAAGGTAAATATCAATCAATCAAACCTATCACATTTACAATTGAATGTTTATATTAACAATTTATTATTATTTAGAATTGAAAAAGCAATTTTATGTAATGAGGTATTTAGAGTTATCGTTTTGTTACCGGTTCATGCAGAGGGAGATGTCAATACTGCTGACATTCAGTTGATTGTTAAATGGACATTCAAATCGATTCAAGGTATCAAGTCAGAACTCTTGGCAAAGTATCCACAAGTCGATATCGATCAATATATCTCTTTCAACTCCATGAGAAACTGGTGTATCAATGGTGATGTCATCTTTACGGAGCAGGTCTATGTTCATTCGAAACTGATGATCGTTGACGATAGAATTACAATTATCGGATCGGCAAACATCAACGATCGTTCGATGAACGGCTCGAGAGACTCTGAGATTTGTGCGGTCATCGAGGACAAAGATATGACAGAGTCGCGAATGAACGGTAAGCCATACATGGCCGGTTCTTTTGCACTACGTCTACGTCTACAGCTCTGGGAGAATCATCTTGGTCTAACACAGAAACCAGATCCCATCATGAGCTACGCCGTACAGGATCCAGTCGTATCGTCGACCTACAATGAAATCTGGCGAAGTATCGCAACCAACAACACTCTGATCTACAAACACACATTCGGAACCTATATTCCTGACAATTGCCGTAAGATCTCACAGTTCAATCGTGACGGTAGAATACCATCCAACATAGTAGAGCACACCATGCTCACCAGCATCAAAGGTTACATCATTGAATTCCCATTAGGAATGTTAGTAGAAGATGGTGAACCATCCTCTGTCATCTCTGACATCATCACCAGTATGAAACTTGTCATGTAAACTAAATGTAAATAAAAAAAACAACAACAAATTCCTTTTTTGTGTATTTTATAACAAAAAAATATATATATATCTTTTTTTTCAATCTTTTTTTTTATTTACATTTCTTTACTTTAGATTAGATTAGATTAATATAATATTAATGATTATTAAACTGTCTAGATTACTATTTTTTGTTGATATTTTGTTTTCTTTTCTTTTCTTTTCTTTCTTTTCTTTTCTTTTCTTTTTCTTTTCTTTTGTTTTGTTTGTTTTGTTTTGTTTTGTTTTGTTGATTGTTGTTTAACTTGTTTTTTTAATTTGATAGGTTGTTAAAGTCCAGGTTTACTAGAAATGGCACCTGGTTGTGTCGATGTTTTGTATTCAGGTTTGATTTCATAACTGTTTCTGTGTGAACCTCTCTTGTGAAGAGTACAAATCTTTTCCAATGTTTGTTTCAACCAAACCTGTGGTTGATCAGTATAGGCAACGAGATCTTTAAGTAACCAATATTGTTTCTCACCAAAAGCCTTGAAAATAAGATCAATAAGATCTTCTTCTTGCATTCTTTCTCTTTTATCTTCTTGTGATTTACCCTATAAATATAAATATAAATATAATTAAATAATAATAAAGAGATTAGTAATAATTAATGATTATTAACAAATATCTAATAATAATGATGATAACATACTTTTGGTTTAGTATAAACAGTTGTACTAACAGCAATCTTGGCAGGATTAGAATAGACTCTATGTAGTTGAGATCTATCGTTAGCTTCGATAGTCTTTGATTGTCTGGTCTTGGTGTTGTACGAGGTAGTTCTACTCTTCATGAGCTCACGGTATGCCGGTGATGATAGATCCATTCTGACGTCACAACGCAAACCAATGCTACCTTCGAATGACAATGCATTCTCTGTATCCTCTGAGAATATCTTTATTGGATTAGAGTCTGGTAGTGGTGTAGTAACCAACTGTAACTCTTCACTCGGTACATAACCATTGTTATTCTCTTTATCTTTAAAGTTGATAGATAATGACAACTATTGTTGATTGATTGATTGATTGTTTGTAATAAATCATATTAAAAACAAAGTTCATACTTTTATGTTATTATATATAAACTTATTTATATATCTATAGATTTGATTGATATTTACATTGTTTGAAGATTTAAAGAATAGTTTACCAATTTCAGTACCACCACCAGCGGTCATCCAATGATCAGCGAGATGCTTTGGTACTTTGATTAACCATGCTTGTGTTTCAACATTGTCTGTATTGATTTCACCTACTAATGCATCATTACTATCTTCGCTCATTACTACTAATTTAATTTATCAATATGAATATACACCAAATAAACAACGATTATGTGTATTGTACAAATTGAAAATAAAAAGACAACAATACTTTGTTTTAAATTTTTAAAATTTTTGAAATCTTGGTGGTCTTTGACAATTTTATTTTTATTTGTTAACAAATTTGAAAGCCAAATCTTGATTTTAATATTGCACACTTTGCGGTCATCGATCAATATCATTAGTAACAAATGTTCTGACTCTTTTTATTAGTTTAGTAAACCAATTAGAGATAAGGAGATTGATTGAGCATTCACTCGTGAGCATACTCTATATGAGCGCATGCCAATGTCGTGTAGGATGCGTGTTTAAACAGATTTAACAAGGATACAAGCCGAATATATTTTTGTATTCACTATAATTAATAGATTTAAAGAGAAACAAGTATTCTAGAACATCCAAACCTTCAGGCAGAGATCAGAAATTGGAAGGTCCAAACAGATACCGTTGAGCGCTCTATAGTCAAACATTTTGGTTTTTCTTTTGATATATAGTATTAAAGAACACTTTGTGATGGAGCAACTATTTAAAATTTTCGTTTTTTTTTTTTGTAAATTTTGCAATAGAAATGACTGGATTCCTAACATTGTCGTCATCTTAAAAGATATTAATATATTCTTTAAGAAACATTGTAAATGATTTATTAATATGTTAAGATTAAATAAATCAAATTGTAGATCTACTTTAAAATATCTATCTTGTAATTTACACCTTAAGAATGTAACTACATCTACATCAGAATCATTATTTAAACATTCATATATAACAACATATAATTCTCATTTAGCAAATAATAAAAGGTAATTTTGATTATCATCACTTGTTAAAATTTATATAAAAATTAATATTTTCGTAAATCTATTATAATAGATTCTATTCAACAGATAAACTCAAGGATCTGATTTATTATAGAAATGAAACAGATGAACTTGAAGATGATGAAGAAGAAGTAGAGATAAAGCTTGATGAACTACAACAACATCAACAACATCAAGAAGAGGGTGAAACAATTAAATATAATAGAATAGATGATAAGCATTTGGAACACCTTGATTTCGATCATATCGATAATGAAAGTGATATACTCTCTGCAGAGGCCGAACATTATAATAATCAGATGTCATCACAATCGATTGATGATACTCAAGCTAAACAAAAACAGCTTTTAGATTCCTATAGAGATACTATTGCAAATGACGATAGTGATCAATCTGCTTCCCCATCCGACAAAAAGATAGAATCAATATTGGCAGTCGAGAACTTTCGTACTAGGATCAAATTGCTGCTGGTCAATGGTCATTTCGATGTGGTGATGGATGCATTCAATCAGTCGTTGAATGTACATCCCGATCACAGAGGTGATGTCTATCATCTGATAGAGTTGGTCGTTAAGTATCTCATTCTCAACAATCAATATTCAAAAGCAGAGAGATTCCTCAGTGACTCTGTTACTTTACACCCTGCATTCCTAGAGTCTGACAACATCCTAGTGATTCTACGTGATCTCCGTTACTTTGATCCACAATCCAACTTTATTCATTCGATTCTCAACACTCACGTAGTGATCTCACAGGAACAGCTATTTAAACTTATCAACATCTATCTTTCAATATCAGAAACATCGGTTATCAATCAGCTGATGTCGCGTATTCACCAGCCAAATGACACATCGCCACAAGTGATCTACGAGCGACTACTATGTATGGCTATCGATAACAACGCATTCCTTGTAGCTACTCATTGGATTCAGCATTTCATTGTTGAGAACAATGCCACTCCTACACTCCCCATGTTTCAAAAGATTCTTATGTTTATGGTATCGAAAGGACGTGGACCCACACTGGTGAAACGATTACTGGTCAACAAAAACTATTATGCCATTGCAATTCTAATTATTTATAACGAGTTGAAACATGGTGTTCAACACGAACATATGGCCAAGTCACTGGTAGATATGTTGTTCCAATACGAAGGAGACAGAGTCTCCACTCTAATGATTGGAATCTATCTGCAGCTTGGACTATATGATAATGCTCTGGAATGGTATGATAGACGTATCACGCAATTCAATCTATCACCAAATTCCAGTATACTAGATCTACTCGTAAGATATCACAAGAAACATCCGATCGGAAACACCACAACCATGCATTCTCTGGAAGTCAGTCCAACTCGATTCTGGCAATATCAATCAAAGATGATTCAATTCTCAGAGGAACATTTGGCAGAACAGAAACAGCTCAACAATGAAAAACAGTTACCACCCTTGACTCTACTAGGTGAAATCCATCAGCTGGAATCAGGTGCCACCGAATTGTATCTCCATGGAATGTTACCAAAACAATGGATGTACAAGAAAGAGGAACAAGCTCGACTTGCCAATATCGTAAAGACTAACAGTATGAAGCTATTCACAGACTGGTTGATAGCAGGTGGTCACCAATCAGTTTCATTGATTGAATTGGTCGATGCAACCTGTCGACTTGTTCAACACAAAGATGCAATCTCACATCTACCAAATATTGTCAAACATCTCCCACATTCATTGAGATGTATATTTATCAACTCTTGTCTATTTAAACAATTTGCTCGGCTCGATATGAACGCTGCAATCTCAATGATACAAGAAGAACCAGATAAGATAATCTATCAAAACGATCTGTTCAATTCAATTATTATCGAAGAGTTGTTGGAGCGAAAAGATTTGGAAATGGCAACACAGATCATGTCGAATCCAAACTGTAGAATATTGCCATCGTCAATCAGTCGTCTTTGTCAGGTGTTTATTGACAACTCGATTTGTCCCTACGGATTGATTAGAAGACTGCGACATAGCAATCCAGATATGATTACATTATATAACGTCGAGTTGAATTATCTTTTGGAGAACAATCAACTTTCTGAGGCACAGGAACTCTATCGTACAATGCGACGTGACACTCAGACCTATCAGATTGGTATCAAACTCTATGCCAAGCTGTATCCAGATGTAGTGAACAACTATGGACTTTGGAAACCATTCATGAAGATGTGGGAATCTGACGTCAAACATACTCTCTACAATACGATATTCAAGTTGTTGGATCCCAATGGAACAGGTGAGAATATTGGTTTCATTGCAAAGGTAATCGATGCCGACCAACAGTATTTCACTCCATCCAGGAAAAACCATGATGAGTATGGTGTGAAGAGTTCATTTGTTCAACAGTATATGGTACTCAGTTGTAGAAACCAACATAAAAAGAAGGTGGAGATGTTCTTGGATATGAACACTAAATTCTCTAGATTGGTACTCAAATCAGTTTCAGACTCGAATCTGATTGTCAAAAATAAAAGAGCTGACAAAAAGATTCAACAGAAACTATCGACAGCAACGCAAGAGAATATCATCCTGAAGATCAAGCTTCGAGAGCCTGCCAAACCTCTGCAACCCGAGAGGACCAATTTCCTTGTGAAGCACTACCTTTTGCCTTTGTTGGAAGAGAACGAATCGGCCATAAAGCAAATAAACAGCGAGAGAAAGAGTCGTGTGAAGCATGAAATCAAACAACGTCCATGGAAGTATAAATTGACAAAACTACCAATGTTACCAGGTGCTACCAATCCTTTCGTGTTCAGAATCGATTCAAAGGTACTGAAAAATCTCACCAAAGAATCAAAACCAAAATCAGAAATAAATTAAATCCCCAAATGATTTATAAATTATTAAAAAAAATAGTGATAACCAATTCAAAATAGTTATTCAAAAAAAAAAGTTTAAATTTTTATATATATTTATATAAATAAACAACATTGTTCTTAAAGTTAATTTAAATTGAAATGTAATTTCGCACAGAGAATACCATCTGAACGATAATCTCTGATATCAATAAAACCAGAATGAGGACCATCCAAAGAATAATATGGAAAAACTATAGAGTAAGTTTCAGAAAACTTACCAACTACGAAACTCTCTAGATCTGGACACATTATAAGTTGTTGTATAAGAACTCGATGTTTAAATACATCATTTCTAATATTAATTGTAACCTGAGCCGTGGGTATGAATTTTTTTACTTTTAAAAACTATTAGTTTTGAACATAATAAAAAATAGTATTTTACTTACCAATATCACCAATAACAGTAATATTCCATTCTTTTTAACTTTTTGTGGAATAGATCGTTCAAATCTAATATCTTCCAGCTTCAAAATATAGGCATCCTAAACAGTGTTTTTAAAAGTAATTGGTTACATTGGATTGTTGATCCTCTGATGTCTCAGTTTCAAAACCATATATTTCAATTGGTGCAAATTCTATTTTTGGAATAGCTTCCTCTCGAGACACTTACTCCATCTATTAGATAAAAAGTATCAAATTTAAAAATTAATAAATTAGAAATTGATAAATTAATAAAATTATTCCATTCAAGCAAACCTGATATGTAGAAAATTCAAAATACTAGTATCTCAAAAAAGTAGTTATCTTTTTTTTCAACTATTAAAATTTATTAACTTTGGTTTTTAATAAATTATTTCTATGATAACATGTTATTGATCGACAGATTGTGTCTTAATCATCTATTAAACACAAAAACTTTGACTGTCCGGTTCACCTGAATTTTCAAAATACTAAACATGATATGAATAGTAACATCATTATTCTACCAATATTATACAGATAGGCTAGCAAATTGTGTCATTAACAATCAATTGATAACTTTTTTCAGAGTATTGTTAATTAATTAATCTAATTCATTTGTGATCAGTTTTAAATAAAATAAACATTTGAATAAATGATACATAATATATATGAGAGTTGGGATAAAAATAAAAGAAATTTGATATTAAATTCTTCATTAGTATGTCAACTTAATGAACCTTTGTGTTTATTTTCGTATTCTTCCGAATTGATTTATAAATATATCGCACAAATTGTTTATTATGTAAATGATTTATGTTTGTTTACTTGATTGTTATCATATTGTTTGTTTTGTTTTGTTTTGCTTTATTTTGTTTTGTTATTTATTCTTATTATTATGGTTATTTTTATTTAAAACTACCTTGTAAATATGATAATAACAAGAAAACTGTATTGTATTAAATGATAAGAAGTTAGATGAATTAATAAAGCTATTTAATTGATTGTGATTGATATCATTTTTTGAGAACTTACCTTTATCTAATAGTGTTACAGCATTATAAATGGCAGGTTGATATATGGATGGATCTTTATTCTTTTTACAAATACAAACTAAATGAGCAGGTCCAACTTTAGATATAAACACTCTCTGTGTAATCATATCCAATATAATCTCTCTTGTCCTATCACCTTTTGATAATACTAAAACATAAAATACATTATTATTAATAAAAGATAAATTTTAACAAACAATCAATCTACACTTGTCACTTACAAATATCATTTGAAAACGATAACATTGCTTGAAGATTTGCAACGACACCCAATTGATCTTCTGTGCCTGTTGTCACTGCTGTTCCATCACCGTATACAACAATTGCATTCTGAATACCTCTATTTGTTTTCACTATATATATACATACATTAGAGGTTGTTAATAACAAGAATGTTTTTAATAGATTGTTTTAGATGTAACATACAAATCTGTAATATCGATCTAGCTGAATTTGCAATTGAATCATAGATCTTATTCGAGAAACCATTGAACTTTGATGTATTATGTAGTGAATGTGAGAAGTCAGTATCACCGTACATCTCTAGAAATCCTCTTAACAATTGATTTGCAATTAACTTTCCAAACTCTGCTCCCTACATTTACCGAACAACAATGATGATTAGCATAAACTAAAATCTATATATTCAAAGTGTATATATAAAAGTGAATGAAACACCTACATCACCGACGTCATGGAATAAACAACATTTTACAAGACTCTTTTCATCATAAACAACGGTTATAGATGCTATAGAAACCAATCAATAAATAAAATGATTCAATATTAGTTAGTTTCTATTATTTTACAAACTATGATTATTATTATTATTACTATTAAAAGTAAAGAGTATACTTACATTGACCAAACTCTATATATGATACAAACATACCGGTACTCTGTTTAGAGAACTCTTGAACTGTAGTTAAAAGTGATGAAAACATATTGGCCTTATTTATTATGTTAATAACATGTATATCAATAATGCATTACAAGCATAACTATATATATTTACTTTGCCTGCCATCGCTGGAATTGCAACCCATATCTTTTCAAATAGTAGAGTACCATTACCAGTTATAATGATAACACTTCTTAACATTTTGATATCAAAATCTATATCTTTTATTTATCCTATTAAACTGAATAACTAAATAATAATAATAATAATAATACAAAGTATATCTACATTAACAAACTAATTTAAATACAAATAAAAACAATGAGGTTAAACAAAAAAGTTTAAAAAATGATCTGTTTTTTTTTTTTAAAAAAATTAGTTTGAGACTTAAAGATAGGAATAAAAAACAAACTATCTGCATTCAACAGAGTGAGTGTCACATAATGAATAGTAAGCGATCATATAATTTATATGCTGCTATTACTCCATCTCTTGAACCTTTATTAAAGAAAGAGTTATTAAATTTATTATTAAAAAAGAATAATATTATTAATAGTACGAGTATCAATACAAATACAGATTTAAAAGATAATAAGAATAATAATAATAATAATAATAAGAATAGTAAAAATAATAATAATAGTAATAATAATAATAATGTAGAATTAAATATTGATATAAAGTTAGATAAAGGTGGTGTTGAATGTAGTGGATTATCACCTGAACAATTGTGGACGATTGCACATCATTCTCGTCTGTCTGAATCGCTTCGTGTTCGGCTGGGACAACCATTTCGTTCTGTAAATTTCAATATGTTGAAGAGCTCACTCAAGGATCTGCCATGGGGAAACTTCTATCGTGTCACTGAGCACACACTTCCAGAGTGCTCCGTTAGTTGTTCACATTCTGCACTCTACCACAGTAACGCAGTAAAAGATAGAATATTAGATCATTTTCAAAAGAATGTTATTTTTACAAAGAAACCAATTTTAGTTAATAATAATGGGGATAATAGTAATAATAATAATAATAATAATATTAGTAGTAGTAGTAATCATTCAAAAATATATGTTAGATTGATAGATGATATGATGCAAGTTAGTGTGGATGTTGGCGATTCAATGCATAAAAGAACACCTAATAAACATGTTACCGATGCACCTATTCGTGAGACATTGGCTGCTGCTTTATTAATGTCTGCTGGACTGCTACCACAGAGTGATGTTAATATATGGGATCCATTCATGGGATCTGGTACGATTCTACAGGAGGCGTTGGCTATGGCAATTGGAGGTAGAGCTACACCACCAGAGAGATACTTTTCATTTCAAAGTTGGCCGCTTCACAGAGATGATAAATACAATAACTTTATTGCACGAATCAATCAAGAACAACTGCAACTTCAAAAAACATTTCAACAGACTATATCAACTCACACTTCAAACTTTAGACTATATGGATCTGATATCGATCAAAGAGCAATAGATGCAACCAAACATAATATTTATAATCAATTTAAATTCTTGGAGAATATAAATGATAGTAATAATAATAACAATTTTATACAATTATTACATGGTGATTTCAAAGTTATTGAAACAAAGATAAAAGAACAACTACAACAAGATAAGCAACAACAACAACACCAACACCAACAAAAATTAACAATTATTACAAATTTACCGTATGGCGAAAGAATAATGACAAGTAATAAGAATATAAGTGATGGATTGAAATCTACATTCATTTCTTTTGGTAAAATGATAAGAGAATCTAATATTATCAAAGATGTTTATGTATTGAACGGACATCCAAAGTTTATTGAACTTTCTGGTGTACAATGGTTATCGATTTTGAAATTTACTAATGGTGGATTACCTGTAGAATTTCTAAAAATGAAAAGATAGTTTATTTTAATTACAAATATAAAGATAAATTATCTACACCTATATCATATCGAATTTTCTTTGACCATCTTAATATTAATTTTTAAATTTTTCATATAAAAATTCTTACCTCATTATTAAAACAAATATATAATCTATTTTTTTTAATTAAAAATTAAAATTAAAATTATAAAAAAATTATACCATTATGTATAATTTGGTGGGAAACGTGGTTACTTTAATATGAAAAACGACTTCACACACCACCTGAAGTACATTTCATTTTAAAGTGTTTTTTTTTTTTAGTTATAACCAAAGATAAAGAAGATATCCTCTGTCTATCTTTTTAATTTAAATAAATTCAATTTTATTTTGCCTACATTAAAGTATTAGTCTCACTCTTTTAGGATATTTTTTTTTTTTTTTAATATAATAATAATAATTTGTTTATTTTTTTAATTTTTCGAAATTATAATATTTTAATTTAATTAATTTATTTATTTATTATTATTATTATTATTCAAATCTATATATATTTATAAACAACTTTTTGATTTTGCAAAAAGGTTGTACTTTAAAGTTTATAACAAAATTAGGAGATTTAATAATAGTAATAGTAGGGCGACTTTAAATCCAAACGGAGCGCAACGTCTGACTCTTGAGGATTTACTGAATCGTCAGGGTATACCATCATACGACGAGATGAAATCATACTTTCGCTATATCACCGACAAGGGTATTGCTAACCTTGACCACTATTCATACAGTGGCGTAGATAATTCATTCTGTGCAAAGCATTTCCTAAAGAATTGGTGGAACTTTGCACTTGAATATGTTCCATTATGGTTAGCGTATGTATTCAATATCATAGTTAATAATAACTTAATAGTAACATATTAATATTTATTTTAAATTTTAAAAAACAGACCAAATTTGGTATGTAATGTTTTTTTTTAGTAAAGATTAGATATTAGATAGATAAGATAAGATTAACTAATAATCATTGTTATAACAATGATATCTATTAGATTACATTGGTTGGATTGTTTTGCAATATTGCAATGTATTTGATTGTATACTTCCAATGTCCAGGTTTAACAGAACCAGCACCAAGATGGTGTTACTTTTTAATTGCATTCCTTATCTTTGCATATCAAACATTGGACAATCTCGATGGAAAACAAGCGAGAAGAACAAAGAGTTCATCTCCATTGGGTGAACTATTCGATCATTGTTGTGATGCACTTAGTGTTGCTGTATGTTATATTAATGAGAATTGACGAGTTAGATGTAAATATAACTTATATACTTTTTGAAATATCTACAGATGTTTGCATTGGTTATGTCAGCTACAGTAAGAGTAGGTCCGAAATGGGCATTCGTCAGTTGTATCGTTGGATTTTGGCCATTTTATTTGGCACATTGGGAAGAGTATCATGCAGGTATCTTGGTGCTTGGTGAATTCAATGGACCAACCGAAGCACAAGTACTGTTCATCATTGTCGAAATCATCACCGGAATATTCACTTCTGACATCTGGACCTTTGGTTCAGACAAGATCTCCATTGGACAGATACTCATCATTTTAGTTTCATTCGGTGGTTTATTTACCATTTATACAAAGTAACAATTAATAGTTTGTTTTTACATCATTATCAGAACAAAATTTTTATATTAACTTATTTTTCATCTAAATATATAGCTTTAGAAATACTTTTAAACTACAGAATAGAATACCATTTTATAAATGTTTGATACAATTAACACCGTTTTGTATCTTTAATATTTTAATTATAATATGGGCATCTGTAACACCACTCCTGGAAGAGAAACCACATCTCTTTATGATGACAATTGGTATCATTTTCTCATACATACAATCTAGATACATCACACAAAGAGTTTGTCATGATGATTGTAAACTTTTCTATCCAATATTAGTACCATTAGCAGTTGTAGTATTAAACTCTGTCTTTGCCAAAGGAGGGTACGTATATTTTTTAAGAAATGAATATCAGATATCTAACAATATTATTATTATTTCATATATATATATAGTGTAAATATTATAAGTGAATCAATATTGTTATGGGCATTGTTTGCATTGGCTTGTGCACAATTTATGATATTTGCTTATTTCAATACTATGCAGCTATGTGAACACCTAAAGATCAGAGTATTTGTCATCCCATATAACCCAGCTGGAGCAACAGGCGGTGAAATATCTTCATCTCTACTATCAGCAATCGAAGAAGGATCAATTGAACATAATGACGATGGTGAATTCAGAAACGATGAGAATGATAAGATTTAAAATAATATAAATATAATACAAGAACAATAATTAGTAAATTATTTATAAAATAGATAGACAATTTATTTTTTACAATTTTTAAACTCTTTATTTTATTTTATTATAAAAAAGGTTGATGAAAAAGGAAATTTACTTATTTGTTATTACTTTTTTTTTGTTTTTTTTTATTCTTTTTTTTTTTAAAATTTTATGTTTAAGAAAATATTTATATTATTATTTACATCTCTGGGTGATCACGTTTGAATTCGTCGTAGAGAGTGCCGATGGTAGCTTGATATCTGTCCTTGAGTTGTGGACGACGTGGCTTGAATGATGGTGTCAATAAACCGTTCTCCTCAGTGAAAGCCTCAGCTTCAACAAAGATGTGCTTCAATTTTTCGAAACCTTGGAGGTTGGCTTCCTTGGCGCAAGCATCGAATGAATCCATAATCTCTTTGTACAACTCCTTGGAGGCAGCCAATCCCTTTTGGTCCTTGGCGTTCATGTGTGGGTATTTCTCACCAAACATCTTCTCAACGACTTCAAAGTCTGGTACGACGACACCGACCAAGAAACTGTTCAATGAGTCACCATAGACGAATGCCTGAGAGATGAGTGGCGAACGGACATAGATTCCCTCGAGATATTCGGCAGCGACGTACTCTCCCTGTGACAACTTGAAAATGTTCTTCTTACGATCGACAATAGAGAGGGTACCGTTGGCGTTCCAACGACCAATATCACCGGTGTGGAACCATCCGTCCTTCTTCAAATCTTCGGCAGTCTTTTCTGGATCCTTGTAGTAACCGGTGAAGACGTTGTAACCACGGAGACAAACCTCACCTCTTGGGAATGGCTTGTCGGTGGAGAAGTAGTTCATCTCTGGGACATCGACCAACTTGACCTCAGTACAGGCTAAGGGTGGACCGACGTGACCAATCGATTGGTCCTCTGGATAGGCGACAGCAGCACCACCGACATTCTCAGTCAAACCATAACCTTGGACGACTGGACAACAGAAACAGGCAATCAAGAACTCTGCAATCTTTGGATCCAATGGAGCGGAACCAGACAAGATGAACTTGACACGACCACCGAGCTTCTCTTGAGTCTTGGAGAAGAGAATCTTGTCCCAAATGGGAGTGCTAGAACCTTGTCTGAGTGCAGATTGCTTTGAACTGAAACCCCAGTTGAAGAGGGTCTTTGTGAGCCATGAACCACTGTTTACGGTGAGCCAAGTCTTGTCGTGGAGCTTCTGCCAGACACGTGGAGCTCCCACCAAGAAGGTTGGCTTCAAAACGTGAATGTCGTTGAAGAGCTCTGGGATGACACCACTGTAGAATCCAATTCTGGCTTCGACGTAGCAGACCATGCATGCGACGGCTCTCTCAAAGGAGTGAGCCAATGGCAAGTACGACATGTGTACATCTTCCGATGTCAAACCGGCTGGCGAGAAGTAGGCACCGGCAACCTCTGAGACCATATTAGTATTTGTAAGAATTACACCCTTTGGATTACCAGTGGAACCAGAGGTATAGAGGATGGTACAGATATCTTCTGGACCGGATGGTGTTGCTGGAGTTGGATGAGCAGCACCCAATTGCTCCAATTGAGCAAGAGTATAGAATTGAATAGATGATTCCTTTAATTTATTCAAAACTGCTTCTGTTGGTGCATCGAATGATACAATAGTAGTCATTCCTTTAGTAGTAGTTAATTGTAACATCTAAAGAAAAAGAAAAAGAAAAAAAAGATTAGAATATGTGTATTCTTGATTCAGATTGACACTCTCTGAGAGATTAACTTAATTACCTTATCGATATTCTTGGCTTCACATAAAACCAACTTGATATCAGCATGATTAATGATGAATTCAATTGCGTTTGGACCGAGAGTGGCGTACAAAGCAACTGGAACCATACCGTGATTGACAGCACCCATATCAGAGAGAATCCATTCTGGTCTGTTGATGGAGAAGATACCGATACGATCTCCCTTTTGGATTCCCAAGTGTACGAGACCAGCACCAATGTTGACAGCTCTGTTTGATGCTTCTTTATAGGTAATCCAACCGTATGGACCACGTGTTTTATCTGGATTGACTGCACGAATACCTAAAAATTGTTTATCAGAGTTTTTGTTCTTTCTGTACAATGTTGATGATGAATGTTGTTTGATCGATGTTAATATTCTTATTCTTCCAATCTTTAATCTATTCTATAATTTGTTTGTTTTCGCTAGCAAGAAACACATACTGATAAACATCATAGAGAGTCTTAGTATTTTCATCTGGTTGGGAGATGAGATCTGGGAACTTCTTGTTTCTTCTTGCTCTGGTTTCACCTGGAGTTGTTTCACCAACTTCAATAGTTTGTGATCCACTAAGCTATATAAACAACGATAGATATAAAAATGTTAATAATGATCGTGCTTTTACTAAAATCATTTAACAACAATCGAAATACATACGAATTCCTTGTCACCCTTGATAATGCTCATATGATCTATAAAATATACATAAGTTTTTTAATGTTAATTAGATCTGCAATAGAATTTGAAAGAATAAAGCGATAATACAAACCTGCCATTTTTCTATGATTTTAATTCTATTTATAAACTTTAAAATTTGATCGGTCAACCTGTAGAATCGATGATTTTATAATACAATTCGCAGATACTTTTGATGACTTTTCTGTTTTAAAAATAAAAAAAAAGTTAATAATTTTATTTTTATAGTTTGTTTTTTTTTTGTTTTGCTTTTGAATAATTGTGAAAAATAAAAAATTAAATGGTTATTAATAATAAAAGTGAGATAAAGAGAGACTAAAAAGAAATTTGAAATAAAATGGGATTGAATTGCACTAAATTCAAATTTGTCGATTGAATTTGAACGAAATTGAAGATGTCTATCTGTTCATTAAATTTAAATGAAACCAAAATAACAATGGTGATAAAATATCGTTATACTTGAACTTAAATAGAAAAATGTGTTGTTGATTTGGGAAATCTATTTGTTTCCTATGTGTGTGGTGTGTTGTTGATTTTGTGATTTATTTTTTTGTATTTCGATTATTACAATTATTGGGGATACATTTACCTATTACAATGGGAATTGTAATGAAAAGAAAAAATATCAAATAGATTAACAAACAAACATATTATTGTAAAAATAACAACTACAATAATAATACAAAAATAAAAGTGTGTTTTTTTTTTTCTTTAAGATATATAATAGATAAATTAATTTGATTACCTCACTTTTAAATTATTATTTTTTCTTTGTACAAAAGCTTTTATTATTACTTAATATTAAATTAATTTTATATACACAATATATAAATAAATAATAAATAAATAATAATTGTTTTTCAAAAAAAAAACGTCCTAATATATAATATTATAAGGGGAAAATCAAAACAAAAAAAGGATGGTTTTTGAAAAAAATAAAATAAATTAATTATAATTTGATTTGTCTACAAAAAAATCAAAAAAGAAAAAAATAAATACTATTCAAATTGCTAAAAAATCTGTCAAATTTTTTGCAACTTAGTTGTGTGTTTTGACTTTTTTCAATTTTCTATCCGATATTTTGAAATTTGACACAATTTAATGTGGATTTTTTTTCTTTGGAATCTTTTTTTTAATTTTACAATCCCCCCACTCTCCATTTCACAGCCCTATATTTCGTCATCAAAATTGTTATACGAAATATATCATTTCAAAAATTTTCTATGGTAGCCCAATCAAATATTGGGTGTGTTTGTTGATTTCACTTTGATCAATCATCTATCTGCAAATAACTTTCAATTGCTTGTTGATTCACTCTGATCTAAAACAAATTCATGACATCTAACTCCAAGTTGATTGATTTCCTAAATATTTATCTTTAAAATTATTGACACTAGTTAATTAATTAAGGAATTCTTTTTAAAACTTTGATACCAATTATCAAAATCAATAATGATATTATTTGTTTGAATTTTCAAGTTAACTCTTTACCATTAAATAAGTTTAAATGAATAAGGAATAATATTATTTATATAAAAATGAATAAGTAATAAAAAATATAAATTATTTGTAAAAGTTGTGTTGTGACAATAGAAAGACGTCACACTTGATTTGAGATACTTTATCACAAAAAAAAAACTGAAAAGGTGGAGTCACCTAATTTTTTTTTTTTTATGATGCCACTATGATTTTTAACCAAATTAATACTATTCTTTGAATTTTTGTTTGTTTTTTTGTTTTTAGCAAAGAGAAAGAACATACAGCAATTAATTATATCTTTAATTTCATTTCACAAAACAGTAAAGGAAGCTATTTAATATAATAGCTTTGATTAGTTAAACTTTTTATATTCAAATTCAATATTTTTCATACACACAATATAATTATCTAATTTATGTCTGTAGCTTCGACAACTGTAAATAGTTTAGTAAATGTTGGTGCATCAGTTGCCACCAATGCTCTTGGAAAGACAAGAGCGATTTTCAATAATGGTAGATTTGTCAATCCTTGGTTCCATATGACAAACGGTGAAATATTTAAAAGGTAAATAAAGTTGGTTAATTTACACTCAATTTGATAATCTATAACATAAAATCTAATCTAAAATTCACACAATGATTATGATTTACATAATTAAATAAAAAATAGTGTTTTAAAATGGAAATTTACATTAAATCCAACAAAGATAGAACCATTGACAGAACATGAAAAACAACATGTACATCCAGTTTTGGAGGTGGATTTAGATAGATTGAGACAACCAGTCGATAATAGTAAATTGAGATGTACATGGATTGGACATTCTACATTTTTGATGCAATTCGCTGGTGTCAATTTCTTGACGGATCCAGTGTTTGCAGATCGTTGTTCACCATTCTCTTTCGCGGGTCCAAAGCGATATCGTGATATTCCAGTGCCACTCGCCAAACTACCGAAAGTAGATTTCATCGTCATCAGTCATAATCACTACGATCATTTGGATATCAGTGTTGTCAAGGAAATAGGAAATTCCGTACGTTGGTTCGTTCCAGTGGGTTTAAAACAATGGTTTAAAGATGCAGCGGGTGTAGACAATGTATCGGAGCTCTCGTGGTGGGAGGAAGACAGCTTCAGCGAGAGAATACAGCTGGTCGCTACACCATGCCATCACAACACCGGTAGAGGTTTACACGATCGTTTCAAAACACTCTGGTGTTCATGGTGCATCATCGATAGAACCACTGGCAAAAAGATTTATTTCGGTGGTGACACTGCTTATTGCGATGTTTTCAAAGAGATCGGTCATCACATCGATGGAATAGATTTCAGTTTATTGCCAATCGGTGCCTATGCACCGAGGGATCCTCTTAAAGAGATGCATGTGGATCCAGCTGAAGCTGTAATGATTCATCAGGATATCAGATCCAAACGTTCGATTGGTTGTCATTGGGGTACATTCATTCTATCTGACGAACCACTACTGGAACCACCCAGAAAACTTAAAGAAGCAGCAGAACTCAATGGTTTAGGTGCGGATGAATTCACAGCAATGAAGATTGGTGAAACAAGAGATTTTGCACTTTAATAGTTATCCATCCATTATAATCATCCCAATATATACTCATACTTTTTGTACAGTAAATAAAATAAATAAAAAATAATTCTAAACAAGTAGTTTAGAATTATTTTATTTATTCCAACTAAAAAATAGTATATATTCCAAAAAATTCTATATACTAAAAATAAATCAGAAGCAAATAGGTTTTAGTATTTTAAGTCTATTCCAATCTCAAATTAAAAAAAAAAATTGGTTAAAATTTATCTTTGTTATTTTTATCTAAATCATTTTATTTATTTCATAGAATGATTTTAGATAGTCAATTTATTGTTATTTGAATATTAAAATTTAATTTTTGTCAATTGTTAATTTTTTTTTTATAAAAGTTAATTTGTTTTTTTTTTTGGTTTTTGTTTTTTCTGTTTAAAATTGTAGTTGTAATTTTTCAAATAGTAATGTTATAGTTGTAATGATACTTTTTGATTGGGACTTTTCAGTTGGCAGAATCAAATGTCAATTTACATGATGATGACATTCTTGACGTAAAGAATGACTGGGTGGTCACCTCTGGCGATGTAACCGAATTTGTGGACTTGACCTGGGACCAATGATTCTTGGTAGGATGGGAGGACGAGATCACCAGTTGGGAGACGGTTGACGTTCCAGATTTGGGTTCCAAAGATTGAGTAGTCATCACCATCGATGATTACATTACGGACGGTACGGAGACCAACGTTCTTGATGACGACATCGACTTGAACCATTGGTTGACCAGTCTTGGCATCGTTCCACTTGTTGATAACGGTTTGAGACAAGGAGATACGATCATCACAGTGTTCGTTACACAAGTGATTTGGACCATCAATAAAACAAGTCCAACCCTTGTTACAAATAGATGGACCACACTCCCAGTGAGCAGTGGACAAGGCAACAGTCATGAGTACGAATAAAGCTAAGGCAATCTTCATTTTGTTTGTTTGTTTTGGTAGTAGTATTAACAGGTAGGTAATGATACTTTTGGTTTTTAGATTTCTAGTTGTTATACAATTAGTTTCTTAATTGTTTAGTTGGTTGTTTGTTGATTTGATGTTTTGAAAATTCCCAAACTCAAAGTATTTATAGTTAGTTTTCGAATTGAAAAATTATGATGTGGAAATTAAACTCTGTGTGTGACCAGACATGACTACAAAGTTCCTATTTTGGTCAGCAGACTAATTGGCAAATCCAACACACTAAATCCCATTAACCAAATCAAATCAAGCTTGAACCAACATCGATTACCACTACCACTAAACACACTACTTCCAAAATCAATCATTCTACATCACATTTAATTTTTAAACATATATATAATGTTGTTTTTTGATTATTTTTTTAAAAATTCATCAAACTCTATATTATATAATATTATTAATCATATCTTTAAAGATATTATATTAGTAGAGTATAGTAAAATCACAATTAGTTAATTACCTACCCACAAAAAAAGGGTTGCCCAAATCTTCTTGTTTTTGATTACACTGGGTTGTTGGTTGTTATTATTATTGTTGTTGGATGTTGAATTGTTGAGGTGATTGTATGATGCTACTGACTACACTTGCAATACTGATAGATATCATTTGATATTTAACCTAGCGAGGAAATTCAACCATCAAATAAAAATGCGTATTACTACTAAAAAAATAAATAATTATAACTCTTAACCATCTAACTATCAACAATACCAATACCACAAAAATTAAACACACCAAAGCAACGCAGCCAATTGAAATTATCACATTGTGATATATTTGGGTTATATTTTTTGAAAATAACTCATATATATTTTATATTTTTATTTATAATTTTCAAACAACAACAACAAACAACTAATTATACTTATTAATAATTAACTTTTTTGTTTTCACAAATAAAGATGTGGAGGTAATCAATTTTAAATAATACAATTCCACATACATTTATAATTATTATACATCCACTTGTTCGAAAAAAATATAAATTATAGAATAAATTTGAATGTATGATCGATCATATTCTAATATATCCTTCTTTATATTTATTTAAACAACTAGCACCATTCAAAAATCCATCATTAACACAACACACTTCCAATTCAAAAAGTAGATTTGAGCAATAACCAATACTATCAGATGACAAGCTTGAAATAGGTGGATATAATTTATATATAATGAATAATTCCAACATTAACTAACAAAAAAAAACATAATTACTATCTCTTGCTATCTATAATAATTTAACTATGCATATGATGTTGATATGATTGCGGTGCATGTGATTAACAAACAACAACAACCAAAGAAATTTGTATTTACAAGTTTTAAACAAATTTATTCCATCAGAGACTACAACAACTAATTATAACTAACTCTTTTATGTTTTTATCTTATCTACTTATCTATTTATCTAAACAACAGTTTGTTTGTTTTGACAGTCTAAAAGACGTTAAAAGTAAATCAATCAGGTATCATCTTTCATCTGATATCAATGTATATACATTAATGTGATTGACGTAATTAAGTAGCAATATCTGATTTAAGTAAAAAATAATAAATAAAAGTTATATTATGTACTTAACTTAATATCACACCCCATCATACAGCATACAAATAATAAATTAAAATATAATTTTATTATTTTGAGTGGTGTTGATAAAAATTAAATAATATAAATAAAACTAACACCTTATCGACAGTTTAATTGTAGAATAATGTTCAGTTGACAATTAATCACAAAACTATCGTTTTGATGTGTCATAAGCAATAACACAGTTTTTACACTGTATAATCTTTGATCAAGAGTAATTATGTAGAACAATTACTTTCTTGATAAGTTATATTTTATCTTTGAAAAGATAAAGATAGAGTTTGAAAATTAATAAAATACACTAATAATTATAATTATAATAAAAAGAATAGTTGTTTAATTAATCAAAAAAATAAAATAAAAATAATTTCAATATTTTTGCAAAAAAAAATTAAATATTTATTAGTTTGAATATTACTTTCTATTGATATGATTTAATCTCTAAAAGAATTCATTGGAAAAAGAGTTTACAAATATAATACAATAGTTATTAGTCATTGACCACCAAAAAAAGCAAATATTTGGACCATGTTGATATCATACCGGTGTAGGAAATGAGAATATGAGGTTGAAAAAAGTATCTTTGCCGACTCAATAAAAAACAAAATAAAATTTTAAAATTTTATTCTTTCACAAGAAATATCTTGATTTTTGATTTTACATTTTTTAAAAAAACATCAATCCTGGCATGATTCATCACGAAAAAACAAAAGAAAATCTAAATATCTAAAAAAACTATGATGATAGCACCTCTTCTTTTCTATAGGTCCTCTTGTTTTTTTTATTCTAATAATTTTATTTTTTTAATTTTTTTTAGATTCTATTGGACTTGAAGTTTGGGAGCAAACAAGACACCAAACTTCACACCTGACCTTATTTTGATTAATTTTACGAATAACCGAAAAAGAAAAGAAACAACTAATTTTTTTATTCTATTACTTTAAAATTTTATTTGTTTTTTTTTGTAAATTATATAAATTTTATAACATTTTTATCCCAATCTTCCAGTCACACACAATCTTCACAATCAACACTCACCAACAAGTTTACAAATTTTTTTAATCTCATAAATAAATTTGTTTGTATTTTTTTCTGTGTCCATTGCTTATACCCCTATCTCACTCATTTATATATTTATTAGATTGTGAGTAAAGTAAAATTCTCAAGTGTAGTATAATATTTTGTGTTAATACTAGATTATTATTGAATTTTTTTGTATGTCTATTTCATTGTGAACTTGACTTTTTGTTTTTTTATTTCAATTCAATTCTGTTAGACCGAAAAATAATTATTCATAGTCATTTTTTGTATATTTTAAATAATTAGTTTTATTTTTTTCAAATTTCTAAACTTTAATCCAATAAGTTTAGATTTCATTACAAATGTCAAACACTTTAACAAATAACCCATCAGCAGCATCTTCAATCGAGAAACCATTCGGATCTGTTGGAATCAAAGCTGTAGAACAAAATATAATGATGAACCAATTCCCAATGGACAGAATTTCAGGTAGTTTATTGTCATCCAGTGGAAAAACAAAGGGTACCAATACAACTCTTTCCGATAAACTCTATGCTTGGTCAACAATCAACACTGAACATCAAGAAGTATGTTTATTTTAAAATAAAATTAAAAATTAAAATTTTATTTAAAACTTACTTTTTACAAAAACATATAGCTTAGAAGAACAGCATTGGACTTATTTACTGATAAATCAGTGTTCCAACCTTCATCAACAGAAACCAAAGAGAGACAAAGAGTTATAGTTTTGAACCAACTCCAATATTTCTTATCAAAGACCTTTGGAAAAGGATTGATCAATATTTCTGATCTTAGAAATGATCCATCCAAGATTTGCGCCCTTATGGATTGCGCATCTCAATTCGATGATAACAGTATGTAGCATATTATCAATACTTTACAATCAAATTTCTTAAATTTACATTAATTCATTTAAAATAGGTTTCATGACTAAAATGGTTGTAAATAACTTTTTGTTTGGAGCTGCTGTTTTCAATTTGGGAACTGAAAAACATCATAGATTGTTACCCGATATTCAGAGTGGAAAATTGGTATGCTTATAATTTTTTGAATTCCATTTATGAATGAATATTAATTACATATTATTTTACAAATAGTTGGGATGTTTTGCAATGACAGAACTTGGACATGGATCAAATGTTAGATCATTGGAAACCACTGCTACTTATATTCCAGAGACCAATGAGTTTGTAATCCAAACACCAAAGAGAACTGCAACTAAATGGTGGATTGGAAATGCCGGACACGCTGTAATGGCTTCTGTATTCGCTAGATTGATTGTCAATGGCGAAGATCAAGAGGTTCATTGTTTCCTTGTTCCAATTCGTCAACCCAATGGTGTCGACTTGATGCCAGGTGTCAGAATCGGTGACTGTGGTCCAAAGTTTGGAATGAACGGTGTCGATAATGGATGGATCCAATTCGAGAGTGTCCGTATACCATACGACAATCTCTACGATAAATACGGTAGCATTGTCAATGGTGTCTATCAATCGCCAATCGCTAATCCATCGCGTCGTTTCGCCAATATCCTAGCACAAATGATTACCGGTCGTATTTCCATCTCGTACGGATGTGCCAGAACCCTAAAAGTTGCTCTAACCATTGCCGTTCGTTACTCCAACAAAAGAGTGCAATTCGGTGCAACTCCAACCGCACCGGAAACCCCAATCATTGAGTATCCAACTCACTACACAGTATTGATGCCAATGATTGCAACAGTCTATGCTTTCGATGCTATCAAGTCCTATCTATGCAAACGTTTCTGTGAGCGTAGCGATGAAGGAGAAATCCATGTTCTTGCATCCGGTCTCAAGGCAACTATCTCTCACTATGTCACAACCTCCATTTTAGAACTCAGAAGACTATGTGGTGGACATGGTTATTCAAGTTATTCAAGATTTAGTTCCCTCATTGCATCAAACGATGTTGCTAGAACCTTTGAAGGGTAAATAATCAAAATGATAAGAATCACACACTTTTGATATAATTACTAATCTTTTATTTTCTCTTTTTTTTAAAGTGATAATACATTGTTATATCAACAAGTAGCAAAGGATTTATTGATTCAATTCAAGAAGGAGTATTCATCCAACAAGTTCACTGGTACATTAAAGTATTTGGGTAAGAATACAAGTTTGTTGTTGAGTGAACATACCTACACTACCTACAGAAGCGACAAAGATCATCTTTTGAACCTACAATTCCTTAGATCTTGCATGGAGTACCGTTCATCGAAATTATTAATCGATTCAGCCAACACTGTTTCCAAAGCATACAAGGTATCAAAAGATGCATTCGATTCATGGAATCAATCTTGTATGTACTTGAAATATTCTTATAATCATCATATTCTATATTTATTAATTAAACATCTTAATAATAATATAATATAACAGTGGAAACATTGATTCATTTAGCAAAATCACATACTGAAATGATGATTGTTAGCAAATTCATTGACTCTGTAAAGAATGTACAGGACAAAGAAACCAGAGAGACTTTGAAGAAGCTCTGTCAACTGTATGCTTTGAAATGTATCCGTGAGGATATGGAATTCTTTAGAAACACCAATTATCTAAAGAAGAATAAGGCCAAAGCAATTAGCAAATTGATTTCATCGTTGTGCCACGATCTCTCCAAGCAATCATTGGAGTTGGTAGCTGGTTATGGTAATGAAGAGGCACTCATCGAATCTCCACTCGGTCAACTCGATGGTGATCTGTATGAGAATATCTGTGCCAAAGTAGGTCTATTCTCAAAGGATAATTATCCACAACATATTTTAGATGCTAAACTTTAGATAATAATTTGAATAAAAATAAATAAAAATATCAATTTTAAAAAGATATAATATCCACATATAGCCATGGTAAATTCCTACTTAGATAACTCGTTATTCAACAAAAAAAAAATTAAAAAGTGATGGTTTATTAAAAAAATTTCAATCAAAAAAAGAAAGATTCAAAACCATCCAATCAGGTTAGCTCAGCTGGCAGAGCGTAGGTCTCATAATCCTAAGGTCGTGAGTTCAATCCTCACACTTGATAGCTATTTTTAAAAGCAAAATCCCTCAATGCGCGCATTTTAAGCATTTTTTTTTTTTTTTTTTTTTTTTTTTTTTTTTTTTTTTTTTTTTTTTTTTTTTTTAAAAATCTTTTCTTTTTTTTTTTTACACTTTTTGGACAGCATTCAACTACAGTTATTCTAATCATCCTACTAATACTACTTAAAAAAAAATACTTCTCAACTTACAAATTAATAACAACTTGAAACAATAATATTAATTTTTTAGGCTATTTCTCTCTTCCTGCAAAAAAAAAAAAAAAAACTTTATTGTTTTATTCCAAAACTGAAGCAAATTAAAAAATTTGAGTGGTTGACCTCCAAATTTTAATTTTCCATCTGTCACTGAATGGAATTAAACAATTATTAAAACTTGAGTACTATTTCAAATAATAATTTACTATAGTAATAATACTTACAATGTGTTTTGTATTAAATTAAACTATTATTAATTTAATATATTGTTAATAAAAAGAAACAATAGATTGTTAGTTCTATTGTCAAAACAACGATCAAAATTTCATAAATTAAAATAATGTTTTAGTTTGCTTTAAAATTTTTAATTAAATTAAAGTTAAACCATTTTTTGTATGATTTCAGTTACAAAAAACAAATAGTAATAATTTTTTGGAAATATAAAAAATCATTCTTTTATTATTTATCTCTATCCACATATCTCTAATTCCCTTGAAACAATCTCCAAAATGGATATTAATTTAAAAATATATATTATCTATTATTTTTTTTTGTGTATACAAATACTGAATGAAAACCATCTATTCAAAAGAGATTGAAAATTTGCTAATAAACATAAAGAATTTAAAAAATTATTTCAAAAAATTGAAGAAATAACTATAAATAAGAAATTTTAATAGGATATTACAAAATAACAATTTTTTAAATTCCTTAATCAATTAAAATATTTCTAAATAAAAAAAAAAATGAAGATTGTATTCGCTCTTTTTGTCTTGATGACAATTGCTCTTTCAAATGCTCACTACATTTGTGGTCCAAATTTTTGTAATCCAAATTACAGTTGTGTTTTTGATGGACACAATCACGGATGTATCTACGGATGTGGTGAAATGGTCACTCTCACCCAACGTGTTGTCAATGAATGGAATGTAGACTCCCAACACTTTGTTCAAGTTCAAGTTTCAATCACCAACCATGGTCCACACAATGTCAACAATGTCATTATTGGTGCTGCTGATGGTACTTTGAATTTAAGAGATCAAACCAGTGGTTCAATCTGGAACATCCAATGTCTCAGTTCGAATGACTTCACTCTCCCATCTGCAACTCCAACCATCAATGTTGGACAAACCTTCAATTTCGGTTACATCAACAAGAATTGCATGGCAAACCTCTACATTAAGAACATACATTTGATCTAGATTATTTTATTTTAATTAGAAATAAATAAAGAATCAAACCTATTTATTTATAAAAATTAATTAAATTGCTCTTTATGTAAAAATTTTTACATAAAGAGATTCTTTAGAAGAATTATTTATTTGATATCTAGAATAAATTTAAATAATACTATCGATTTAAATATAAGATTTTATACTTCGACCAATTTTTTCTTTAATAAATCGACACCTCATATAAAAAAACAGAGATATATAAAAGTTTGAAAAAGGACTATCTTCAAGTGTTACTATGATTTGAAATCAACAATAGCAGCATGATAAACTCTGAGTAAGGTAAAGAGTAAATCATTATTTTTGTACAATCTATACATTGAAACAAGTGATAAAAATTAATTGTATCACTTTTTATTATTGTTTGTGAAATATGCTGGTGGCATAGAATGAGAGAGTGAACTACTGTGAATATAGTCATTTGTTGAGGTTGTTGTTGTTGACAATGTTGTCTGATTGCTGCTGTTGTTATCTTTAACATTGTTGTTATTGTTACTGCTATTTGATTGATCTCTATTGTAAAATGGAATGGCACCGGCTGACGATGACACTTTTGCACGTTTCTGTTTCTTTATTCTATCGAGATAGTCGACAATGTCGAATTGGTCGATACTGATTGCATATGACAAGCTTTTCTCTATCGATATCTGCTCGGGATACTTTGAATAGAGATACTTGATCACTGCCAAATGACCTCTTTGCGATGATTCGTCGAAACAACATTGAACATTCTTCGCTAGTAACGGCTCACAATTGAATTCCTCCACAAACAGCTTTACGATTTCCAACTTTCCAAGCTTCGCTGCCGTCTGAATCGCTTGCTCCCTATCGGCCAATCCAAATTGTTCGGATCTCTTCTCCATCAAGAATCTTACCACACCCAGATGTCCATTCAATATTGCACTATTCAGTGCTTTAGCAGTGCATCCTTCACTTCTATTCTCATGGAGATACTTCACCACTTCCAATCTTCCGAATTGACATGCTTGATTCATGCATTCCACCGTGTAACAATCGACGCCAAGTTGTTGCTCCGCCAGGAATTTCAATGTTTCCAGATAGCCACGAGCAGCAATCGTTGCCATATTGAATCGTACGATCGGTAGTTGTCCAGTAGCTACAGTGGTTCGATCGAATTGTGATGTCAGAAGTTTGAGGATATCGAGGTTACCCTTCTCGGCGGCATTACTTAGAGCCACCCCTGTGAAACTTTCCTTACGTTGCACCAAGAGGAATTGAATGACCGCTAGATTATTTGAGAATTTCGATGCCTCTTCTATTATATTTTTGGAGCAACCCTCTGTGCGATTGTAATGTAGGAACTCCACCACCGACAAATGTCCATTGGTAATCGCACCATTCATCGCACTCGTCGAACATCCTTCAGTGCGATTCTCATGTAAAAATCTAACTATGTGCAAATGTCCATTTGTAGCTGCACCGTTAAGTGCCATTACTGAACATCCTTCGGTGCGATTGTAGTGTAAGAATTTAACTAATTCCAGATGTCCGTTGGTAGCAGCGGAATTGAGTGCTGCAATACTACATTCGTATTTGGCACGTGTTAGATATTCAACGATTCGCAAATGTCCTTTGACAGCTGCGAAATCCACTGCATCTTTCGTGCCCCTAATAATATTGGAATCGACCAAACTAACAACGATATCGGTATGTCCTTCTAGACTGGCGCGATCTATCGCTGCAGGAGTGGCGCCTTCCGTTCTGTTGGCCAGCAAGAATCTAACCACTTCCAAATGTCCATTGATGGCGGCTTCATCGAGTGCCAACTTTGATGCTCCTTCACTTCTACTCTTCGAGAGGAAAACAACGACGTTCAAGTGTCCAGCGGATGCCGCAGCATTCAATGCTGCTTTTGTCGCTGGATATTTGTGTTTGGTGAGAAATTCAACCACTGGAAGATGACCGGCTGCTGATGCATTGTCGACGGCATCGCTCGTTCCTTTGTATCCATGTTTATAGAGATAGGTGATCAGCTCCAGTGACGGGTTGTACGAAGAGTGGTCGAATATTGGTAGCTGACGATGAAGCTCAGTGTGTTTACTGGATTTCAAGAGTTGTACGACCAGTTCCCAATCCGTACAATATTTCAGCAGTGAAACGAAACAAGTAGTTGACCATCCATATAACGATTCCTTTCTGTCCAACTTGTACTTTAGCAAGGAGAAATGTCTGTTCGATGTGATCCATTCTACATTGTAAATTTCATTATAACGTTTTCCACCTGTCTGACTGTTGATTGCTAAAGTTAAACCATTGGAGGTGCTGTTTATCAACGTTGATGAATTTCCATTGGTTGTTGTTGTTGTTGGTTCAATGGAAATCGATTCAGCTGCCAGCCAATTGGAACACCTTACAAAACCGAAAATAATTGAAAATACAAATTGATTCTTTAATATCGATTTCAAGAGCATTGTTCTTCTGTGGAACTCATCTATGGCACTCGATTCTAGTGAAGCACCATTCTTTGATCTCGGTGATGATTGTTGTTGTAGTGGATTGCCATCTGAACTTGACTTCATAAATAACCTCTTAAAAGAATTATTGATTGAATTTATATCTCTTTGATTACTCATTATCTCTTCATTTACTACTCTATTCTTCTTTTTACTACTACTATTACTACAACTACTGCTATTTCTACTCCTATTGTTATTTTCAATATTTCCAATGTCAGTTTTTTTTATTTTAAAATTATTTATAATGTTTTTTAAACTCATTTTTTTATTACCAATAAATAATAATAGTAATAGTATAATATATATATATATATATAAAGTAATTATCCAATTTTAGTTATATCCTTTTTTTTTGAATTAAAATTTTAATTTAAAATGGATAATGAATGAATGTCAGATTAATTAAATAAATTCGAAATCAAATCAATTTGTTTAAAAATATAATTAATATACTATATATTATAAATATCCATTATAATAAAAATAAATATATTATTTTTTTTTCACTAATTAATAAATTTGATTTGAAATAGCGATGTGTGATTGTTGAAAATGTGTTTATTTTTTATAATAATAGAAAAAAAAATATTTATTTTTAAACAAAAAATAATTAAATGTAATATTTTTATTTTGATTGTGATTGATTTGCTATGTTATGATTATTTTTAAATTTATAAATCATTATTAGATTCTAACCTTCCTCTACTCACCACTATCTTTTTGTTGATCAACAACACTGATTTGATCGCTACTAAATACGGGAAATCTTTAATTATAAAGAGATTAAAGTTTTTAAAAAATACTGTTTACTATGATTTAATATTTACAAACTCAGACAATCTGACTCCGTTGATTCGTTTATTGATCTATGGTTATAATTTACAAAATAATATTACAAAATAACTATAAAACAGGTTATATATTTAAAAATCTATTTTTAAAAAAAACAAAACAAAACTAATCAGACAGAACAAAAATAAACTGTGAAAAACAAAAATAAAAAAAAATCAAAAAATAAAAAAAAATTGGAATATTTTTTTTTGGACCACATAAAATATTGTTTATTTTGTTATTAGGTTATTTTTGTTTATTGTTAGTATGTAACTTTATTATTTCTTATGAGGAATAGTCAAAAATTCAGAATTTCACCTTTGATCACAAACAACACTTCGAAGGTTCATCGTCTCGGAACAATAAATAACTCTTTTTTTTTTTGCTTTGTTTGCTTCTGTTTGTCTCTTTCTACATATAATAATTTATACATCTAGTTATAATTTTTTGCTGTTTGTTGTTTGTTGTTTGTACCATTCTTTATAAAACATTAATATCTACAAACACTTAGCATATATAAAACAATTGATTATTAAGTAAAAAAAAAAATAAAGCCACATATCATCGTTGAACCAATAATAAATGGGTTTAAAGTTTTTTTTTTTTTGTGCAAATTAGAGTAAAAACAAAACACACTAACTTCTTATATCTTTGTAAATAGGATTGTATCAGATTCTAACTATATAGATTCGAAAAGACATTGATTGTTTGTTTGATCCATCCACAATCCGCGTGTTGTATTTACAAATGTGTGTAATAATATCTGTTTCTAGTTGGAATGGTTGTTTATTAGTGTGTAGTTAACGTGTTTTTGGTGGCTACAAATGGTATCGGTCCCTAAACCCTCAAAAAAAAAATGTAATGAAGCAAATTTATGAGAAAAACAGAATGTATAAAACAAAAAAAAAAACCAAAAATGGGTGGCATCCAAACAAAATAATCAAATGTTTAGCAAAAAATCATCAGCAAACATCATGATCCACGGTTTTTCATTTTAAAAAAATGGAAACCATTAATAAAATTACCATAACTTTGAGTTGTCTAAAATTACTATCGGAGAGTTAAATAAATTTCACTCTTTTAAAATTTTCATTATGAGATTGTAAATAAAAACAACTACCAAGACTTGCCCATTATTAAAATACAAGGCTATCTTCTATTTGTTTATCTTTGAATCTTCATAACCAAATATTATGTATAGTGACATATTGGGTGATAATGTTCCAAAATGTTGAGAATAGGACAATTCAAAAAAGGTGTTAAAATAATAAACACTAACTACACTTTGTATGAGTGTGAAAATGGTTATTTATGATCATGATCCTTCATCATTTACAATTCCATTTTTATTTAACCATTTTAAATGAAAAATCTAAATCACTGATTACTCTTCAATACCATATCATTCCTCCTTTTAATCTTGTAGTTGTGGGTGGTATTTAAAATTAAGAAACATTGTAACAAGTTTTTTTGTGTTTAGTGTTATGGCTTATTTTATTTTTCCCAATTTAATGAAAATGGCCTCCACATTAGAATTCCAGAAGGTTTTGGTTAGATCTTAAGCCTACAAAACGTTGTTGATGGTTACTGGAATTAAACCTCTATTACCAACTAACCACCCAGTTATTTGAATTGAATTTCACATGGCTTCGTAACTATCTATCCATAGAATATCTCTAAAACCATATAAGATATTAGATAGAAAATATCAGAATAAAAAAAAAACTATAAATATGTCACTTATTCGGACATTTAAAACCATCAATCAAACAAATAATATTTGTAAAAAACAAACAATTAAATTTATTTATTTATCTATTTAAATCAACAATTAAAATGAAATTCTTATTGTCAGTAATCTTATTTTTGGCAATCGCTGCATCTGTCAATGGTCATGGATACACTGTTTATCCACCAGCTCGTCAACAAATTTGTGTTAGTAACAATCAAAACAGTATTTGGTGGGTAAGTTACTAAAAGAAAAATACAAATATACTATAATTGAAAAGATTTTAACTCAAAAGTATTATATTTTTTAGCCATCTGATGGATCTGGTATCGTTGATAGCTGGTGTAGAAATGCTTGGAATGCTGTCTATAACAAGTACAACCAAAACCCATCTGCTGCTCAAACTCAATTCGTTCAAATCAATGAATATGCTGTCTTGATTCCAAACTACGCTCAAGGATTGCCAGCTCTCAAGGCTGCAGTTCCATCAAACATCTGTGGTGCTGGTGCGTCCAATGCCAACGCTCAATTCGGTGACAAGTCTGGTTTCTCGATCGTCAACAACTGGCCATCCACCAAAATCAACGCTCCAGTCGGTGCCAACTCTGTAAACATCACCTTCACCTGGTGTGCCACCGCGGTCCACAATCCAAACTGTAAGTTGAATATAACAAAAATTATTAAAAATTAATTCTTTACTAATAGATAATTAAAAGACTGGGAATTCTACGTTACCAAAGCTGGATTCAACGGTCAATCTGCTCCAATCACCTGGGATGATTTGGTTTTGAGCTTTCCACTCAACAAAATCTCCAAGCCGTAGCTGGTCAATACCCAGGTTGCTCAGGAAGTGCTTTGTTCAAGACCGCTTTGACCTTGCCAGCTCGTTACTCACAAGCCACCATCGTCGCTCGTTACCAAAGAATCGACCCAGCTGGTGAATGTTTCATCAACTGTTCTGACTATGTTTTTATCAACTAAATATACATTGTCGTCATCTACCAACCAATTTGTTTACTATCTTCTTTAAAAAAATATCAACAAATATGCATGCAAAACATATCAGTCCATTAAGCTTAATGGGTCTTAAGATCAAATACAAACAAAAAAAAAAAAAAAAAATCTATTTATTTAAACAAAAAAATAATAAACATAACATACATTTATTTATTATTTTCTTTTACCTTTTTACTTTTATAAATTTATATTTTTGATTTTAGTGATCAATCACACACCAAAAGTTGCTATCATCGAGATGTGAGACAAGAGTTTTTGACCAAAACGGTGAATAATCTGTTTTTTTTCTAAAATTCTACCAGTATAATCAGTATAATGACTGTTTTTTTTTGCACAAGTCAAATTTAGCAGCGAACCTAAAATTAATTAATAACTGAAAAAAAAAACAAAAAAAAAAAAAAAAACAAAAATATCTTAACTTTTTTTGTTGTCCATCAATCTTTCATTCTTACATTTTTTTTTTTTATATAATCATAAGTTGTATCATTATTAATATTAGATTTATTATTTATTCATCAAAAGTATAGTAGTAGTTGTAACATTATGAATAATCCAACATCAAAAGTAGAACTTAGATTCCAGTGTACTGGTCTGACCAACAAAGATACATTTTCAAAATCTGACCCACAGGTATTTGTTTTCAGTCAAATCGGAGACTTACCACCAGTCAGAGTTGGAAACACCGAAAAGATCAACAACAATTTAAATCCACAATTTAAAACACCTGTTTACATTGGTATGTTTGTTATTACTTACAAATTATTTACAAATCTAATATCAATTAAACAAATAAAATAAAAAGATTACTTTTTTGAAATTTCACAAAAGTTAACTTTAAGTGTTTATGACATTGACAGTGGAACATTCGATAAGGATAATGATTTCATCGGTACTGCTAATGTTGGTTTGGCATCGATTATCTCTTCACCGGGATCGACATTCAAGTCGCCATTGAAATCGAAACACGGTCATCATGCAGGTTACATCATTGTCTCTGCAGAGATCATCAGAACCTCCAAACAACGTCTTAGCTTCCAAATGAGTGGTGATCACTTTGACAAGAAAGATCTCTTTGGTAAATCCGATCCATACTACACCATCTCCAAGAACAGTGCAAATGGTTTCGTTCAAGCTTTCAAGAGTGAAGTACATATGAATGTATGTAATTACGATATTGTTGTTTTGTTTGTTATTTCATTAATATGTTTTTTTTTTTTTCAGACTTTAAATCCAGTTTTCAAATCAGTTGATTTAAGTTTGGATGATTTAACTGGTGGTGATATGAAGAGAGAATTATTGTTTAGTTTCTACGATTACGATTCGATTGGAAAGCACGATTTCATTGGATCGTTCTGTACCAATGCAGAGGCGTTAGTTTCTACACCAAACAAATTCGCTTTGATCAACCAGAAAAAGAAGGAAAAGAAATCGAGCTACTCCAACTCGGGAACTGTCGATATCACTCGTGCACTGATCACTCGTGAGCCATCGTTTGTCGACTACTTGGTCGGAGGCTGTGAGATCTCTCTGGTTGTCGGTATCGATTGTACCGCATCGAATCTCACCCCAACCGATAAGAACAGTTTGCACTATCACCATCCAACCATTCCCAATGCCTATGCCAACGCTATCGTCTCGATTGGCAACGTGCTGACACCCTATGACTACGACGGAATGGTACCGGTCTATGGTTTCGGTGCTACCATTCCACCAAACGACTACAAGACCGACGATTGTTTCGCAATGAGTTTGGATCCAAACAATGTCTACGTGCGAGGTGTCGAAGGTATTCTAGACGTATACTACAGAAACATTACCAAAGTCGATTTCAGTGGTCCAACTTGTTTCGCTCCAATCATTAACAACACTGCTCGTATGGCATCGGAATCGAATCAATACAATCAAAAGTATACTATTCTATTGATGATTACTGGTATGTACATCTCAGATAAACTTTACTCTATGAAGCTTTATTATTTTCAACAAATAACTAACTTAACCAATCATTTATTATTTTTATTGTTGTTATTTAGATGGTGAAATTATGGATATGGAAGCAACAGTTCAGGCAATCATAAATGCATCTTCGAAAGCATTATCGATTGTTATTGTTGGTGTAGGAAATGCTAATTTCGATAGTATGGTCCAATTGGATGGTGACGATGGACTGCTTTCGAATTCGACATCCAGAGCATCTAGAGATATCGTGCAGTTTGTTGCTCACAGAGATTTCAAGAATAAACCATTCCACATGTTGGCAGAGGAAACACTCAAGGAGATTCCAAGACAATTTATGGATTACATGTTGGGTCATGGAATCAAGCCAAACCCACCAAGACAATACGTCCCACAACAGATGCCAGTTGTAGTTCCAGAGGTTGTTGCAGTAGTTCAACCAGTCCCCGTAGTTACACCAGTAGTAGCCAACGAATCAGCTATTACATCACTACCACCACCACCACCACCAACAGATTTAGTTCAAGCTGTTTCCACTTTGGAAATAGATGAACAACCTCAACCAGCAGAAACAGACGACAATGTACAACAACAACAAATTAACCCATCAGACAATTCTAATAATAATAATAATAATAATCCAATTGTATCATTAGAGAAAGCAGGTATTGTGACATCGATTGACAATCCAGTTGTGTCACTCGATAAACCAGGCATTGTCACCACTCCGGAGAACCCAGTGATTTCACTCGATAAGGATGGTGTCGTAGCTGTTGAGATCCCACCACCATCAGACTGTGTTGAACAAGACAACTCAACAACAACAACAACAGTATCTGTTTCTGTATCATCATCGTCTTAAAAGATCAAAGAATATTCAATATTTTCATTTTTTAGATTTTGGACAAGCTAGGCAAAAATAAAATTTGAATATTTTTTTTAAAAAATTTAAGATCTAAATTTGGTAATAGTTAAATTTCATTCGATTTTTTGATGATCTGTGTCATGTCAGACCCCTGCATTTTGCTGTGTGTTTTTTTTGTATTATTTTCTTAATCTTTCTGATTTTTGATTTCACTAAAAACACAAAACCGTTAAGATGATAATGATAATTAATCACTCTATTTTTAAAAAACAAAAAAAAACAAACACTTTATTATTCTAATATTATATTACTTATTTATTTAAACAACTAAACTAAAGTTAACTTTAACTAAATAATAAAAGTTATAAAAAAATGAATCCAATTTCAAAAGTTGAATTAAGATTTCAATGTAAAGGATTAACAAATAAAGATACATTCTCTAAATCAGATCCTCAAATTCATGTATGTACTATTCATTTCTTCGATCTTTATCATTATTAGATAGTTTATATATTTATATTTATAAATAAATACATTAATATATATAGGTATTTCAAAGAATAGGTCAAGATCAAAGAACACTTGTTGGAAAAACAGAACAGATTGATAATAATTTGAATCCTGTATTTAAAACACCTGTTTTCGTTGGTATGTTTTATCAATTTGAAAAAGAGAGCAAACAATCAATCAATTGAATAGTTGCAATTAACAAAGGTTTTAATATTTTTTTTATTTTTTTAGATTATTATTTTGAAATTGCACAATATCTTAGATTTGTTGTATATGATATCGATGATGGTGTGTTCGATGTAAACAACGATTTCATTGGTGATACCGAGTGTTCTTTGGCATCGATCATTGCTAGTCCAGGCTCGACCTTTACTGCGATGCTAAAGTCAAAGACTGGTCATCACGCCGGTAACATCACAATAACGGCAGAGATCATCAGTCAATCGAAACAGCGTATCTCTTTCGATATCTGTGGTCACCATCTCGATAAAAAAGACTTTTTCGGAAAGTCTGATCCCTACTACACCATCTCAAAGAACACACCGACCGGTTTCGGACAGGTATTCAAAAGTGAAACTCATTTCAAAACATTGGATCCCGTTTTTAGACCTGCCGATCTCAGCATCGATGAACTAACCGGTGGAGACATGAAAAGAGAGTTACTATTCAATTTCTATGATTATGATAAAATTGGTAAACATGATTTCATTGGTTGTTTTACTGTATGTATTAAATAATTATCAAGTTAACAAATAGTTTGCTAACTTGTTTGTTTTTCAAAAATATAAGACAACAGTTGAACAATTATTATCAGCTGAGAAAGTGGAATTTGCATTGATCAATCAAAAGAAGAAAGATAAGAAATCAAACTATAAGAATTCAGGTGTTGTCGATATTATTCGTGCATATTTATATCGTCCACCAGAGTTCACTGATTATTTGATTGGTGGATGTGAGATCTCGTTGATCGTTGGTATCGATTGTACCGCATCGAATTTACCTCCAAACAACACAAAGAGTTTGCACTACAAGGATCCAAACAGATTGAATCCGTATGGTGATGCTATCCTTTCGATTGGAAATGTGCTGGCACCTTACGACTCTGATGGAAACATTCCAGTCTATGGTTTCGGTGCTCTGCTTCCAGGAACTACCAGAGTCAACCACTGTTTTGCCATGACACTCAACGATACCTACCCAGAGGTACGTGGTGTCGATGGAATCATGAACGTATACTACCAGAACATAAACAATGTAACTTTCAGTGGTCCAACATCATTCAGTCCACTCATTAGACATGCAACTCAGTTGGCATCAGGATCGAATCAAACCAACCAAAAATATACAATTCTCTTAATTATTACTGGTAAATATAATTATTAAATATCAAATATTGATAGTATAAACTAATTATTTATTTATCAAAATAGATGGTGAAATCATGGATATGGAAGCAACTATCGATAGTATCATTCAAGCAACTTCTCAACCAATTTCAATTGTTATGTAAGTTGTTTTAATAATTTGAAAAAAAGAAGAAATAATCTAATAGTATTCATTTTATTTTATAAGTGTTGGTGTTGGTAATGCAGATTTCTCAAGTATGGTTAGATTGGATGGTGATGATCAAGCACTTACCAATGGAATAAACACTGCCAGCAGAGACATTGTACAGTTTGTGGCACACAATAATTACAAGGACAAGCCATTCCATTTATTGGCTGAGGAAACACTCAAGGAGATTCCAACTCAATTCATAGAATATATGAGAAAGCATGGTATCAAACCAAATCCACCAAGACAATATGTACCACAGCCATCGATGGTGTTTGTTGATCAACAGCAACAACCATTACAGCAACAGTTTGCAAATATTCAAATCAATCCTTCTGGTGATCAACCTGTATCACTTGAGAAGCCTGTTAGTTTAGAAAAACAACCGACTCCACCTACTTCCTCACCGGTACTGGAGCCAGCAGCACCAATTCCTGCACAACAACCAACTCCACCTACTTCCTCACTGGTACTGGATCCAGTAGCACCACAACCACCTTCACCACCAACAACAAACAATGAAAATACAGCAACTACCACTACCACAACAGAAACCTCAACATCAGGCACAAAAGTTATATCTCCATAAAATCTGTACACTACTAGATCTAATAATTTTAAAATAGCTATCGATTAATTATAAGCTAACATCTTCACTTGAACCATCTACAATACCGTAAAAATAACAACAAATTCAAACTTGGATACACAAAGAATATTCTTTATTGATTTTAGAATAGAATAGTAGGGTTTAAAGCAAAATCAATATCTCTGATTCTCTTTTCCAAATTTTCATTTTGATTTAATAGAACAAGTGTTCTTTGTATTAGATGAAATATTTTATTGAAGCATTTGAAGAAGAGTTTGGTACAGGTGTAGCAGTTAGAGCAAGAGTAACAGATAGAGAAGGTGAGAGTAGTTGTTTTTCTTGTTCTTCCACGCTTTGCAGGTGCAGGTTCAAGTGTTGGAGTTTGTACATTTCCAAACATCGTTTGGGATTTGGCAATGAACTTTTCGTGGAGAGTGGCCTTATCCTGATTTGATAAACTAAGACGCTTGTAGTTATCGTCAAATAGTCGTCTAATTGTAGGTTCGTCAACATCAATCTCTCTTAAAACCTTAATAATGTGCTTGCAATAGTTACGGTAGTAGCCATGCTTAGATTGCATGTTAAAGGAGTCTATAGACATCAACTTGACCATCTGCCCAGTCTTTTCTTTTATAGTAGCGTTGGATTGGTCATACCGAAGTTTACTGTCTGTGGTTGAATACAACACCGTATTCTTAAACATCTGTTTGAACAGGGCAATGAACACATGCAGAAAGCAAGGATACTGTATCTTTGAATCACATTCGAAAATAGGAGGTTGCACTTGGCCATATAGCTTACCATTGACTTCTCCACCAAGATCCTTCAATGCTTTCGGTGAAAAGACTGTCATCGTGACCAACTATCTTACTACCTGGAGGTTCAAGTTTGAACTTGACATCGCCAACCTCTACATTTGAACTGTAGTCTCTTAAGAGACTCCAAATGTCGATTGCCCCTTTATTCATTTGTCACAAACAAATCATAGCTTTCCTTGCCATAGTATAGAAGAAAAGGTTGTTGGCTTGCTCATATTAGAGTTGGCCTCGATTGCCTCTCGAAGTTTCTCAAACATAGTTTCCTGCTTTTAATGTTGGAGTTGCAAAGCGTGTCATTTTAATAAAGAATAGTTATTGTAGAAGAAAAAAGGGTTTCTGCAATTTTATTTTTTTTCAATTTTTGATTTATTTTAATATGGGTTTAGTGGAAAAAAAAAATTTGCAAAAAAAATGTGAAAAATGGATTTCATGAGGGGGTTTCTGCTGGTAGACCAAAATGCTCTGTAACCTCTCAAATTAATTAAAAAATTAAGGATCTAAAAAATAGAATTTATTGAGTTAAAAATTTCGAAATTTTAAGAATCTTTGAAAAAAAAGGACCAAACAATGTAATTTGAATAAAAAAAACAACACTTTCCAATATTTAGATTTTCAGTGTGATCAGGTGATCCCTCATTTAAAAAATGAGGGAACACGTATCAGTGTTCAAAATATAAATAAAAGATGATCAAACTCATCATTCTCCATAGTAAAATGTTTAAAATTAAATCATTATTATTTGCTTCGCTGTTGGTTGTAGGCTGTTTAGTGATCAAAGGGTCATCAGCTGACTCTGGTTGTAAGCTATTGTCTGAAGGTAACTACTATGACTTTAGTGCATTGTAAATATTGATCATTTCTATTACCTTTTTGTTCTTGAATGCTTACTAACTTATGTTTCCTTTGTCTTTGATAAATTAGAGCAAATCAAGATTCTTGGTCTATCTTGGGTTCCGATAATTTCTACTATTACTTTAATATATGTGCTGCTTCAGCCAAGTGTGCAGTAACAGGTACAAATAGCGCTGTGTGTCAGTATTACAGGCCTTATACACTTACCTTTAATCTTGGTGTAGCCAATCAAACAATTTCTCCACTCGGTAAGCATACTTTGATCGTCGATTAAATGATTGATTTTGATGTGTAGCTAACTAACTACTTGTAATTTATATTCATTAACAAATTATAGACAATGGTGTTCAAGGTGGTTCAATTAAATACTATGATGGAGATGTGTGTCCAAATGGAACTGTTAGATCCACTGAGATTATGATGTTGTGTGGAACTGGAAATACTCAGGTATTAAGTGTTGAAGGTGTATCTTATTGTCAATATTTAATTAAAATGAGCAGTCCATTGGCATGTCCAATTACAAAGCCAACCACAGCTTCAACTACTGGTGGTAGTGGTGCATTCTCGACAACAGGTGGTAGTACAACCGATCAAAACATTATCACAACAACTGGAAGTATCACAAACAAGGGTGTTTCTACAACAGGTACCATCGGTACCAGTTCTGGTCGTATCTCAACAAGCGGGGGTATCTATTCCAATCAATAATAACCTAAAATAGAGATCTACTTCAATTTCATAATAAATAAATGGTTGCTCATTAGATTTATATGTAATCTTTAAAGACAGAGTTTAAATTGTAAATAAGTTTCAAATTACAATTTATGACCTGGAGCTTTGTTTTTAATTTATAATTTAGGTTACAGACGCTATTTTCGCTTTGTTTTATCCACTATTTGAAAATCGTCTCAATTTTTAAAGTATTTTTAAATATAATTTGTAAATAGTAATATGTCTTTCATTTTTTGAGAAAAATTATCAATATTAATAATTTCTCTTATTAGACTTCAAATCATATGAATCCACAATATCATTGTGTATTTTTTTTTGGATATTAATTCCTCCCGGTGTTGTTCCAATACATCAAATTTAGTAACAAATGAGTTTTAAACTTCAATCAACAAGCAAGTTTAATAATTTTTTGGAACACTTTCAGGATCGGATTATCCTTAGCCTAGCCATCAACATTTACATTGTTTCCAGAAATTTGGTTCGAATACAAAGAGTGGTGTTTCTTGAAAATCTAAAATTTTTAAAAAAACATTAACATTTTCCTCTGCTTTTATATAATTAAATAAAAAATTTATTTCTTTTCATTTTGATTGATCAAATCTATTGGTCAAAGTTTAAGAAGAAATAAAGAGCAATTTTACTTCTTTGAACAAAAACAACAACTTTCCAATAAGCAAATTTTGGTCCTGTTAATCAGGTGATCCCTCATTTAAAAAATGAGGGAACAGAGTAGTAAAATAAATAAAAGATGATCAAACTCATCATTCTCCATAGTAAAATGTTTAAAATTAAATCATTATTATTTTTTTCACTCTTGGTTTTAGGCTGTTTAATGATCAAAGGGTCATCAGCCCACTCTTGTTGTAATTTATTTTCTGGAAATGACTACTATGAATTTAGTGCATTGTAAATATTGATCATTTCTTTTAATCTTTTCGTTATTAACTTACTAACTTATGCTTTCTTTGTCTTTTATAATTCAGAGCAAATAAAGATTCTTGGTCTATCTTGGGTTCCGATAATTTCTACTATTACTTTAATATATGTGCTGCTTCAGCCAAGTGTGCAGTAACAGGTACAAATAGCGCTGTGTGTCAGTATTACAAGCCTTATACACTTACCTTTAATCTTGGTGTAGCCAATCAAACAATTTCTCCACTCCGTAGGTATATTACGATCAATAATATTGAATTTGTTGTGTAGCTAACTAACTACTTGTAATTTATATTCATTAATAAATTATAGACAATGGTGTTAAAGGTGGTTCAATTAAATACTATGATGGAGATGTGTCCAAATGGAACTGTTAGATCCACTGAGATTATGATGTTGTGTGGAACTGGAAATACTCAGGTATTAAGTGTTGAAGGTGTATCTTATTGTCAATACTTAATTAAAATGAGCAGCCCATTGGCATGTCCAATTTCCAACCCAAACACAACTTCAACTACTTGTAGTGGGGCCGGTCGTATCTACACAGGCGGTTGTATCTTTTTCATTGCAATAATTTGGTTATTATGGTAATAAGTAATTATTGGATAGGTAGTTTTAAAATAATTATATGTTTTGATTATTTTAATGATATTATAATCCTAATTACTTATTTTAAATAGCTCTCTATCAATTATTTTATGTATTTATCTTTTTAATATGATGAAATAGGATAAATAATAGTTTATTTTATAAATTTGATGAAATATAATAAATAATAAAATTAAAATAATTCTACCTATATTAATAATTGCTATAGATTGAGAACAGATACATTTTTTCAATTCTCGTTTCAATGGTCTGTTCTTTGTCTCTTGCGAATATTTTCTGATTTGCTGCTACCCGAACTGTCGAGAGGATAAATGTTAGCACTGAGTCTTGGTTTTGTCCAACAAGTAAAGTCGATACTTTTTGGGAGATATATTGCGAACCAAATTCAATTCTCTTGTTGTAGAATCATGTGACTGTATTTGAAGATGCTGATTCTCCAACAAAGCTTCTCACTGTTTGTAAATCACATTCTATTTTAGCATTATCAAGACAATCTATACTTTTGTTGGTTTTGAAAACGTATCTCGGTATACCTCCCCAATGCTCATAGTTAAACATCACAATATCTTCATTGATGGAAAAACCAATATTTTAGCAAGTTTAATCTCCTCAATTGACCATGTACTCATCCAATAGATTTTGCTATTATTGTTTCTCTAGACAAGTATTCAATAAGGTTAGCCATTATATCACTATTACCTGTCACTAGCACATTATCTGTAAAGAGAGTCTAAATAGGTTCAATTAGTCGAAGGTATGACTCTGGTATGAATATAGAGGTTTCATGGAGTCTATCCTGAAAGAGTAGTTGAAACAATCCTTTTGGGAGAGTAATAGTAGAGTTGGCTTCAGGAAGAGATAAATAGTTGAACCAAACTAATGTTGGTCTAATTAGATGAGTTTGTCCATCAAAGTTTAAGCACTTGATTCTTTAGTATCTAACTATCATCATGAAATTAAATAAATATTAAGTTTTTTTTTCAAAATTTATTTTATTTTCAAATTTTTTTATTTAATTTAGTAAAATTCTGTCTTAGTAATAGTTTATATAAATTCGAATGATATTTTATCTAATTTAAATTAGTTCAGCAGCAAATTAGATAAATTTTATTTTATAACTTTTTTTCTAAAAACCACTAATATTATTCTTTGATTATTTAAAAATGATAAGAAAACATAGTATTACTTCAAATGATAATAATGTACTACTCCAACTTGTCATGACACTCGATGATCATGATGATAAAGAGCAAAAAGCAATTGTACTACCATCTGGTGAATCAACAACGAAAGAACAACTTTTATTGAAAGTCATCGATCATCATCTAACTATGCTATTTCTTATTACAAGTTGGCATTAATTCTTAAAAATGAAAATCGATCATCTATCATTCTTCCATCGGGCCTATCAATGACAGAACAACAACTATACTTGAAATCAATAGAATGTAATCCAACTCATTCAAATTCATATCATAAACTTGCAATGACACTTTCAAGTGGTGAATCAATCACATTTAATGATGGACAATCAATGACACAACAACTACTATACTTGCAATCAATAGAATGTGATCCAGCCTTTTCTATTCCATACTCTAACCTTGCATTGATACTTTCAAATGGTGAATCAATCACACTTAATAATGGACAATCAATGACACGACAACAATTATACTTAAAATCATTAGAGTGTGATCCATCGGATAGAGATTCATATTTTAACCTTTCAAATACACTTTCAAGTGGTGAATCAATCACACTTCCAAATGGACAATCTGCGACAAAGCGACAATTACTATTAATAGCAATAGATTGTGGTCCAACAAATTCAAAATCTTATTTTAACCTAGCATTGACACTTTCAAGTGGTGAATTAATAACACTTAATAATGGGCAATCAATGACAGAACAACAACTATACTTAAAATCAATAGAATGTGATCCAAAACATTCAAAATCATTCTATAACCTGGCAACGAAACTTTCAAGATTTGAATCAATCACACTTAATAATGGACAATCAATGACACAACAACAACTATACTTAAAAGTAATAGAGTGTGATCCAAACAATTCAAATTCATATAATAACCTTGCAAATTTAACTCCAGAAGGTCATTCAGTAACACTTAATAATGGACAGTCAATGACTGTACAACAACTTTATTTGAAAGCAATAGAATGCAATCCAACACATTCAAATTCATATCATAACCTAGCATTGACACTTACAAGTGGTGAATCAATCACACTTATATAATGGACAATTCAATGACAGAACAACAACTTATACTTGAAATCAATAGAATTAGATCCAACCAATTCTGATTCATATTATAACCTTGCAACCACACTTTCAAATGGTGAATCAATCACACTTAATGATGGACAATCAATGACTCAACAACAATTATTATTGAAATCAATAGAATGTGATCCAACCCAATCCGATACATACCTTAAACTAGCAATTCCTCTATACCGAGATGAATCTATTACACTCAAAAATGGTGTTATAATGACAAAACAACAACTATTATTGGAATCTATAAGATTAGATCATACACAAGCATTGACATACAAACACATTGCATTCACACTTTTGAACAACAAACAAACGATTAAACTTCCAAATGGTCAACAAATGTCAAGAAGACAACTACTTCAAAAACAAGAGGTAAATAAAAATATAATTCTCCTGATTTACAATTTATATTTTCAAATACGAATAATATTCAAAAAATAAGTATAATTAAATACATTAAAAACAAAGTTAATAAATATTGTAAAGATTTAAGTTTTAACTTTATTTGATCTTTAATGTATATAGATATCTTAACATTTATCTTTATATGATTTTAAAATGTAGAATACTTTAACAAATTTTTTTTTTTAATAACTAAAGTGGCATACATTTTTAACAATTAAGATAAAGTGAATTGAATCTTTCCGAGCAATATTGCAAGATAGTGTGTTTTATTACCGCCAAGAAAAAAGTGTCACCTTCTCTGGGAGAGTCGACTCTGAGACCATAGAGTACTATCCTAAGGGGCTTTCACTGAAATATCCATGACATTTCTACAATAAATAACTTTTTTAATCCTTACCGCAGGCGGACATATGCTTTTATATGTTTCGACAACTGCAGGGTTCGAACCTGCGCCCCCGAAGGGAACAGATTTCAAGTCTGTCGCCGTAACCACTTGGCTAAGCTGTCACATTATGATATCAAGAAAAAAATTTAGTGAGCCTGGTTTCACTTTTGGAGAAAAAATTATTGATGTTACAGAAATATACAAGAATAAGAAATACCTTCTAATATGGAAACTATCAAGCATACTAACTAATCACAAACACTATAAATATCATACATTTGTAACTAAAAAAGTCGTCTTATATAATTTTATTCATATTAAATAACTGTATTTAGTGTAATTCTTTGTAACATTATAACTTAAAACTTATCTTCATTTTTTGTTTTTTAAAACAGACAAATTTACAACTAACCCCTCATCTAATATTATTTACATATCTCTAAATCCCTTGAAACAATCTCCAAAATAGATATTAAAATTAAAAATATATATTATCTATTATTTTTTTGGTGTACACAAATACTGAATGAAAACCATCTATTCAAAAGAGATTTATAATTAGCTAATTTTTTATCATACTTTATCTTTTAGATATTATTTTTTAAAATTGAAGAAAGAACTATAAATAGGAAGAAATTTTAAAAGGATAATACAAAATAAAAATTATTTAAATTCCTAAATCAATTAAAATATTTATTTCTAAATAAAAAAAAAATGAAGATTGTATTCGCTCTTTTTGTCTTGATGACAGTTGCCCTTTCAAATGCTCACTACATTTGTGGTCCAAACTTTTGTAATCCAAATTACAGTTGTGTTTTTGATGGACACAATCACGGATGTATCTACGGATGTGGTGAAATGGTCACTCTCACCCAACGTGTTGTCAATGAATGGAATGTAGACTCCCAACACTTTGTTCAAGTTCAAGTTTCAATCACCAACCATGGTCCACACAAAGTCAACAATGTCATTATTGGTGCTGCTGATGGTACTTTGAATTTAAGAGATCAAACCAATGGTTCAATCTGGAACATCCAATGTCTCAGTTCGAATGACTTCACTCTCCCATCTGCAACCCCAATCATCAATGTTGGACAAACCTTCAACTTTGGTTATATCAACAAGAATTGTCAAGCCAACCTCTACATTAAGAACGTTCATTTGTGCTAAATGATTTAAATAAAAATTATATCTATTATTAAAAAATAAACTTTTAGATTAGAGAAATAATATTAATTTGTTTAATTTTGATATAAAAGGATTCTTCTTGGGATTTCCTATCTATTTATCTTGTTTTATTTAAAACGGTACCTATTTTATAAAGATAATTTAAATTATATTCTTGGAGTATTTTAAATTTTTGTTTATATAAAGATTGATAATATAACTATCTATAATGATTAAAGAATATTGAAATAATAACAATCAAAAATTTTATATTAAAAACAAACTTATTTAATTAAACTCAAAAGATTTTAATCATTATGTCACTTTTACAAAAAAAAAGTTCACTGTGAAAATGATTTATTCTCTTGAAAAACAGAAAATTTGATATCATCATCGCAGTTAATTTTATATTGTATGAAAATATCATCATGAATATAAGTAATAAACCCGTATGTACAATATAATCAATATTAATTATTATAAATGAACTTGTCGTTTGTTAATAATTAATTAAGAAAAGCTTCAAATGGTTTATAGTATTCCCTTGCATCGCTGCTGGTTTGGGTACATGGCAGGTCTATAGATATCAATGGAAGAAAGATCTGATCGAGAAGGCAAAGGAAAACGTAGCTAAAGATCCGATCGTATTTAACGAGAATACAGTCAATGCTATTATGGCCTCTAAGGATTCACATATGGTCGGTGCATCACAACTCGAATTCCGAAGAGTACAACTCAAAGGTCAATATGCAAATGCCGAGAACAACATGCATCTAGGACCAAGAACCAACGATAACAACGTTGGTTACTATCTGATCACACCTTTCATTTTGGATTCAGGCGATAACAATGAAAACAACAACAACAACAACAATTCACGTTCAACTATCTTGGTCAATAGAGGTTGGGTACCAAACTATAAATTAGCATCAAATAAGGTAAATATCACATAAATGTTATCGTTAATCTAATAAGATATATAGATATTTATTAATATATATATATGTTCTATTTTAGGAAAGTAATAAGAATATAAAAGATAAGTTGGTTGAAATCGAGGGATTGGTTGGAAAGTTTAAGGAATCTGGAAGTGCTTTTACACCTGATAATCAACCTGCACAGAATCAATGGTATTATATTAACGCTGAGGAGATGGCAAGAGAATCAGGTGCATCGGCACCAATCATTGTCAATGCGCTCGATGAGACATTTGTAGGTGATCAACAACTAACTAGAGAGTTTAACAACTCACTTAAACGATTCAACACAAACATCGAATCAAACTTTTACAACAAGCATATGTCCTATATATTCACCTGGTATTCTCTTTCAGGTTGTCTATCATTCATCTATTATAAATACATGAGAAACATACCATTAAAGAAATAATAATAATAATAAATATATAAAATAGTTTATAGTTATAGATTATAGTATAGTTTTAGTTTTTTTTAAAAAATAACAAAAATCTTTTTTTATTATTATTACTTATTACTTATAAATTTAAATTATAAAATCTAATTAAATTCAAATGTATTTGCAACATCTTTCTTGTATTGTTCATATTCATCTGCTTCACTCATTGCTTGTTCTCTTTCTCGTTTCTGTTCTTCGAGTTCCTCTTTGTCTTGGGTGACACCTATTTGTTCACCATCGTCGTTCTCACGCAGCACCGACAGTCTGTGTGTAATTGACACACCACCTATAGGCTCGAGAGTGACGTCCTCATCATCGATATCGGTAATCTCATTGTAACCAAGAGTATGACTGATCTCTGACGGTCTCCAAATCCAAACGATCGAACATAGAATTAAAAAGTACAACATATCCCAGACTGCATCCCAAATCCATAAACTCTTCCATACTTTATCTCTTGGTCTTGATAATACAATTCTTTTTAAAATAATAATGCAATACATTATTAATATTAATCAATATTCAATTTGCAATGATTAATAATAATACTTACAAAGATACTATTAAAAGCAAACCTGATATGATTGCAGATATCACTAAAACTATACAAAAACTTTTAATGGTCTTTAACTTTGCCTGTTGTCTCTTTAACTTGAGATTGTTGAATATATTGATGAGACTGATAAATATCCAATAGTAGTAGACCGTATCGATTACTGAGACTGGTATCGATAGAATAATACCAGAGATAGATGTATCGGCATAGCTCATCAGGAATCTAAAGAATATATAAAGTGCTGTTAGCACACCTATTTTATATTTTGTTATTCTTGTCAATGTTGGACTAATACGTATAAATATATATATATATATATATAATGTTAGTAAACATACCAAACTAAATGTATAATTGATTGATAGTTACATTAATATTCCATAACCCATTGATACTATTAAAACTAAAAGTCTGGCAAATGCATGTCCAATCGTGAAGAATAGGAATTGGAAGAATAGAGCTGCCTTACTGAATGATCCTTTCTTATTGGCAGTGCTATATACACCGTAGCTGGTGATCATCTCTAGGAATCCTAAACTAATCACCAATCCAATCCAATATTGAAGTGGAAGTAATGTCTTTCTGAATCGGAATGACAATGCCAACCATAACAACGATGTTAACAAATAGAGTATTGCCAAAACTAAATCAAACTGCAAAATATAATAACCATATTAATACATATATTTATAAACATTGACATCGAAATAAACATCATACATAGAGTAATGGGAATCTCTCACCACCAAGATAACCAAATGGATTCATAAAAGAAACCACTCCACTTGTATAGATATTAGTGTAGTTCTTGAAAACGATTGCTTTACAACTGACTACCATCAAATAATATACACCTTCTTTTGTTACATTATATTGCTATATTAATAGATATCGGATTTGATTAGTTCTCTACAAGTTTAGTTTGTAACGATTTGAAACAAACAAACTTACGATTGGAAGTTGAACGGGTGAGTTCAATGAGAGTGGCTGGAAATCTAGATTCACAGCGAATATGGTGTTGTCGGTGATGTCCGATTGTGTATAGGTGGTAAAGTCAGAGATTGTCGATTTGGCAGCGGTGTCGATAATGATCGATCCTACCTCTGAACACTTGCCGGCGTTGTACAGCGCCTGTGTGCAGCACAGCGAGAAGACACCGTCATCGCTGTATCCTATTCTACTGTCATCGTCCGAGTTGTAGAATACCAAATCGATAGGTGCCAACTTCTTTGGATCGTCTTTTATTGAGCTGCTACCACTGTCACTGTCATTACTCTTCACCTCGAAAGTTCCATCGAACAAAGCATACGATTTTCCATTTCCAGGTGGTGTATTAAATGAATTCGGTTTATATTGTGCCGCTCTAAATATGATACCATTACCATCTGTATCCTGTATGAATTGTAAACCCAATAAAAGTAATACAATATTGTTGTTAACTAAAATTCAACAATTATCTTCAAAATGTTTATATAAACATTAACAACGACAACAAACAAGCAAACAAACAAACAAACAAACAAATAATAACATACAGTTGAAAACCCGAATTTATATTTGAGAGCATTACTCTGACCTATTATACAAGTTAGATATAAAAGTGAGAATATCACTATTTTAACTTTTAAGGAAACATTTAGATTCCTCATTTTTAAGAGATATCTTAATATATATTATTTTTTTAATATATATATATATTAAAAATGTTTTAAACAATTAAATTAAATCAAAATTTTAATGTCCAAAAAATTTTTAAAAAAACAACTATTCTTTAAATTTAACACAATTAAATTGAATATTAAAAACAAAAAATACTTTGTTCTTATAAGACTGATTCAACCTCGGTGTCAAATTTACGTCGCATTGTGTGTAAATTCATCTAAGCTAACCCAAAACAAAAGCAAATTTATCATGACGACAAAAGAAACAGATAGAAAATCCATACTTTTTTTTTTAGTTAACTTTCACAGAATGTGAAATTTTTGATGGTTGCATCAGAAAATTAAATTTAAAAAGATTATAAATTTGATATTTTTTTGTTAATTTTAAACTTGAATTTGTTTAAATTAATTATACTAGTTTTTATTATTATTATTGCTTATCAATTTATTATATATTTTATTTTTTTAGAAAAAAAAACAACTAAAAAAATGGATAAATCACAATTAATTATATTAGATTTAATGAGTACTGTAGAGTTTGCAGCACTCAAACATAGAGATCAGAGAAGAAAAGATCAACATGGAACACCATACATCAATCACCCAATTGGTGTTGCAATGAATGTTATTAACATTGGCAAGGTTTACGATGTCGCCACTATTCAAGCTGCACTACTACACGACACCGTCGAGGATACCGCTACCACCAAGCAAGAGTTGGTCGATAAGTTTGGTGAGCACGTCGCCAACATCGTCATGGACGTCACCGATGACAAGTCTCTCTCGAAGGTCGAGCGAAAACGTTTGCAAATCGAGCATGCCAGTCATATCTCTGCCGAAGCGAAAATCGTAAAGATGTCCGACAAGCTGTACAATCTCACCGATATGGTAAGCAATGCACCACCCTCGTGGTCATTGGAAATCATCCAAGGTTACTTTGTCTGGGGCAAGCAAGTTTGTCACCAACTCCGCAATGTAAACAAAGGTCTTGAAGAAGCACTAGACAAACTCTTCCAATCAAAGTTTAACTATCAAGGTAAAGAATACCCAGTAGTACCATGTCAGAACCAACAAGAAGAATTGGAATTCTTAGAGAAATATTATAGTTTATTAAAATAAAATAAAAAAAGAGAGAAATCTTATGTATACATATTATTACTATAACTATTTTAGTGCACTAAAATAACTAATTGATTGGCTGATTAAAGTTTTGATATTAATGAAAGTAAATCTACAACAAACTTTAATTGATTTTCCATCGATACAACTGTGAAAGGTGGTACATGAACAAACAGTGATTTGAATTTATCACTTGATTTCTTTGATAACATTAATGAGTTATAACTAAATACATTATTAGTATTGTTGTGCTTTGGATAATATAATGAATTAACTTTAAATAGTACATACTAAATATAATTACAAACAAATCTACCTGGATCAGTTGATGGCTCTACACTATGAGATGTACATAACTTTTCAATGAGATGATCGATTGGCAATGAAGTTGGAATATTAACACATTCTGGATTCAATAGATCGATCTTTTCATTATTTGGACAGTATCCACATTCATCTGGAACTCTAAAACTTGCATCTAAACATTTGAATTGAATGATTATTTAACTATTTCATTGAATGAAGTGAAGTTATAGAATTAAAAACATACCATTCCATCCACATCTTTCTAAATTAATACATTTTGCACTTGCATTTACACCGAAATGAATCTGTTAATTGATTGATTTAATAGTAGGTAGTAGGTTATTGTATTAATAAGCACAATCATTAATTTAATTGTAAAAGCAATTCAATATAATCTATTTACAATATAAATAGGATGTTGATGATCTGAGTATAAACTTTCAATTGTATCAACGGTACGTTTTGAACTAACAGCTGAAACTTCAACAATATCATTCGATAGAATCTCGAAATCAATCAATCTATCAACCTGCTGTCTCTCTTTGTTAACATACTCTGTGATATTTTTCATCAAATGAGTAGTAGGATTATCTGAAACACCATTAAACTTTCCAAATCCTGTTAATATAAATTTTACTTTATTTGATTGTTCCATCTTATTAATATATATGTTGATTAATATCTGATTTAAATTGATCGATTGAGAGAAAATAAAATTAAATTCAATTTAAATCTGACAGATCAACTAATTGAATATGAGTGTGAAATTTTTAAAAAAAAAAATATAAAGCAATCCACTAATTCACCACATACTCCTTCTGGTCAACGACCTCCGATCCGATTAATCAATCAAAAAATCCATTCTAACAACTTAAATTTCAAGTTTTCTAAATATTTTCACAGTTTTAATTTAAGGCTGATATACTAAATTGATCAAAATGGCGCCATTTTTCAAATTTATTTTAAATAAATACATCATAAATAGAAGTGATTTTATTTATTAAACAACCAAAAGTTTGTAAACTATAGATAAAACTTCAAACATTATTGTTTTTTTTAAGAGTAAAATTAAAAATACTTATAAGCTAAATAGATTTAAACACTGTATATATTCATTTTCAAGTTATATTTTAATTATAAAATATTGTTCTTATTCAATTTTTTATTTCTACAGTCTATTAAATTTCGTTTCAATAAATAACAATAACAACTAACAATCTTTTTATCTAGATATCAATATACGTAATGTCTTCATACACAAAGGAATGCCAGGTATTTATTGATTTAGGCCAACTACTTAAAGAAAAATATCCTGAGGATCATAAAAGAATTGATGATACCATTAATACATATGTTCCGAATAATAATCCCCACCTCATGACTCCTCAGCAACTAAAAGACCTTTATATCAGCTTAGGAGGTGATAATTGGAATGAAGAGAACCATTCAAATCATACAGAAATGTATAATTGTTTGTATCAGCACATTAAGTCAGATGTAAAGCCACCTAGATGTCTTTTGTGTCTAAATGTACGAGACTAATAATTTGAGCTTCTACTACTACTAGTAGGAATATAAACCGATAGAAACTAATACAAATATATTCACTTCTATAATTGTAGAAAAAAAAATTGATAAAAAGCCACTATGTCAGTGCTTGTATTATTAAGGAGATTATTCTCTTCAAAAATACCTCTTCTCTTAAAGTTCACCATGTGAAAAACCAATTTAAAGATCCCACTGGTCTTTTGAAGAATGATACAAATGTTAAAGATGCTTATCTTCGACTATATTGCCAAAAGTAATGTAATATGCTATTAATATGTGAGATACTCTAGCTAACTCTATTTTTACAGTTGCGACAACACCTTTGGTTCTTCAGAAGCAAAACTGGCCAGCATTTTGGGTATTATCAATAAAATTGAGAAACCAGAGACATCTGAGATAGAGTACGAAGAATGGCTTCTTCATGCTTTGGCATTTTCATCTTTCCGAATTATGTGCATTAATGGAGCTTACACTCATGCTTCATTTCTTGATCTTAGGAAGTTTCTTCTTAACTTTGTAAACAAAGTCGCCGAGGAACCAAAGTTCGAACTTCATCTCTACCTAGGACAGAGATATACCGGAGATTTTCTCTTATTTAATTTCATGAGGGACAACTGTGATCCAACCTGGTTGCCTATCATTGACACCCGGTCCTTTTTCATTGGTCGATAACAATGTTGAATGGTATGCATTAAAACTGATGACAGGACAGGAATCAAAGATGACACCTGCTGATCATCAACAGCTTCAACAAGACTTTTTAATGTGGAATGATAGAAACCCAGTTACATGCCGATGGAAAGATTGTAAAAACCCCGATGTTATACTTGGTCTTTTCAAGAAACACATGAAGGATCACCTATCCACCGAATTGATTTCCGGCGTAAATAAAACAAAGTGTATTTGGACCAAAGATGATCAATCGATATGTGGAGTATCCTTAGACAGTACTAAGTGGGATGTGATAGGTCACATCATGGGATTTCATCTAGGTGGAAAAGATGGTCAACTCAGCAAACTCACACCATCTCCAAATGTCAAAGGCCCTTTGACAACAATTTATATTGGAGTATTTGGATTACATCCACTCTGTAACCCCAAACTATATCTTTTTGACACCACTGATAAAGATCTTAAGACCCACAGAGATGACCAGAATAATGAATATCCCCAAATTGTAGTCCACAATAGTCTGCGCGACAGAAATATTTTTTATTGTACCATTCTCACGATTTTAACATCAACCAGTTCTGTTGTTCCGCTTGACACCCCACGCCGACCACTTAAAGGTGAGTTGCTATTCAGAGTTGCATTTGCCTTCGAAAAAAGTAATGATATTGATCCTAACGGATTGGTTCAGCTCAAGCTTCGAGAGTCTACACCCCAAAACCACATGGAGTTCCTGGAGGAATTTTTAAAACAAAGCATTGGCAAGCTAAGAGAAGTTGTAGGAATACTAGAAAAAGATTAGATTACTGCTCAAAAATAAGAAAGAATTACAATAACAATAATAAACAAAAACTTAATTTGACAAAATTTATTACAAATATATTATTTTTTTATTATTTTCCAAAACTTGAAAGTAAGAGTCAATTTAAAGTTTGGCCTTTGGAATATCCTTTGAAGCCATGAATCTACCCAAAACGAATGCACCAGCACGAGCACCTTCGGACAAGGCGATAGCACCGGAAATCATCATTTCAATGGTTGGATCGACTGAACCCTTTGGCAAAGCTTTGAAGGTGTTGATGGTCTTGTTGTCCAAGATCTCCCAATTACGAAGGATGTCACCGCATTGAGTGAGATCGATGGCGATGTGTACGTAGAAACCAGCCTTCTCCATCATGGAACGGTATGAGCAGAGTGAACCCATGTGTGGGACAGAGTGATGGGCACAGATTGGCTCGATGAATTGGATGATATCCTTCTCGGTTGGCTTCTCGCATTGGAGCCACTCGGAACCAGAGAGACGACCACCTGGCTTCAAGACACGGTAACACTCCTTGATGAATGCTTGCTTGTCTGGCATGTGACAGGTTGACTCGAAGAAGGTGACGACGTCAAAGGTGTTGTCGGCGTATGGCATCTTCATGGCATCACCGTGGTCGAAACCGGCACGCTCAGAGAGACCCAACTTCTTTGCACGCTCAGTGGCAATACCGACTTGCTTCTTGTTGATGTTGAGACCACGGATACGACATCCGGTGTACTTGGCGATCTCGAGAGTTGGTCCACCAACACCGCAACCGACATCCAATACAAAACTGTCCTTGGTGATTCTGGCGGAATCGGCAACTTCGTGTTCCAAACGGGTGACGGCAACCTCCAAAGTCTCAGTTGGAGTCTTGAATGGAGCGAAATGGAAATGGTTACCCCAACCAGATTGGTAAGTCTCAGTAACGATATCATAATAATCAGAAACCATAGTGTTATAGTTTTCAGTTCTCAAGTTTTCTTGGAGACGGACCTTTTCGAATTTCTGAAAAAAGAAAAAAATGGAAAAAGAAAGAAAATAGAAAACATTATTTGTTAGTTCAAAATATATAACTTGATTAATAAGCAATTGATGAAATATTTATAACTTACTTGATCCTTGACGACAACATCTTCAACTGGAGCAACCTTGGTGATCTTACCGGATTCAGCGGTCTTTTTGAGCGAGATGAGATAGGCATCCCATGATTGAGCCATTTCACGTTGACCCATGGTCTTGGCGAAACCGACCAACAACTTTGGAATTTCAATGTCAGTCTCGACGGTAGCCTCAACTTGGAGAGTAGATTTGTTACCGGTACCGTTGACGGTCCACTTTCCGGTGGATGACATGTTACCACCTTGGAGGTTCTCCCATGTGATGCTGTTACCGGAACGGGTGTATTTGGTGATGTGGACAGCCTTCATTTGAATGCTACCGACCTTACGCTCTTGCATGGTCCAACGGAAGACACCGGCGGAAACTTGTTCGACCTTGTCGACGAATGGGTAGCATTTGGCGCATTGTTGGACATCCAAGAGGAATTGAATCAACTTTTCAGCACTGACGGCAACTTCAACTGGCTTTGAGGAGTAGGTAGTTTGAATTTGAACCATTTTATATTATTTATTTATTTGTAATGAAAAAAAAGTAATTTAAAAAAGTTGTTGTTTGAAGAGAGAGTTGAGGAAGGTGATATGATCAAATTAATTATAATTAAATTAGTATTATATATAATAAAATAAACTTTAATGAACCAAAATTAAATAATTGAATTTACGAAAAACTTTGTACGGTAATTTTTGTAAATCAGAAATAAATAGGTCGAAGTATTTGTATAGATATATAAATATATGAATATATAATTATAATTTTAAGATGGGAAAGCTGTGTGAGTTGTTGGTGCTTTTTGAAAAAAGAAATCAAATCGTTTTTGACTCGGTTGTGTGATTACAATGATGATTTTGATCAAAAAAAGTTGAGTTTATAGAAAAAAAAAAAAAAAATGAAAAATCAAAAAAAAAAAAATTATTATTTTATTTTTTTATTTTTTTAAGTTTACAAAGATATTTTCATAAAATGTGTCACATCACCTTGAACACTAACAACTTCAAAAAATAATATTTTTATTTTGTTTTTTTAAAAAAAAATGGCTCACTCCAAAAAAAAAAAAAAAAAAAATTGTTTGTTTCAAAAAACCCAAAAAAAAACAAAAAACAAAATTTGAACTACAAAATCATATTGATTTTGTCTATTGTGATGTTTAGTGCAAAATTTAATGATAGAAAACAAAAAAAATGATTGAAAAAACTTTTAACTGGATCAAAAATTAGTGTGTGTTCAAAAAAAAAAAAAAAAAAAAAAAAAAACTCATCCTTTTTATTCATTCGACTTCTTTCTTTTTCTTCACCCAAAAATTTACAGTCACCTTCCCTTTCCTTTCAAGCATTCACCTCTCTTTCATCCTTCGCCATCATCAACTTTACTACTACTACATTACTTACTACTACTTACAACTTGACAACCAAGAAAAATTCGATAACAAAAAAATAAAGGAACGAGCGACAAACAAATAACAGTCCAACATAATAACAGCAACAGCAACATCAACAACAAAAACAACAGCATCACCAACAACTCCACAATATAAAAACAACCAGCCAGCCAGCCAACCACAATTCTATTTCTACAACAGATAAACAAACTTTTAAACAAGTCTTGCATTTCCTTTCTGTTTTGAAAAAAATCGATTTTTTTTTTTTTCCCTTGTTTTCTTTTTTATTTTCTAGTTTATTTTAGAGTTTAGTTTATTAGTTTTTTTTGATTTTTGATTTTTTTAGAAAGTTTCAAAGACAAGAAGAACGATTACAAACAAACAACTTCATCACCCTTTCAACTTCATTTCAACTTCAACTTCATCTCAGCTTCATCACAGCTTTCAAACAAAACATCATTAGACATTTGATTATATAGATCTTTGCCAAAGCCAACCAGAATCAAATCAAATCAAATTAAATTAAAAAAAAAAAAAAAAACAATTTCTATATATAATATATATTTATAATTAATAGTATAGTTTAGTTTAAATTCAAATCACTATTGTAGATTACTTTTTTTTTTTTTTTTTCTTTCTTTCAACTTCTCTCATCATTCATTGTCTTTTCTAATCTAATAACTTAGAGAGACATACAGCATTTCGCAACAGCACAACAACAAAACATCCAGCATATAACATTAAATTCCAGCAAATATAAACAACAACATCACATCTTTTTTTAGTAAAAGAAATCACCTCTCAACTCCAGCAAACATATATCATAACAAATCAACATCAAATTTACATACTTCCTGTCAATTTTAAACCATCAAACCAAACCAAACAAACCAAAAATGAACAACAAAATGACTTTTGAAAAGTTAAGTTTTTTTTTTTAAACTAATTAATTAGTTAAACAAATAAAAAAGTAATTTATGTAGTAACTAACTAACTAAACTATCAAATTATTATTTATTAAATGTTTAGTGCTTCATCACCAGTATTGCACATTCGTAATGTACCACCCGAAGCCACTGAAAATGATTTGATTCAATGTATTTCACAATATTCCTTTGGAAATCCAGCTGTTGCAGGTATGTTGTTTCTTTGAAATTGTTTTAATTAAAATAATAATAATAATAATAATTATTATTATAAATTATAGTAAGATTACTTGAGAAATATCAACAAGCATTGGTTGAAATGGATTCTGTAGACACTGCATCTAGAGTGATTAAATATGCTTTGGAAACACCGTTGCTCCTCCATGGTAAACCAATTCAGATCTCATATTCAAAGAGTAAGACAATCAATCAACGTCCAATTGGCAATGTTTTGCTTTGTACCATTGAGAATCCGTTGATGAACATCAACGTCGACATTCTTCACCACTTTTTCAGCTTCTACGGCGAGGTTTTGCGTATTGTCATTTTCACCAAGAGTGACTTGCAAGCGTTGGTCGAGTTTGCCAACCCAGAGAGTGCCTTCAACGCCAAGAAGCACCTGCACAACGTCTCGCTCTACCAGGGTGGTGCTTGTGTTCTCAAGATCGAGATCTCCAAGTCGGAGCGACTCAACGTCACCAACAACACCGACCGCACCAAAGACTACACCAAATCGTTGCCAGTCATCTTGCCACCGTACTTCCCACCCTCGAATTCCGTTCCCACTCGTACCACCGTCCTAATGGTGTACGGTCTCGACGAGAATATCATCACATGCGACCGTCTCTTCAACTTGCTCTGCGTCTACGGCAACATCCAGAAGATCAAGATTCTGCCCAACAAGAAGGGTGCCGCCATGGTCCAGATGGAGGATGCCCAACAGGCCGACACCATCATCAAGTACTACAATCAGATCTCGCTGTTCGGCCAGACCCTCTTGATCCAGTACTCGAAGCATCAATCGATCACCGACTCGCACAACCCAGAGACTCAATCGCACAGCCGTGACTTTACCCACACCAGTCTCAACCGTTTCACCCATCCCATCACAACCTACAAGCACATCTACAAACCATCACAAACATTGTACTTTTCGAATGTGCCCAAGGACTTCACTGAGGTCTCTTTCCTTCAGTTGTTCTCGTCGTTGAACACTCACAAACCGATCGGAATCAAAAACTTTACTTCACAGCCTACTCACTCATCGGGCAGCGCCGGCGGTGCTCCAGACACCACCAAGCCAACCGATAAAATTGTTGGTCTTTTAGAATTCAGCTCACCTTCACACGCATTAGAGGCTTTGGTCTACGTCAACAACGCCCAAATCCCAGGTACCCACTCTAACATTCGTCTTTCATTCAGCAACTCCTCCGTTTTGCCACAACCATCGAGATCTTCAACTTCCACCACAAACAACAACAATAACAATGGTAGTAAACCAAACAGTCATTAAAATTAAAACCAATAGCATAGCAACAACATCAACAACAATGAACCATCAAAATGAAACAACAATGAACTATTCAATTCCAGAGAGATCAAAAGAGAAAGATAGGGTTTTACCAATCAACCAAATTTTAATCAACATAAAAAACAAAACAAAACAAACAAAATCAAAACATACAAAAAAAAAAAAAAAAAAAACCAACAAAAAAAAAAACCTAACAAACCAAATCAAATTCCAACAAAACCAACCTGCAATCCAAACAACAAACAAACAATCAACCAATCATTTACTACAATGTATACTAAAAATTTAGAAACAAACAAAAAGCAAAATAATAATAATTATATTAGTTAAATTTATTTTATGTAATTATTTTTTTATTTTTATTTTGTTGTTTTGAAAAATTAATAAATTCAATTGATTATTTTTCTAAATTAATTGAAAGGGATGAAGTATGTTATTACCCCACACGTTTTTGTTTGTTACCAACCAATTTCTTTTTTTTTTTTTATTAAAAAGGAAAAAAAGTTTTTAGTTTTTCCTATTTTAGAATTTCATTTAAAATTATTTTTTTATTAATTTAATTTTAAGATAATTGATAAAATGATTGCTTTTGGAAATAGAGATAATTTATCCATTACCAAAGAATAGGATTTCTAGAAATATATAAATAGAATATAAGAATAAAATGGTTAAAATAGTAAATGGAAATATAATTAGAGAAACTTTACCATCAACTTCATTCTTTACAAAGCGAAGACATTCTCTATCATCTCTTGGAGACCTAAGAGGTCACAGAGACTTTCCTAAATATCCATGGGGAAACAATAATCATAATAAGAATCATAATAGAGTCCATCAAAACCATTTAGAGAGAGAACATTTGGATAGAGAAAACAAAACCTCTATGGAAAAGTTCAAAGATAAATTTAAACCGTTGCAAGTTAAAGCTGTACTGTATGGTATGGAGATTAAATGTGGTTATGTTTTCTTGGGATTACTCTTAACTTTTCTACTTGGTGGAATCAATATTCTCTTGATATACCTATTGACAGTTTATCTTGGTACTCAGTTCAATCATAGTTATCATGATCAAATGAAGAATAACTATCCTCATGAAGGAGAAAATCAAGAAATAGAATCAATTCAAGATGAACAAACCAGTTCAGGAGGAAATAACAATCTTTTCTTGAATAGATCTTCACCTTCACTTCCAAGTTCAAGAGATCAACATACTGTAAGTAAAATAATATTATATTTTATTACTTTTTTTTTTAATAAAAATTCTTATTGTTTTTTTAAAATGGAATAACTAGAGAAATAATAGAAGAAGATCATCACTTTGTACAACATTAGCAGATTTAACAGAGTCATCAAATAATACACAAATGAATACTCCTTATACATATAATTTCTAAAATAATAATAACAATAGTTTTTTTTTATTGTAATAAATTATAATTTTGTACATTTCTAAATCAATATAATATTTTTTTTATTTATTAAATTAATGTAAAATTAAATTCTTTGATGATTTCTTTAAAAGAAGAGAAGGCTCTACAGGGGATGAATTGGAACGACTACGAGTTAGATGATCTGGTAATGCACTCGCTGGTTTATCTGGTGAAACTGGTGATGCTGCTGCTGTTGGTGGTGGGGGTGGCTGGCTGTTGGGGAACTTTTGTTGCTCTGGGATGGTTCTCTTGGCATCCCACTCCTCTTGATTGGCGAGATATTCGTTTCTGCACTTGGTCATCTCGTCGTAGAGCTCCTGTGTGGTCGGTCTCAGAGTTGAATCCTTAAGAAGAGTCTTGGAGATGATATCGACGAGACACTGTGGAGTGGAGGGCGGGAACGTTGGACGCATGTCCTTCTTGGCCGAGGCAATCAGGATCTGGTAGTCAAACTTGAGATTCGGATACTCTTGATAGGGGAATTGATGTGCACCGTTGATACAACGATAGATCATCTCCCAGATGATCATACCCATCGAGTAGACATCGCTCTTCAGAGTGTATTTGTTACCAAAGTAGACTTCGGGTGCGACGTATGCATAGGTACCTCTGAGCTTGCCTAGCGTTTCGAGGTTACTACCAGTGTCGAATCTGGACAGACCGAAATCGCAAATCTTGACGACCCAGTCCTCGGTGACCAACAGATTCAGACTCTTCAAGTCTCTATGTAAGATCTGTGGCGACCATGTATGCAAAGAATTGAGAGAGCTGATGGCTTGCACTGCGAGATGGAACAAATTATTCCAAGTGAATTGTACTGTCTCATCCTTCAAAATATGATATAGTGAACCTCTCGAACAAAATTCCATAACTATACATAATTTATCTTTAATACCTGCTCCATAAAAATATACAACTCCAGGTGCTTTCAATGCACTATAATACATGTTGATTAATATATTTGATAACATAATAATTACAATGATTATTAATTAATTACCTAACAATTTGAAATTCCTTTTTAAATTCTTGAATATCTTTGGCATCTGTGAAAGCTTTCAAAACTTTGATTGCAACTACAGTACCATTGTAAGTTCCCTTGTAAACTTTACCACTTGCACCAACACCCAGTAGATTCAGGAATTTAAGACTGGATTCATCAATGACCCACGATGTATTATCTTCTAAATGTGTATGCTTCAAATGTGCTAAATCCTGATAGTTTATATTTATCTCTTTTCCTTTTGCATCTGGTATCTCTAAATCTTTTGGTGTATTATTATTATTATTATCATCATCATTACTACTATTTTTATTATTATTATTATTACTATTATTTTTATCGTCTATTGGTGTTGTTGTTGTTGTTGGTTTGTTATTATTTACTATATTATTATTATTATTATTATTATTATCATTTATAGGTGAAGCAACCACAGGTGAAGTTGAATTGGTGCTTCCATTTAATTTTGGTTCTGAATTGTTGCTGTTTACTATATTATTACCGCTACTGCTAATTGCATCTACACTGCTGCTACTTAAGTTTATTGGTGTTGAACCACTGTTGTTACATGAGATATTTAAGTTACCACTGCTAGTGTTGATTGCTGATCCTCTCATACTTCCACTCATAGAAATGGTAGTAGAAGCCATCGACTCTGATAAACCAGATGTACTTGCTGAGAATGATGAATTTGAACTAGATAATGATCCAGCTGCAATATACAATATTGTTAATATACTAACTAATTAGAACTATAGATAATCTGATCAGATATTTACATTTCAATTTCTTAACAGCTCTTAATAGTTTTGTTCTTTGACCGGATACAGTTATTTTCAAACTGTCAAGGGTGGATTCATCGACATCCGGTAGAACATCGAGGAACATATCGTTCTCTATAAATGTTGGTACGAGTGCATCGAGTTGTAGATTGGATAGCCACTCACTGATCTCCTGTGACTGCTGTATTCTATTGAGAATGGCAGTGTGACCCAACTCTCGAGCGAGATCACTCGGTTTCTTTGGTGGTTTGCCACCCTCCACATTAAAGTCTGCTCCACGTTGAATCAACAATCTTACAAACTCATTTCTACCCATCTTTATTGCATAGTGTAGTGGTGTTTCACCTGCTTTTGTTTTACTATAATAAGTTGTTGTTGTTGTTAATTATATATGTATAAATTTTGAAATCTTAAATAGATCGTAAACTACTTACTGATTAATATTTGAACCTTTGTTTAATAAGACTTCGAGCGTCACTGTCTTTGGTGTAGTCGATAGACATGCTTTGTGAAGTGGAATCTCACCGATTGCATTCTCAGTATTGACAAAACAACCTTTTTCAATCAACTTTGTAACTGGATCTTCATTAGTCAACACTAAGCACTTTTGACTGAATATATGAAGTGGTGTATTTCCATGTGGATCTTTTGATGTTATCTATAGAAATAGATTAAGTGTTAGAGAGAGAGAGAGAGAGAGAGAGTTGTTTAGTTTAGTTGCTAATATATTTCTAATCTGTTATAACTCTCTATTCTATTCTAAAATTACTTACTTTTAATTCAGTTGCTTTTAGTAATAACATTAAAAGTGGAATGTTATTGGTGGTGGCGGCGATGTGTACTGCAGGTGAACCTTCGGCATCGCACACGTTGATGTCGGTCTTTGATTTGGAGAGTAGATGTTCTACACCTACGATATCGTGGTCCTTGATAGCTTTGATCAGTGGATTCTTCTCTTGTTCGGCCTTCTCCTTTTCGTAGCGGACACGCAGACGTAGATCACCCGATACCTTGTCGTCCTGCTTCATCGGCACCAGTGGATACCACTTTATGGTATCGACCATGGTGTCGATGACCGATGCAACCGGGATCACAACCATACCCATTGGATCGTCCGTACTGAATCTGTCCCAATCGAATACCTCTACCACAACATTATGAATCGATGGATCAAGTGAACTGTTTGTTATGTTTATATATATGTATATTCAAAATCAAAATTGATTAAAACCAAATCAATTCATTTTCGAACATTCAAACCATCCAAATATTCATATGAATGTGAAATTTACTAAATTAAAAACTTACAATTCAAAATTCTCAGCTTCCCACTTTGGATTTAGATTGTGTCTGACTGCTTTGGTTCTCTTTTTCTTGTCACCAACGATTACCACACAATATGGATCACTATGACCATCGCTATCCATTGCAACCAGATTCCTACCCTCCATAACTAAAAATAGATTGATTGATTGATTATATAGAATATATAGATAATAATACAATGATCAATAATCATTATCATTGAATTCTAATTAAACGTTTCAGAAAACATACCACCAATAAATATAGTTCCAATCTTTTTTGTCATTTTTCTTTTTTTTTTTTTTACTTTCTTTTCTTTTCTCTTTCTTACTTTCTCTGTATGTATCTATCTATTTATATATATTTAAATAATATACTTTACTCCAAACTAACAAAGTAAACTAACCTATCTATTCTATTCTATTCTAAACTAAACTAATCAAATAAACAAACAAAACAAAACAAAACTATTTGTTTATCTATAAACGATTCTATTCTCTTTTTCTCTCTCTCAAATATGATGATATGATATAATAAATAAATAAATATGTAATGTTTATAAAAAACAATAACCAATGTTAGGTTGTTGGAAATGTATATATTAAAAATAGTATTGTAACATTAAAACAATCATGAGATATGAAAACAACCAATTTATTTTAAATTTTTTAAAAACTCATGAATTTTTTTTTTTTTTTTTTTTTATAATTCTTTTTTTTTCAATTTTTTTTTTGATTTAAAAAAGTTATTTTTAAAGACAAAATGTATGACATACCATACAAAACATAAATTTATATATTATACAATTTTGTTTTTTTATTTTATAATCTCTATCAAAAAAGTTACTATTGTATTATTAATGTTTGATTTGATTTTGTTGTTTTGTTTTGTTTTTCTTTTTTTTCAATTTTGATTTAATCCTTGATAATCAATGAATTCTTTTGTATTAAATCATACTTTGTACTGAATTTAACAAATCTTTTGCATAATAATGTTTTACTCTATAAATATATATATATATGATTCATAAATGAAAAATGTTAGAAGGGAAAGTTGGAGAGAAATGAATAAAGTTTTGATTTGAAGGGTAATTCTTACCTCATATTCATCATATAACTCTTTGTGATGGAAATGTGCATGTGCAAACAAACGATACAGTCTTCTAACAATTGATGGGAAGTGTTTACGTGAAGTTGTTGATATTTCAAATCTAAACATTACATTACATATCCAAAAAAAAAAAGTAAAGTTAATACATTATCTTATCAAAATGATCATGATCTGTAAAGTTACCTTTTTGGGAAATTCTTGTCACTGTTTAATAGAGTTGCAGTACTATCGAGAGTGTGTATAATATAATCGATGGCACTGCATTGCTGAGTCTGTTTGTGCGATGCACACAAGAATAACCAATCTTCGGTGGCTTTCATCTTATCGCACGTCTTTGCATTGCATACCTCCTTCAAGTGTGTCGCGAAATGATTCAACTCCAATGTGAACTGTCTGATCTGCTCGTACTGCCAAACATAGATATCGTGTGATTCCGGTGGTTCAATGATTGCATCTATATTTAAAATATCTTCTCCTTTATAATAACAATTCAATTATCGTTGATTAGCATAACTATCTATCTAACTAAGCAACCAACAATAACATACTTATTTTATCTTGTATATATTCTTGTGTAGCATAGTTACTCTCTATATTCTCATATTCTTGATGTGGCCAATCATATAGATTCTCATTCTTTGTTCCGATTCTATTCCTTCTCTTCTGTATGCTCATTGCTATAACTTTGTTATTATATGTTATTGTCTATTTTTATTCGTCTATATTTTTATATGTACAATTTAGTCTTAAGATTTTTTTTATTTTTTTAATATAATCATTGAAACAAAAAAAATTTGTTTTCATTTTTTTAAGTTGAATCATCAAACACACATAAACATTGTGATAAAAATCAAACTTTATATTTTAAGATACACCCTCAGATGATTGAATCAATTTAATTGTACTCAATTCAATTGACAATTAATTACAAACAAATTGATTATCAATTAGCTTTTTTTTTATTTTATTTTATTTATTTAAATTATTTGTAAATAATATGAATTTAAAAATCAAATATTTATACTGATCAAATCAAATCAAATAAATAAAATATAATATTCTTGTCATCTATATCAAAACAATAATATAAATTCGCTAAATAGAGCCAAATCTAAAGTTGTGTGCGAGGACCTCTGTAACGTTTTGTCAAAAAAAAAAAATTAAAAGCGAAATTTTTTTCAATTATTTTTTTTTATTTTTTTTTTATTTTTTTTTTGGTCAATTTTTTTTGATTCGTTGCTCCTCTAACAAAAGTGTATTGGAAACATTTTTCTCATCCCTTTTTGCTTTTCACCCCAGCAGTATCTACGTGTAGGTGTAAACTCTATTGTAATCGCTTTTTTGTTTTTTATTTTTTAAATAGAATTTATATTATTATATATTATATTATACTATATTATATTTATTTAGAGATGATCATTTAAATAAACTACATTCTACTTTTTATTTAGCTATAGAATTTAGATTAGAAAAAAAAAAAAAAATAATCTTAAATACATCGATCAATACGCATAAATACAGGAGATATTAGATAACTTGAATATTTGAACTCATCATCAAATCAAATCAAATATCAACAAATTGATGCACAATTTAAGAAGAAAATGGTTAATGTTAGAATATTTATTTAGTTATGGATTTATACAAACTATCAGAATTTGATTTTAAGATATAGATCTATCATCAAATTTTATTTATTTATATATCTATTTTTAAAAAGAAACAAAAAAAACAAAAAAAAGCAATTTAAATTTATATATAAAGAATTTTAATAACTAATTTTGATTTATAATTACTACTATTACTACTATTAAAATAAAAAATAAGAATAAAATAGGCCAGAGAATTGTGGTTAAGTCACCCAAGAGAAATGGGACCAGGTTCCCGTGTTTGCCGTACTTGCGGTAATCACCACGGTATCATCAGAAAGTATGCCCTCATGATGTGCAGACGTTGTTTCCGTGCTAACGCTGAAGCCATCGGTTTCCACAAAGTATGTATAAACGAAACATAATTATTTATAATTAAACAAAAACTAATTCATCTTTTTACTTTCTATCTACCAATTACAGTACCGTTAAATTAATTTAACTGCTCAAAAATAAATTGACCTATTTTCTCTGATGTTTTATTAAAGGCAATATATAAAATTATATAAAAAGCATATAATCGTAAATCTTTTTTTATTTATTTTTGATCAAAAATATAGTTGGTATCATGATTTTCTTTGTTTAGTTTTTAATCTTTTATTTTTATTTTTATATTCAATTATTATCAAATCAAATAAATAAAGATAATTTTATTTATACATTATTAATAACATTGTAAAAATATGTTATTTATATTTTTGTTTTAGTTTTATACTTTCTTGTGCAAAAGATCAAAAGGACTTCAATATAATTCAATTCAAACCAAATCAATCTAGATTAAACAATAATAACATTGTTATTTATATTTTTTTTAATTATAATAAACATTTTTATTTGTTTTTTTAAATGATTTACACCAAGTTGTGTAGCAACTCTTATAATAATAAATTGTTTTAAAAAATATGTATTGTAAGCAAAGAAGTAGAATAGGAATAGATAGATAGAGTAGAAAGGAGGAAGGGGAGTGTGATTATCACTTTCACATATTATATATAAAGTTATTACTGATGCAAACAATAGTGAATACAAAAAAGGTGGATTTGTTGATCTGGTGAATGTATAGAGTGGAGAGAGAGAGAGAAAGTAGTGGCGAGTTGGTTTTAAATGATCTGTGTGTGGATGTGAAATAATAAATAATATTATTTAAAAAGGTTTTGGATATTGGATGGATGGAGCATCTTCGGATTTAGCTGGACCATTCAATGATTGATTTTGAATTTCAATTACCACTCAAGGTCATCGAAATTTTGTCGTCTTACTATTGGCTATCTATATTTTGATTATGATGTGTGTTGTAATTGTTGAACATTTACTGTTATTTTCATCATTATTCTTTTTCTTTTATCTTTTTTTTTTGTTTTTTTTTTTATATTTTCTTTGTTTTTTTTAAAAGCTTTTTTGTTTTTATAGTTTTTTTTGTTTTGGTTTGAAAAGTATTTGATTTAATTAATTATTTGTTATAATTTAAGTTAAGTTTGTTTTGCTTTGCTAAATTAAGTATTTGGTTTTTAGTTTTGATTGTCATTGTTAAGGTATTGTTGATATTATTATTATTGGTTTGTTATGTTGTTATGTTGTTATTGTTATTGTTTGGTTTGGTATTAGTTTGCATTTGTACTTGTTCCAACTGTGTTGGTAGTTGTAGTTGTCGTTGGATTGGCTTGAGCAGTTGTTTGTGTATTTGTACTGTTGCTGGTGGTTTGAGAGGTGGAGGACGACGACGACTGTGCTTGGATGTTAGTGGTGCTGCTGCTGGTAGTGCTACTGTTGCTGGTGGAGTGGTTGGATGGCGATGGTGTGGGTGTTGTGGTGGATGACGAGGAAACAGGTGCGCCAGAAGTCAGGTGTGGAAACAACGGTGAAGGCAGCTCAATGGCAGACATGGCATGCGGTGGAATTAATATTTTGGCAAGTTTGGGTCCCATTGTCAGTTGTTCGGCGATGGTAAAGTTGAATAGTGGTGGCAGTGGACGGCCGTCTGGCAGGGTCGACTTGGGGTCTCTCAGCTCATCAAAGAAGGGATGTGCGCAAATTTCGGTGGGTTTCAAACGGGCGGATGGATCGTAGTGCAGAATCTTTGAAATCAAATCGATAGCCTCTGCCGGCACATCCTTGGCCCTAAATACTTTGGTCCAGGGATTCGCTTTGATATCTGGAAATTTGAATGACGAGTAATATGGGTTCATCACGTGTATCTGCTCTTTGGTTGGTGTTCCCAACACTTTAATAATCTCTACCAATTGATCGATTCCATTCTCGCCTGGGAAGAGCGGTGCTCCCAGAAGCAGCTCTGCCAAAACACATCCCAACGACCAAACATCGATCGATGTTGTATAATTTGTAGATCCAAAAATCAACTCTGGAGCTCTATAATGTCTTGAGCAAATATATGAAACATTCGCTTCGTCTTTAATAAGAATCTTGGCACTAAAAGTTGTGGTTTTCAATTGATAGTGGTATTTGTTGGAATAAAGAGTAAGTCAAGAATGTTCATCATCCAAACACTACTGTATTTTGAAATATTGATATTACATACCTTCCAAAATCACATAATTTTAATATACTAGTTTGAGAATCCAATAACAGATTCTGTGGCTTGATATCTCTGTGACAAATACCCAATGAATGGATATAGGAAATTGCTCGACAAAGTTGATATATATATAACTAATTGAAATTGATAATGGTTAATTATAGATTGAATGAATGATACTTTGGATATTAATTACTTACTTTAACATAAATCAAAGGTATTGATTGCTTACTGGTTGTATAATGTCTGGATACTCTATAAACTGTATCAGGAACAAATTCCAACACTAAATTTAAATACACTTCATCGTTCTATAAAGTTGATAGATACATCGGAAATAAAAAAAAAAAAGATTAGTTTTTGTGATGTTGGGGGAGGTGAAATGTTTGATTATTTTTTTTGATCAATTCATTTAAAAATTGTTTTTTTTTTTTTTTTTTTTTTTTTTTGATCCGGGTTTGATTCAAATAAAAATAAATATTTGGGGTTTTAAAAAAAAACAAAAACAAAAAAGAAAATAAAAAAAAAGGGTGGTCATTGTTTTTTTTTTTTTTTTTTTAAGGATTGTGTGAGTGCATTAAAGTAAAGGAATGAGATGAATGGTGAATATGGACTTTGGATTGGATTTGTTCGGTTATTAAATATGATTATTATGATAATAATAATAAAAAATGAAATGAATGAATTGATTGACTAAGTGTCTGATTATACTGATTGATTATATGATTGATTATATTATATGCTTGTTTGATTGATAGATCTAGATTGAATTGTACTTGAATTGAATTGATTTGAATTGATTTTTGATATATGAATATACTAATAATGATAACCTACATCAGAAGTCATAAAACTATTCTTTAACTGTACGATATTTATATGATTAAGCATTTTCATTATTTGTAATTCTCGATTCTGTATTTAAAGGGTAGGTAGGTAGGATTAGTATACAAGTAAAACATAGCAGTAGAGTTGTTCAATATTTTATACAATACCTTATATCTATGATCCTGTAAAACTTTTTTTATTGCTACAACTTCTTTTGTGTCAGACACAATTGCCTGAGTTACTACACCAAACGAACCATTGCCAATAATTCCTTCGGTTATATAGCAAACACCATTTGATTTAATGATGACCTTGTCGAATTTGTTTCGTAGCTTGGTTTTATTCTTTTCCTTTTCGTCTTCCTTTGTACTCATTTTTGGTGGTGGTATTGTTGTTATTGTACTACTATTACTACTATTATTGATCTGATCTGATTGTTTTTAATAAATAAAAAGTGATTGTGATGTTTTTACAAAATGTGTAATGCTGACAAAATGACTTAAAGATCTTCTTATCTAATCTTATCTACAATAAACCTTATCACTTTATCGGAAATGATTTAACTTTTTTTTTTTTTTGTTTTTGTTTTTGTTGTTAAGCTGAGCACTGAACTGAAGAAGAAGAAATGATGATAATAATAATAATTTAAAAATTTAAAAGAAGAAGAAGAGTTTAAAAGAGTTTGTTTTGTTTTTAATGTGATGAGTGATGATGAGTGAATGAAAGATATACAAGAGGTTGTTTTGTTTTGTTTTGTTTTTTGACGTTATTGACTGACTGACTGACTGATTTTTAGTTATATATAATTAATATAATAAATAAAAATATAAATTTTATTATATTTATTTTTTATTTATTAATAATATAATAATAATATTAGGATTATACTTTGTGATAACTATTACTATTATTATTATTATTATTATTATTTATTTTTTTACAATCAAAATCATCAAAAAAATAAATATACATATATATAAATTTAGTAGGAGGTTAAGTGTTGTGTGGGTGATTTGATTGTTTTTATTTGTTTGTTTTGTTTTGTTTTGTTGTTGAGTTGATTTGAGAATAGAATGTTACTTTTATTATTTATGTTATATTATGTTTTGTTTGTTAGTTAGTTATCTATGTGATTTGAGTGAGTGATGTGGGTGTGAGATATTAGAGGGTGTGAGGAAGTGTGTGTGTGTGAATGTAAGTGTATGTATTGTATTAAGATAAATAAATAAATAAATAAATAATATAAAATTTAAATAAATTAATTATTTATTAAATAATTAAATTTTAATATATTATATTTTTATATATATATATTTATATATTTATATTTGTGTATGTTGTGTGATGTGATTTACCAACAACAATTATTTTTTCTTTTTTGTTTTTTTTTTTTTTTTTAGACAGTGGTTAATTTTTTTTTTTTGATTTTGTTTTTTTTTTTGATTGAAAAAAAAAAAATAGATATTTTTTTTTAATTTTTATTTTTTGTAAAAAATGGTTGTTGTGTGTTAAACTTTGATTAATCATCTTGTAAACTAGATAGCCAGCTTCATCCCCAATTCAATTTAAATTTATTTTGAAATTCAAAGTTTAAATTTATTAATAGTTTTAGATTCAGTTTTATCAATAGTACCATTTTTATTTTTAAATTTAAAGATTGATATATAGTAGGTTAATAGTTTTATAAAAAAAGAATAAACTTTAGAAATGGTCCATAATTTTTGTAAATCATAAATTAATATAATGAGATGTGAATCTATCCAATGTTTAATAGTTTTTTTTTTTCCACCTTTAAATTATAATTAATCATTGACTAACAACATTAGTCTGAGAATTGGATCAATTTGGGAACTCCTTCAACACACCTGATTTGGGTAGTAAGAATATTAGGGTACAGAAAACCAATACATCACCAAAACTTAATAAGTAATCACTAAGTGACAAACCTTTCTTTCATATATTTTCTCAAGTTTTTTTGTTTTTTTCTTGTTATTTTAATAATTAATTATAACAGATAATAAATGGAGTGTCAAAAGCATGATTGTGACTATCGGATAGTATGTTATCAATGCACAAAATTGATGTGTTTATCTTGTTTGATCATTCATAATGATCAATATAGAGAGCACCAAGATCTTTGTGATCATATAGATAAATTCAAATCAGATCTAAATAGTATCCTGTGTATTGATAGAATAATTAATAATAATAATAATAATAATGATAATGTTTTATTTATCTATAAAAGAATAAAATCTATATGGTTAGTGATAAAAGAATCATCACTACATATTCAATCATTAACATCTAAAGAATCAGAGATATCACATGAATATTTGAGAATTTTAGAACACAAATTAAAGAAATCAATCAACAATGACATTGACACACACAATCAACAAGTCAATCATTTAATAAATGAATTAAAACATTTAATCAATTTAAATAATAGTAATAATAGCATCATTAATAATGATAGTGATAATAATATTGATGATGTTGAAGAAATCAAACAAGATCATATAACAACCGATGATTATTCATTATCTACAATTGTTAAATCTATCAATGAGAATTCAACATTGTCATTCATAGAAAATAATAGATTAATATTTAATCAACATCAGCAAAAACATCAACAACGTCAACAACATCAAAAAGATCATACATCTTTTATTGTTGATCAATATTATAAAAGTAATTCAGATTTATGGTTATTGGATAGCATTTATCAATATTCAAAACAATTCAATCCACAACATCAATTGCAAATAGTTCAACCATTCAATATATATAAGATAGACTTCAATGTCGACTTGTTCAGATCTATGATCCATAGATCGATTAGTGTCACAGCACCATCCTGTCGAAACACTCTCTTCTCTCTACATAGATACGGTGCAACATTGATTCGTTTCATAGATGAAAATCTCTTTCATACCGAGGAGATAGAGCTTCCTCAAGCTATCGGGCATAAACTAGACTTGTTTCGACGTACAACCATGTCATTGACATTGGTAGGTGAAGACATCTATATATTCAGTGGTGTTGTTTTCCATCCGGTTGGCCTAGCACGATGGTAGAGGGGATCGGGAGCTTGGACGACGCTAGGCTAGACTGAAAGAGATCAGTTGTTTTAATAGTAAATTCTAGATTAACGAAAGAATGACAATTTAAGCTACCGCTTATTGTTTTGATAGGAAAAGGTGTGCAATTTTCGATACCTACTTCCAGAGTTCGGCGGCCGGTCTTTCTGACAGCTCAATCTAATGACTCCAACTTATCAATAGCAATGCCATTCTACAATCAACTATTGGATGTCTCCGAAAAAATTATAAACGACCCGAAGCAATCACCTATCGCTTTATCAGCTAAAGCTTTTTTGGACAACAATCGATGTAAGTAAACTTATTATATTTAAAATTAAATTTATTTCATTTTTTTAATGTATTAATTCTCTGTTTTCATTTTTTCTAGTTAGCTATACTTTAGGGTTATTACACAACAACAGAGAGTGGTATTGCAATGGTTCATGATTCTGTAGAGAACTATTGTGGATTATCACGGCTGCGATTTCTTTTTTTTCCAAATTCCCAAACTGTAAGGATCAGCAATTAGGGAATCTGAGCATTTTGGAAAAAAAAAGTGACTGTTTCCTTGCAAGATCCGCTTCCAACTGATCTCTTTCAGTCTAGCCTAGCGTCTTCCAAGCTCCCGATCTCCTCTACCATCGTGCCAGGCCAACCGGATGGAAAACAGGTGTCAAAGATGAGAGTGGCATGCTTATCAAATAACAATATCAATTTTAAATCGTTTAGCGTTGTGGGAAACATCGAGAATCTAACACGTTACGCTTCTGTTTCGATATGCTACGACGGAGACAATCATATCTATATGGTTGGTGGTTGCAAAAATAACAAACGTGCATTAATATAATAATAAACATTGTTTAATAATCATCAACAACAATATATATAATAAATTGTTTAAAAAATTAATTTAAAGTTTATTGAGGTGCAATACATATGCATATTGATTGTTTTTAATATAATGGATTGGTTGTTATTATTATTATCGTTATCGTTATTATTATTATGAAGATGATAACTTGGTGTATGAGGGTGGATCTACTTTTCGACTAATGAATTTAATTACATAAAGTGGCAAACAACTGACAAGTGTAATGACTGATACCTTCCATACGAATTCCCATGATAAAATAAATGAAAGTTCTATAAAAATAAATAAATAAGATAAAAGAGTTAGATGATATTCTAGAAATTATTAAAATAATTTTTATATATCTTGTTTTTAAATATATATAAACTTACCAAATGCAGTAATCTGAGGAATCATCATTGTAATAACATAAATCAATAAAGTACCAAGCAGTGAAAGTATCATGTATTTGTGCCATCTATGAATCTCAACAACAACATTCAAAAGTTCGCAGAGAATCAACGCTGTGAATGTAATCGATACGATATTGTTAAGACTGCTTTCGAAAAGGATGATTGAAAGTAACATAATGATTCCACCTTGGTAGGCACTCTTAAGCACCCATATAGAGAATGTTTTATAAGATAGTGATCGACCCTATTTATATAAAAACAATGTTAACAAAGATTTGATTAAAACAAAACAATATTATGATAGTTAATAATAATTTCTTACCTTTTGTAATTCATGATAAAGCTCAGGGAATTTAAATGCAATCTCCTCGGATACATCTTCATCGAGAATCAGCGAAAAGATGGGTGCATTGGTGTAGACAGTTGCGTAACCAACCAAGAGCATACCGTTGTAGATTGAGAGTGCTGCGAAATAATAGATTGCAGAGAATACACATTGAATGAATGAAATGATAAGACCTCTATGAATTACAAACTGTGAAAGACTAGCTGATCTTTTGTATGAATTTCTTCCATGCCATACTATATTGTTTGTTTTTAAATGATAACGTTATTAGTCTAAGATTAAATTTGAATGAGAAACAAAGATAATGATTAACACTTACATATCAGTCTACTGAGATAACTAAATTGGGTGATTGAAAAGTCAGCGGCAAGCGATGCTTGTTTACCTTCTTTACCGACGATACCGACACCTACGTCGGCAGCTTGGATCATACTGACGTCGTTACCTCCGTCACCGATTGCACAGGTTCTCTTTTTGGTTTTCTCTTTGATCAGTCTGACAATGTCTGCTTTCTGAGTTGGCGAGCAACGACAGCAAACGACGGATGGAGCCTTCGAGACGTACTCGATGAACTGGTCTTTGTAGTTGTCCAGACACATCTGGAGTGATGGACCATCGATAATCAAACAGGTGTCTCTCATTCTCGAGAATTGATTGAGTCGTTCGAATGCGCGTGCCTTATCGTTTACAGAGATGGTAAAGAGCGATTGAGTACGTGATACCAGCTTGGTGGAGATGGCAATGCAAGTTGCAGTTTCAATCTTGTCACCTGTCAACATCCAGACTTTGACATCGGCATTTCTCAGACGCTCCAGAGTGATCTTTACATTGGTTTGGAGCTTATCTTCGACACCGGAGAGCGCAATCAACTCGAGATCCTTCTCGATGGTGGAGATGGCGTCTTGTACCTTGGCAGCACGATCGGCAATCGAGGTCTTTGCCTGATTGTAACGATTCAAGAACTGGTGGTATTCCTCCTCGGTCATAACACGCTTGCCAAAGGCGAGTGTTCTCAGACCCTCTCTCGCCATGTTTCCAGACTCCTCGTCGAGCCAATCGTTGTTCTGAACGAGCTTCGCCATGATAGCATCCGCCCCCTTCATGTAGAAGGTAATGATACCGTCGGTGTCACGAACAATGATACCCATTCTCTTGGTTTCCGAAGTGAACGGGAAGATATTGAGAATCTCATAGCTCTCCAATTCATCGAGTGGATTCTTCAGGGTGATCGATGCCAGTTCACGACCGGACAACACCAGCCCAATGGATTCAGTGAATTTGACGAGAGCAATCTCGTCGGGACTCGAAGCTTGGTAGTTTTGACTCTTTCCTTTTGGCGAGGAGGACGACGACGACGATGAATCTTCTTCCTCTTCCTCATCGTCGAGATACGAAGAGACTGGTTCCTCAACTTTCTTCTTATCAGTGATCTTCTCGTAGCCACCCTTGGTCTTGAAGAATTGACTGAACTTTGATTGACTACCGACCTGAATATTCTGATCCTCGTGAATATCGACTTCACTATCGCCATGAGTGTCATCGGTGACAACCGGTGTCACATTGTGACACAAAGCGATAGCAGTGATTGCTTCCTTTATCTTTGTACCTAAATTTCTTCTACTTCTACTTGGCGCGACTGAATTTCTGTTGGAAGACGATGATGGAATCTGATAAGAAGATCTCAACTCTTGTTGTAAATCTGAAAGACTGTCTTTTGTATAAGAAATAGATCCTAAATGTAATTTCTTGAAAACCATATCTAGATAATAACAATAAAAAAGTTAATAAAACTGGATGAATTTGATTTGATTTGTTGTTTTTGATTTGATTTGATTGTTTACCATTTTGAGTTAATGTACCAGTTTTATCAGTTAAAAGATATTCAATTCTACCAAGTTCCTCTGGGATTGTTGAGGATCTAACAACAGTACCTGGAATCTGTTTGTCTCTCATCATCATGAATGAATAGGCAGTCTTTCCAAGATCGAGATTAACTCTCATACTGATGGGAATGATAGATGAAAACAAAAGAATGAATCTAAAGAGATAGATGTACCATAATCCACGGAAACCTTTAACAGCGATCATAACAAATGAGAGGAAACAAAGTAAAACAAACAGCAGTTTCGAGAGAGTATTGATCTCCTGATCCAACAGACCCACCTTTGTCGATGGAATCGATGTATTCATAACACAACGAGTCTCTCTTCCAGTGTAGATAGCACAACCGATAACATTACCACTGGCAACGACAGTGTTTGCCCAGAGCGTATTCTCAACGCTGATCGACTCTGTCTCTGCCGGCTGATTGTTTGTAAAGTTACCGATGAACGAATAGATGTCTTTCTTTGGTTGTTCGGCAAAGATCGATGCGCTCATATTGAGTAGTGCTTCGTCGTTCGGCAGCTTCTGAGTGATATGAATGGATCTTCTTAGTTTCCAATCGGTCTCACCGTCGAGTTGATCGGTTCTAATGAACGAGGCACCACTCTTCTCAGTGGTTCTCAAGAATACCATATCGCACGGTACTCTCTGGTTGGTCTCGACCTTGATGAAATGTCCGACTTTGATATCGGAGCTCGGTATCGAAATGAATCCATTCTTTGTCAATCGCTGGTAGTGCTGTGAATTCGCTTCTTTATCACGACGATATCTCTGAAAATCATCGTATGCCTCTTTCAAAATGGTGATCGACAATACAAATACCAATGGTGAAACATATGTAAATAGATATCCTATAGTTAATTAAATAACAATAATAGAAATGAATGAATGAATGAATCAATCAATCATAATTGTTCATTTTTGTTAATAAATGAAATTGATTCAACAATCACAACCTATTGATCAATGAAAAATCCAAACTTACCAGTTTGTAATGGTGGAATAAACTGTGATAAAGCTACAATAAGGAAGTATAGATTGAAAAAATACTTGAACTGTTCGTATAGAATTACAAATATAAAAGTATAGACATTGTATTTTTGATTTCTAACAACGTTTGGTGGGAATCTATAGAATTGGTTATAATTAGTATTAAGAATTATTATTGATCTATTTGTTTTTTTTTTTTGTTTTGTAGTCGAATAATTACTGTTTAGTTTGTTCCTCTAATTCTAAATTAATTGTTCTTGGTAGATAGATATGTTTTCTTTTGATAAAATCTATTATTTTTTGTAATACTGTTCTATTATCTACCTCCTATATTGATATTTTTATATCAAATTAGTTTATTTCGGTCAGTGATTATTGTTAATTTTGATATTATCTTTTTTACATACAGTTAAGAGAGGTATGCTTGAATCAGACATTAGAGGAGAACCAGCTTCGTCTATATTATCACCAAACTCCTCAATTTCAATGTAGTTGCTACAACTTCTGTTTAGATTGTTATTGTTATTGGCATTAGTATCTTTGTTGTAGTTTAATGTTGAGGGTGGCGGTGAGTGAGCAGAGTATGAAAAGGTTTTTGATGACATTTCTTTGTGATGAATGTTGTTGTTATCGTCGTCGTTGTCGTCTTCAATTGATGTATTCGAAGAAAATGTAGTCAATGGTATATCACTATTACTATTACTACGATTGTTATTATTGTTATGATGATGATGACTGTCGTTAAGAGGTGTAGATTTTCGTCTATATCTAGATGATGTTGAATTAAACAATGATGATTCTAAATCTTGATTTTGAAGATTATTATTATTGTTTGAATCGATTTCAATATCGTCTTTTTTTTTCTTTTTTGAATATTCTTTTTTCTTTAATGGACTTAATAATAAATTTATTTTGGAATCCTGTTGTATTATTGCTGGAGAAGTTAACTTTTCTTGATGTTGTTGTTGATTTTGCTGTTGTTGCTGTAAATTGTTATTTGTATTTAAAGTACTACTATTATTATTGTTATTATTATTGTTTGTGGAAAAAGAAGGTGACTGTTGTTGTGACTGTCCTCCTCTCAGTCCACTCAAATAATTGAAAAGTGAAGCTATCTTTTAAAATTTATTATTTAAAATATTAAATAGTGAATATTGTTTTTAAACTATCTGTTTGTATTGTTTTGTTTTTAATAATATTATAACAAAACAACCATATGTAATATATTTATCTATATATATCTGTAAAATAATAATAATAGAATGATAACAATAAATTAAAATCTCAAGAAATTTTTGTATTTTTGTCTTTTTTTTAATTAAAGTTTAAAAAAAAAGTAAAGTGAAAAAATTTCTTTTTTTTAAAAAACAAACTGTTTAATTAATTTGTCCATCCACATTAACTGTTATTATGATTTTATTATTATTATTTTCAAGATATATAATTGTGAAATGTGAATGTGATAGGGTTATTTGTATTGATATTATTTTTGTTTTGTTTTGTTTTAATTTTTTCGAAAACCAGTGTTAATTAAATGTGGTGAAAAAAAAACAATAAAGTAAAGTAGTTTTTTTTTTCAGTTTTTCTGTGTTTTCGAAGATGGTGGTGTGAATTGTAGGGGAATTTGTAAAAAAATCAATGACTTGTGTTCTGTGTCTTTAAACTTTAAATGAATGAGTCACTGGTTTGAAGATGTTGCATTTCGCAAGGTAACATCTTGGTTTTACTAATGAAATGAAAAGTGATTTTGGTTGATGATCAACGTCTCTGCTTTGCATTGTTGTTGCTCTTACTGTTTTAGATTTTGTTTAAATCGATTCACTTCTAAATGATGATCTAATATCGCCTGTCTTTGCAAGTGATCAATGTAAGGTCTAATATTATATCATATATATTTATATATATCAATCTATCTAACTATTTAAATAACTTGTTGTATATATTAATCTTCTTCTTCTTCTTTCTTTCTTCTTTCTTCTATTTCAACTATTATGAATATATTAATAATACTCTTCTAAACTTTTTTCTTTTAATATACAAATATATAAATAGAACAGTAATTAGAGTATCAATAGATAATGTTTAAAAAAATGGAACTTTTTAAAAAAAAAATATTTATTTTGATTTTTTGATTTATGTCGCTCGAAATTTAAAGAATAAAAATATCTATAAAAATGAAAAGGCTAAGCAAAATTTTTTTTTTTGGCAAAAACTGACCAATTTTTTAGAATCCTTAGTTTGGAGTGATATAACCTTAGGATGTAATCTTATTAGATTAAAAAATGATTTAATTTCATAGGATCTGATTAAGATATTGATATTTAAAGAGAAACAATTTTTAATAAAAAATGATTTTAATTTTGTAATTTTTAGAATAGTTTCTTTACATGAAAATCAATAGAAGATAATAATTTTTTTCTATTGGTTTATCTAATATCAATATTGATATGTATTGGGACAATTGTTGATATTACTTTATTAATTTCACAAAATTATTTTCAAATTTAAAACTGAAAAGATCAACAAAAAAAAAAAAAAAAAGTTTTAATATAAGAAAAACATTTAAATATATATGTTATTTGTTACCATCATTTCTTTATTTTTCAATCTTTTTTAAAATATTATTTATATTTTGTTTTGAAGATTCTGTCTAGATGGATGGAGTAAAGAAGAATAAAAATACGATGATTAAATAAACAATGCAGAGTGTTGATCCAATGAAATAATTGGTCTTTCCATTGGAGAATACAATATTCATTACTACAGCACCCAAGAAAATGGCATAGAAATCAATCATTGGGAAAATTAAATTAAATGATGCTAAATTGGTGCTATTATAATATAAAAATGATATTAATATAAATGTTAATTTTACCATTTCAAACAAAAAAGAATAATAGCAATAATAATACTTACAAATGACCCATTATTACTGAAATGAATAATAAAACAGGAATTTGGAATAGTGTAATTTGTACTGCACCACATGCACCGATTTCCAATGCCAATGGCATATTGTTGTGAAGTGCAAATTGGACGGCATTGAGATACTCAGCGGCGGTTGGAACAATACCAAGAATAGTGATACCAAGGAATTCATGTGTCAATCCAAATGCTTGCACCACAGGATCTATCGTTCCTACCAGCTTCTCAGAGACCAGAGCAAACATCGTTGTACAAACACAGAGAATCACGATGCACTGAGCTTTCGACCATTCCGACTCACCCTCTGAATCGGATCCGTGACTGTGTCCATGTCCTCCAGTTGCAGTACCATCCTTCTCGGGTGGATTCAAAATGTGAGTGTGAGTCTTGAGTGTGAAGAGCAGACCGATAATATAGGCAATCGGCAGAACAGTGCAGATTGCATACTGTAGGATTCTCGCTTTCTTGGTGTAGACTGGATCACTTCCGAAATCCTCTTGTACATATTTACAGACGTTGCAAGCGATTGTTCCACTGACGTCGGTGCACTCCGAACACGACAAATGATAGTTTCCAAAGGTTTTGTAGAGGATTGTCGGTGCGAAGATTCCAACGATGGCGACCATCAACAGAACAGAGTTTACACCCATCACCGAATGATTGAATCGCTGTTCCTTGTGCTTGATTCCACCGACTACCATTGCCAATCCGGGAATCAACAACATTGCGCCCAGTAGTGAACCGGTAATAGCTGATCTCGCTACTTCCTCCTGTCCATCGTAGAGAGTCACCACATAGAGAATCAACTCGATAATGGAACCAAAACTAGCATTAATAAGTGCACCCAGTGCAAAACTTGTTTGAGCCGAAAGCGATGCAATCGCTTTACAATTATAATATGAAAGTGGAATAGTAGATAATACACAACATAAAAATATAAATACCTTTTAAAATAAAATAGAATTGGTAAATATATAAATTAATTATTTCTATTTTTTGATAATTCTTTTTTCTAAATACTAGTACTTACTGGATGAATATACTTCTCAAAGAAATAACCAGATACAAGTGATAATACAACAAATGGTAGCAAATTGACCAAGCATACATTCATACCACTGACATTGAATTTATAATATTGATAGTTGAATGCTTCCACAGGATACAATAGAATTTCATAGTCTGATCTTGGAACATGGAATTCAACTTTAAGACCCAATGGATCAACCAATAAATTATATAATATTTTATTAAGCATCTAAAAAATAATAAAAAATGAATAAAATTAATAAATATAAATAATTGAATTATAAATTATTATGTTTTAATAAATAAATAACATACCTTTGCAGTTGGAATTCCAACAACAAACTCCCAAGTAAATATAATAAAGAATCCTTGGAATAAAATTAAAAATGGTGCACCTATTAAATAATAAATAACTAAACCAAAACTAAATGTAGTTGTTTTCGATGATTTTCCACCACCGCCACCGCCACCACGAAGTGGCATTTTCTCACCATCAGGCGATCTAGCTCCAAACGATTTCTGTAAATATTTTCCAAATGGCCACAACACAAAATCCTTTAAACTCCATGTTATCTTTCCAAATGGAATACCTATATATGTAATACTTGAAGAAAAGGGAATAAATAAGTAAGATGATAGATTTCCAAATTTGAATAGCTATCTATAGCTATTGTTAATAATTATACATACAATAATAATATACTGACAAGTGCAAAAACCAAATATAAAAAACTACCAATAAAAATCGAATAGAAATAGTTTCCAAATGAATTGACACCCTTTTCAATGACTGCATTCTCTGTGTAAAGTCTACGTGTCTCTGGAGAACGCTCCTCGAATTTTCGCTTTGTGATATGACTCTTGAATGGACGGAATCCAAACATGTGATTCTGGATGATGTGTTTCGCTTCGAGTGCATTGGTTCCCGGAGCAATTCCTAGATCCTCATAGGCAATTGGTTGGTCGGGTTCAGCATGAAATACAGATACTCTCTTTACTACTTTTCCACTATTACTATTATTGTTATTTAAATATGTACCGCTACTATGTGGTGATTTATAATTATTTCCATCAACTGTTATATTTGCATAACTTCCACTTCCATGTAATGTACTACTATTATTATTGCTATTATTATTACTATTGTTATTGTTGTTGTTGTTGGATACTACTGTAGAATTTGGATGTTGATTTATAATATGATTGTCAGCAATTGATTGATAATAAACTTTATCAGCTTCTCTCTCCTCTTTTGAGAGTAAGTTGATCTCTGACATTTCTTTATATCTTTATCACACCTATATTTTATATATAGATAGAGATATATAAATCTGTATATTAACTAATCTCAGCTCACCTACCCAAACTACAAAAATGTATTAAACAAAAAATACAAAAAAAGTATATAGAAATATCAAATTGATATTTTTGTTTTGTTTTTGAGCAAAAAAACAGTCGATAAAATAAAGTCTTTTCTTCTGACTCGAAACACTCTGAAACTGGGTGGTTGTTTGGTGTAAAAAGGTGTGGGTTGTGGGGGTTGATCTGATATGGGTTGAGGACTTGGTTTAAACAATTAAAAAAAATAAATATAAAAATAAAATAAATATATTATTTTATGTATTTGCAAATATTATAAATATAAATATGATGGTCTGATTCATCCAAAACAACTTGATATTTTTTTTGATATGTTTCTTTAAACTTGGTTCCTTTTTCCTTTTTCTTTTTTTTTTTTTTATTTGTTTTATTTTTTGTTTTTTTCAAACTATATTTTGATCGGAGGTTTTTTTGAATCCCCACCACGAATTTTCAATTTATTTTTCGCATCATTTTTTTTTGAACCCGAGGTCCTTAAGTTAATATTGATTTTCTTGTTTTTATTTTGCTTTTTCTTCAAGCATCAAAAATAGTTAAAGAACTTTCAAAAATATCTTTATAGTGATAAAAATTTAAAACAACATCATCAAAAATTATAACGCAAAACCCATGATGAAACAATGTTCATGTTTGGGGTTTTGCTATTTACTTTAGTGTAGGTATTTACTAAAACATTAGTTGGTTGAAGAATGAACAATGATTACATTTTTTGTGGTTCATTGTTCAAAATAATAATAAATTAGTATTTATACAAAAAAAAAGATATCATTTTTTATTTGTTATTTTGGTGCAAGTGCAGCACAATGTTTGTTTGATCTGAATGAAAGAGGAGGAGAAGAAGAAGAGGAGTTGTTTTTAATATCTATAAGATTGATCAGTTTTATCCAATTTACGTTTAAGATATTCAAATTCTTTGACTCCGTAGGCATTGTGTGTTAAAGATTTGCTTGAGATCACTCTTGCTTGTTCTTTGTATTTGTCGTCGCCATAGTTCAACTTGCTCAGATCACCGCCAACAGCGCTCATAGACATCACTTGAATCTCACAGGCTTTCACCAGCAGGAACATATGTAGGAAACACTCTTGCATGGTGGCACCGAGAGTCAACAGACCGTGATTACGAAGAATCAGGTTCTTGGCGGTAGCTCCCAAGTCCGCCTGAATACGCTTCTGCTCGTCCATCTCCACAGAGATACCCTCGTAGTCGTGATAAGCCACCTCGCCACAGATCATCGAGTTCTGACAGAGATTCTCGAGCAAACCGCATTTCATCGATGACACAGCAACGCCTGCAGTATTGTGAATGTGCATCGTCGCATAGATCTCAGGTCGCGATCGATGTATAGCTCCGTGAATCACATAGCCAGTGACATTGATACCGTGTTCAGTCGAACCGAATTCAATTATATTTCCATCTAAATCAACCTATTTCAAATAAATATATTCAATAAGTTATTTATTCTTAAAACAGCAATAATAATAATAATAATAAAGTGTTATTACTTTAATTAATGATGATGCAGTTATCTCTTCGAATCCAAGACCGAATGGATTCAATAATATATGATCGGTACCTGGTATTCTAGCGGTGAAGTGATTGAATATCAATTCATTCCAACCCAACATCGCTGCCATACGATAGGCAGCAGCCAAATCAATTCTTATCTTTCTCTCCTCATCACTCCATTTCTTTGCGTTTTGAGCAACGTGTACCTCTGCAATTGACAAGTTATTCATTATTTATAATTAAAGCTTAAACTAATAATTAATTGATAAATAAATAAATGAAACTATTAAACAAAAATTTATAATGATTTATAAAATAAACATAATAATAAGTTACATGACAGAATTTAACACATTATAATTACATGTTGTTGAGCAAATGTGCATAGAAAAAAACAAAAAAAAAAAACAATTTAAAAAAAATATTTAAAAAAGGTGTTTGTTGTTTGTTACTATTACCACAGTCTGTAACATTTAACTTTTTAGGGTTGTTGTTCATTTAACACTTGAATAATTAAATTAGTTGTGTGGTTGGTTGGTTGTCTTTTAGTTTTTATTTTATTTATAAATACTTTAATAGTAATTTGCCAGCGGGTGAATATGGTAGAATCTCTTCTATTACTATGGTTATCGGTGTCAATAACGGTTGGTGAACTGATATATATTGTTCAATATCTAGAGTTATTGATTTTTTGAAACTATTAATATCATTACTATTAGATTGGTTGTTGTTGTTCACAAGTGTTATATAGCATTTAAAGATTTTATCTTCCACTAAAACTATATCCGATATTATATTATTAAAGTGAACCAACAATTGTTTTTCAATAAGAACTGGATCAAATACATCATTATTATTACTATTATTTTTATATTTATAATATCTTATTCTATTTTGATAATAAAATATATTAATTTGTTGATCTTCTTTCGATGATGCTATAGTTATATGATCTTTGGTGTGAAACCAATTTTCTTTATCTGTTGCTAATTCAATGTGATCGTCTTTGATGTAACCTCTAGAGAGACATGTCGATTTCAAAAGCAGTTCGTCTTGATTGATTTCAGTTGATGATAGTCTATATTGAAAATGTGGTAATAACTGACCTAGACGAATACCAACACTACTAACATTAACATTGTCATTTTCATCGTCAGATCTGTTACCTGTTGTTGTTGTATCGATGGTAATGGTGCCAGTCTCAGTTGTGCCATAGTTTGAACGTAGTTGTATGCCTGTCTTTGATCGCAGTTGAACTATGAGGTCAGCGGGTATCATCGAGCCTGCACACATTGCATATCTCAAAGTACTAGCCTCCAAAGATTCAAACAGGCATCTCGGAAGTAACACTCTCTCTGCTAGCCAATGATAGGAACTTCTAACACCAAACATAATGTTGACTTTTAATTTGTTGTTGTTGTTGTTACTGTCGATTGACAAGTTATCTATCTGGTATAAATGATCTAGTGAAATCGGTAGAATGATCAACGACTCTGATAGTAATGATGAAACGATGCCACCTACCAAGCCATAGGAATGCGATATAGCGGAATTAACTAAAATCGTATCTTCTGCTGTATAGTCTAACTGCTTGGCAACCACCTCTGCTTCTTCTATAATCGATTTCCAAGTTCTAATTGATATCTTTGATGACGGTGAGGTAGATCCACTTGTCAATTGACAGACAGTCGGTTCATCCGCTACAACCTCACCAACTCTATTCATTATATATTCAGTTTTATATATTGAAAATCTATTATTACTGTATATTAATGTTATTTTTGATGTTGTTATTGATGATGAAGGTGTTGTTGTTGTTGTTGTTGTTGTTTGTATAAAAGTATCGTGGTTTATACCAATATCATTAGGTATAATTATTGTGGAGACTTTCGATCTGTTCATCAATGTAGTGATTTCATCACGTTTTAAATTGGGTGGCATCAAAATGGTCGAACAATAGCAATTAGTTTCACTACCAGTCGCTTGGTCAACTGTTTTATAGAGAGCGGACAGTGCTATCAATAAACAAAGTGAATCAAACGAATTCGACATAAATAGTGCAAAGTATGGTATGATCGTTTGATTCGATATCAATGGTTTGATATCATCTATAAACTGATTACATCTATCGATTAGATCTTTCTGATTAAATATTCTATCTTCATTCTTTCCAATCAAACCACTTTCAACACAGATAATACATTCTTTACTACTACTATTACTATTATTTTTATATCTATTAATTAATCTATTATATAAAGAATCCATATATAAATATAAATCTAAAAATTGATTATTCTCTTGGGAAACAGAAAAAAAATTCATTTTACTTACATCTTTCGATGAAACCATTTCATTTCGGGGAGATTGATTTTTTTACTTAAAAAGTGTTCATGTTACAAAATAAGCGAAAATGTTCTCCACAACACTTAATTCTTTGAAACCCAATCAAAAAAGATTTTATTTTACTGGTGGTGCACCACACTAGGGTTATCACAATTTCATAAAAATTTTTTATTAAATCAAAATGACTTGAGGTTTTGTTGTGGAACTAAATATATCGCTAAAGTTTGTCAATAATACACCATTATTTTTTTCTCTGGGATCAGTGAAGTGTTATCAAAAACAAAATCAATTTAGTTGTCATAGTTTATTTCAAAATATTTTTTTATTTGTTTATCACTTTTATTTAATTAAGAATGGAGCCAGTTACTACTTTGAGTTCAGACTCTGCTGAATGTGTGTTTCATGTGGAAGGAAATAAAATTGGTTACATCGCCACATTGAATAGTTATTCAAAGATCTTAGGAAAACCTCATTTGCAACACAAACTAACCTATGAAAATACATCAAAAGGCATTGGTAGAATATTTGTAAGGTATGGATGTGAGGAAATATGAACATTAGTTGGTTTATAATCAATCTAACACTAAATCTTTTTATTATTATTCTTTATTATCTATAGTTATAATATTAGCAAAATTTCAAATAATGAGCCAGAAAAAGAAAAGCTATCTTGGTTTTGTGGAACTGGATTCTGTGTGAAGAGTAATCTTGTTATGACTGCATCTCATGTCCTTCAATATCCTGTTGATTCGAAAGCATCGAAAGAGATTAAAGAGATACAGGAAAATCTTAGATACGATAAGATTTATATATACTTTGGCACCAATGCCACTATCAATGATGAGATCAACCTTTCAGAGATTGACCCCAAATCAATGTATGAGTTAGAGTCGTGTGGAAATTTTAGTTATCCGAAATATCAATTGATTTCCACTGGACAAAACGGTCAGAAATATGCCTGGCATACACTCAACGACTTACAGGTTCTCAGATTCAAAGGAACACCACCAGCGGGCATTGAAATTCTACTTCCAATGATTCCAACAAACGATGCAGAGCATGACTCACACTATGTCATGGGATATCCAGGCCACGTAGAATTGGATCACTTTGTATTGGATTACAAGGGTGCATTGGACCAACATTTAACGAAGCTCTATGACGATCTGGTCCAAGATTCTGCTAGTTTTCAGAAAAAAACAGTCTATGTCGGACAAGTTGTTAGTTTCGATAATGTATTGTCACACCAATGCCCAACACTAAAAGGTACATCGGGTGGTATTCTTGCGAATGGCAATCGCCTTCACGAAAAGAAGTTTATCGGAGTTCATCTCGGTGGCGATATAGAAGCAGGAAATATTGCGATATCGGTGACACATCAATTATTCTGGGATGTTTATAGAACCTATGTGCTCGATGATCAATTCATTCAAAACAACCTTGAAGATTTGCAACCTTATTTAAATTTTTGTCAAAAATCATATCCAGCTAAATAAACACATTATACTCAATATCGATTTATGTTAGTCGTATCTAACTCTTTATTAAAATGAACGACAAAAGAGATTTGAATTTTGTAAGTTATCAACAATAATTTTTGATTAATCTTTAATTCAATTATTATTTCTCAATTGAACAGATTTAATTTTATGCATGGTTTCCAATTCTTTTCTTTTCAAATAAAAAAATTGCACAATTGTGTCTGCGATATGTGTGGACCAATTTTTTTTGAACAAAAAAAATAAAAAAACAAAAAGAATCTTCAATTTACTTTGTTTTTTTTTATAAGAATACAGATTTTATAATTATTTATGACAAAAACAATTGAAACGTTGGAACAAGAGAGAGATGATATAAGTATATCTCTGAATATAAAAGATGGAGAATTTTCGAAAGATGATGGAGTAATTAATAATCGTTCACAGGCAGAATCTAAAGATGTTCGAATATTTAATAGTCGTTTAGAGGTACCCCCACCGAATTTGGAATATAAACAACACTATGAATCAGCATGTAAAGCTGTTGGTAGAATCATTGTGAGGTATGATATATAAATATATATTATTGTTATCACTATAGAAATTAACAAATAAACAAGATTGTCAAAAGAGGATGAGAAAGATGAATGGAAATATGGAACAGGTTTTTGTGTGAAGAAAGATATCATCATCACAGCAGCACATGTACTTCAAAACCCAAAGAGCAAAAATATTTCAATATATATCTATTTTGGTAATGATGCCCACATTGAGAGAGAGATTGCAATGTGTGGCATTGATAATACTCGTGGCGTCTTTAGATTGAAATCATGCGGAAGAGAGTTTGACAATCAATTCAAAGAACCATTGTTGATACCCGGAGTCGATAAAAGTCAGGATAAACAATACAATTGGTTTATTAACAACGATCTAGAGGTTCTTAGATTCGAAAACAACAATTCACCAATCAAACAAGGCTATCTCTTCCCAATGATACCGAGTGGCCCCACAGCTAGCAAAGTTCATTATGTAATGGGTTACCCAGGATACGCAGATTTGGATACGTTCATTAGGAAGCTTTCTGGAGTTGATAATAAGATCAACAAAAATATTTATAACTTTTATTCAGCTTACAGAGGATTTCAGAGAAAGACTATTTGCATTGGTAAAGTAACAGGTTCCAATGAAAAGGTATTGACACATCAATGTCCGACACTTCCAGGTACCTCTGGTGGTGTATTGGCAAACAGTGAATTCAAAGACCAATTTATTGGAATACACCTTGGAAGTAACACATTAACAGGAAATATAGCGTTGTCAGTCACTCACCCACTTTTTATATATGTTTATGCGACGTATGTTCTCGATGAAGAGTTCACCAAACAAAATTATGTACTTTTAGAACCTTATTTAAAATATTCACTAGAACAACTACAAAAACTACAACAAAATCAACAACTACACCAACTACAACAACAACTGCAGAATCTTCTACAACAAACAACAATAAACTGATAATAGAAGCAGTCTGTGATTTAATAACAACAACGACGGTGATAGGAGTACAAAAGTAATAGTTGTGAACAGATATAAATAAAGAATAAGAATCATGGCACCGTATAAAACAATGATCGTGCCATTGTCAGCCAAGCTAAATTTAAATTGCTATGAATCAGGACCACCAGTACCACTATTACTTTATTCATAAGGCATTACTTCATACTAAAAATCGTGAATTAAGGGTTGAATGTGTGTTTGTAATGTGAAAAATATATGGTTGTTTATAAAAAACCATATGGTTTGAAAAACTGTGTGGTGGGGTGAGTTTTTTTTTGGTGGGGTGAGACATCATATTAGTAAATAGGATTGATCAAACAGTGCGCTAAATCAATAAGATCAAAATATTTAATAAAGAGATAGTTTAAAGAAATAAAAATAGATAAAAGTTTAAAGATATTACTCAATTTAATTAGTTTTCAAGATTTAAATATCTTTGAACTTTAGTTTTCTATAAATGGATATAATGGATATCTATATATGTTTGTGTGATCGAATCTATTATTTTTAAATAATTTTTTTTTTATGAAATCTAATAAATCTTACAATGATTTAAGAAAAAAATATTAAAAAAAAATACAATCTGATCATACATTTGTAGTTTCCAAAAAATTGTTTTGATAAAAATAAAAATATGAGAAATAAAAAAAAAACTAAGTTTATAACAACAAAATAAGATATTTTTAAATAATTTTTTTTTTAAATGAAACAAAACAAATCATAGGAGTGAGGTCAGATAGAAAAAAAGTTGATAGTAACAAAATTTAATCAATGGTCACCACTAATAATGTCCACAAAAATTTTCATTTCAAATTTTTTTTGCTTTTTTTTAATTTTCTATAGACCACAAAACTAAAAAGCATTTCAATTATTTTTTGTAAAATTTAAAACTTTTTTGGCTCTGTTATAACTATTAATAAACTACTTTAAAAAACTAGTCATCATAGTTTTGAAAAAGAATGTCTAATATTATCATTCCTTTGAGTTCCGACTCTGCTGAAGGAGTGGTTCTCGATAATAGTCTAGTCGAACAAATCGTAGCAATACACAAAAAACCATTTCACTTGTCGCACATTGAGTATGAAAATACATCAAAAGCTGTTGGAAGAATATTTGTAAGGTATGTTTTATTGTATTATTTTTGGGAAAAACAAAAACTTTAACATTTTTTAATTTACCACATAGGTTTAAGGTACCAGGAAAAGAGAAGGCATTTTGGTCGTGTGGCACTGGTTTTTGCGTGAAGAGTAATCTTGTTATGACTGCTGCTCATGTGCTATCATTCCCTGTAGATACATCTGCATCAAAAGAAACCCAAGAGATGCAGAGAAATCTTAAATACGAAAAGATTTTTATATACTTTGATGACGATGCCACTGTAGGGGATGATCCCGACTTCCCAATGTACGAGTTGGAGTCATGTGGCAGAGAATGTGATCATACGTTTAATGATCCTTTGATTATCACTGGTGATAATATTAGACCTAACCGCAGCCAATATACTGATACTGAGTCAAGTGGAAGTGATCATACACCTAACGATTCTTTGTCTGGAGATAACGGTAAATCGTCTGATTTGGAGTCGGAGTCAAGTGGTAGTGATTTTGATAAGACAACGAACTATTATCTGACTAAAGACAAAGCTGTATACCCTGTAGACGATCAAAGATACGTCTGGAACACCAACAACGATATGGAGATTCTAAGATTCAAAGGAATACAACCAACAGACATAGACATTCTATTTCCAATGATTCCAACTAATGGCCAAGAGATTGACGACTATACATTTCATCAATCTTCCAATCAACAGCCAAAGTTTGATCACTATGTTGTAGGATATCCAGATGAATTTGTGAAAGAAATTGGCAATCAATTGGAGGATATCATTGAAACTTGCCAGAAAAAGACTATCTTTATTGGCAAAGTTGTCAGTTTAAAAGATAATGTAATTTCACATATATGTCCAACACTCAAAGGTGCTGCAGGTGGTATTTTGGCCAACTACAAATCCGAAAGAAAGTTCATTGGGGTTCATCTCGGTGGAAATTCAGAAATAACCAATGGTAATTTTGCACTCTCAGTGACACACCCATTGTTCTGGCATTTTTATCATACTTTTGTTCTTGATGATCAATTCATCAACGAAAACCTTCAACATTTGGAACAATATCTGAATTATTTTAAATATAAAAATGAATCTATATCATTCATTGATGAAAGATTTTTTCTTGGTTCAGATCTAGACAAAATATTTACATTAAATAGTGAATCAAAGATTAACCTACCTGACACGGAACTCCCTGATCGTCTAAATTATGAAACAGCATCAAAAGCAGTTGGAAGAATATTTGTAAGGTAAATAATTATTAATACATTAAAATCATGATCATTACATTATTATTTACTTTTTATCAGATTTTTATTACCAGGCAATATTGAAGAATGGAATTTTGGAACTGGTTTTTGTGTGAAGAATGATACTGTTGTAACTTCTGGTCACCTTCTCCAATATCAAGATCAATCTAAGATCTTCGAACATGATAAGATATATATTTACTTTGGATATGATGCCACCATTGAAAGCGAAATATTTTTGGATGATATTGACAATAATGAAGGTGTCTTTGAGTTGGAGTTAGTTTTCGGAAACTCCAATGTCAATATCCTCAAATTTAAAAGTGAACCACCACTCGATCAAGAATATCTATTACCAATGATTCCAACCAATGATTTATCTTCTAATCATTTTGTTATCGGATATCCAAACCATATTGATTTCGACAGGTTTGTCGATGAGTTCAGACATCTGGATGCAGGACAAATAATGATTAGTATCATAATGAATACTCGTGGTTTTCAGCACAAGACGATATTCAATCAAACGTCGAATATCAAAGATATCAAGGAAATCAAATTGCTTCATCATTGCCAAGCTCTCCCAGGTACTTCTGGTGGTGTTCTATCAAACTCAAAACATCAAAGAACATTCTCAGGAATACATATTGGTGGATGGTCAAACTCAGAAAATGTTGCTCTCTCTGTGACCAATCCTCTATTTTGGAATGCCTATCATGATTATGTTTTGAATGATTCAGTGTTCATCAAAGACAATAATTCCATGTTGGAACCCTATATGTCTTTTTTCCAACCATTCAAACTCTCTACTTTAATTACTAAAGATATACCAATTGGAGATATCAGAACATTCGGTAAGGGTAGGGAATCAAAGATCCCTTTGAGTAATTCAACATTAGATAACAAAGAATACTATGAAAATATATTTGAAAGGTAATAACAACTATTTTAACAATCTTACAGCCCCAAATATTAACCTAAATTTTTTAAAAGTGATTTTTTTATATATTCTAAGAGTAATAATTTTGGATCGAAACTTTCGAGTGGTGAATCTATTACACTTAATGATGGACAATCGATGACTGTACAACAACTATACTTGAAATCAATAGAGTGTGATCCAACCAATTCTATGTCATATTATAACCTTGCAACAACACTTTCAAGAGGTGAATCAATCACACTTAATAATGGACAATCAATGACAAAACAACAATTATTATTGAAATCAATTGATTATGATCCAACCAATTCATATCCATATCATAACCTTGCACCAACACTTTCAAGAGGTGAATCAATCACACTTAATAATGGACAATCAATGACACAACAAATATTCTTGAAATCAATAGAATTATATCCAACCAATTCAAATTCATATCATAACCTTGCAACAACACTTTCAAGAGGTGAATCAATCACACTTAATAATGGACAATCAATGACAAAACAACAACTATTCTTGAAATCAATTGAATGTGATCCAACCAATTCATATTCATACTATAGCCTTGCAACAACACTTTCAAGATTTGAATCAATCACACTTAATGATGGACAATCAATGACTGTACAACAACTATACTTGAAATCAATAGAATGTGATCCAACCAATTCAAATTCATATCATAACCTTGCAAAGACACTTTCAAATGGTGAATCAATCACACTTAATAATGGACAGTCAATGACAAAACAACAAATATTCTTGAAATCATTAGAATGTGATCCAACCAATTCAATTTCATATAATAGCCTTGCAACAACACTTTCAAGAGGTGAGTCAATCACACTTAATAATGGACAATCAATGACACAACAACTATACTTGAAATCAATAGAATGTGATTCCATGTCATATTATAACCTTGCAATGACACTTTCAAGAAGTGAATCATTCACACTTAATAATGGACAATCAATGACACAACAACAACTATACTTGAAATCAATTGAATGTGATCCAACCAATTCAAATTCATATAATAACCTTACAACAACACTTTCAAGAGGTGAATCAATCACACTTAATAATGGACAATCAATGACACAACAACAATTATACTTGAAATCAATAGAATTAGATCCAACCAATTCAAATTCATATTATAACCTTACAATGACACTTTCAAATGGTGAATCAATCACACTTAATAATGGACAATCAATGACTGTACAACAACTATTATTGAAATCAATAGAATGTGATCCAACCAATTCATATTCATACTATAGCCTTGCAACAACACTTTCAAGAGGTGAATCAATCACACTTAATAATGGACGATCAATGACTCAACAACAATTATACTTGAAATCAATAGAATTAGATCCAACCAATTCATATTCATACTATAGCCTTGCAAATACACTTTCAAGAGGTGAATCAATCACACTTAATAATGGACAATCAATGACTGTACAACAAATATTCTTGAAATCAATAGAATTAGATCCAACCAATTCAAATTCATATTATAACCTTGCAACAACACTTTCAAGAGGTGAATCAATCACACTTAATAATGGACAATCAATGACACAACAACAACTATTCTTGAAATCAATTGAATGTGATCCAACCAATTCATATTCATATCATAGCTTTGCAACAACACTTTCAAGATTTGAATCAATCACACTTAATAATGGACAATCAATGACTGTACAACAACTATACTTGAAATCAATAGAATTAGATCCAACCAATTCAAATTCATACTATAGCCTTGCAATGACACTTTCAAGAGGTGAATCAATCACACTTAATAATGGACAATCAATGACTGTACAACAACTATTCTTGAAATCAATAGAATGTGATCCAACCAATTCAAATTCATATAATAACCTTGCAATGACACTTTCAAGATTTGAATTAATCACACTTCCAAATGGACAATCAATGACAAAACAACAAATATTCTTGAAATCAATAGAATGTGATCCAACCAATTCAAATTCATATCATAACCTTGCAACAACACTTTCAAGAGGTGAATCAATCACACTTAATAATGGACAATCAATGACAGAACAACAACTATTCTTGAAATCAATAGAATTAGATCCAACCAATTCATATTCATATTATAACCTTGCACCAACACTTTCAAGAGGTGAATCAATCACACTTAATAATGGACAATCAATGACACAACAACAATTATACTTGAAATCAATAGAATTAGATCCAACCAATTCATATTCATACTATAGCCTTGCAAATACACTTTCAAGAGGTGAATCAATCACACTTAATAATGGACAATCAATGACAGAACAACAACTATACTTGAAATCAATTGATTGTAATCCAAACCAACTCCATGTCATATGATAGCCTTGCAATGACACTTTCAAGAGGTGAATCAATCACACTTAATAATGGACAATCAATGACACAACAACAATTATACTTGAAATCAATAGAATTAGATCCAACCAATTCATATTCATACTATAGCCTTGCAAATACACTTTCAAGAGGTGAATCAATCACACTTATTAATGGACAATCAATGACAGAACAACAACTATACTTGAAATCAATTGATTGTAATCCAACCAACTCCATGTCATATGATAGCCTTGCAATGACACTTTCAAGAGGTGAATCAATCATACTTAATGATGGACGATCAATGACTGCACAACAACTATTCTTGAAATCAATAGAATTAGATCCAACCAAATTCAAATTCATATCATAACCTTGCAACAACACTTTCAAGAGGTGAAATCAATCACACTTAATAATGGACAATCAATGACTGTACAACAACTATACTTGAAATCAATAGAATTTAGATCCAACCAATTTCAATTCATACTATAACCTTGCAACAACACTTTCAAGATTTGAATCAATCACACTTAATAATGGACAATCAATGACTGTACAACAATTATACTTGAAATCAATAGAATGTGATCCAACCAATTCAAATTCATATAATAACCTTACAACAACACTTTCAAGAGGTGAATCAATCACACTTAATAATGGAAAATCAATGACACAACAACAACTATACTTGAAATCAATAGAATGTGATCCAACCAATTCATATTCATATCATAACCTTGCAAAGACACTTTCAAGAGGTGAATCAATCACACTTAATAATGGACAATCAATGACAAAACAACAATTATTCTTGAAATCAATAGAATTAGATCCAACCAATTCATATTCATATTATAACCTTGCAACCAACACTTTCAAGAGGTGAATCAATCACACTTAATAATGGACAATCAATGACTGTACAACAATTATACTTGAAATCAATAGAATTAGATCCAACCAAATTCAAATTCATATTATAACCTTGCAATGACACTTTCAAATGGTGAATCAATCACACTTAATAATGGACAATCAATGACTGTACAACAATTATACTTGAAATCAATAGAATTAGATCCAACCAATTTCAATTCATATTATAACCTTGCAATGACACTTTCAAGAGGTGAATCAATCACACTTAATAATGGACGATCAATGACACAACAACAACTAATCTTGAAATTAATTGAATGGGATCCGACCAATTTTGAACTATATTAGACACTATTTCGATATGAAACAATCGAACTCCACAATAGGGTTCAAATGACACAACAACAACTATTATTGGAATCGCTAAGACTAGGTCATAAACAAACATGGATTTATAAACTTATTGGATTCACACTTTTGAGCAACAAACAAACGATTACACTCCCAAATTGCGAACAAATATCAAGAAGACAACTAATTAAAAAATCAAGAGAATAAATAATATGATTGTTCTAAACATACACTTTAAGAATAGCAATTATTATTTTTATATCAATACCAATCATTGTCAATAAGCAATCAATTGTTAAAAGTGAATTAAAGATAGTGAACTAAAACCATTCATCAACTCAATCCATATTACAAATAAACTATACTCTTTATTAATATTTTAATTGATATTATAATATACATTTATCCCAACTTATATAAATATATTCACTGTTCTACTTTCATATATTATCATTTCAAAATAATATAATGATATTATTTGTTATTATTAACTTTTTGGAGTTATTAAATTTCATAAGAGGTAATAGATAATGATAATTAGGTTGCAATAAATAGTAATATATGAAAATAAGAGAAATGAAATAGTATAAAAATCTAAACTTCCATAGGCTAACTAGTTAATCACCTTTCTGTAATTGTACATAATAAATCAGTTTATTATCAATCTTATAATAAAATTCATCATAAACAAATCTGTTACAAAAATATATTTTATTAAATACAAATAAAGTCTCTACCATCTGTAAAACTTAATATCTATTATACTTATTATATCCTATTATACAAATGAATAACAACAACAACCAAAATTTAAAGAATCACTTTCTTTGTAAGCTTGTGTTTTTTATCCGACTGGCTTGGAGCGACAGCAGAGGAGATCGGTAATTTGGAAGCAGCCAGAGTAGATTTGAATAAATCGGATGGGAGTGGGTCTGGACGAGTGTTGTTGGGAGTAACATCCGGGAATAACATAGAGGTTGATGGGATTGAATCATTATCGTTGTTGTTCTCGAGATCATTCATCGTAAGATCATTTGTTGTGGTTGTTGTAGCAGTAGGTGCTGCTGCACTACTGGTTGTTGTGGTTGTTGTTGTTGTTGATTGATCGGTTGGATCTGGCATTCCTTATTCAAATAATAATTAATAATAATAAATAATGTTTTTAATAATGTCTTTATATAATTTAAATTTAACTCTTATTTTCTCTTTTGTTTATTTATTAATCTTTGTTCCAATAATCTAATTAATTCTTGAATAGATTGAATCAATTGAATAAAACTTGAATTCCCTCTTTAACGTCGCGTTAAACTCAATATATTCATTATTGAGAAGCTTGACGGCTGAGTGTTGAATACTTAATTCAGAAACAACAGATTCTAATTTAATTATTATTTCGATCTGTTGTTTTGAACTATTACTTATTTAGTTGATTTAATTAATTTAATTAATTATAATTGACTATTACTAAATGTTGGCTGGTGTATATTATTGATGTTGATTGATGGGTGCCGGCATTGCCTTGGCGGCTACCTCATTGTCCTTAGACGGACAACAGCTTGTTTGCACAAACTGTCATCTGGGATAGCACAGAGACATGACAATAGAAACTATGAACAATCTAGAAATACAATGTCGCTTGATAGGTGAGTTGTTTATTAATTATATTAGTGGGTTTATCTACATGATACATATCAATATAGTTATGGGATTTGAGAGAATACGAACTATAGTTCGTTCTTCTTTCAGAACACAAGGATTAAAACTCTTAACCACTTCTCTTAGAGAAACCTTTTTCTGAAATCCAATGCAAAGTTGATCAATCCATTATGCATGACCAAGGAAACAGAGCTATTTCATTTACTCATATCCAGCAACAAAAAAGAACAATGTGTACAAAGACTGTTGTTTGAATTGCTAAAAATAAATCAGTTTATTTCAAATTATTTTTTGCACAAACAAACGGTTTAATTTTTAATCGAAATCGGTTCTCTGAATTATGTGTCACCCAAAAAATCTACATTTATTTCCTTCATGATTTAAATATATTTTTATTATTTTTTAGTTGTGGTTTAATTTAATATAGTGTTATGATGGTTGGTTTATTAAAAGAGCTGTTTTGAATTTCATTTGTTATTCCACAAATCATATTTCAATCATTTCATTTTAATTTATATTTTCAAAAAAATAGGTAGATAGATAGAATGGCTTCTAATAGTAATAGTAGATGATATTGTTAAGAGTTTGAGTTCTGACTACTGAATGTGTGAAAAAGTCGGAGGAAAAATGGTCGGACAAATAGCAACTTGATAATCCCTGAACAATGGTTCTTTTGCCACACAAAGATACATATCAAAGTTCATCAACTAGTATAAGAAGAATTTTTGTAAGGTAAGGTATTATTAACTAATAACACGATTACTGTTTTAATTCAATAGTTAAACTCAAATATTAATATTAATATTGTATTTCTTTAATCATAGTTTTGAACAGATAAATTCTCAAACAGTCGATTGCAACTGGCATTAGTGTAAAGAGTAATCTTCTTATGACTGTAGCTCATGTGCTTTCCGATTAGAAGCCAAATCCGAAACAAAAGATCTATATTTACTTTGGTTACGATTCCACTATTGGAGATCACTTGCCGATACAGTTGGAGATCTAAGAATGAGTATCCATTGAACTACAGTGGAGACTACGGTCAACTTCACAACGGGTACACCGACGATTTGGTAGTTCTTAAGTACAAAGAAAGGGTTCCAAGAGATGTTACCTTTCTCTTTCCAGTGCCAATCAAAGAACCAAGTGGAGACCACTATATCATTGGTTATCCTTGTTCCATAGACTTTGAAACCTTAAAGTTGGGTTACCCTGGTGTACCTCTGTACAAAGCGTCTTTAACTTCTTTAAAACCTTTGTTTTGTAGTTTTATAAAAAAAAAAGAAAGTAATATATTAAGTACTTCATTCTCACATCAATCTTTAAAATTAAAGTTCATTAATTAAATATTTAAAAAGAATTAAATTTCAGTTTTTTTTTTGCCAACATGTTTTATTAAATTTGACAATTAATTAATAATAAATAAAGTAAAAACAAATAATAAATAAATAAATAATAAATAATAATAATGTCAAATAATGAAGAGATTTTACAATTTAAAGAATTTAGTAGTTTTGTAAATATATCGTTCTGGCATGAGTTGGCACAGATGAAGCTTGATGTCTTCAAGTTGAGTGATAAAGAAGTACCGATCAATGCATACTATAGCTACTCACAAGCTGCACAGCTAGATCCATACTTGTGTTTAGAGTACAATGCATTCCAACCATCATCGTTAGACATCAAAGATTTGTCACTAGACAAAGAACAACGGCCTTTACTATTCAAAGCACCACCGAAATCATTGATCTCCAACGGTATACTCTATAACTTTAATACAAAAGAAGATTTCAAAAATACATCGAAAGCGAAAAAGTTATTTGAAGATCTTACAAAAACTGTATATGTTTTATTACTTATATTATAATATTAACAAGTATACTAATTACAAGTTATCATTTTCAATATTGCAGATTTATGCTGATATTTTAAGTGGTGCAGCAGAAGAAGATCCATCGAAATTATGTCAGTTCTTGTTGATGACTTTTGCCGATATTAAGAATCACAATTTCTATTATATGTTTGGTATTCCAGCGTTGTCATTTAGTACTCCTATCACTACGGTTGGAGCATGTCAACCGTTAGGATCGTTCTTTAATGAGAATCAATTGCAATCATTCAAGAGTGGTGTACAGTCTTTGATATCATCTACATCCGGTGTTTTCGTTGTAAAGAAATCGACATCCGATCAATCGACTGTTGAACTCGGAAAGTTGAATGAATGGAACAAGTTCTATCCAAATGTTGCGGATGACGCAGAGGTACCAATCGTTGCATTCTGTGATCCATGTAACTTGCCTAGCAATCCTGGTTGGCCACTTAGAAATCTGTTGTACCTGTTGGCCGTTAGACACAAGGTGTCAAAGCTTAATGTCATCTGTCTTAGAGATCAGAAGGGTTCGCTTGTTGACAACTCGATCGTTCTAACTGTACACCTCCCAACTGAGACATCGACAGCTGGTGTTGCCGACCCGAATATAATTCCAAAGTCTGTGGGTTGGGAGAAAGACGCCAATGGAAAGATCCTACCAAAGTCTGTATCGTTGGCATCGACAATGGATCCTTTGAAGCTGGCCGAACAATCGGTCGATCTCAACTTGAAGCTGATGCGTTGGAGAATCCTACCGAGCTTGGACTTGGAGTTGATAAAGTCGACCAAGTGTTTGTTGTTGGGTGCGGGAACACTCGGTTGTAATGTTGCGCGTTGTCTTATGGGTTGGGGTGTTAGAACGATTACGCTGGTCGATAGCGGTAAGGTGTCCTATAGCAACCCGGTGCGTCAGACACTCTTTAACTTCCAGGACTGTGTTGGCGCGAAAGGCAAGGACAAGGCAACTGCCGCTTCCGAATCGCTCAAGAGCATCTTCCCGGCGGTAGATGCCAGTGGTGTCGTTCTCTCCATTCCCATGCCTGGACACACTGTTGCCGAGCATCTTGTCGACCAAACAAAGGCGACCTACGAGCAACTCCGTCAACTAGTTGCTGACCACGACGTCATCTTCTTGCTAACTGATTCTCGTGAATCAAGATGGTTACCAACTATTCTCGGTAGACAACTCAATAAGATTGTTATCAACACAGCGCTCGGATTCGATACTTTCCTTGTGAGTCGACACGGTCAGAATGTAGCTCACGCCAACGAGAACTCTTCAGGCGACGCCAAAACAACTGGATCCGATCTAGGTTGCTACTTCTGTAATGATATCATTGCACCTACCGATACGTTGAAAGACCGTACTCTCGATCAACAGTGTACAGTCACCAGACCCGGACTCTCCTACATGGCATCGGGAATGGCAGTGGAACTAATGGTATCGCTTCTTCACCATCCGATTCAGGGTCGTGCACCCGCCGAAACCTCAACCGACATCCACTCGGGATCGTCCACCCCGCTCAGTATCTTACCACACCAACTCCGTGGATTCCTCTCACACTTTAACACACTACCACTGTTTGGTCACGCCTTTAAGAATTGCACAGCTTGCTCACAGCCACTATTAGATCAGCTCAACTCACGTGGATTCGACTTTGTCTTGGAGGTACTCAACGATTCCTCATGTCTCATTAAATACGCAGGAATATCTGAACAATTGGCAACAGAAGGTGTATCAATCGATTGGGATGAAGATTTGTTAGAATCATCGTCTGACGATGAATAATAAAATCAACACAAACCACGTGCATACACAGACAGACAAACAAATATAAAGTTTATAAAAATTTCAAATTTTATTTTTGTTTTTTTATTTGCAAATTTGCACCACAATTTTTACCAACCAACAAAATCAACGGACACCTAGCTTGAATTAATTAAATAATAATCATACATATTTCACCTTTTTTAATTATTAGTTCAATAAATTAATATGTATTTAATTGTAAAAATAATAAAAACAACAAACATATTATATATATCTTAAAAAATGGATATAAATAAGGATAACAATAAGAATATCCTTAAAACAAAAGATAATTATAATTATAATCTGTATAAAACATCCTTTTTATTTATATTATTCTTATCTATATTCATTATATCAGTTTCTAATATAAATAGTTATAAAGATAACTTGATTGTATATAGTGCACCTCTTTATCTAAAATTTAAATCAAAATTAAATGCAAACCATGGTCATTTTGTAAAAATCAATAAAAATAATAACAATAATAGTAAAAACAACAGCAATAGTAACAGTGTAATTAATAAATATAAATTACAAAGAGATTATCATTATAATTATAATCATTATCAACAAATAAAAGATATAAACATTAATAATAATAACAGTAATAATAATAATAATAATAATAGTGTATATAAATTTGTATATTTAAATGAAGATTGTGTAAATATAAATAATATTAAACAAGATGAAGAAGTAGTAAAGGAAATCGATAAGAATATAAATTTCGATGAATTTAAGAGTATAATAAGAAAATGTGTAGATGTAAATAGAAAGAATAACAAACAGTTACTAAGGAATATTGGTAAATGGGAATTGGAAGATCTTTGTTTTAATTGTCATTATCCTAACATTTACAAGCAGTTTGCACAGCTTGTTGCTGCCACTCGTGAACAGAGACAACAATATATAGAGGATTTCAAAAGGTTACTTGCTACTATTGACTATGGCTATGGTGATGCCAATGTAACGATACACGCAATCGAGGGCAGACCTAAACACTTCTATAGTATCTACAACAAGATGCACAATAAGAATCTGACTTTCCGCGAGATTCACGACAAGTATGCTGCCAGAATCATAACAGACACCGAACTTAACTGCTACCGTCTGCGTGCTGGAATCATGCGACATCTAGAGGTCACCGAGCACTACGATGACTTTATCGAATCACCTAAACCCAATGGATACCGATCGTTACACATGGATGTTTATGGAGTGGATAACGAGATCATTGAAATTCAAATTCGTACAATGCAAATGCATCAATTTTCAGAAGGCAATTATTGTGAATATAAAGGTGAATGTGGTTAGTTAGTTACAATTAATAAAATGAATTGATAATATTATCATATTACTATAAGCTATATCTACTTATTTATTTCTTTAAAACGTTGTAATGCTCTTTGCTTTCGTTGTTGTTGTTGTGGTAGCTACTTACCTAACCTCTTTGCCATCAACGGATAAGCTAGTACAATTTGAATTTGAGGTAGAGTTTTATTAAAATTAAGTATAACTTGTTTATTTATTTATATTTGATTGTTTATAAATGCTTCTTCTTTTAAACGCTGTAATGCTCTTTCTCTATGAGTGGTGAATAGTTTGAATATCGGAATGGAATGTCTACCTAATTTACAATCTGCCAATTGTTCATTGATTTTGAATGACCTATGATCTGGTACGTGTTGCAATACATGAATAATCAAGTGGAATTGTCTACTTTTGAACAAAAGATATACAATAGGTTCACATTTCTCATAAGAGAATATTGGTGACGCTTTAAATCCGTGATTGGTAATGAAATAGTCCCATATTTTGATATCTCTGAAATAACTGGTGATAGAAAGCAATAATTGATGTCTACCAAGCTTCTCTGTGGCGGATTTCAATGTTTCTAGATCACCGATGGAAATGACTTTTCTCCAATACTCATAGGCTAGCACCGACGGAGGTATCATATCCAAATAGAGAGAGGAAATCTTATAGCCATGGAAGATGACTGCATACCTAACTGCTTCCTCTATATTGGCTTTATCTCCAAGCATTTTTATAAAGATCAAAAACAAATCCATCTGATCGTTTAACGCCAAGAATTTCAAATCCCTATTCATTTCATCGACGGTCATCTGCTGGAAACTCTCTGGATAGTTTAGATACAAAAACTTAACCATATCGAAATACCTGTTTTGAATTGTTTTGGAAATAGCGGTTGTTGTTGGATTCAATAGTTGATCATCGTTCGTTCTTAGCCATTCAACTATCTCTATGTTGTTGTGTTGAGCGGCACAGTCTAGAGCTAGCGGGTATCGCTCTGTTCTATTTTCATATAGCCATTGGACAATCTCCAAGAAATCACCGCTAATCGCTAGTTCCAATGCTGATTCACAGCCATCTGGTCGAATCGATTGCAACCACTTTACCATTCCGAAATTACCAGTTGACGTTGCCAAATCAATTGGATTATTAACATCTATTGGTCGACCTATCTCCAACAACCATTTAGCTATTTCTACATCTGAACTCCTGATAACATTCTCCCATATCTTGTCACCAAGTTGTGCACCTTTCTCAAAGAGGAATTTTAAACCTTCGAGATAGCCAGTGTCAACCAACCTCTCTAGATTTGGTCCTGATTCCCACATCTTGTCGTCATTGAAAATGGCATCGTGATCAAACTCCTTGTTTTCCAACCTCTCTACTTCACTATTGTATATCCATTCGATAACATCGATTCTTTTCACTCTAAAGAAATGCCATAGACTTCTCAATCGAAAGAATTTACACTTCTTAGTTTTATGTAACCATTTAATCATCTCTAGGGAATTCGATTGCTCTGCACAAACCATTAGCTCTGCTTGAGCAACTGGACAACTTAATGCATTCCATTTACAATGATCTATATACCACTGAACACATTCTTTGCTGCCTGAACGCACAGCATTCTTGTAACACTCTAATAGTATGTTTGCCTTTGCTTTCTTTGTTGGTAACACCGATGATATATCAACAAACTCGCTCAACATTGTAAACAGTTGATAGTTCTTTGATTTCGGTGATCTCGACAATACCTTCAAGTAATCTTTATCATCGATAGTTATTTTCTTTTTTCTAGCTAAATCGATGATATATTCTACTATTTCTTTTCTATTGTTTTCCGCTGCCAACGCCAACAGTTCACCGAAATCGAAATGACTCTTCTTGATCGTGATGTAATCGTAACTAAGAAACGATAGTGTTTCTACTACTCGCTCAAAGAATGATCGGTCATTGAGTTTAACAATGATATGCTTCATAATGAAGAATAGATCCGAGTGTCTAAAGTGTCTGTTCTCATAGCTGAACTCTGTACAATATGCTAGCACGGAAGAGTGTAAATTCCTAACGGTTAGATAGAATCTTTTCAATTCATTGTAGTAACCATAGTTAACCAGCTGAATTGGGTTACAAAGCATATCTGCCCATCTATATAAACAGTATTCTTTTGTATGACTATTAGATTTCCTCTCTTGTCTTAATTGATCATCTACTTTTTTTCGATTTAATAAATAAACATGATTAAATACTTCATTTCTAATATATTGATTTTTTAAAATTAAATTAAATAATATCTTTAAGTCCATTAATGGTCTATGTAAGTGTAAAAATAATATTTAACATGTATTGGCAATCAAATTTATCTTTACTAATTCTCAAAAAATTCTTATTTTACCAAATTACTTTTTTTTTTATTAAAAAAAAAGTTAATCTAATTATACTTTTATCAAATGATAGATAATAAACTATCAAATATTCTTATATCTGAACAGATTATAACAGGAAACTGTTAAAGTCTGACAGAATTGAAGAACTGTCATATATAAATAGTTTATTAAAATTTAATACTATTTTTTAATATTATCATCATCATATTTCAAATTGTTATAATTTTACAACAAAAGTCAAATAGTAGTCGATAGATAACGTTATTAAATCTTTGACTACTTTTATATTTTTAAACTAAAAAATAAAAAAATCTAAAATATCTGATTGATTTTTTATAAATCTATAGTAAAATAAGATGAACTACATTTTTTTTTTATAAAATAAAAATAGTGTTCAGATTCAAATAATAATAAATCAGAAATATTTGTAAATCTACCACATGTATTATTATCAAAAATCGTTCAGTGTTTAGATGATAATATAGATAAGATTGTTTTTACATTGGTTTGTAAAAGATGGTTCGATGATAAAGATAGATATCTAACTTTCAATACAAATACAATCAATATCATTGATGATAAAGATAATCATTTCTATTTAAATTCATATCGATCATCAATCAACAACTCATTGAATCAAAAGACAAATTGTAAACTAATCATAAATGATGTTGGCAGATCAGGACATGACTATTCACTTTCTACAGGTACTTATTAAACAAATACATGTCTATAAGAAATGAAATAAATTCATTTATTCTAACAGTTATTATTTAAAAATTTTAGATAAGCTTGAAGAAACAACAGATATTCCATCAAATGTAGATACTGTATTGATCGATCGTTCGATAGAATCTTTATCTACGGAATTGACCGAGAAACTTTATCATTTAATATCCAACTCCAATGTTATTACGCTCAAGAATTGTATTGTTGGAAATCAATTACCATTGAATCTGAAATCCATTAGCTTTGGAGTCGATCATGATGAACCAATAGATGGTATTCTTCCACCGAATTTGAAACAATTAAAGTTTGGTGAATCATTCAGTCAAAGGATCTTGGTTGGTTCACTTCCTGCTACATTGGAGAAATTGACATTACCCAATGCATTCACACACGAATTTGAAGAAGGTGCACTCCCAACAGCATTGAAAGTTTTGAAATTCGAACGCGGTAGTGCTTATGAACAACCTATTCATCGATTACCTCCAAATCTTGAAGAATTTCATTACAATGGACCATTCGGTGTACCAGAAATTGGCAATGAACAACTACCTGACACACTCCGATCACTTTACAATGTTCCTGCTTCGTGGCTTCATTCAATCAAATCACTTTCAAATCTTACAACCTTAACGTTTAATAGCAAAACCAAAGGTTTGGAAACACCAATAGATTTGAGTTTGTTACCAACATCTCTAACGAGACTACATATCGATGTTCCATGGAAATTGGAATCAGCAATGCCTACAACAATTAGATATCTTAATATTGTTTCTGCAAAGTACGATATCGATGAGATATTCAGAGATCGATCACAATATCAATTCGAAGAACTCATTGTCCATGCATTCAAAAACGAGTCACTCGATGGGTTGAAAATCAGGCAATTGAAATTGGAATTCTACTCAATAATAAGCATACCTAGTAGGGAATTTTTCACTTGGGATGACAAAGTAATCAAATCTAGTGTGCTTAGATCCATTCCGAATGGTGTAGAAATTCTACACGTTGGAATATGTAATAGTGATTTCAAACTTGGATCACTAATTCCACTTTCAGTTAAAACTATTATCTTTCACAATCAAATGGGTTCTATCCCAACATCAATAGAAGAAATGATTCTACAACAAGATATTAAATCATTCAATTATGATAATTTACCTCCGGCAGTTAGATCATTGACAATTAAATCAATCGAATTTGATATTAATCTAAATGGAATCCCTCAAACACTTGACAATCTATGTATCAAAACAAAAAGAAGATACAGCCAAATATTTTCTCTAAGAAAAATCAACAATCATCATTATCTCTTATTTGGTCAATCAGATGAACATCTAAATGCTGCAATAATTAATGTTTCTGATATTAAAAAATTTAAACTTTAAATAAAACAAATAGATTAATAAAAAAAATTATAAACATGCAATATTAACACAAAAATGTTTTGGTTTCAGACAAATATAAAAAAAGTGGTGTTGTAATTTATAACTCTTTTTTTTCTTCACAAATTGTTTAATTCCATGTAAAAAAAAGAAGCAAATTAAATTTGAGTGGTTGACCCAAATTTTAATTTTTTTTCATCATTATATTTTTTTTTGTTTTTTTTTTTGGCAAATAAATATATATTGTATGGATATCTTTTTATTTATATTGAATGTAGATTTATAACGATCTTTATGCTCCAGTCTTACCAACACAAACCATTAAAATAAATACTAAAGCAAGACAAATTTTTGGTAAGCATATCGAATTACTGACAAAAATATTATATGTTACAAAAATAAGAAATAAATTTTTCTTTTAACCTCTTACCTCATCACATATTATTTCAATTATCATCCGAAGTGTATAAAGATTTTTATCATATATTTAATATTTTTTATTTTATCTCATTTAAAGTTTAGAAATATGTTAGATTCCAGTAGTAAAAGTTTTAATACTCTAGTCGACCAATCCTCACTTAATTCTTTTGAAGATAGAAATAAACCCAAGAAGAATTCTACTATTTTGAAGAATGTAGATTTAAATGGTATGATATTTTTGAGGTGTTTTGAATTTTCTTTGTTTCCCTATTTATTAAATTTTAAATAATCATCGTTTAATTTAAAGATGATTCAAAACTCATTGAATTGTACGGAAAATGTGAAACCAAATTTGCTTTTATAGTATGGAAATCATCTATGCATATACCTTGGGTATGGCCAGTGACAGCCCCAGAAAAAACAGAAGAAGAAATGAATAAAGATGAACTAATTTCATATAATTGGACAAAGAGAAGACTTTTCCATGAAGTATTGGAAGAAAGATCATTCCATTTAGTCTCCACTATAGATGGAACATATGACTTGAGATTCATCGTAACTACATTTATATATTTTATAAACTATTTCTAAAGAAATTTGATTAATATTAATTGAAAAATGAAGAAACAACCAATAGATTTAGTTTGGCTTCAGATTTCATTAGCTAATACAGAAAAAGAAGATTTTCCAAATGATTTATATAGTAGATTTGATCGACTTCATAATATCAACAGATTTCCTCAGATGACATTAATCAATACCAAACATTCTTTGGCTAGAAGTATCAAAGCAATGTCAGAAAGATTTGGTGAAAAAGACTTCTCATTCCACCCAAACACATTCATCCTTCCTGAAGACTATCAAAAATTACAGCAATATTCTAAAGAGAATCCTGATGTCCTATTCATTAAGAAACCAAAATTTGGTGGAAAAGGAATTGAAATCAGTTTGTATTCAAATTCTCAAGAAATTGAAAATGATTCTAAATATGTTGTTCAAGAGTAAGTCAGAAAATTATAATATATAATTTTTAAAAAATGATATTAAAAAATAATTGTTTTAGGTATATTTCAAATCCATGTTTAATAAATGGAAAGAAATTTTCATTCAGACTCTATGTCTTAATAACATCTCTGAACCCACTAATATTGTATATTCATAATGATGGTGTAATAAAATTTGGAAAATCAAAGTAAGTTTGAATCAAATCTAATTACTTAGTTTATAGTTATATTAACATTTTCGAAATAGTTTTAGTAATGATAGAAAAACATTCACTGAAGACTATATTTCCAATCATGTCACCAATCATCCTTCTAATACAGCTCCTTCTACGGAGTTCAGTTCAGATTTTAAAGAGGATGATGTTGGTAGAAGATGGAGTGTCAAAGCATTATTGAGGTATCTAGATAAAAACAATATCTATCCATCTGATCTCCTATGGAGTAAGATCAAGGATGTTGTTGCCAAAACTATTTTCAGTGTTGAATTGGATGTTCTATCTAAGACAAATGAATTGATGAAATCGGAATCAAATGGATTCCAACTTTTGGGACTAGATATTGATCTATTAGACAAGTAAGTAAAAAAAAGAAAATAGATTTAAAATTATTGATTAATTTCAGATTTTTAATATAATCAAATATTTTTAATAGTTTTCAACCAATATTCATTGAGGGGAATGTAAATCCTCTATTAGGTTCAGCTATACCGCCATTTGAAAACTATCACAATTTGCAAGTAATCAGAGATACATTTGACTTGATTGGTCATACCGTTTACAATTCGACAACAATGAAAGAAGACATCAAAACTAGACTATTACAACAAAAAGCAGAGTTGATTGTTAAGCAATCAAAGAATATTAAACATCTTGATGAACAATCACTAGATAAACTTGTACAATATGAATTTGAGGTATATTACATTAAATTTGAATTCTATTACATAAAGATGTAGCTTTACTTACTAAAATTATCATTAAAACTACAGAATATACACCGTGCCAACTATGAATTGATCTACCCAACCAAAGAATCAATTGATACACTCTCAAAATTTCATCTTAACAAAGAGAGTATCTTGAATCAGGTGTTACATCGTTATGTAAAGAGTGATGGTAATGATTATTGAAACAACATAAGGTTTATTTTGAACCAGCTTCCTACTAGTAGGAAAAAGCTACAACTACAATATCTTAAATTAAAACGGGTTAACCCATGTTCTTATGCTTCTAATTCTTTAAGATATGTTTTTTTCAATAAAATTATAATAAACTTTCATAGTTCTTTCTTTTACCAAGCATTGTTTTCTCTATTCAAACGATTATCAGTGTCAAATCCCTCGATTATATAGATATTGGATTATAACTGTCTTTGATTGTAACTTGTAACTCTCTATTGCCTCAATTTGATTCTACCTGTGATTTTAATATCCGAAGAATTTCTATAGTACCGACTGTGTTCGTGTACCTCTGCTCCGATATCGAACACCAATGACAACAGTAATGGATTCATTCTAACATGTAGTACCCACCGACATTGTAAACTGTGAATTCACATATATTCTAACAGTTATTGAATATATCTACTAAAAGAATACAATTATTCTAGAATGTGGATAACCTAACAGTTGCCTGCCAACAAACATTCTCCGATGAAAAATAACTATTGTTAAGTAAGATATTGTTTAGATAATGCGAACTCAATTAACCAATATATATATAGTAAAGAATAACAAATATTTATTAAATTAAAAGTAGAAACTAAAAGTTTGAAGTTCAATTTGGATAAAAAGTGCTGAACCCGTTTTTGATTCCTTAAAGATCTATCCAAGGTTGTCTTTTTTGGATTTTTTTCAAAAAAATCTTTAGACAAAAATCAAGTTGATTTTTATTTTGTTTCTATTTATGTAAAAACCAAAATTAAATCTATATTAGTTATATATAATGGATGGTTTACCAAAGTTATATATTTCAATACTTATTATAGTTTGTTTAAATTCTGTATATGGTAAATTAGTTAAATTAGTTTTTTAATAAATCTTTGTATTTATACTTACTTTATGCCAAAAACAAAAAAAACAGTAAATGGACAACAAATGAACTTTTATTCAGGTGTAGTTGAAGGATTCTATTGGCCGAATACATACTCTGTTAATGGACAATATGGAAGCTATAGTGCTACTCAACGTAATCAGCTGATTCAGTTGTTAGCTGACAATGGAATCGGTGTCTATTGGTATGCCGCTCAGAAACCAATCGATACAATGGCGCTTTGGAACAAGACTGAACTGGCAGCATGGAATGCCACACAGCAATTGGCATCGAAACTGGGTGTCAGAGTGGTCTATGGTTTGCGTCCAGGCTGGTTGGATACCGATACAACAAACATCGCCACACGTCTCACACAGATTAGCTCGGTGGGAATTCGTTACTACAGCTTGAACTTCGATGATGCCGAAGGTGTCACCACGACCGAACAACAGACCCGCGAGAAAACACTGGTGTCATCACTGGCAACGTCCAACCCGACAATGACACTCTGGGGATTCACACCGGCCTACTACTACATGGAGACAACTCGTAGCACCTGGAATCAAAACTTGCAAACGATCGATGGCATTGCCAGCACCATCCCAATGATCTTCACTGGTGAATCCATCACGGAATCGACTTTTGACTCTTCGAAATTCCCGAATCTACAATCGAATCGGCCGTTGGTTGTCTGGGACAATTGGATTGCCGAGGACACCAACACCAGAATTCCATGGGGAATGATTGACCAACGTATCGCCAACAACATGTTTGCCAGTCCCTACGGTTATATCCTGAACTTGTGTTATCCGCTGGAGAGAGTCATTCATCATATCTACTGTCTCGGTAAGATAGCAAAAGTTAGTTCCGTAGCACAACCCCAACCGAAATGCGATGTTACACAAACCGGTAGCTATTGGTCGACATGGCTCAACCAAAACGGATTCCTTCACAACAATCAAAATGTTAATACAGTCGCAACAGGTCTAACTGCTGCGATCAACGATGATCAGTTCTACGAAAGTATTGCACAATTCGAAGCTGCAAATCCAACACTACAAGGAATATTTAGTACACCACCAACTCCAACAACAACAACTACTACTAATACTACAACATCCACAACATCAACATCGCCAACATCCACTTCGACAACAGGTAAAACAACAACCACCACAAACTCACCAACAACTACAACTACAAGTACACCAACAGCTACTACAGGAACAACAACAACAACCACAAACTCAACAACTACTACTACAGGTACAACAACAACAACAACAACTGCATCTACAACTACAACCACTGATTCATCAACAACATCAGATGTTAACGAATCAAACAAAATGACATACAACATCCTCTTAATTTTAACATTCTTAATTTTGTTGATAATCAACTAAGTTAAGATAATATTATTATTATTTATTAAAAAAACATTACTTACCTACCAAATGGTAAGTGATCATTGTATTTTTACTCTGGTAAAATTTTAAAAATATTTTTAAATTTTTGGGCGATTTAATTTTGAGTGACATCATCTTCAAACAACTTTTCATCTTCTTTGCAAAAAAATCGTCCTCTTTTTCTTTAGTCTCAAAGAATATTTGCACTAGATTCGTTTGTGATAATTATAAACATATCACCATTATAAAAATTCTTATGACTTTTGCAAAGGTCCGGTACCATATTTGAAATGACCTATTTTTTGCAATGTAAAAAAATAATTCTAAAAATCTATTTTTTTTTTTTGTTTTTGTCAAGATTTAAAGATATTTTATAAATTTGCAAAAAATCATCAAAAATAAAATGATTTTTCAAAAACGAACTAAAATCACACTGCAGGTATACAAATTTACAAAAGAAAAAAGTAAATCAGTGTGTGAAAATTTTATTTTGAAGTTTTTTTTTGTTTTTTTTTGCATCACCAATGACCACCAAGAACCATCAAAAATAATTAAATTAAATTAAAAGTTTTTAAACTAAAGTAAAAAAGAATAATAAAATAATATTTATAGATAAGACAAGAAATTTAAGATTTAAACAGATAAATAAATAAAATAAATAGTTGTTATATATTTATAGAAAAAAAATTGAAAAGAGATGTGTATGTATTTTTTTTTTTTTTAGTATATAGTTTTCAAGAAATTATATTAATATGACTAAATGTGTTATATACAGCATTGGTTGTAAGTGAAAATGGATTTTCCTATGATTCAAATTTACCAAAGGCAATTGTGATGTATCGATATGAAGCTACCGAGGATGAAGAGATCTCATTGGAGGAGGGTTGCTATATCGATATTGTAGAGGAGGCATCCGATGGCTGGTGGAGAGGATTCACCATCTCAAAGGATCGTAAAGAGGGAATATTTCCATTCAACTACGTGAGAAAACTTTCGAAAAATGAAACTGAAACTTGGAAGCAGAAAATGTTGAACATTAACACAACAGGAGGAGCATCAACAACAAATAGCATATTAAATAATATAAAAAATAATAGTAATAATATAGATCAAGCCCAACAATCTACGTTGAGAGATAGTTCCACATCGAATTCATCGTCATCGACATTGTCAGTGAATCACAATCAAAATCAATCAGAGTCGACCACCAGTCTACCGGGACTGGAACCAACAGAGACACATTATATTGCATCATTGAGTGATCCAATCGAGAAAGAACAACAACAACAACCAAATAATAATCAACAACAACAGCAACAACAGCCACAGCTTTCATATGCACAAAAAAGATTGACATCACTTCCACCAGTACCACCACAACCAACACCGTTACAAATACCACAACAACAATCATCATCACCTTCATCATCGACAACATCAATAAATTCATCTTCACCAACTTCACCAACTTCACCACAATCGACTTCACAATCATCCTTTGAAAATTCACCCATTCCATCATTACCAACACCACCACAAAATTTAGTAACCATCAAGGTATGACAGTCTTTAGTTATAAAAATGGAATCTTTTGGTTATTTTAATATAATAATATTAATATTTGAACATTTATTATATCAAGCTTGACGATGTATCGAAAGAAGGATATTTAACAAAGAAAGGACATATTAGAAGAAATTGGAATGTAAGATGGTTCAGATTGAAGAGAAACGTTTTGACATACACAAAGAGTCCCAGTGAATCTAAAGTGAGTGGAGAGCTTATTTTAACACCCGATACTCAAGTCGATATAGCAACCTCTATGAAGCGTACCAATTGCTTCCAAATTAGAATACCGAATCACATGAACACAAAGAGTGAATTAATTTTAGCATGCTCTGCAAATTCACCAACCGACATGGAAGAATGGATCAATGCTATTAATCAAGCAAAAGTATGTAATAATTTAATATCGATATTAATATTATCTTTTAAACTAACTAACTATCTAACTAAACTAACTATCTTTTACATTATATTCTAGATTGTACATTAGAATAAATAGATAAGATTAGATTTATAATATATAATTATATTAAAAATAGTTAGTTAAACTATCAATTTATCGACAACAACAACAACATATTATAATTATAATCATTCTTTTATTCTTTTATTCAATATCATCGATTTTGAAAGGTTTTATTTAACAATATCGATATGTACTAACTAACTAGTTAATTAGTTAGTTATTTATATAGTTGCTTTGGTGTTATATAATAAGGGGAAGAATGAAATAACACCATCTGTATAAATCTATAGATTAGATTGAAGATAGAGAAATGTTTAATGATTAATTATTTGTTATACAAATTTGTTATTACAATTATCTAATAGTAATGTACTTACAACACTTAATAATGAACCTTTAGAATAGTTTGGTACGAATGAAATCGATTGAATTGGTTGATTACGCTTTTTAAGGAAACCTCTAGGTGTCAATGATAGATTAGGTGTTGTTTTCAGACGATAGAGAGCTACCAATGTATCGTTATCATTACTACTTCTATTCCTTAAAAAGATGACTGCTAATCTGTTTCCATCTGGGCTAATCGCAATCTTTTTGATATGTCCACCAACATAAACTCTATTAATATAATAATAGTAATCAAAGTATAATTAATAAAGATTAATATAAACAGTTCTCTCTAAAGACAACAATAAAGATATACATACTCTGTATTATTTTGATAAGCTTTATATGTAGTTGTTTTTTCAACATAAACTAAATCACCACCTAAATGATTATTATGATATAATAGTTTGTATTAGTAATCTATACATATATGTTAGGTTGTTTAACTATATCTAACTTACTTGTTTCCAATGCTTTATTTTTACATTGAATAAAGTTGATTTGATCATTATAACTTATTGCTAGATAATCGCCTGCTGGTGTCCATGCACATGACTAGATAGAGATAGAAGGGAAGAATCGAATGGATTAGAAAAGTGTAAAGATTGTATTTATATTTACTACTATTATAATACTAGTTGTATTACTACTTACTACATAGTTAAAACTTTGATTCCATTGTTTGTTGTTATAGTCCCATTTGGAGGTATCGAATATTCTAAAGTTTTCACGACTTGCCGATAGCAGGAATTCGTTGGAGATCGGTGAGTATGAAAGTAGAGTGTTACCACCGTAACGAGGCAGCAATGTCGGTACTCTACTAGCGACGTCCCACAACACGATAGAATAGAGCTGATTCGATCCACTCGCTAAATATAATCCATTCGACGACCAACTCAATGTTGTCGGCTTAAAATAAGGATGACACAACACCGTTGCATTGGTTCTACTATTATTATTACTCTGTTGTCTAGCTGAATTCGGTGTTTTCAATTCATTTATATCTATTTCCCAAAGAATGATACCATTCCTAAATATAAATGTTAAAATACATAATAAAATTATCTAAACAACAACAACAACAACAAACTTACTCTGTTGCAACAGCTAAAGTATAAGGGGTGTGTGGTTTCCATTGAATATCGGTAACGTTTGTTTGGTGTTCTGTCCAGAGTGTAAGGGGTTGGTAGATGGTGTAGTCGATATCTAGTTGTTGTTGGTGTTGTTGTTGGTTCGAGTTGAAGTAGTAGAGTGATATGATGTCATGTTGATTACAAACCGCTAGAATACGTTGTTGTGGATGCCAACACATTGATTTAACTTGTGAATTCGCGGATGATGATGATGATGACTTGCTACCACTACTGCTGTTGATGCTCATTGTCATATTCGATAGATTATCGTTCAACCACTCGATCATACCATTAACAAAACTCTGTAGATTCATCAGTGGTTCGACATACAGCGGTATCTCATCTTTATTCGGTGATCTCATTACATCTTGATATGATCTTCTTCTCTGTTCATCGTTTCCTACATTGATATCATTAAAGTATTTCTTCTGCACAAATTGTTAAAAATAACGATTTTTTGTTAATGTTATTTAGTTAGACATCGCTTTAACTTTCTTAAACAATAGCAACAACAAATACTCACTTCTAATTGTAATTCATAGGGTAATTGTTGTTCACTTTCAACAGGATCTAACTTTGAGAGATATTCACCATAAACTATAGAGTTTTCATCAGCTACAGTCTTGACATATCTTTCAAAACAATGTGCTTGTTCAAACATACTAATATTTATACTGATATCTTTAGATATATATAGAGTTATTATTAATACTATATAAAAAAAAAACTTTTTAAAGTTTGAACAAAAAAAAAAAAAAAAAACAGATCTGATTAAAACTTCCCGCGCCAATGATCAAAAAGCAAACGTTTAGTTATTATAAAAATGTTAAGTACATTTTTAAACATTATACACATACAATGATTTAATATTGAGTTTATTATAAGTGACTATAGATGTTGAATTTAGATAACAAAAAATACTCTATAGATATTTAATCAGAATAAAATATATATCATTAAATTAAGAAAAATAGAATTAAATATACCGTCGTCGTCTATAATCCATCATGATTAAACTACAAATTTTCTAAATTAACATGATGTTATAGAATGAAAAGCATATAGGATGATAGATAATCATTAAACGAGTCTATAAATACCGAAATTATCAAAAAATAATAGGAGTTGCTGGCTACTTTACTCCAACATTCGAATAAAGAAGATGAAGATATGTTAGAAACAAAGATTATTTAAGATAATATGATATTAAATAAATAATTAAAAGGATGTTTGAAACATGAATTTTATATATAAAATTAGATAAACTAACTTTTGTGATCTTCTATTTTATTTACGCTCAACTTCTTCTTATATTGTTCAGATATCTTCATCGTTGTTGTTTGTATCAACATCAACTTGTAAATTTGATTTTTGAAGTAGTTGTCTTCTTGTCATTTGCTCACCATTTGGAAGTGTAATCGTTTGTTTGTTGTTCAAAAGTGTAAATCCGAGCGTTTTGTAAGCTTTTGTTTGTGTATGATCTAATCTTATTGATTCCAATAATAGTTGTTGTTTTGTCATTCGAACATCATTGTGGAGTGTTATTGTTTCATTTTGAGACAGTGGAATTGAAATCTCAAAAAATGAATCGGAATCAGTTGGATCACATTCAATTGATTTCAAGAATAGTTGTTGTTGAGTCATTGATTGTCCATCATTAAGTGTGATTGATTCACCTCTTGAAAGGGTCGTTGCAAGGTTATAATATGAATCGGAATCAGTTGGATCACATTCAATTGATTTCAAGTATAGTTGTTGTTTTGTCGTTGATTGTCCATTTGGAAGTGTGATTGATTCATCACCTGAAAGTATATTTGCAAGGTTATAATATGAATTTGAATATGTTGGATCACATTCTATTGATTTCAATAATAATTGTTGTTGTGTCATTGATTGTCCATCATTAAGTGTGATTGATTCACCACTTGAAAGTGTCGTTGCAAGGTTATTATATGAATTTGAATTGGTTGGATCATATTCTATTGAGTTCAATAATAGTTGTTGTTGTGTCATTGATTGTCCATCATTAAGTGTGATTGATTCATCACTTGAAAGTGTCATTGCAAGGTTATAATATGAATTTGAATTGGTTGGATCACATTCTATTGATTTCAAGTATAGATGTTGTTGTGTCATTGATTGACCATCATTAAGTGTGATTGATTCATCACCTGAAAGTGTCATTGCAAGGTTATAATATGAATTTGAATTGGTTGGATCACATTCTATTGATTTAAAGTATAATTGTTGTTGTGTCATTGATTGTCCGTTATTAAGTGTGATTGATTCACCACTTGAAAGTGTAGTTGCAAGGTTATTATATGAATCTGAATTGGTTGGATCACATTCTATTGATTTCAATAATAGTTGTTGTTCTGTCATTGATTGTCCATCATTAAGTGTGATTTGTTCATCACTTGAAAGTGTCATTGCAAGGTTATAATATGAATTTGAATTGGTTGGATCATACTCTATTGATTTCAAGTATAATTGTTGTTTTGTCATTGATTCTCTATTCGGAAGTATAATTGATTCACCATTTGAAAGTGTATTTGCAAGGTTAATATATGAATTTGAATGAGTTGGATCACATTCTATTGATTTCAATAATAATTGTTGTTTTGTCATTGATTGTCCATCATTAAGTGTGATTGATTCACCACTTGAAAGTGTTGTTGCAAGGTTATTATATGAATTTGAATTGGTTGGATCACATTCTATTGATTTCAAGTATAGTTGTTGTGCAGTCATTGATTGGCTGGATGTAAGTGACATTTATAAAAAATAAAAGTATTACTATCAATTATCTTTTTGAAATAAAGGGTATTCCTTTTTTTTTTAAAATTTTTTTAGTGCAATGAAAAAAATTCAATTTTAAAAAATCAAATAAAGAAAAAAAATTATTATTAGTACTATTGGGAAGGAAAATCTTTGATCATCATAAGATTTTATTTATTTAAATTTAAAAAATAAAATATTATAGATATATTATCACAACCAAGAAGAATATGAATTATTTATTATCATAATGGATACTCTACTGAACCAAATTCATTTTAAAATAGATTATATTATCTCAATTATCCTAAGTTGTTTATAATTCTTAAGAGATTTTACACTTTTTAACCACTTGTTATTACATATCAGTTAGAGCACTCAATGAATAATTACTGTACAGGTAGATACCAACCGATAATAGTTTGAATAGAGAAAAACAATGAAAAGAGCCATGCTGGCTGATATTTCGATCATAGGTTCAATATATATTCCGTCACCTGGTAGTTGGTGTTTCAGAGTGGAACTTCCAGTGCAGTGATTGGTAGTCGTGTCAACACTGATAATCAAGAAGAGATGATGAAGAATACGATATTTATAATGAAGATTCAGGATTCGATGATTCTAAATATGAAAGTTAACATGCAGATCCTTTTAGAAACAAATATTAATAAGGAATAATTTAATATTAATAAATAAGATAAAATATGTTTGTGATGTTTGGTTAGAAGTTGAAATCGAATGTTGTGTTTATTGGTATATATGTCGATTGTAGTATAAGAATTTTCGATGAGGATGACTATTTTCAATTGTATCATTGTCATCACTATTCTCTGAAGCGTAGTAGATCCTCTTGGTATAATTGGCAATGGGAAGATTTGAACAACGGTATAAAATTTTCGATTTGATATGTGAAAAGCCTGTGTATTGTCTATGACTTCTTATATGCTAACTTTGAATCAGTTCCACCACTATAATAAATGACACGATCGATGTTGATTTCAGTGCTAGCGTAAAGTTGATATCTATCGTTAGATTTGTTCTATCTGCCCATATATAGTTATATTATAGGCTGAGAAGCCTATTTTAATATTTGTTAAATTAAATTAAAATATTTAATCAAGTTATATTTAATAATACGATCTAATTTAATCATGTCAATGATTCGACTCTAAAAGACTGAATATTTATCTACAATCTTAATGGATCTATATAAATTATATCGAATCGACATTCACCTGAATTGGAATCAGTCATAACCACCAATTCATCTTTCAAAATTGATCGAACAATTTTCTAAATTTAATAAATGTTAATGATATTGAAAATAAATAAATAAAAAAAATTCATACTATTTTATCATCTCTATCTTCGTAGAAATAGTAAAATTAGATCGTATTATTAAATATAACTTGATTATATAATTTAATTTATAAAAAGATAGATATAGAATTTTACAATTTGTTTAAAGAGAATATGATCACTTGAAAGAATTATTTTCAAAAAAAAAAAAAAAAAAAAACTTGGATTTTTTGTTTTTTTATAACTAAATTGGTATTTTATTAAAAGTTGTATTAAAAGGATGGATTTACAATCAAGTTTTTTTCGTAGTATATTTTTTTTCTTTTTAGTTGTTGGATTTATAAAGGTCTATTACATGTATTGATATTTATTAGAGTTTGTATTAAATATATTATTCAGTATTCTATAGAACGAAAAGTGAAAAAAAAAACGAAGATTGAAAAATAAAAAGTCTTGTTGAGAATTTTATTAAACTGAAAAAATAATAATGGTGATGTTTTGATTCGGATTAATCTTAGATTAATCTCTCTTTAAAATTTGTTTAATTTTATTATTTACAATTGATAAATTTCAGTTTTAATAACCTATTAATTAAAGATTAAATAAAAATTAATCTTCTGATTTATAATTGATAAAAATTTAAGTTTTATCTTGTATAAATTTAAGATTAAACTCAAATTATTCTTTGAGAATAAACTCAAATAAATTTTGAGGTGTAAACATAAATTAATTTAAAATAAATGATGGATTTATTCATTAAATGATACTGTAGTGTAATTAATTAGTTAGCAGGTTGGGAAGTGAGTTAATTTCATTTACTTGATTAGTTGGCTGGTTTCGGAGTGTTGTTTATTAATTTTAGAATGTTTCAGTAGATATCGAAGTCGGATATAATAGATTGGTTGGAGAAATAGAGTATTTTGTCATCTTGACTGAATAGAATTGAACTAACTTGTTCCAAATGTTGTGGTAAATGATCGCTGTTAGGTCTGATGATACATCGCAAAGGTAGAAATGAGTAGTAGATTTTTCCAGTGACCGTTCGTCGTAGTTGGCAATTTTTAGATGTTTTGTGATGTGTTTGAGGTTGAATTTGTTTAGGATGACTCGACAATTAAAGAAATAATGTGTATGTGGGTCTTTTTTTTTTTTTTTTTTTAAAATTATCCTTGTACTACCATTACTGATAGTCAAGATGTAGAGCTTGATATTAGCCTACAGTGTCGTGTTTATTTATTGTTGCAATTGAGCCACAGGCCGGCTGAGATGGCCATCATTTTTGAGTAAGGGATGATGTTCCTAATGGGAACTTCTCATTGATTTGGTTTGGCAGACGGAGTAATTAAGCCACTTAGAATATTCTAAGCGGGTACGTGTGTAAACCACCGGTGTTCACCTATGATAAGCCTCCTAGTTACTCTCTATGGTCAAGGATTCGAGTAGTATGATTCACTTTTTTTGTTTTTTTTTGATTCACTTGCTTCTTAACATGCGCGCATCACGGGACATTAAATTTAATACAAATATCAAGTGTGAGGATTGAACTCACGACCTTAGGATTATGAGACCTACGCTCTGCCAGCTGAGCTAACCTGATTTGTACGAGAAAATCATATATTTTTAAATTTCTATTTTTTCTTTTTTTATTTATAAAAAAATATCAACAAAATTTTCATTTTCCGATAAGTTTCATTAGGATCTCGTTTAGTTTCTCGAAATAGAGTGTTTCATTTATTTTTTATTCCACACTTTTGGTTTTTAAATTAAATTAAAATGTTAACCCTTAAATTAAATAATTTATCAAATGGATGTTCAGAATAATATAGTAAAAGAGGTAGAAGAGGAAGGATGTTGCAAATCTCAGAAAATAGAAGGTCAAGAGGTCAAAAAAGAGTTATATGATATCGAGTTATTAAATGAATTCAATAGATTTAAGAATAGAGTGATTGATTCTCATTGTCACATACATGAAGATCAAAATGAAATTGATATGGTTAAAAATAATGATAATTACAATAACGACAGCAATAACAGCACTGCTAGCAATAATAAAGAAAAGTTATCATTTAGTCAGAGTTGGTTGATGGGTACAACCGTACCTGATTGGGATCGTGTAAATAGCTATGCATCGGTAATGGGTGATCGAGCGATTCGCTGCTTCGGTATACACCCTTGGTTCGTACACTTGGTGCATCCGCCACAATCGTTGTTGGAAACCAACCCAGCGGGTGATCCAACCAAGATGGTAATGGATAGCTATCCAACGGTGATCGACAGCAGTTGGCCAGAAAAGATGAAACAACTGCTCTTGCAACATCCCGATGCTATGGTTGGTGAAATCGGTGTCGACAAAGTAACAAAGTGTCGTGCCACCGGAAAGAACGAACAGGAACCACAATGGGTGGTTTTCAACCGACAGATAGAGATTGCCGCTGAGTTGAATCGGCTTGTAAGTCTACATTGTGTGCAACTACACGGTAAGCTACTCGATTACTTCATAGCGTTACCGCTAGCTAGAATGCCAAGAAAGATAGCACTTCATACATTCAGTGGTAAACCATCTACGGTAACTTCATTCGCTAAGATGAAAGAAGGCAAAGGATCGAGATTCTACTTTGGAATATCATTTATCAATTTGTCATCTTCAAAGGTATCAAAGATGATTCAAGCGATTCCAGACAACAGATTACTGCTGGAATCAGATCAAAACACTCCTACCGAAGCTGAATCATCGGTATTCCAAGTCGTTCTTGAAATATCAAAAGCCAAGAGCTGGACAATTCAACAAACAATAGTAGTAACAAGAAACAATGCAATTGAATTCTTAAAATAATAATAATAAGAAATCAAAATAAAACAAATAGCAAATCTTTTGTAATAAGTTTTTTTTTAATCTGATAAATCATCAAATGATAATTGTTTATTTTTATTATTGAATCTTAAATCTAATTGTTCTACTTGAAATTGATCTAAATCATCTCTTGTCAAACACATATGAAATGATTTCAATCTCATTGTAATCTTTGAGAATTTCTTAAGATAGAGTATACTAAATGTATTCAATTCTGTATTACTGATAAACATATGAATGAAATCATCTTTGGTTCTTGGAGGTATCAACTTGAATATATCTATTGCAACCATATATGTTATATTTAGAATCTGTTTAGCTGTTAAATGATCTTCTTTAACCTTCTGGCACTCATCAATAAATAGATATCCACATTCTCTTATCACTTGCACAAGCTCAACTGAATCAAACAATAAGAAATGAAAGAAATTAACATAATAAACTGAATTCTCACTATATATGTTTAAAAAGAATATTAATATTTAACAAATATATTGATAAAAATAGAATAGATAAATAGATTACTGTGGAATAATATTAATTGCTCTTAATGAACTACCAACTCTACATAAATAGAAATCAAATTGTTTAATTAATGTTTTATAACTGTATGAATCTGTTAGGAATCTACCTGACATAACTTTAATTTATAATAATTATTTGATTTAAAGATAATCTTTAAAATTGATTGAAATTGATAATGAAAAAATCGATGTGAAATGGAAAAGATTGTTTTGATTTTGTTTTGTTGTTTTTTTTTGTTTTTAGTGAGTCAAATTGGATTCCATATAAAATTGATAACATATATTCTTTAGGAATCTACTCTACCAGCAAGAACTTCATAATATACATAACCATTGGGTAAACCATATCTATTGTTTGGCAGTGAATCTACTTTTGTTACTTCGATAATCGATGCTATGATTGGTTTCTTTGCTCTTACTTCATCGTCGAAACTCTCCAATGACTCTGGTGAAAGGTAATGGTGTGGACAATTTACGTTGACTGCTTCATAGACGTCGGATTTAAGATATTGGAAGATCGCTATCTTTCCATAACCGAAATTCGAGAGTGCTGCGTCGCTCTGTGAAGTCTGTGACATGAGGAGATCCATCATTGAGTGCTCGTGAGTCTGGATTGTCTTTTGGTGATCTTGAACCGAACGTTCCAAGTGTAGGAAATTCTCTCGGAAATGTTTGATCTCTTTGAGTGCATTCTGTGAATCCATGTTCGGAGCGATACCAAGCAATTCATAGATCTTTTGGATCAACGTGGAAGACGCTTGTAATTCGCCGTTGAGACTGGAGAGTTGAGATTCATTCTTTTGGTGTCGTTGCTTGAGTGTTGTAAGCAGTGTGTCTTTCTCTGAGATCTCTTTGTTCAGTTTCTCGACTTGCTGAATCGAGTTGACATTGGTGGTGTCACACTGATCCTTGAGATAGCTAATTCGCTCTTCGTGCTTGGCAATCGTTTGTTTGTAGGCTTCGATCTCTGACTCTGCTTTGGAGATTTCGTTTTGGTAGGAAGTGATTTGACTCAACATTTCTTCGTTGGTTTCCGAGCTTGATATTTGAAGTTTGTTGTACTTTCTTGTTAGCTCGTCCGATCCGTTGCTTGCTCGCTCCAACTGACTCTCCTTTTCCTTTAGTTTCTTTTCCAAATTGGCAAGAGAAAGAGTAAAGTTTTCCGTTTCAATTTCAGAGGCAGCCGATACTTGGTTGAGCTTCTCAGCCAGTGCAATCTGTTCCTTTTGCGAAGAATCGAGGTCGGATTCCAACGAAACATTCTGTGCTTCGAGTGTATCGACACGAGTCTTGGTCTGTTCAAGTTGCTGGTTGAGTGAAATTACTTTGTTCTCGAGCTCAGAGGTTTGTCTTGAGAGATAGTCACTCTCCTTCTTGTTGGTTCTGAGCGATTCATCCTTCTCTGTCAACATCTGTTTGAACTCTTCAATCTGTGCTATTCTCTCTTGTATCTTCTGCTCGAGTTGTGAGTTGAGTTGTGTCAGACCGCTGTTTCCAGATTGAAGCTGCTCAATTGTCGCATCTTGATCTCTGATCTGCTTGTCGAGTTGGTTGATCTGTGATTCCAGCTTGATGATTGTCTCTGCTTTGCTTTGCAACATTGAATTAGTCTCACCGCTCTGCTTTTCCTTATCATCATTGAACTCATCGAGTAACTTCTTATAGTTCTTGATGGAGTTCTCCAGGTCAAACATGGTCGATTCATTGTCACGCAACTGGTCCGACGAACTCTTGATGACTGCTTCCTTCTGTTGCGCTTCGTTCTTCAAGTCGTTGATTTGCTCCCTTAGAATAGCAAGTACCGCTTCATTCGAGTCAGAGTTATGATTGGAATTGACAAGATCTTTGGAGAGCTTCTCATTGTCTTCCTTGAGTTGTTCAATCATCAATGAGTTGTGATCGATTGTCTCACGAAGTTTATCTATTTCCTGCTGATTCTCGGTGATAATACTCTGAAGCGATTGTATCTCACCGTTCATATCGGATATCTGTTTGTTGTTACTCTTGACCGTTCCTTCGTGTACCAAGATCTTATCCTTCAATCGGTTGATTTCCTCTTGATCCTCACGCGACTTTTCAACAGAGATACTCTCGACATTCGATATCTTTTCTTCCAACAACTTGATCTTCTCCTGTTGATCTTCCCACTTCTCAACGAGTGTGTTTCTCTCTTCCTCCAGTTCGCTCTTCTCCTTCTCAAGCACGGCAATTCTATCAGAGTGAATGGAAATCTTCATATTGGCAGTCTGTAGATCGATCTCCATGTTCTTCTTTGACTTTTCGAGTTGAGCGATGGTATTGTTCTTCTCCAGCACCGTATTTTCAAACGACTCTTTCGATTCATTGGTTGAACTGATCGACATCTTTATATACTCTTCATGTCTAGTGATCTGCTCTTGCAAGTCTTTGATCTCGGCTTGTAGTTCGTCACGCTCCGACTTGATCGAATCCAACTGCTTTCTGAGTGACTCTGATGCCTCGAGCTTTGAGGAACCTTCATCCTCTAACGACAGTATTCTCTCCTTGAATGACTCTATCTCTTTCTTTTTGTAGGTATTTTCCAACTCTAAATCACGAATCTTCAAAGACAACTCTGATTCATGTGCCTGAAGTGTTTCGATATTCTTCTGAGTGGTCTTGCCTTCGCTTAACAACTTGGAAATCTCCAGTTTCTTCTCCTCCAACTCTTTCTTTAACTCTTCAACCTGTGACTTTCTAATGTAATCCGATGTCACACTATCATTCTGAAAAGTTCTAGACTTTTCCAACAGATCTTTATATTTCTCCTCGGATCTAGATGCCATTAAAAATGTAGATTGTAACTTTTGTTCAAGATTTCTAATTTTATCTTTTTGTTGTGATTCCTAATAATTATATATTTAAAATTGTTAATAAAATTTTGTCGATTATTTGTTTGTTTAGTTTTCACTTACTATTAACTTTGATTGATCCAATTGAGATGAAGAAGAAGTTCGTTCAAAAGTTGGCTTCTTTCTAAATTGTAGTGGAGTAGTATCTGAACTATCGATGACAGCAAAGTCATCGTCGGTATCACTCTTTGACTGCTGTTCAATCTGAGGCAAGTTGGTATCGAATGCCGGTAAGTGTACTTGGAATGGTGGTAGTTGATCCTTCAATGAAATGAATACATTCGGTGGTAAGAACTGATAAACTCGCTCAAAGAACATCTGTCTCTTTTGATTCTCTTCCTCTCTTATACCATTCAACGATTCAATGAATTTACCAAGATTACTCTGTATTGAATTACCAAACTTCTTTCTTCTCGATGTTTCCTAAATTATTAAAATAAATAAATTAACATTAATTTAATCAATCTTTTGTCTTTCAAACATATTATATCAAACACAAAATACATACATTTAAAGCATCTTCATAAGCAGATGGCATATGATGTATACACTCCAAATGGAAGAAATTAATGGTTTGCTTGGATATCGCTTCGTTCCAAACAGAGAAATTGTTGATCAACTGTCTCATATCATATTGTAATTTAGAAATATTTCTAAGTTCAGAGAAAACATATTGATTCATAAAATTCTATTTGTTTGCAAATAACGTGATATTAGTAATGATAATGTTATTCATTCTAAACGAATATTTACCTTTGCCTTTGAAAATAAAATTAATGTATTCATTAACAACTCTGCATGCTTATGTGAGTCTGAGAAACTGGAATCTTGTGAATTCTTAATCTCAGTGAATGACATGATAATAGCTGCAAGATGGTTTGGATCTTTTGAACTACGTGAACTTTCCAATGCTTTCTTTATCTTTTCTGAATCTAATATATTTTAAATAAACAACTTATTAAAATGTTATTTTGAAACAATACTAATTATATAGTTAATACATACTTGCAATAGAAGCTTGATATAATGTTTGGAATTGTTTTGTATTTTCTCTTGATATAATTAATCTATCATTTAATTCTTGGAAACTATAGAGTATAGAATTAACAATTGTTAATAAATTAAATATGCAACTCTTTTTTTGTTTGAATCATAGTTCTTATAATGAACTTACTTTATATCTATTGTCTTTTTAAGTTCATAATCTACAGAATCTCTGATTGAATCGATTTGACTACCGATCTCCAGTATCTTTCCTTTTAGATTGTCATACTCTCTCTTGCATTGCTCACTCCACTTTCTAATTTCCAACTCTGGAATGCAGTCTAAAAGTGTTGTTGTCGAAGGTGTTCTCAAGCTGTCGTGTAGTTTCGTCTGTTTCAATCGATTCATATCATACTCGAATGACATCAACAACGATTCGAAATTAGGTGATTGTTTCTTGAAAACTGTTAAAAATGAATTATAATTTGAAAGTAATTTACTAATAATTAATTAAAATAACAATGTGTTAATAAATGAATATTATATCTATAGATATGTATTTCGTTTAATAGTTACTTTTTATAATCATCTAAACTATGTAATGCTGCACCAATCGATTTCTTTTGTACATTCAATTCATTGAGACAGTTGATGCACTGCAAGACTTTGGCTTCGAACAACTCCTTGAGATACTGTGTTCCCACTACATGATTGTTCAAATAGAACTCCAAAGTGAACATCTTGTTCAATGGATTCAAACTTGATTCTAACTCTTTAAGATTCTTTGGTGTTGGTAATCTAGGTACTATAATAATATGTATTATATCACACATGTGATTATTAATATTAATATTATCTCTGATGACATTGTCAATTCATACATAATCTACATATGTAGATCTATATGTAAAACAAACATACTTTGAAAATCTAAAATTGAAAAGTTTACTTCTTCCGGTAAATAACTCATATTCTCTAATATCTTTTTATTAAATAAGAATATCTCTGTATCTTTCTATATAATTATAACATTATTATCGAAAGCATATTAATATTTATAGTATTTAAACTTAATGTACAGGATGATAGATAGATATATAGATAACATACGATTATACCATAGTATTGTAATGTATTATTTGAACTTAAATTGGTATCAGCCAAAAGAATTTGGTCACTAGGTGACAAATTAGTAACGGATGCCAATGATTCCTTAATTGTATTAATACTATATTATTCAATTTTGTAGTAACAAGTTAGTTATCTTAATGTGATCGTGTGTTGTTATTTCTGTATTAAATGTGTAATGATGTTAAGGTTGTTGATAATACATACGTAACAGATGAATTAACAGGTATCTCATATAGAGATCCTGTATCAGATCTCAAAATCTTTAAATTGAACATCTTTCTATATTCTTCCTATACTTCTTATTCTTCTTCTCTTCTCTTCTTCTTCTTATTTAATTAAACTAACTTGAAATATAATATATATGTATATACACTACTACACTATAAAACTATAACAACAAAATTATTATGCTTAATCTGTTATATTTGAAAATAATGTTAAATAACAATAATAAATTTAACAATAAACACAAATTATCAAGAGGTGTGAAATGAATGATTTAAAAAAAAACAAAAAAAAAAAAATTAATAAAATTTTCATCTAAATGGTATGAAAAAAATGAGAAACCCTTTTGAATCTTTGAAATTTGAGTCAAACTTTTATATTTTTTTATTTAAAATTTTCTATGGGGTTGCAAAATTGAAAGTTTGAATTGATTAACTTATAATATTAAGTATTCATACTCAAAAATTTTTATTCATTTTTTTTTTATAATTTTCTAACACTTTAACTATCTAGAAATCAAATGGGAATGCAATAAATGTGGAGTTATCAACAACTATAACAGAGAAAAAGTATTTGTTGACCAATCCGTAGTTTTTATCGGGCACTGTAAGAATTGCTTACAAGAACACCCAATGTTTTATAACAAAAAAGTAAAAACAGAAATGCCAACCTATGTATGTTTATTTTATATAAATTAATTTATATATTTATCATTTATTAACTATTATTATTTTATAAAATTTTTTTCTGTTCTTTGACATTTTGTAATTTAAAATAATAAAAAAATCTTTTTTTAAAAGATATTTTTTATTTATTTTATTTTTATTTTTAATTTACATTTTTAAAACAAATGTCAAATTCTTTTGAAGAAAAAAAAATGTTTATCTGTTTCTTGACGTTGTAGTTTGTTTTGTGTTTAAGAAAGGTTGAGAAAAAAAGGTTACTAGTGATGAGAGAATTCATGTTTTATGTTTTTTTTTTCTTTTTATTTTGTAGATTGTCATTGTCAATTTCATTGCAATCGGGCTGTTGTTTGTCTGTTGCAAGTTTATCAAGATTGTTTTGATGTCAAAACACCGTGTGGTGTCAAAAAAAATTTGGGAAAAATTATTAAATTCATAAAATTATTAAATTCATAAAATTAAATAAAAATTAATTTAAAAATAAATAAAGAGTGTGTGGTAGTTCGGTGTCAATCAATCAAGCAATCAGTTCCTCATTATCATAATAATCGTTATTTTTAAAATAAACAAAAAAGATATTAATAGTTTTTTATTTGCATTCATGCACACAAATAAATATTATAATAATAAAATATATAACTATCAATCATTATCATTGCTAATTATTTATATAATTAGATATACATTCATATTCATCTTATCATTTTTCATATTCACTAAATTTTAGAGTCAAGACAAGATAGAACAATTTATAAATAAATAGATAAATAATAATAAATCGAACAATGGAGAAACTAAATCTACCTGCACCTCCTAGATCTCCTTCCCCAACACCACCATCACCATCATCATCATCTAATTCACAACCACCTTCACCTAGACAGCAACAACAACCACATCAAATTAATATTGGAGGTAGTATAAGTATTAGCAATGGCAGTGAACACAATCATTTTCAACATAGTTCAAAGCCAAAGAGATCCTCTAAACATTTGATATACAATGAGAATAGCAATAAACCTACGAAAGCATGTGTTGAACCACCACACAATTGTCTTCAAAACGGTTCATCAGTAACGTCTACAACAGAAAAAGATAGTCATCATCATCACTTAAATAGGTAAATATAATATATTATCCTATATGATTTACGAAATAACAATATTCATATGAAATGCATAAAAAATCAAAACAATCGAAACAAATCATTCCAAATTAAGAATTTTCACACTTTTTTGGGAACTGCTTAAATTTAATTGCATTTTTAATATTTTATTTATTTTTTTAAAAAAAAAAAATAGTTACAACCCAAACCTTGATTTCACTCTATTTATCTTATTTTTAAAAGATTTCAAAAAAACCACACCACCCGATACACCACCACCTTTAATATTAATATTAATCTTTAAAACAAACAAAACAACGAAATATTTGAACAACTTACTTATAAGTCAGTGGGTTTGTTTTCACCCCACTTTGCACTTTTCAACAGTTTCGTCGGTAGTTTTTGCTTTGCCAGCCATGCAAAGTGTTGGAGGGGGTTAGATTCTTGTTTTTAAACAACCAGTTTTTGCAGGCAGTTGTCATTTCACAGTATGTTTCCAAATTAGTTTGTAGTCAATGATAAACAAACAATCAATGCAAGATTGCGCGTTGTTGTTTTGCAATTAATTTAGGAGTTATAGTTTGCAAACTATAACAAATCATTCATCAATCAATTATCAACTAGTCATTGTACAACTACATACTATTTCTATTATTATTACTTCTATACCACTACAAAAAAAAAAAAAAACAAAACAAAAAAAGTAAATGTATTTATTATTATCACCTAAATCACACAAAAATTATCAATGAAGTAATTAAATTAATCATAACATAAAATATCATATCATTTCCATTTTTATCAGATCACATATTCATTTCAATACTTTAATGATATCAACACCTTTTAACAAAATAATAATTAGAGAGAATAATTAATTAAACATGATGACGTTCCATTCCCAATGACTAAAAAAGTCAGACGGATAAACAAAAAAAACAATGATAAAACCACACAACACACATAACACACAAATAATTAAAAATTTTTAAAGACAAAAGACAACTTTAAAAAAAAAGGTGGTTGTGGTTGCGTGAGTATGAATAACATGTATCATATTTTAGTGGTGTTTACATTGTCATTCATTCATTCACTCATTCACCAAAGGATTAATTATGATATCTGACTAGTTTAAACCTTAAAAAGTGTTTTATATTTCACCAATGTAGTATCTTTCATTTTTTATTTATTTATTAAAAAATACAAACATATAAATAATTATTTAAGAATCAAAACAAACAATAATTTTATTCGATTTTTTTTTAAAAATTGTTTATTTCTTTTTTGTTTGTTTATTTCGAACTTATTTTACTTAATTATATATCTGATTTTATTTTTATTATATTATTATATTTTGCTTTAAATATTAATATTTTTTATATTTGTATTTTTTTAAAAACATTATATTATTAGTATGATCAAAGGAATAAAAGGTGGATTGTCTCATGCCAGAAAGGACAAGATCAAAATCGAGTATGATTTGGAATTTAGAAAATTATTGAATCTTCCGAATGACCTGGTCGGTCAGAATCTCACTTTGAAGTGGAGTCGTGGAAAGAAGAAGAAGGGAGAAACCAAGGACTACAAGGTTTTGAAACCAACTATCCCAACGATTCCAACGATTCCATCGATTACTCTGACCTCAAGTGAAGCAACTTCTACACTACTCGGTAATTCTTTGCCAAATACAACTACCTCCAATAGCAACAACAACAACAATAGCACTACTACTGCATCTTCAAAATCATCATCTTCTCTACCGACAACTTCAACTTCATCGACATCGTCTCTCACCTCACCAGTTTCAACATCTCCAGCCAAACAACATGACTCTTTCACAAGAAAACAAGCGAAATTGTTACTGGGCAACAAAATAGATGGATCCAATACACTGGCCAGTGGTGAAGGTTACATCTCAATGAATGAAAAAGTTAACCTCAGGATTACACTCTACGCAGAGACACAGATTAAAGATAACAATATTTCAACTAATTTCGAACAAAAGTTGATGACTCTTAGTTTATTATTGGTAAGTTGTAAAAAATAACAAATCTTCAAAGATTTTAAAATCTTGTCAACAAATTACTAATTAATTTATTTTTATATTATTTAATATTGTAGAAAAATACTACTCTTTGTTCAACAACTATCGATTTGTCATTACATACAGAGGATAATGGAAAGACACCAATCGATGTACCATTCCCTTCCTCATCTTCAGTTCAACCATCTATACAGGTAATTAATTATAACCAATTCATACAACCAATGCACACAGACAACAAACTTTCGATAAACACACCCCACACATCCAATTACTTTTAGATTGTGTGGAGTTTTTGAATAGTTATAAATTATTTTTAATTAAAAGATCAACTTTAAAATTGTATATTAACTAACATTAATTATTAAATTTAATTTATAGCTGGCAATTAAAACAAATTATTTAAAATATAATGAAAAGAAAATTATTAAAACAAACCCAGAAGTTATTAAATCAAAGGATATCAATATAAATCCACCCAATGGTGCAAACAAGTTGATGGAAATTCAAGGTGAAGTCTATTTCGTTGGCAACAGTATCAGTGTCGAAAGCAATCTTGCTGGAAAGAGCAGCAGCAGTGGAAGCAGTAGCAGTAGTAAAACTCTAGATATCAATAGCGGTAGCAGCAACAAGGACAAGGAAACTGTAAGTGGCAATGCAAGTGATTCCGATCCACATACAGAGACCATTACAAGAAGTACCAGTTGGGACGACGAGAGCGAAGATACCTTCCAACTGTCGACCAAGGAAGCACTCGCCAAGAAGAATGTGGAGCTGAATGAGATGTCAGAGAAACTCAACAAGTATGAATCGCAAATCAAGCAACTCGAGTGTCAGATCGAACAGAAGAATACCGATATTCTCTCGCTGCGACATGTCATCGATGAGAATCAAGCGCAGGTTCTCATCTACGAGGAGAACGTCCATCGCTACAAAGTATTAGAGGAGCGTGCCACCAAACAGCTGATCAGAGAACGTCACGAGTTTGCTCAGTTCAAGAATGCTGCAGGTAGTGGTAGTCAGTCATCGTCCAACGCCAGCAGTGAGCAACAGACTTCTACTTTGGACATCCGTGACTTTGAGAAAGAACTGGAGATTGCTAACCAGCACAACGAAACACTCAAAGAAAAGTTGGAAGAGATGGAAGCTGAGTACGCCGAAGAGAAGAAGAAGCTGTTAGAGAGCAACGATACAATGCAACTGTTGTATGAAGATACCAAAGAGAAGCTCAAAGCTCTTAGAGTCACTCTGGATGGAGAGATGAAAACCAACAACTCCAAACTACTCCAAGAAAGTGAACTGAGAAAGCGAATCACACAACAAATCGAAGTTGAAAACACTGCCAAATTGTCAACAATGTCAACTCAACGTAAAATCTTTAATAATCCATATATTGCTTGGGCAATCGCTTTTATCTGTTTAATTATGTATATTTTTCAATAAAGATATGTTATGTTTGTGATTCTTTGAAATAATCTTTTCTTAATTTTATTTATTTACATTAATTAAATTAAGATTTAGACTAACGTTTAACGTCTTAATAATATCTTTAGGTTAGATCTACTCTCTAACAGTCTATTCCTAATAGAATGTGGTGAAAGAGTGTGTACCGATAAGAACATACGATCTAATGGTGTCAAATAACATGCAAAAGCTGTGCAAATTGTTTTCATTTTTTGGGGGAGGCATAAATTGAATTTACTAATCTCTTACTTTTTGAAGTAGTTGTCTTCTTGTCATTTGATCACCATTTGGAAGTGTAATCGTTTGTTTGTTGTTCAAAAGTGTTAATCCAATCGATTTGTAAGCTTTTGTTTGTGTATGATCTAATCTTATTGATTCCAATAATAGTTGTTGTTCTGTCATTGATCGTCCATTATTAAGTAGGATTGATTCACCATTTGAAAGTGTTGTTGCAAGGTTATAATATGAATTTGAATTGGTTGGATCACATTCTATTGATTTCAAGTAAAGTTGTTGTTTTGTCATTGATTGTCCATTATTAAGTGTGATTGATTCACCTCTTTGAAAGTGTAGTTGTAAGGCTATAATATGAATCGGATTTGGTTGGATCACATTCTATTGATTTCAAGTATAGTTGTTGTCGTGTCATTGATTGTCCATTATTAAGTGTGATTGATTCACCTCTTGAAAGTTTCGTTGCAAGGCTATAATATGAATCGGATTTGGTTGGATCACATTCAATTGATTTCAAGTATAATTGTTGTCGTGTCATTGTCTCTCCATTATTAAGTTTGATTGTTCTACTTGATAGTGTCGTTGCAAGGTTATGATATGATTGGGAATCGGATGAATCACATTCTATTGCTTTCAAGTATAGTTGTTGTGCAGTCATTGATTGTCCATCATTAAGTGTGATTGATTCACCTCTTGAAAGTGTAATTGCAAGGTTATAATATGAATATGAATTGGTTGGATCACATTCTATTGATTTCAAGTATAGTTGTTGTTTTGTCCATTGATTGTCCATCATTAAGTGTGATTGATTCACCATTTGAAAGTGTTGCTCCAAGGTTATTATATGAATTGGAATCAGTTGAATCACATTCTATTGATTTCAAGAGTAGTTGTTGTGCAGTCATTGATTCATCGTTATGGAGTGTGATCGATTCACCATTTGAAAGTGTCGTTGCAAGGTTATTATATGAATTGGAATTGGTTGGATCACATTCTATTGATTTCAAGTATATTTGTTGTTCTGTCATTGATTGTCCATCATTAAGTGTGATTGATTCACCACTTGAGAGTGTCACTGCAAGGTTAAAATATAAATTTGAATCAGTTGGATTACATTCAATTGCTTTTATGAAAAGGTTTTGCACAGTCATTGATTGACCAGATGTCAGAATGATCGATGATCGATTTTCATCATTAAGAATTACTGCCAACTCGTAATAAGCATTGACATTGTTTGGATTCTGATCGATTACTTTCAAATAAAGTTGTTCTTTCGTTGTTGACTCACATGATGGGAGTACAATTGTTTGTTGATCATTATCATCAAAATTCGAACTGATATTATTCTGTTTTTGTTTCATTTTTTTAAATAAATAATAATCTTATGATATCAATCTCAAGTGGTGGTTGAATAATATCAAAAAATAAAACACAAACTTTTTTTCCAGGAATTGACCATGAAGGTTGGTCATGCAAAAATATTTTCTTTTTTTTGTTTAAACACCTCCCCTCCGAACTTCTTTTGATTTTTGTTTATTTTTTATTTATTTATTAATAATCTTACAACTCTACTACCATATGCCTTCAAATAGTGAAGAAGCTAAACTAAGAAAAGGAGAAGTGAAAAGGAGAAGAATAGATCACAATTTTCAAAGAATGGAACACAAGAGCAACATTAACAAAGCAATCAGCAACATTAGAGAATATATTAGACCAATTAATATTAAAGACTTCACAGGATTCTCAAAACTCAATCAGTTCATTAGCGAACTATCCTGATGCATCACCGAAGTTGGATCAGAGAGAGATCAACATATATCGATTGCAAGAGACTGCAAGAGATTTATCGATAGTACTCAAGAAAGAGATAGGTATAACAAATTTAGAGAGATATACGTAACTGTACAATCAAATAGAAGCGAACTCTACAATGATAGAAAATCTATTGATAGAGAAAGACGAGAGATTGAAAAAGATTTTGAAAGAGAGAGAAGAGAGCTTGAAAAAGATTTTGAAAGAGAGAGAAGAGGATTTGAAGCAGAGCAAGCTATTAAATCTGAAAGAGAAGCAGTTAAACGAGAGAGAACAAGCAAATTCAGTTAGCCTAGTCAATATCAGCAAAAGAAATCAACCACAAGAAAGAAGAGAAACAATTCATAGGAATTCCAATAACACTGGAGATAGGTCCAATTTTGGCGGAAAAATTGAAATCAACTTTGCAAACGATATCGAAAAGAAGGACGTCACCATTGGACAGCTTATCCAAGCAATTATCGATGCTCAAACTAGGACTCAGCAAAGCTTGGAAATATTTAGAAGAGGTCTTCAGCAATCAAGAGAAATCATTGGTGAACTCGTTGAGTCGCTTAGAGGACTACCTTCAGCCAGTTAACAGTATTCTCGATGGAGTTCTTCCAAGCCAAGATAACGATATACTTAAGTTAAGTTATAATTTAGCTGACTTTTTACAAACACTACCGCATGACAATCCATATCGTAGATCTTTAATGTATTGGTGTATTTCCAATGTCAAACATCACGATCACCTCATTGTAAACAAAGAGAATATCATCAATATCTTTTATGTTTCGCAAACTACTGTTTATCGATGGATCCCTGTAAATACAGATATTAATAACCTTTCACAGTATATTGTATACTCCAAACACACACAAAGTTCATTTTACAGAGGATCAAATCGATAAATGGTAGGAAGTATTGGATGGAGTATTACCATTTCTTAGTGGAGAGACTATCTGAAAACTACATGTACACACGTTTTTTGAGAGAGCATCTAATTCATCACACCAAATACGATGCAGTGTATGTATTTATTAATAAATTTAAATTCTTCTTCTAATATCAATATAATTTTTGAATACAAATAGATGCAAGGACTGTGCAGAGTTGAAAAAGCTGGATACAATAGTGAACACGAGGTAGCTTATCCAGCAGACAGTGAAAAAGACAAGAAAATGGCAAAACTGAAACTTCATCAAACCATTGCAGTGGTCCAAAGACAATTATACAGTCAACAAAAGGTTGATGTAATCAATGATCTTGGTGGTACTAGTGCAATTATTCTAATGGATTTTTCACAGCTCTCACATCAAGACAAGCACTGATAATCAGTGTTTATTGTTATAAAGATAACGCAAGTTATTTCAACTATGTCTCCTACGTAGCTCCAACAACGACCACCAAGAAAGATCCAGCCTTTGTTGTAGGTTGTTTGATATCGACAGATGGATGCAGGAAGCATTTTAAATTACAACAAACATGTATTTTTGGCATTATATGAGTACTATATATCGTGGTAAAATGGAGATATATTACAATTTCTTCGCTAGTTATCATGTATGTAATTTAAATTTAATTGGTTAATACAAATCTTGCAAAAAAGATAATTGTACAATTTGTTGCAATATCATTAAAAAGTCAGCAAACAATCTTGATGTTTTCTGTTTTTTAAGAAAATAGAATTTCTCAATTTTCTTTTTTGGTTTCAATTTATTCATTTTATTTTTGTTATTTTTGCCTGCTACTAATAAAAAAAATAAATAGAATATTGAAAAAAGATAATAAATAAAATAATGTTGTTGTTTTAAATAAAATATTTTTTGTAAATATATATTATAATTATATATATAAACTTTTAAAATTTAACAAGTTCATAGACATTCAGCTGAATTAGATATTGTTAGTTGTTGTTAGTTTGTTATTTTAGTTTCACATCAAGTCAAAATAAAGAAAGAAAGAAATATTTTACTTATTTTATCTTTGTTGTTTAGCTACATTGTTTGTTTGTTTGTTTTTTTTTGTATATTAAAATCAAATCTCTAGAGATTAAATAGATAGATAGATAGGAGAAATAGTAGTTAGTATTTTTAGTTATGTCAAATAGTATTGTGATTGATCAAACATTGTTTTGGTCAGTTTTCAAAAATAAATATGTTAGATTTCGAATATTCAAGATGGTTTCAGCGATTCATAGGAATCTACGACTGCGCGCTGTAGGCTGGTGTCATCTCAGCATGGATTTTCTGACGCGTTACAAGTACTACGAGGTGATAAAGTATATTGTTGCGCGAAGCAATCACTTGAAGTCGCTGCGACTCTCGAAACCACTCAAAGTCAGTCACGTCGAGATGTCGCGATTCTGCCGAGACAACCGTGATCTCGACCTCTTTGTACAGCTGATGAGTCAGCAGGGACTATTCGGCAATCGGCTGCCGCTCTCCGAGTCACTGGTATTTGATTACTGCTGTCAGAGTGGCAGTCTCCCGATAGTGCAATTCCTGCATCAACAAGGCTACCCGGCGACGGTCGACGCCGTCCGCTACGCAGTCAACAGCAACAACGTGGAACTCGTCAAATTCCTCTGTATCAACAGAACGGACGGTGCCAATCAAGAGGCGATGGACGCCGCTATCAATATAGGCAATGTCAAGATCGTTCGGGTCCTCGCAGACTTTTACCGTGGTAGCTGTCAGTTGAATCCGCATGCACACCTCCAAGTTGCCGCGGCAAACGGACACTTGGAGCTGCTGCACTATCTCGAGGACCAAGACAGCATGGTGTGGGACCGTTCGCACGCTATCATGGTGGCGAGCAGCGAAGGTCATCTGGCGATGGTTCAGCATCTCTGGAAGTCGCTAAAAGACAACTTGAACGCTGATACACCGGCAACAATATGTGTGAACAAAGCAGCGGAAAACGGACATCTCAATATAGTTAAATTTTTTATGGATGCACTGAAAATAGGTCAATCGCCCGAGGAAAGACAAGCAGCCACAGCAGCAGCAGACTCTTCTAATTCGTTGCTAAAGAAACTCGTTTCCTATGTTGGCATTGGCGACGTCGACATAACCAAGTCGATATCGAAAACCCTTAGGGGAAGCGCACAAATGGCAGCGAGAAATGGTCATCTCGAAGTCCTTCAATATATAAATAGTAAACCGTGTGGATTGAATATAAGTTTGTCAAGATGTATTTTAGGGGATATCGCTATCCTAGGAGATCTGGCGATTCTCGAGAAATACTACGCCGACTTTATGAACGACAACAACGACAATATCAATAACAATCACTATAATCTCAGTGGTCCTGGCGCCACTTTTTCCAATCAACACTTGCAAATCATTGTACAGCGTGGATCACGGTCGATCCTGGAGTTCCTACATCAACATGGCTTGGTAAGTGTCAGCCAGTTGGGTGCGATGCTACCGGTGGCAGTTGGATACGCACAGCTCGGAATAGTCAGCTATATACTGGAGATGTGTAAAAACCCCGATCCTGGTGCAATATCATTTGCCTACGAGGAAACGATTCGTTATGATCTCTATCAAATTATGGAAATGCTACACGAAGCAGGCAATCGTTCCTTTGACTTTGAAAGATATCTACCAATGATTAAACTGTATGAACCTTCCGATGTAATTTGGTGGATAGAAAACAAATTCGCCATCAAAGATTTATTAAACTATAAGATTGTAGAATAAATTTATTTTTGTATTTTTTTTTGTACATAATCAATTAACACAAGAAAGAATCATTGTAGATATCTATTTTTTTCTAAACCAAAAAAAATTAACATCTAAAAAAGAAATGATCAAAGTTTGATGATCTTCGAAGATTATAATTAGTTAAATAATACAGTCTTCACAAATATAAGCTGTTGTGATTACTGAAAAGTAATAAAAACTAATATGTTATTATAGTAGTAGTCGAACTTGCACCAGTAGAAATCCAACAAAATTTTTTTTTTTTTTTTTTTTTTTGCAAAAAAGATTTGTTGACTCATGATCAGTCAACAAATTGCAGGTATTGATATTAACCTGCTAGTTCGTGTTTTATATTATATTTACATTCTCACACAGGCCGTGAGAAATATAGCCAATAAAATGTTATTATTATTATTATTATTATTATTATTATTAATATTATTATTATTATTATTATTATTATTATAAATTATTAATTAATAAGTTGAGTAGTATTAGGATAGAATAGATCTAACAGTAGTTGCGTGTTGATGAACAACAGTATAAAGTGGTGGCACGTAGTTGGAAGGATTAAGATTCCAATCAGATTTAAATTTACGCGTTAATGCAGAGCAATCGACAGTGACTCCTTGGGAGATTGAATTAGCGATCGTGAAGTTAAGCTTGTGGTAATTGGCATCGATTAATTTGGTGTAATGGGTGACTGCTCTCTTGACGGTATTTTCCAGCTTGTAATGGGTACCATCACCAAACATTTCACAGGACAGCGCCTGCCATAACGAATGTACGATAGCAGCAGTAAGGTGGGTGAAGTGGACAGTAGTACAAATAGGACCGTCGAACTTGATGCACGAGTGCTTCCAATTACGAAGTCTATAGTTACAGTACTTGTGGTATATACGTTTGATAAAGGAAAGGAACTGCTGTGAGACTACAATCCTGCATTTGAAGAAGAAATGTTCATGTGGGTTGCAGAGTTCAGTGAAGGTGTCACCACAGAACTCACAGACATGACCAGTGCGCTTGTGGTTGATGGGGAAGGTGTGAGAGTACAGCCGGAATATGCTGTTACGTAGCATAGGCGCTTTGACCTTGGATATGTGCAGGAACTGAGATTGGAGAACCAAAGAGTGACCAATCTGGATGGTTAGTTGACCTTCAGTACGGCGGACTCGAGGGTACTTGTGGCTGAACAGGACAGAATAGATTTCCTTCAGAGTAAGGAGACTACCATCATCAGCAAGGATGGGATTGCCTGGTGTGACTCTGGAGAAGTGATTGTTTCTAAAATCCATCCAAGACGAATGGAACAGTTTGAAGGATGGTGAAGAAGTTGGATTAGTAAATTTTTTGGCACAATCAAGCATGGATGACCAAGTTTTGAAGTAACCAAATGAGTTGCTTCTACTTAACAACAGGAATCTATTAAAGACCCATATCTTATAAGCAGCAGAACGAAGCGATAGATCCCATAAATTCAGACCACCATCATTCCAGTGAAAGCAAGACCTGTCCAAAGACATCAAAGCGGTGAACTTTGCTTTGGCATCAGGTGCACTGGTGAAGAACCAAGCGATAAGTCTGTTGACAAGCTTGATTTGATCAGGTGTGGGCGATTCAAGATAGAAGTGATAGAAGAGCATGGGAAGCACATAAGATTTAATGATGGTTGATTTAGCTCTTAGAGTATAAACTTTATACTTATACAGAGCTAGGTTAGCTTTAATGAGATTGATTATACTTGCCAGTTTGGAGCAGTGACCATCCGGGTTGAAGTTGACACCTAAGTATCTTTCGGGGACGGTGGAGACAGGGAACGGAAGGTTAGCAGTGGAAATGTTACCGAGTGGAATGATAACCGATTTACTAGAGTTAACATCCGCAGTGGTGGATAGCTTGAACAGTTTAAACCAGTGGATCACTCTATGCAGTTCATCCAAGTTCCTGGTGAAAGCACCAGTGTCATCCGCGAACATGAGCAACTTGATTCTTTCGAGCGGTAGATACTTCAATACAAATCTCTTTTGTTCAAGTTTGATTGGAGCAGAACAAGGTAGTCCAACTATATGGGAATCGGCGATGATCGCTCTCGCCAAACATTCAATCGTGAGAACAAAGAGAGTAGGAGAAAGGGGATCACCTTGCTTGGTGCCTCTATTGATGAAAAAGGTCTTGGTATTGAAACCGTTTACTAGAACAGAAGAGGGAGAGTTAGTAAGCATTGACATGATAAGATCAACAAATAGGAACGGAACACCGATATGTAGCAGTGTACGTTTGATACTATCATGTGAGATTGAGTCGAAAGCTTTCATGATGTCAAACAGTGTGATCAAACCATCGAGATTACCAGCATTAGCAGCGTCAATAATTTCCTTGAAGAGTAGGGTGTTGTCATGAATGAATCTACCTGGTACGAATCCATTTTGAAATTTATTGATAATCTCATCCAATACTTAGGTGAGCCTGTTGTTGATGATTTTACTCAGTAGTTTATAATCAACATTCAATAGTGATATTGGACGCCTATTAGCGATGTCATTGGGATCACCTTTTTTAAAGAGAGTTTGAACAACTCCTTCTTTAAACTCAGGGGGGAGGAGATGAGGGTTAGAAAGTAAATTGTTGAATAAACTTACTAGTACTGGAGCAATGATGTCTTTGTGAGTTGTGTAGAACAGTCCAGTAACGCCATCGGGACCAGGCGATTTCGAAGGTTTGGTAGAGCTTATTGCATGGATGACTTCATCAAGAGAGACAGGAGAGTCATCAAAGGACGACTTGATATGATCAGGAACCACCCAATGCTTGAGCAATTTGGAGTGAGCAGACGCTGAGCAATCAATTTTAGAATAGAGTTTAGAGTAAAAGTCCCAAAAAGCATCTTTGATCTCATCAGGTGAAGTGGTGACGACTCCGTCAGATCTTTTGATTGATACGATCAGTGAGTTCTTTGATCTTATTTTTAGAGTGTTGGTGAGCACTGCCGATGGGCATTCCCTGTGGATAGATAAATCATTCACGAGAATGCTGTGAAAGAGCTTTTCTTCGGCGACTAGATCGTTGATCCTTGTTCAGTGCATCTTTATGCTTCTGAGATGATGGATCACTAGTGTTGAGAGTATGATTTAAAGATTTCTTGAGAAAAAGGCGCTCTCTGGATCTAGAGCTTTGTTTCTTCTTAAAGAAACTGATGAGCATTTCTTTAGCACTTGACCACAACCCAGGTGTCCAGTTGCAGCCGGTAATAGAGAACATATTGGTGATGTATTGCTTGACACCAGGTAAACCGAGAGTAGCAGGATTTAACATCCAACGCTTACCTACTTGAAACTTACTTGAGAGGTTGATGTCGACAGAGACAGGGCAGTGATCACTCTTATTATGGAAATAGGTGGCGACAGCGGGGTTACCACCTAGCATTGTGGATGCGACGTAGATACGATCCAACCGTCTAGGAGAGAGGGAAATGGGGAGCGGGTGATTGGTACAGCTGAAAGTGGGAGTGTCAGCGGACAAACCGGTATCTACAAGTGAGTTGACAGAAGCTAGACTTTCTATAGTGTGACATAGCTCCTCGTCATCTGCTTTAGAAAAGGAAGGAGAGAAGGGTGAGAGACAGTTGAAATCACCAGCCATCAGATCGATGGTGTTGGTTTCGAGCTGAGATAGAAGAGAGAGTTGTCTAGAGAATCCATTTCTCCGCTTCCGGTCTGCCGGAGCATAGATTCCAAGAACATTGAATGAGTAGTGTGAGTGGTTGATAGTAACAAAGAGAATACGACCTCCTGGATCTGAAAAGATTACTTTGTAATCTAGGTCGCCGCCTTTGAGTTTGATGATAGCTACACCTGTACCCATACCACTGGAGCAGAGGACGATTTTGTTTGGGTAAAGTGAGGAAAGTGATTCGCTTCCACTGATGTTGAGTTCAGTAATAACTACATAGTCATCAGCGAAACGGTCTAGGTGTGACTTGAGATCAGCTGCAGAGGTGGAAAGCGCAGCACCTTTAACATTCCACGTGCAGATTTTTAAACAGTGACTAACGCTCATTACTTAGTATCACCACCCTTGCTGGTGGCTTTACGTTTAGAAGAGAGTGGGACGTGCTTTGTGAGTTTCATTGGGGAGGCTGGTGAGATTTTACCAACAGAGGGGTAGCTGTTTTGGATTTCAAGTGCATGTAGCTTGTTATCAGCATAGACAAGTTTCTTTTTAGCCGGCTGGTAAGGTGATTGAGGAACATCACTGCTGTGACAATTTTCCATAACAAGATCATCTTCATCAGTGGCAACGATATCAGGATAGAAAATCATCACCTCTACAGGCGGTTCAGATGCGACGGAGTCGGTAGCGGATAGAAGAGAAGAAGGAGAAGGAGAGTCGGCGGGGAGCGACGAGGAGCTAGAGTCATTCACACCAGAAGAAATGCTGTCATCGGAGGCATGAGAACCAGTGGGGTCAGCGGGGGGAGCAGCCGTACCAACGACGCCAGGAGCAGGAGCGACAACAGGAGCTGTCGAGGTAGTCAGAGGTTCCAAAGGTGGAACCTTTGCAGCATCTCTTTTTCTAGCTGGGTAAAGTCTGAGATGAATTCTATCCGGCAGAGGGGACTCAAATGGCAAACGATTAACATCAATATTGTGTTTGAATAGTGCCACAATATAGCACCAATTGCCAACGCGTGCAAAGCCATACACAATAGGTGGTACACCTGGGAGGAATTCATTGAACTGATCGAGTGTGAATGGCTCACACTTGTCCACTGCAGGCACAAAGCGAAGAGATAGAACGTGGTAACCAGGGAAGTAGATAAGAGGTTTAATGGTGTCGGCTTTACAAGATCGGTAAAGGGAACGGAAAGCAAAGAGAAAGGAACTGAAAGAGTCACGGGAGACGGATGCGCTAACAGTAAGACCTTTCATGTTTGAAACGTAACTTTCAGAGACAAAGTGCTCAACCAGGTTTTTGAAGTGAACAGGAATCTCCTCACCATCAAACTTGGGGAAGAAAAGCCTCAACCACAACACTGGTTGACTAGTGGGAGCTACTTTGGTTTCGAAGATTGGAAGAGGTTTGAAGTGATTAATAAGAGCATCTGTATTAAACATGATGATAACAGGTCAGAGAGAGAAAGTATAGCACCAACTGTTAAAAAAGAAGGAGGGGAAGATACAAGAAAGAGAAAGGAGGGGAATCTGAGATAGATAGAAAGAGTGATCTCTATGACAAATGATCGCAGTTTAACTAAGCTAATAGATAAGACTGTGCAAAAGACACAGATAATGCCCACGCTAGATGACTGGAGTGAAGTGAGAAAGAGAAGATGAGAAGACAAGTAGAAAGGTGAAACTTTCGTGAAAAACGGTCAAGATTACAAAAAGTTGCGAGTACAGATAGTAACTGTATCTACTTGTGATGTTTTTGAGCACTTTGAAATCCAACAAACATCTTTTGTCAACATCTGACTTTCGCTATCAATCGATTTAGACAGATTCAAGCACATAGTAATAATAAAAAGTGGGATTGCACCATCAACGCAGGATATTTTTTAATTCATCGGCTTGACCATTCGCCCATTTTCTCGGGTTGAGAAAAGCAGGAATCGAACCTGCAATGTCCGGAGACTAATGATTCTGATATCAAAGTTTGCGGATTAGTTAAAAATGCCCACCAACAATCATATTTCTTAAAAACAATATAAATAACCTCTATATCTATTTAAATCACTGTTATGGTTTAAACAACTAACGACCAATCAAACTATTCTCATCATTTTCCTAAATTTATTAAAAGTGAGTGGGTTGTTGTTTAAAACAAAAAAAAAAACATTCTTAAATGTTTCAACAAAAATCTCTTAGATACACCCACAACATAACTATAACTAAATAATTGATTTTCATTGTAATCTATCACTTTAAATGTTGTTGAAAGTAGAAATAGTTGAATAAAAAAAAGATTTATATCTTTTTTTTTTTTGCCTGCAGAATAATAATTTTTGAATTAAATCAAAAAAAGAATAATTTAAAAAATGAAAAAGAATGTTTTTGATTCTCTGTGTAATTAAATTGTCATGACTTTTGATTTCTTTGTCAATTTAATAAACGAACCAATATACTGCTATATTATTAGATTACACATAATATTTATTTAAGATGGATAAAATTAAACATAAGATATTGGTGTTATCAGGTAAAGGTGGTGTTGGAAAAGTAAGAATTATTATTTATTTGCTGATTCGTTCGATTGCTAATTTCAAATTAAATGTAATGTGTAGAGTACTGTATCAACACAACTTGCATTGTATTTAGCACACATTGGAAAGAAAGTTGGATTCCTAGATGTAGATCTCTGCGGACCAAGCGCACCAAAGATGTTTGGTCTAGAATCAAAAGAAGTTCACAAGAGTTCCGCTGGTTGGATACCTGTCTACGTTGACCCAGAAACAAGAAATCTAGGTGTAATTTCAATTCAATTTCTACTGGGTGATAAAGATACACCTGTCATTTGGAGAGGTCCAAAGAAGAATTGTATGTTATATATTAATATTAACAATACATATAGTTATGATTGTTTTGAAACTAACAATGTAATTTATGTATGTATAATAGCTATGATAAAACAATTCTTACAGGATGTATGTTGGGGAGAATTAGATTATCTGATCATCGATACACCACCAGGTACTTCAGATGAACATATCTCTGTTACCGAAGAACTCTTGAAATATAATCCCGATGGTGCTATTCTGGTGACTACTCCACAGGGTGTTTCAATTAGTGACGTTCGAAAAGAGATTAGTTTCTGTCAGAAATTAGGACTACCAATCATTGGAATCGTTGAGAATATGAGTGGTTATACATGTCCTCATTGTTCAGTAAGTATAACTGACTATCATTCAATAACTATCATTTACTAATTAATGATAATAATATTAGGAATGTACAAATATATTTTCATCGGAAGGAGGTAGATTACTGGCAGAACAATGTTCATTGCCATTCTTGGGAAAGATGCCAATCGATCCTTTATTAACAGTTTGTTCAGAGCAAGGAAAGAATTATTTTACAGAATATCCAAACTCTTCGACACTTGTGGCACTCAAAGAAGTAGCAACCAGTTTAGAAAAGCAAACTAAAGAACAGAAATTATAATAATACTTTATCTCAAATAACTTATTAATACACATAAACGTTTAACATTAACGTTTTCTTATCTTTTTTTTTCTATTTTTTTTTTTGTTAACTATACAATAAATAAATAAAATTGATTATTATTTATTATTCTTTTTATTATTATTAGCAGTTGACTTTTTAGTAGTTGGTGGCTTTTTCTTTTTCTTCTTTTTGATATTATCTTCATCAGATGTGTAATCGGATTCATCTTCATCGTCATTGTCATCTTCTGTTTCCATCTCTGATAAACTACTCTGTTCACTCTCACTTTCACTATCTGATTCTTGTTTCTTTTTAGATTTAGTTGTCTTTGTTGTCTTTGTTGACTTTGTTGTTGTTGTTGATTTCTTATTATTTTTACTATTGTTACTCCTACTCTTGGTTGTTGATTTCGATGATTTAGAAGATGATGATTTGTTTGTTTTTGTTGAATTAGTTGATGATGATTGAGCTTGTCTTTCTCTTTCTTCTTGTTCCTCTTGTTCTTCTTGTTCCTGTAGTTTCTTGTTGTTCGCTTCGTGTTGTTGTGCATCGTAGTTCTCGAGTTCACCAAACTTTGCTTTGGTGGTGATCAAGTGGAATCCGACGTCGTTCATTGTCTTCTTGTCTTTGTTGTAGATGATTTCAATGTTACCGTTGTTCACCAGCTGCAGACAACTGGCGAATCGTCGCGATACCTCGTAGGCCGGTGTCTCGACCATCAGATCTTCAAAGCGGATCAGCAGGTCACGGTCGATCTGCTGGTCATCGAGTGGCTCGCCGCTCTCGATGTTAACGTGCTTCTTTACGATGCCTGCCAAATCATCGATGATCTGGCTGCTGTACTCTACGATATCAAACTTGGGACGTGCATTCTGCTTCTCGAGTAGCGGTGTTATGTTGTTGGTCCAATCGTTCATTCGCTTCATGAGTGACGTCTCCTTTAGATACTGATTGGCACTCGCCATGTACTGATTGATATACGACTGACAGAGATCCTCGTAACTCTTGCTCGATGGATTAGGATAGTTAAGATAATCGCTATATCCTGGCATATGATAATCCATTGTATTTCTATTACCACTATTACCACTTTCATCTTGTTCATTATCACCACCACCAAGCATATAATCATCACCTTCACTTATATTATTAATCTTTTGAGTATCAGGTCTAATTGGTTCACTTTCATCCCATTCGAATCCACCACCTCCACCATCATTATCATAATCTTCATCACTATCATCGAAATTCTATAATAATTATCAATTGACATTAAAGTTAACATCTAATAAATATATGTTTATACTTATACTTTTACTTACATATTCAGCTTCAACATATTCATTTGTTTTTGATTGTTGGTTTGGATCTACTTCATCGGGAATATCTCCATTTGGTTCTAACAATTCAATAGATTCCATCTTTTGATTCTGTTATTGTAATATAGTAAATATGATTTAGTATATGTTATATTATGTTAATAATTCAATAATATAATAAATACCTTTGACATTCTTAAACTTCTTGATTGCTTTATAAACTCTCTATATATGTATGATAAATCTTTGAAATAGGCACCTTTCAAAGCCATCGATTCCTGTGGAAAAACGATGATCTCTGCTGTCCTGCATTCCAGCGAGGAATCCAACTTCTTTTCTTTGGGCTTGGCATTGTTCTTGCTGCCGCTATTTACATCTGGTGATTTCAAATTGCTCGGTATTCTATAGGTTCTACCTTTTTGGAATGGTTTATCGGTTGTCTCTTCGTGTGGATCCAACAACACCCATAGATTTACATGTTTCTTTTGTTGTTGTAGTTGTCTCTGTTGCTGTTGCTGTTGTTGTAACTGTTGTCTTCGCTTCAATCTCTCTTGTTGTTGCTGCTCATCCATATTTGTTGAACTCTCACCATCTCCTCCACTTTGACCGTCACCATTCATATCACCACCATCTGGAAGTTCTATATCACCACCGCCGCCACCATCGTTTTCATAATCAGAGTCATCACTTGGTGCTCCTCCACCTCCATCCATATCGAAATCCATTCCTGTTCCACGATCATCTTCTTCATTATTATTAATATTATTATTATTATTATTTAGATTATTTTCATCTTCTTCTCTATTGTTATTGGAAGTTGGAAGTAAATCATCAAATTTACTATATCTTGATATGGTTGAACCGAATATTGCTTCTTCATCGTTCATCATGCTGGAAAGAAGGAGTGCTCCACTCTTTGTCACTTGACAGGTATTCATTTTGAAGTCGTATTTCTTGGTTTCACCTTCTTGCTGTGGATTCAGCTGATTGGAGGTACCGTTACTGTTGGAGTCGTTCATCGACTCCATTGTACGGTCGGATAGCGATGTCAGCATGGCCATTGCTTGCGATCCGTATTTCATATTGAGAGTTGTGTCCTTCTCGAGATTGGCACCGTCCTTCTCCTTTCTCTGTCGTTGTCGTCTTTGTTTTGGATTCTGTTCATTCTCTTGTTGTTGATCAACATCGTTATTATTATCTGGACCATCGCCACCACCAAAGTCATCGTGATCATTCAAATCGATATCGTCAGCTTCCACCAAGACATCGTCCAACGGCAGAAACTCTGGTCCATCGTCAAACACTAAAATATCTTTATCATTTCCATCCTTGTCCAATGATGAATTATGTTCTTTTCTTTTTCTAAATATTATTATTAAATAAAATATTATTAATTATTCCAGTTTTCAAAATAAATATTATTGCCATAATAATAATAATAATATAACACCACACACTCCTCTATCTTTTTCATGAAATAATCATTATTATTTTTACCTTTTATCTGCCAAATGATCTAATGTTTGATATAATAAACTATATAGATATTCAACTTTCTTACTATAAATAACAGCTGATCCTTGAATTAAAAGTGCAGCTATAAAATATTTATTATTCGATATTATGTGTATTAATAATTTATATAAATCTATTATGTTTTATAATCAATGTACATTGATATGTCACAGGTAATTACCTTCTGCAAAATTCAACTTGGTTACACCTCCTAGTGTAAATGAGATCTTTGATAGTTCACCCAAGTAGTCCTCCAACTCACTTGAGATATCGATACTCCAATTCTCTGCGAGATCTCTAATGGGTCGAAGCAAATGTGCGAATCTTGATGATGCCGACTCATTATCATCAACTATATCAGTCATTTTTCTCTGTGTTTGTTTGATTTCTGTGATTGAACCTATCCAAAAATAGTAACTACAACAATGATAATAAATCGTACACGATTCTCTGCTCTTTTTAAAATATCAAAAATAATAAATAAATCTAAAAGTAAATTATAAATATAATTCTCTCTTTTTTAACCTAACCAACAACAATTATGATCAATTTTGAAATTCAAAAATTGGCGCCTTTCAAAGTGGTTGGTAGTTATTTTTTTTTTTGTTTAAATAAAAAAAAATGAAATTTTTGGCGCTAAAAAATTATTACTCATTGATCATACTCATATATATAAAAGTTATAACTTTAGTTTAAAGTAAATTATTGAAATTACATTTAAATTAAATTGTTTAGATCTATTATATTTGTTAGATTTTTTTTTATATTTTTTATGTTTTTGTTTTTTATATACAAAGAAAAGGTATTATCAATTTCGATAATCAAGTTTCCTGGGATACTTATCATTTAACTACAGTAATAATTTATCACTTTATTGCAACAACATTTTTTTGTGGAGGTGTACTTTCGCGATCGGGGAACCAACTTTACTCAGATATTTTCATCACTATAAAAAAAAAGATATTTTTTTTTGGGAGTTGAAAAACAAATTTGAATTAAAAAAAAAAAAAAAATTAATAAGATTCCTTACTCTGATTCAATAAGAACAAATTTGATATTAAATACTAAATCTTGATCAATTATTATTGTTTTTATCAGGGTCTCAAAACTAGTCGGTGGCTGAAGATCTATTCCAAAAAATTCTTTTTCATATGCACTAAAAAAAAAAAAAAAAAAAATACAATTTCTCAATTTTGCAAAAAATCTGTTTTTATGTGCTAAGATGATCTGGATCAGTGGAATAAACAAAAACCCAAAATTGTGAAAAAAGATTATTATTGGGTATAAATTCAAAAAATAAATAAAATATATAAATTTAAGTTGTATTTTTATTTTTGCATCTTTTTGAATTGGGGTACCTTCAAAAAACTACTATAACACACATAAACTAAACAACACATACACATTAACACACTTATATGTGTTGTAACGATCAACCAACCAACGCAACCACCTTTTTTTAAGCCTTAAAACACAATCAAAACAAAACAATTATTTATTTATTTATTTTTACAAACAAACAACACATATACACACAAAACACAACAAGTAGTAGAAAGTCAACTTCATTATAAAGTTTTTTTTTTTTTTGAACAAACAATCAATCAATCTATTAAGCAAACAATTCACCTCTATATATACTTTAAAAATAACAAATAGATAGATAGTTATAAAAACAAATACACTGATATATAGAAATTAAATACAAATACACAGATAAGATATAGATACAGAATCAAAAATGCATTGGTCAAAAGCAACAACAGGTGGTATAGATTTTAAAGGAGTTAGATCACATACTGCAACTGTTGTTGGAAATCGTATTTTTGTGTTTGGTGGTTCCGACAGAGAAGAGAATTTCGCTGATTTATTAATTTTCGAAACAGGTAATTTCATAATACATTGAGAGTTTATAATCATTATCCATTTATTAACAATAATTTATTTGTTTGTTAACAAATAATAGATACATTATTTTGGAGTAAACCAGATACCTATGGACCAAAAGGATCGATTCCAGTTCCTCAACGTGCTCACAGTGCAACATTGGTTGGAAGTAAGCTCTATTTGTTTGGAGGTGGCGACGGTCCCAACTGTTTCAACGATCTCTATGTTTTGGATACAAAGACACTGACTTGGAGCAAGCCAACGACCAATGGCCAGTGTCCAGGTCCACGAAGAGCACACACCGCCAACCTAATCGGTAGCAAACTCTACATATTCGGTGGTGGCAACGGCAATAAAGCACTGAATGAAATGTATTGTTTGGACACGACGTCACTCACCTGGACACTGCTGAAACCCTCGGGAACACCGCCCATCAGTCGTGGCTACCACGCAAGTGAAGTCATTGACGGTCGTATCGCGATCATCGGTGGATCGGACGGCGCCGAATGCTTCTCCGATCTCCACATCTACAGTCCCTCCAAGAACAGCTGGAAGCGTGTTCCCGTCAAGAATCCAACGCCGATGTTCTCCAATGCATCGGTCGTTGTCGGACGACACATCATGGTGTTTGGCGGTCACAACGCATCGGACTACACCAATGCACTGCTCAGTTTCGACTTTAGCCGTCGTAGGTGGGAAGAGCGTATCACGACGGGCGTACCGCCCGAACCAAGAGGTTATCATTGCTGTTGTTTTGTCAATCACAGAATGTTTGTAATCGGTGGGTACGACGGTGTTCAGAGTTTCACCGATGTACATATACTGGATCTAGGTGAATTCGCTTCCTATGAACTAGTGAGAAGAGGCATGACACTACAGAGTGTCAGCCAATCGCAATCTTCAACATCGACATCAAACACCACACAATCATCCGCTTCCAACTCACCACTTTCCTCATCAACCACTTCACCCGGTGCGAAAACACCTACCAATTCAATTCCACAAAAACCAACAGTACAAAGTACTTCGAAACCTGTATTCTCTAAAGTAAATTAACTTAATTAATAATAATAATAATAATAATAATAATAATAATAATAATAATAATAATAATAATAATAATAATATAATAATACCTTATTTAAAACAAAACAAAAACTATAAAACTTTATACTTTCAAAAAGAAAGTTTGTAATAATTAACTATAACTATTACTTTTTTTTTATTATTAAGAAAAACAAACAAAATTGTAATAAAACATTGTATAATAATACCTTTATTTAAAACAACAAAACAAACAAATATATCAAATTGTAAAAAGACATAGTATAATAATAATGTATTGTTGTTTTATTTATTTATGTGTCCACAATTGGGATGTTGTATCGAAATGAAGTGGTAACATTCTTAATTTACCTCTTCTTAATCTACCTAATGTCTTTGACCTAATAGTTGAGGGATCACTTAAATAATTTAGAATTGACTAGAATATATATATTTATAAATAATGGTTAGTTAAAGTGTTTTAATTTTACATAGCTTTTTAATATAAAAAAATACCTTTAGTCTTTCTATTTTATCATTTAATGTAACTTCATTGTTGGTTTGTGATTGTGATAATGATTGTAAGTTCAATTCTGATTCTATACTCTTTATAGTTTCTTTCTCCAACAATAGATTGTTTGGATTGTTCTCTACGGATTGTTTCAAAGACTTTGAGAATAACTTTAAATAGGTTACAGCTTCACTCAGCATGACATGTACTGTAATTTCAACTATAATGATTGTAAGAGAGGATGTTAATAGTTAATGTTAATAGTTAGTTCAATGGTATCAACCAACCAATGGTTATGATATATCATAGCATACCATATGCATTATTAAATATAATTCTAAAGGCAGCGAGACAGTTTGTGGATTGATTGATCGATGGCAACATAGATGTAAGTAATGCAGCTGATGTCGAGCTGTTGGTATTCGCTTTCAACTCTTCAAAGATGTACATAACAAAGCGATGATCGGTAGGTGCCTTTGTAATGATTTGCTTCTTTAGAGAAATCACCTGTTTCTTTAGTTTCTGTTTAATCTGTATTCTCTTCTCGATACTACCGAGTATGGTTGCCACCATCGTCCAATTGGAGATACTTGTATTGGTAGCTGAAGAAGAAGAAGAGGAAGAAGAAGAAGAACTAGAAACACCTGTACTTTGTAGATGAACTAATCCAGAGAGCATCTGTACCCAATCGTAAAACTTACCAGATCTACTCTGATTGTTGATGTTACTGTTACTGTTACTGCTGTTGCTGTTACTGCTGCTATTGTTATTGTTATTACTATTCAATGGAATGGGTATTGATGGATGTAGTTCAACACCACCACAACCAACGTTATTACCACAGTAAAGATTACTAAGGAAGCAATCGTCTTGAGCATCCGTCGTTACCAATGACACCAAATTAAGATTGACAACTGAATGAAACTGTAGTTGTGTTGTTTGATTCTCACACTGGAATTCTATTATCAATGACAATGGGTGTATTATATATTGTGCTACAGCTATCAACTGGTCATTATTGATTTCACCATCTACCACACCACCATCGTCAACATCATTGTCAACAACAGCAACATTACTCTTTGTATTGAAATCTATTGCCTTTTCTATATCACCCACTATTTTCAATGTTAAATTCGATTCTAAATTAAGAAATAGCGATTCAAACAAAACAATTGTTAATAAAATAAACAATAATACTAGTAGTTGATATAATAACATCTACTTACTCTTTGTAGAAGATTGATATGATGTCACTGATGAATATATAATATATAGAGGTTTAGGTAAATGAAATATATTTTGATTATAACTTGAATTTAGATTTGGTTGTATTGTTAATAGTTTCTATATATTGTTATTGTTATAATAAAGAATAATTAAGGTTTGTTAGTAAATATAAAATATAGTTAACATTGATGTGTAATTATTAATATTATTATTATTTACCTTTGATAAATCGGATACCATCTTTGGTAACGATGATATATAGTTTTGTTTTGATTGATTAAGATGTATTTCATTCTTTTTCTGTTCTTGTAGTTGTGTAAGTTGTTTCAATACTCTGATTCTCTCTTTCAGTTCAAAGTTTAATCGGTGAATGATTTTACTATGTTTAATCTCCTCTTCTGTATCAATATCTATTGGCATCGTTGGTATATCGATTGATTCACTCTCATAATAGAGTTGTTCAACTAAATTTGGTTCATATTGTGATATACTATTGTTTTTATAATTAAAAAGGTTTAGTTAATTAATTAGTTTACAAATAGCTATGCATAGTTATAACTTACTTAAATTCAGAGAGAGAATGTATTTCTTTTAAAAGATGATTCTTCTCATAAAGATAGTTCTGATAGAGTAGATTGAGACTATCAAACTTTTGTCGCTCTTTTTCTACGTCCAACTTTGAGTTCTCTGCTTGAAACTGATAGAATCTATTGGTATCTCTCATATCCAAGAATGTCTGAAGTATAGCCTGATTGTTGTTGTTGGCATTTGAACTGGTATCTGCTTGTTGACCGTTACTACTCTTATTGATTTTATTATTGCTATTGCTGTTATTTACAAATCTCTGTCTCATTCTTTCTTCACACAACTGTTTGATTCTTGCTGCACACTCCGATGGACATCGATTGGCAATGTCATATTCATATATTACCTTTGCATCTACTTTCATTTCATCGTTACTGATATCCATCTTTTGTCTCAAACTAATAATAGTAATAAAAAAAAAAGAAAGAAGATATATAGTTTTTTTTGATTTTAAATGACATTCTTGAAGTTGATTGTTATTTCATTAAACTATCTTTGAACGAAAATAATTTAGTATAGTTTCGAATATGAAAGATTTATTATCAATCTTTTGAAAAATCGATTGATAAGAAAAAATAAAAATTTAAAAAAGAAATTTTTTCCACACAAAGCCCGGTTAGCTCAGTCGGTAGAGCGCACGGCTCTTAACCGTGTGGTCGTGGGTTCGAGCCCCACATTGGGCGTCTAAATTTTTTAAAAAAAAAAAAAAGCACCTTGATGCGCGCATTTTTAATTTGTTTTTGTAAGGAATCCATTTACTTGATGGTAAATCCATCCTTTTAATACAACTTTTAATAAAACATGTATACCACTTTAGTTATTATAAAAAAAAAGTAAGGAATCCATTTCCAGAAATAACCAAGAATTCGGTAAGGAATCCATTTCCAGAAATAACCAGGAGTTCATTAAGGAATCAGAATAGTGATTAGTGAACTATAAAAACAACTCACATGAAACCTTGAGAGTCACAATTATTAATCAGAACTCTCAAGGTACAGCAAAAATCTGTGAAAACGGACAGAGGTTTCAAAATATCAAACAGTAATACATTTATTTGTTATAGAAACTAATAAATATATTCTAAGATAGATCTTTGTTAAAGATTAATTATTAGAAAAAAATTGAAACATTTACCATTTTAAAAAAAAATAAAAAAAATAAAAAACAAAAATTAACTGTGCAATATTTCTGAAGTGATAAAATATTTTTTATTTATATACATTTAAATTGATTTAAAAGAAAACAATTAATAGGATGTCCAATAGCCTTTGTTGAGGATTACTTGATTCAATCTGTTTGGCATTGATTCATATAGTGATTGGCAGTACTCCGGTTTCATTTCATATCACCACTATTAACATTATTTAAGAGCTCTATTGAGTTTAGAATGAATGGCATCTATTTATCTCTAGAATATCCAAGAATTTTAAAAAACATTCAGGTCATGACTGGTTTGTTTATATATCAAATTTAGTTAAGAATGCATTTTAAGTAAAAAATATTATGAGTTTTAGTATATTGATGACAAGTGAGATGTCTTGTACAGTTGTGGAATATAATAAAATTAGTTAAACAATATTATTTATTCGTCGATCTATATCATACTCTAAAATTTCTAAAAAATCTGGGAATCTAGAGCTTAAGATTGTTTGTCTAAGTGTTTATTCTCTAGTTGACCAGGTACGATAGAGGAAGAGATCGGAGTCTTGGATGCGATCAGGGTTGCTTGGAATACATCTGACGGGAGTGAGACTGGGCGTGTGACGGGAGGGACGATATCAGGAAACAAAGTAGAGGTTGATGGGATTGAATCATTATCATTATTGCTTTCGAGATCGTCCATTGTAAGATCATTTGTTGTGGTTGTTGTATCAGTAGGTGCTGCTGCGTTATTGGTTGTTGTGGTTGTTGTTGTTTGATCAGTTGGTACTGCTGCATTACTGGTTGTTGTGGTTGTTGTTGTTTGATCAGCTGGATCTGACATTTCTTATTCAAGTGATAATTAATAATAATATAAAATAATGTTTTTAATAATATTTTATATAATTTAAATCTTTTTAACTTTATTTTAATTCTTTTCTTATTTATTTAATTTCTTCAGTTTCTATTTTAATATTGAATAAAAAAAATGAATGAATCTTTAACGTCGCGTTAAACTCAATTCGTTATTGAGAAGCTTGACGGCTGAGTGTTGAATACTTAATTTAGAAACAACAGAAACAACAGATTCTAATTTAATTATTATTTTGATCTGTTGTTTTGAACTATTACTTATTTAGTTGATTAATTAATTTAATTAATTATAATTGACTGTTTCTTATATGTTGACTGGTGATTATTATTGAAGTTGATTGATAGGTACCGGCATTGCCTTGGCGGCTACCTTATTGTCCTTAGACGGACAACACTAAGTATCCAGTTCCATGTTAAATTAATGAGAGAAAAGATTGAATTTGAATCTACCACTTTCAACTTAATGATAAAATATTAGTTGTTCTATAATCGGGAACTCCTTTAAAGAATAACCTTTCTTTATACTATACTCTCCTTGTTTTATTTTCGTTTCATCTGTTAAATTACTTTTCTAAAAAACCAATATCCATGTTTATGTAAAATAAGTTAAAAACCTTTACATTTTGAATTGAAGAAGAGTCTAAAAGGTTTTTTTTTGTATTATTTCTGAAAGTTATTCCTTAATCCTTTATTATTCTTCTAATAATGTTATTGATTTATCATTTTAAAAATGTATTGTTATCCTTTTTTTTTTTAAAATATTTATTTGTTTTTTAAAAAATTTTTTAAATTTTATTTTAAATATAATTGTAATCTTTTAAATATACTCTTTTTATACATATAGTATTTGTGTTCAGGGCTGAGTTTTTTTTTTCTTAGTTTTTCTTTAGTCTTGAAACTGTTGAAAATTAGAATTGTATTTTAAACCAATAACTTCTTGTGCCGTTCAGTAATCCAAATCAAGTATTCCACAAATCTTTTATCTTTCTGTTAGCATTTTACTTGGTATCATTCTTATATATAATATAATTAAATATTTCAAAATAAATTTAAAAGTACTATAATAAAAAATATTTTATTACTTCAGAAATATTGCACAAATTAATTTTATCTTTTATTTTTTTTATTTTTTTTTAAAATGGTAAATGTTTCAATTTTTTTCTAATAATTAATCTTTAACAAAGATCTATCTTAGAATATATTTATTAGTTTCTATAACAAATAAATGTATTACTGTTTGATATTTTGAAACCTCTGTCCGTTTTCACAGATTTTTGCTGTATTAAGATGTCAAACAGGAGTAGACACAGCAAGGTTATTTCTCTCTCTTTTGATCTGATTATCCAATTGTTTTTGCACCCTTAACATGTGATTTCGTCTAATTCAGTTTATTATTCGTTTCCCAACAAGGATGTTTGGTTTTCAGATGCTTGCATAGTTTGATAGAGTCACTTTTACTTGACAGTTGTTATGACAACACTGCTTCGAATTTATATCTGCATTCACTTGGAGTGGTTGCTCCCAATGTGACTTTTTCATTTCATTGGGGTGCTTTTCTCTCTTGTGCCTATTGAGTTTGGTCAATTCACTATAAGAATATAAACAATGCTCACACTTGAATTTAACACTATTAACGTGGTATGTATTTATTTTAGAAACTGAACTATTACTATTACTAATACTACTACTACCACTACTACTACTAATACTACTAATATAATTATTTTCATTTTCAATCACTTCGAACAAAATATTTAAGCCATAATCAGCCGAACGTGATCTCTTGGGTTATCATTTATAATTTCAATTTCCTCATCATTGAATACACACTTCTTGTTATCATTTTCTTTGGTAGACTCTGGTTGCTCCAACTTAAACATATAGTTTTCCTAACTAGAATAATATAATATATTCTGTATACAGGTAACAATTAAAAAAAAAAAAAAAAAATTAAAAAAAAATTAAAAAAAAAATTAAAAAAAAAAATATGAATTACTTACAACTTTGATATAAAATTAGGAATTACTTTTAGGAATAGTTTTGGACAAGAAATATGGATTTAATAAATGTAATAAAGTTTAGAGATATAACTTACAGTATATGATTTAAAGATAATAATTTATTTGATTTACAATTTGAAGATAAGAATAATATTTGATAGTGTTGAATAAATGTTGGAGTATTGTTTAACAGTTGGATTATTAACTTTAGTTATTTGAAATCGCGTCAATAAACTGTTTGAATTGTGATGGTTGAATTCTTAATAATCATTGAAGTGTGAGTTGATTCGAATATTATAATTCTAAAATTAACATTTTAGAACAGTAGTTTTCTTGCTTTTTGAAGCAGTTGTCTTCTCGACATTTGTTCACCATTTGGAAGTGTAATCGTTTGTTTGTTGTTCAGCAAAGTTAGTCCAATCGATTTGTAAACCATTCTTCGTCTATGACCTATTCTTAGTGATTCCAATAATAGTTGTTGTTTTGTCATTCGAACACCATTATGGAGTGTTATTGTTTCATACCGAGATAGTGTAATGGCAAGGTTATAATATGAATCGTATTTGCTGGGATCACATTCTATTAATTTCAAGTATAATTGTTGTTGAGTCATTGATTGTCCGTTATTAAGAATGATTGATTCACCTCTTGAAAGTGTAATTAAAAGTTTATAATACGAATCGGAATTGGTTGGATCACATTCTATTGATTTCAAGTATAATTGTTGTACAGTCATTGATTGTCCATTATTAAGTGTGATTGATTCACCTCTTGAAAGTGTATTTGTAAGGCTATGATATGAATATGAATTGGTTGGATCACATTCTATTGATTTCAAGTATAATTGTTGTTTTGTCATTGATTGTCCATTATTAAGTGTGATTGATTCACCATTTGAAAGTGTCGTTGCAAGGTTATGATATGAATATGAATTGGTTGGATCACATTCAATTGATTTCAAGTATAATTGTTGTTTTGTCATTGATTGTCCATCATTAAGTGTGATTGATTCACCATTTGAAAGTGTCGTTGCAAGGTTATGATATGAATTGGAATTGGTTGGATCACATTCTATTGATTCCAAGTATAATTGTTGTTGTGTCATTGTTGTTCCATCATTAAGTGTGATTGATTCACCTCTTGAAAGTGTTGTTGCAAGGTTATGATATGAATTGGAATATGTTGGATTGCATTCTATTGATTTCAAGAATAATTGTTGTTTTGTCATTGATTGTCCGTTATTAAGTGTGATTGATTGACCATTTGAAAGTGTATTTGCAAGATTATAATAAGAACTGTGACTGGTTGGATCATACTCTATTGATTTCAAGTATAATTGTTGTACAGTCATTGATTGTCCATTATTAAGTGTTATCGATTCACCTCTTGAAAGTGTAATTGCAAGCCTATTATATGAATTTGAATCAGTTGGATCACATTCTATTGATTTCAAGTATAATTGTTGTTTTGTCATTGATTGTCCATCATTAAGTGTGATTGATTCACCATTTGAAAGTGTCGTTGCAAGGTTATAATATGAATTGGAATTGGGTTGGATCACATTCTATTGATTTCAAGTATAATTGTTGTGCAGTCATTGATTGTCCATTATTAAGTGTGATTGATTCACCATTTGAAAGTGTCGTTGCAAGGTTATGATATGAATATGAATATGTTGGATTACATTCTATTGATTTCAAGTATAATTGTTGTTCTGTCATTGTTGTTCTATCATTAAGTGTGATTGATTCACCATTTGAAAGTGTCGTTGCAAGGTTATAATATGACCGATAATATGTTGGATTGCATTCTATTGATTTCAAGTATAGTTGTTGTTCTATAATTGATTGTCCATTATTAAGTGTGATTGATTCACCATTTGAAAGTGTATTTGCAAGGCTAAAATATGACAGATAATATGTTGGTTCATATTCTATTGATTTCAAGATTAGTTGTTGTTTTGTCATTGATTGTCCATCATTAAGTGTGGTTGATTCACCATTTGAAAGTGTCGTTGCAAGGTTAAGATATGAATATAAATTTTTTGGATTACTTTCTATTGATTTCAAGTATAGTTGTTGTTGAGTCATTGTTGTTCCATTATTTAATGTGATTGATTCACCATTTGAAAGTGTAATTGCAAGGTTATGATATGAATTGGAATATGTTGGATTGCATTCTATTGATTTCAAGAATAATTGTTGTTTTGTCATTGATTGTCCATTATTAAGTGTGATTGATTGACCATTTGAAAGTGTATTTGCAAGATTATAATAAGAACTGTGACTGGTTGGATCATACTCTATTGATTTCAAGTATAATTGTTGTTTTGTCATTGATTGTCCATTATTAAGTGTGATTGATGATCGATTTTCAGCTTTAAGTATTAATGCCAACTGGTAATAAGTATTAGCATAGCTTGGATAAAGATCGATTACTTTTAATAAAAGTTGTTCTTTCGTTGTTGATTCACCTGATGGTAGCACAATTGTTTGTTGATCTCTATTAACATGATCAAATGCCATTACAAGTTGGAGAAGCGCATCATTATCAACATTTGAACTGATATTATTCTGATCATGTTTTCTTTTCATTGTTTTTTAATGATATATGAATAATCTTTTGATATCAATTATCTAAATATCGATAAATAAAGAAAAATATGTAAAATGTGGTACTAAAAGTATAAAAAAAAGTAAAAGTAAAAATTAAAAAATAGAGGGGTTATTAAAATAAGTATCTTTATCATATTTTATTAGCTTCTATTTTTTTTACTCTTTCATTTTTGGTACCAACATAAGATTCCATGAATTTTTCAAATTCACTAAATAATAAAGTTTCCATAATTATAAAAATAAATAAGTATAATCATACTAGATAATACAAAATTATTTAAAAGTATCTAGGGTAGAGATATTTAATTATGCTAAGAACCAAAACGAACAGGTAAAAAAAACAAAAATAAATTTTTTGATCGATCAAAAAAAACTTCTCATTTAACTTATTTTATCTTCATGGATAAATTTAAATGTATAATTAATTCTTTAGTAATCAGACATTGTATATTTAAATATGTACGTGAAATCAATAGATTGTTTATAGATGATCGAGAATTCCCAAAGACAAGATATTACAATTATTATTGTCTATCAGACAACCCTATACAGCTTGTTTACTATAACTATATTGATAGATATATAAATGAATTAGATCTGTGTTTGAAGGAATCAACAATTAATAATCAACAAAAATCACAACAAACATCAAAACAATCAGAAAAATCACCACCAACAAATCTTTCAAGAGAATTTAAATTATTATCATATACCTATTGTTTAGCAGATGCATTTAGACGTGCAAGATATAATGGTAGTGATGAACAGTGTACATTAATTAGAAGTAGATATTCAGAGTTTATTGATTGCTCGGTATACGATGAGAGGTTCGAAACAAAGGTGTTGGAAGATGCATGTAAGAGCGATCAATTGGAAATAGTTGAAAAGGTTGGAAATGGTCAATTGAGTGGTCATATTACAGACAAAGTTTTACAACTAGCAATACAAAGTGGAAGTCTATCAACTGTAAAGTATATAGTCGAAACACAGCCACACGATCTCTTTGATATCGGCAGAGCAATGAATTTGGCAGTGACAACCAATCGAACCAAAATATTCGTGTGTATCTCGGGATCTAAAATCCCGAAAGTTTCGGAATACTATCTATTCGATCAAACAATGATAAACAAAGCTATTGAAAATGGTAATTTGATGGTAGTTCGTAACATTTTCGATCAAGTAGATAGGAGTCACCTTAGTTTGAAGTCTGCACTCGATAAGGCAGCAACTATAGGTGATCTTTCAATCCTTGACTACTTTATTAAAGAAAAACAATTGGAAATTACACAATCAACTCTAGATTCAGCTGCATCATGTTCAAACATTGAAATATTTAAATATATACAGAATTATCTTCCTAAGGGTGTAAGCGTAACCGTTCAAACAGTTGCAAATACAGCCGATGCTGGTGTTGATTCGATTAAATATCTCTATGACAATGGTTTATTTAAGTATTCAAACCAAATTGCTTCGAAAGCACTCAAGAAGAAAGATAATAATATCATGGAATTCTTGTTAAATAATATTCAAGAGGTTTACAATCAACTTGTTTTCCAAATGGCTGTTCAACATGGTAATCTTCCAGTGGCAATCAAGATACTATCACAACTACCTGGTCAGGATGTTCCAGATCGATTAGAAACTCACTATTCCACGCAGCTCACGATAAATATAATGATGTGGTCGAATATTTCATGAAACTGCGACCGGATATGCTGACAGATAACATTATCAAGGTGGTAGTGTTAGATGGTAACATTGAACTGCTACGCACTTTCAATAGAGAAGCGATATCACAACCTGGAATCATCGGTGTGAATGAAATGAATGGAGTGGCATCCTATGGTAAATTGCAAAATGTTAAAGTATCTTCATGAGAATCACCGATATGCCAAATGCTCTGAACGGGCAATGGATAACGCCGCCAGCAGCAATCACATCGAGGTGGTTCAATTCCTCCATGCGAATCGTAGTGAGGGATGTAGCACCGCTGCCATCGACTTTTCAGTTGGCCAAAACAACTTGGAGATGATTCGATATCTCGCTGAGAATAGGACCGAAGGTTGTTCGGACATTGCTTTCATTCAGGCAATTCGATTTCCACTACTTTGACATCGCAAGATTATCTACACACCAATATGGTTTCGAGCTCAGTTGTACCGATTGTCTCATTACCGTATCATCCAGTGTCAGAAGGTAACCTTGCAATACTTAAATTCCTTCATTATAACCATTTGATTACAGAGTGCGATACCACTGTTTTCGATATTGCAGCAAGTTGTGGTTATCTCTCGATTGTTAGATTCCTCAGTGAAAATCGAACAGAAGGTTGTACTTCATCTGCTTATGACGGTGCCGCTAAAGGTGGTTACCTCAAAGTTTTCAAATATCTAATAGAGAATAGAACCGAAGGTTTTACAGAACAAACATTCTACAACGCAAAGAAATTCAATAGAAACAACATACTTCAATACATCACAGAAAATAAATTAAAAGCAAATAAAAAGAATAAGTGATTGAAGAGAACTTAAACATATTATTATCTTTTTATAACAATATTAATTTTCTTTTTAATTTATTTTTGATGGAATGTCATTCATAATAATTGAATATAAAAGTTTTAAATACTATATAAAAATAACCGCGGAAATAATTCAACAACAGAAAAAAGGCAAGATTTTGTATCAGAATTGATATTCAAATAAGTTAACTTTATGATAAATAAAAAATAAATTTAATAATTGAAGTGACACAAATCACAGACAAAGACATGTCGGAGAATAAATATCCAAAAAAAAAAAAAAAAATTAAAAATAAATTGAAAAATATGTGGTGGTGACTCACACACTGAAAAAAAATAAATGAAAAAGGTTTTAGGGTTAAGAGAGAATAAAAAAATACAAAACTAAATGTTATAACAACAAGATATATATTAGAATAGAATAGTTAAATACACACAACCTAACAACACCAAACTTGAAAAATAGACAAACATTATTGACTTTATTTTTGGACTTTATTGTTTGTTTTTTTTTTTTTTATGAAATTGCTCTTTTTTTTTTTTTTGACTTGCAATTTAATATATATATATAGTCTTTGACTTTCTTTACTTTCATATATTAGTTAGTAGATAGATAATATTATATTAGTTCAATCAATAATAACATTTGTTAAAATAGTTTCGAAAATATCTGTAATTACTGAACTTTAGAGTATGTATGATAAATATTTCCCGCTTTTTTCATAATTCTCTCATAGCAATCGAATCATCATTCATTCTCTTTCTTAAACATATAAGTTAATATAGTTTCGATTAACTACAATACACACATATACATCAAGTATAATAAGTACAGCTACTTCATTCAATACAAATCGAACCAACAACCAATCACACAAAGATATAGTAATAAAAATATAGTAAAGCAACACAGTCATACCACTAAATGATGGTTTGTTTAGAATAAATATAAATATATAAAGGTTGTAGTGAGTGGGTCTTTATATTTCTCTTAACACCCATAGGATTTAGAATGTGCTTAGAGTGTTAAACCTGATAAAATCAAAAAATCAACACTAAATTACACTCACTATAAAAACTGAAGTGATATTACAATGTCTATGTACTATTAGTGTTCATTTTAATGAATGAATATTGTTGTTGTTCAACACAATAGCATAACAGTAACAGTAACAATAACAATATAATAAAATAGTAGTGGCTAATAATAAGTAGTATTACTATATATTGATGATCAATGTTCTAACATTGAAACAATAATAATAATAATAAAAATAACAAAAACAATAATAATAATAATTTAAAAATAATTGATTAGATAACACTCATTTCAAATATAACATTATAATTATATTAATTAAAGTTTATAATTAGTTCATTGTATATTTGCTTTTTGTTTTTGTTGTTAGGCTTGTTGTGTCTCTCCTCCTACTTTGACTTTTAATTACAACTATCGTCTTTTGTTGTTGTTGCTGCTGTTTTAAAATCAATATTGTTTTTGTTAATGTTGTTGTTAAAAATACAATAACATTGTCATATTTCTCTTAAGTATATATTTAATATTAATAATATGTCTGACAGAGATCAGAATGATGAAATTATAACTTCAACAATCAATCTTGGATTCTATAATTATTATATAAATAAACATCATCATCATCATCATCAACAACAAAAACATCAACATCAAAAACAAGAACAACAACAATTTCAAAGTTGTTCGAATTCACTTTCCGATCCTTTCTACTATTATTGCTATGAGAAGAAGATGCTATTCTCAATGTTTCTCATGGAGTTTCCACAGAATATCGATACTGACATATTTGTTATGAAGGAATACGATCGATTGAAGATGCTACAGGAACAACAAGGACCGAGACACACTGAGATCCTGCTGCGCAAGGAAGACAATGTCGGTGGTCGTAAAGCACTCAAAGAGAAATTCGTAGAGATCTACGAAGCGTTCTTCAACGGCGAAGATCCATCGGCCAACCAACCATCGTTCTGGGAGCAGCTGTTCCTCATCAAAGTGAACACCCCATTCTTGGAGCGTTGCATCATCTTGACCTCCGAGGATCATCTCCTCGCACTGAAACCAAACATCAACCTAATCTTTACACAATGTTGCAATTGGCTAAAGAATTCCGATTCAATTAGAATCGTTCATATTTTAGAGGTAAGTTGTTAAGCAGACAATAACAATAACAACAACAATAATAACAACCATTTTTATTAACTTGTTTATTATCATTATTTCCAGACACTTAGTATTATTTTAAGAAGTATTTTCAGAAAGAAATTTAATAACTTTGGATTTGACATATTGAATATTCTATGTGGTATTGAGAATGCAGATAATGTATTCAAACAATTGATTATCGATTTACAACAACTCTTAAAAAATCCAGATGGTATGTATTTATTATGTTATTAAAGTATATCGGCGGGTTTGACTAATAATGTCATTTGTTGTTTTTTAGCAAAAGTAAAATCGCTGACTATTAATTTGTTGAATATTATTGTGACTGCAACGGAATTTATCAATCAAAATACATTGCTACAGTTCTTTATGGTGGTCGATATGTTTATGTCGTTGGTCGATACCATCAACGATAAGGAATTGGCCAAACCACAGAGATTGAATGCATTGACAATACTGGTGTACCTGTCAAACTTTCAGAAATATGAAATATTGAACCCGTACAATAGGAATCTCTCTTCGTTGGCCGACACCGAGAGAATCAAAGGTCTGGTGGAATTGATCACCTCGCAACTCGACGATCAAAACAAATACTATGCCGATCAATTCAGAGAACCAAATCAAACAGTGATGTCAAGATTCGGTGGTTACCTAAGTAGTTGGGTATACACACCGGTTATTGCAAAACCATGGTATGTATTATCACAATATTAATTCGTTATCTTTGATATTCTAACTCTTTATTTCTTGTTCTTCATAATGTACAGTTCTCTAAGTGATACAGGATCATGTTTAATGATATTATATGAACTATTCTATCAAAATGAAACATTCATTAAACTTTTGATAAATGGTGGATTGACATCGGCCAACAGTACTTGTCCGGAGGTTCTCAAACAGTTTTTGGTGTTTGGTGGATATCTGGCATCGGATCACGCCAAAGAATCAAAGGTACTATTTACCAAGCTCTCATTGAACATCTTGATTTGTATGACTGAAAAGAAAGAATTGGAAGATTATTTCCATGAAGTTAAAACGTCAAGCTATATTTTTATTTATTCAAAGGTAAATATAATAATTTTTGTTGATTAATTAATTATTCTTTAAAAAATATTAATAATTATTTGTTAATTGACGCTCAATAGAAATCATTATATCCAGATCCAAAAGAAGTTGAAAAACATCCAATTTCATGTTATATTATTGATGTTGTAAATCAAATTATCAAGTGTAATCTCAAAGGTAAACTACCGGTTGAAATTCATCAGAAAGCTATCAGTTGTGTCCAAAGAGTGGTTTCCTACAAGAAGAAAACACAATCAAGATTACCAATCAAATGGGTCGACACATGGACATCTCTTATCTCTTTCATCTCAGCGATTAACGCCTCTGAAAAAGTACAACACTCTGAATTACTTCCACTTGGTATCGATGTAAGTAAACCATTAATCAAATCACAATCGACAAAATGGAAGATCCACATAACATATCAACTAACTAACTAAACATGCTAATTATAAACTCTATAGACAATTAATATTTTCAATCTATTCATCAATTATGGTGACCTTTTCCTACCGCAACCAAGTGACTACGATGATCTGTTCTACGAGATCATTAGAGCTGGCCAAGCGGTAGAGTCATTCTCAAAGCTGGTGGAAATCGAGGATCCTACCGGTCAGTTGATGAATAGCTTACTGAATATCAAGACGATCATTCAGCATTTCAACGGCAAGATTCAACAGTGGTCATCGGAGCACCAAGAGGTATCGCTCACCTCCGATCAGGTGATAGCACTCATCAAAGACAACTACGTCACACTCCGACTGAAACTACAAGAGAATCTCGATCAATTCGAACGCTACGTAGAGAGCTCCAAAGAAGCAAACTTCTATCGTCAACTAATACGCTCGATGGTACAAGACACCAAGACAAATCTAAACAACAACAACAATAGTAATTCAAAAATAGTATAACAACAATTATAATAACAATAATAATAATAGTTTTATCACACACACACACACACTCTCTCTCATATATTAATTATATTAAAAATTTAATTAAAATCTTTTTTTATTTTTTTTAAGAAATTGTTCATCATCTAATTCGATCAAATTTATTATTGTTAACAATTTTATTCGATTTTATTTTATTTTATTATTACCTTTATTGGTAATTTATTTTTTTTGGAATTTTAAAATAAAAAAAAACAAAAAAAAATAAAAAAATTGAAAGTCAATATATTGTGTGCGAAAATGCAAATATAATATAATACATTAACATCTTTTTTTTTTATATATTCACTAATTTTTTAATTAAACTTTTATTAATATGCAATAATAAATCTAATCAAACAACTAAAAATAATAATAATACAGTAATACAATGTCTTCAACTATACAGCAACATCAACAAGATGATATTTCAACAAGTGGCGGTACATCACCTTCATTCGCATCTTCTTCCACTACTTCAAGACGCCTATCTATACATAACATTAACAACAACAACAATAACAATAATAACTATAATGAACAAGTAATAGAGTCACCAACTCCATTACCACCACCAACAAGTACAACACCTCCAATAGATAACAATAATAATAGTAGTAGTATAAATAATAATAGTAGTAGTAGTAGTAATAATAATATAAATCGTAATAATAATAATAATAGAAATAATAATAATAATAATTTAAATGATATTTCAACAATAATAAGGAGATTTTTAGTGGAGAGAAGTGTAAATTCATTTTTAATATTTATGATGTTCCTTTTGTTGTTTGCGTTGGTGAATGTTACCTATACACACTCTATACTTTGGTTTTTTATATTGTTGGCTTCATTGGTTACCACCCTTCAGATATGTCATATCATTCAGAATAGAATGGGTGGAGTCTATACACACACTTTTTATCCTGGCCAACATCATGGCTGGGGTGTCAATCGTCTTCACAACCCCACCACTCACGGCAGACTTCAGCATCCTTCACTCACCCGTTTCTCACACCTCCTCAACGCTCCACTAAATCTACAGCTAACTCTTATTGACAGAGATTTCAATTCCAATGGTAAGTGTGTTATGAATATAATTCACTTAAATTAGAGATTAAAAACAAATGAAAATTTAAATATTAATATATTATTTAGATTATGAAATGTTATTGGCATTAGACTCTGATAATCAAAATTATTCAGGTGCTAAAACGGAGCAAATCGAACTTTTACCATTACATTGTCTGGAGACTCAAAAGGATCTGGATGATCTGTTCCAAACGGATGGAGATAACTCACGAGAATGTAAAAAAGATTGTTCTATTTGTTTGGATAGTTTCCAGGTGGGCGATAATCTTCGCACACTGCCATGTATGCATCATTATCACTCGACATGTGTAGACAAATGGTTGAATATCAAATCTGTCTGTCCTGTTTGTAAAACAGACGTAGTATTTAGTTAAATAGCAGCAGCAGCATTATAACTTTATAAATTATATCAATAATAACAAAATAATATCATATATATTAATTAGATCGTGTTGTAAAAAGAACTTCTTTACTACATCTCTCAATTAATTTTAGTTCACCAAACAATCCTTTAATATTCAATATTTTATTGGATTTTTTAAAAAAGAAAAGAAAAGATAATTTAATAAATATAATATTTATTTGGAAAAAGAAAAAGAAAAAGAATTCAAATAAAATAATTAAAACACTAAAAAGATATGTTGTAAATCAATTATTGAGTCCTTCAGGAATTACCATTTAAATGGGATAATGCAAAAGAATATTCTAATGAACAATATTTATTTATTGGGATTTTGTATTAAAAACCAATTAAAAATATGAGTGGAATAAAAACTAAAATGATTGGCAGCTTTGTCAGAATATTAAGTATAATTTTATCAAAAACCCCCAAATCATATGATGTAGTGGTAGAATGGTTTATTTAGTGTGCTAACTAAATATTATTTTTATTTATCAAGTAATAACTGAACACCAATCAATCAACCAACCCAATTATTTAATAAATTTAAATTGAATAGTTCAATTTTCTTTAGATTTATATAAAATATTATTGTTTTGTTTTTTTCTTTGTTTTCAATTAATATTTATCTATAGATAATTTTATAAAGATATAAAATGAAAATAATATTATCTTTAATTGTTACACTATGTATTCTAGCCATATTACCTGATGTTATTTTCGGAGGTAGAGCATTCAATCCACATTTTGATTTAAGAAAAAAACCTAAATTCCAACTCTCAATCGATTATGCCCTAAAACAAAATAGACATTCCTCAAAAGGCGTTGAATATCAGTGGTTTACACAAGTAAGCATTGTTTTATTTAAAATAAAATTAAAATTTGTTAACAAAGATTTTTTGTTTTTTTTTTTAGGAATTGGACCATTTTGATCAACAAAATACAAAGACATTCCAACAAAGATATCTTATTAATGATCAATATTGGGATGGAAAAGGACCTGTGTTTATAATGATCAATGGTGAAGGTCCAATGACAATTGGTACTGTTTTAGGATTAAAATATATAGATTGGGCAAAACAATTTAATGCTCTTGTTGTCGCACTTGAACATAGATATTATGGTGCCGTATGTATCTTTATTAATCTATAGATAGTTATAGAATAGAATTAATTAGTTATTTTGAAATTTTTATTATTACTATAGTCCTTTGCAACTCCAGATATATCAACAGAGAATTTACAATATTTATCTAGTGATCAAGCGTATGTTATATTCTTTTTAGATCTAAAAATATCCAAAGATTAATATTAATCATTTCATTTTTTAGATTGGCAGATAATGCAGTATTTAGACAATTTATTGCAAAACAATATAATGTGACATCCTCTTCCAAGTGGGTTAGTTTTGGTGGAAGTTACAGTGGTGCACTTACCAGTTGGTTCAGATTGAAATATCCAAATTTAGTTGATTTCACCATTTCCTCAAGTGCTCCAGTTCTTGCAGAAGTCGATTTCTATCAATACCTAGAGGTTGTACAAAATTCATTATGTAAGCTATTAAATAGAAATTTATTGTTTGTTTGTTAATTAACAAAATTTTAATTATTATTTTATTTTTAAATTAGTAACAACTTCAAAAGGACAAGAATGTGTTAACAATATTGCTTCTGCAACTCAAAAGATACAAACATTATTGCAGACAAGTGATGGTCTCCAAAAGGTATCGGATTTGTTTGATTTGTGTCCACCATTGGCAACACAAGACGATATCTCCACATTCATGCAAAGTTTGGCAGGCAATTTCATGGGTACTGTTCAATATAATCTTGAAGCTCCAGGTGCTGCAACCATTACCAATGTAAATATAAATTGTTAACACTAATAACAAACCAAATATTAACTTACTTTTCTCTCTCCAAGTTATGTGAAATTATGACAAATCCAGATAACGATCCAATTACAAACTATGTAAAAGTATGGCAAGGATTTACCGATGGTTGTACTGATACCTCCTATGAAACCATGATTGATCTAATGAAGAATAATACCAATGATGCATCTGTAGAAGGTGGAAAGATGTGGTTCTACCAAACATGTACCGGTAAGTAACAAAACAAATAGAGAATTGTAAACTAATTAACTAAATAGTTTGTTTTGTATTAATTTAACATTTTATTATTATTATTATAATAGAATTTGGATATTACCAAAGCTCAGACTCTACTAAGCAACCATTTGGAAATCTAATTCCAATTGAATACTTGACCAAACAATGTCAAGAGGTGTTCGGATTCAACTTTACTCCGAATGTCGAATGGACCATTACCAAGTACGGTGGTATCAATCCCGATGCCGATAACATTCTCTATGTCAACGGTGACATCGATCCATGGCACGCGCTTGGAATCACCACACCAATCACCAGAAAGAGTCCATCGTCAAGCTCGATTCTCCTCATCCATGGAACCTCTCACTGCGATGACATGTTGATTCCACTGCCAACATCACCACCAACACTACCAGCTGCTCAAGCAACCATCGAGTCATATCTCACCAAATGGTTAACTCCATCATCAAACAAAAACAACAATAATAACAACAACAAAAAAGTAGTCGATCCTGTTATAAAAATAACAAACCAAATTACCAGAAAACATTAAATATTAAATGTTTTGATAAAAACACACAAATACGCATAATACACCCAAATAAACACAAACACACAAATACATATGAATAAATAAATTTAGTAATAATTTTGATTAAAAAAAACTGACTGCCTGATCATTAATCTTGATCACACACAGACTCTTTCAATTTCGTTTTTTTAATTTTTTTTTTTTTTAAAAATTAGATATATTTATTTTTTTTCTTTAATCATATCTAATTTTATATATATTTATATATTTATATAGTATAAAGACATGTCAGAAGAAAGGTTAATGGAAATAGAGGCTTTAAGTGCTATCTATATGGATAGTTTTAAGTGTATGTTGAAAAAGATTGTTAGATCACATGTGATATCTAGCTTACTTACATTTATGATCATTTTTCTTTGATTTTACAATATATAGCGATCAACGATGATAATATACAGATAACACTACTACCGAATCCAAGTGGTGAAGATAATCATGGTAAATAATACAATTCAATAAAGATACAATTCATTTTAACATTTATTAATGTGTTAATACATTACATATATATATAGTTGGAGTTATATTAGATATAAAGTTTACACCTGAATACCCAAATGAAGTACCGATTATAGAATTAATACCAACTGAAAAACTTACAAAAGATAGAATCAAAGAATTGATTCAGAATATAGATTGTCAAGCAAAAGAGAATATAGGAACATCAATGATTTTTATGCTTGTAAGTTTAAAGATATTCAAGAGGGTGAAGAAAAAGATGATTTGTTGTTTGTTTGTTTGTTTGTTTTTATTAATATAAGTGTTGTTATATTATAATTATAGGCAGGTACAATTAAAGAATGGTTAGATAATAATAATACAGATGGTTCGGTCGAGGAGGAAGAGGACAACGAAGAATCGATAGAGTCCGAGGAGGAAGAACCGGTGTTTGAAGGTACACCGGTGACAGTGGAAGCGTTTTTAGAGTGGCGAAAGAAGTTCATTGCAGAGACACAGCCGATCAAGAAGGACCTGTCGAAGCAGGGCAAGATCACCGGTAGAAAACTATTTGAAATCGATTCATCTCTGATTCTCTCCGATTCGAAATTCATGGAGGAAGGCGAAGAGACATCGAATATCTCGGTCGCCGCACTCAAACCGAAACTCGAGGAGGTCGCTGCACAAGTCGATTGGTCATTATTTGGAGAAGAAGATTTACCAGATGACGATGATTTCGATGAAGAAGATAATTAAACTAAACAATCAATCAATATTAAACAATAACAATAAAACAATAATAATAACTTAACAAAAAACAATAATAACAACAAAAGAACGAACAAATTGAACTTAACTTATTACCATAAAACTAGTTCATATCATCACCCAAATAAAACCCAAAAAAAAAAACTAAAAAAGTTATATAACTTTATTCAAAAAAAAAAAAATAATAGTAAATATAAATATTTTAAAAAATTTCATAAACAAATATTATTAATAGATATTGAAATATAACTAAATAACTGATTATTAACTGTATTTTTATTGTTATTAATTCAGCAGTAACCAAACAATGAAATTGAAATTATCTTTGTTTTGACAACCAAAATTGGGAATGAAAAATTTTTAAAATAATGTTTTTGTTGGTGGTGTGAACAATAAAGGGTTATTAATTTTTGTAAATTTTTATTTTAATTTATAAATTTGTTGATTTTTTTAAACAAGTTTCTTATTTTTTATTTATTTTTAAAGATATATAGTTATAGATTATTAGATTTTAGATATTTAGATAATTAATTAGATAATTAGATTTAAACTAGTGATATTTAATAGATTTTATTTGAATATTTTGTATATAATATAGTAATATAGTTAGTCATGGAAGATAGTGATAATCACTATCATGATTCAAATGAAAATGAATATCATCATGATGGTGGTGGTGGGGATGAAGATGAACAACATGAATATGATGATGGATTTGAGGAACAAGAGCATGTAGATAACAATTATTATGATGATCAATACTATCAGGAATACGACCCGAATGCTTTCGAACCGATATGGGTGCGTGCCATCTACGATTTCGATGCCACCAACGATACGGAGATCAGTTTCAAAGCGAATGACATCGTTTGTATCACTGAGGACTACAACGACGGTTGGTGGTGTGGCGATCTCAACGGTTACGTAGGAAGAGTTCCAGCCAACTACTTTGAGTATCTCGATCAAGATCAAGATCAAGATCACTCCGGATATGGTCATAGAGCAGCAGGAGGTAATCAGCAATCATACGACGATCAACAACAACAACAACAATACGATGATCAGCATCATCAACAATACGATCAACATGATAACCAACAACAACAACAACACTATGACACTGCTAGTGCCGGAGGTGCGCAACAACATCATGGCGATGACGACGACGACGACGACAACGGCCAACAAGAAGACGACAATCTTCGAAAGGAGAAGATGCGACAGAAACGTGAAGCCTTCAAGAAGGAGATGAAAGAACTGCAAGACAAGCTGAAGCAGCAGCAGCTCGATAAAGATGAACTCGGTGCCGAGATCAATAAGCTCGAGAAGGAGAAAGAAGCCGTCGAGAATCAGATCCACGGAATGAAGTTGCTCCGCTACATGGATCTCGAGATCTACAAGACAGAGACCGACATTGAACTCGACTCGGACGTCTCTATGCAGGCGCGACAAACCGGTATCGGTATCACACAGGACCTGCGCGCCATTCGCACTTATCTCGCCAGCTTAAAGTCGGCGCAGCTCGAGCTGCCCAAGAAGCAATTCGACGCGAAACTCGAGGAACTCGAGAAGCGCATGGCTGCCAACCTCAACAACCTCGACGTTTGCGACAACCTCAAGAAATCCGTCCAGATGGATCTGGCACTGCTTCAGAACGAGCTGGAGCTGCTTCAGATCAACGAGCAGGTCAGTGGACTGCCACTTCCGCCACCGCCACCAGCGGCAGCGTCGTCGTCGTCGGCGTCGCCACCAACATATAACGCGTCAACGTTGACGCCGGCGGCAGCAACTGCAGCAGGCAGTCTACCGCCACCACCCATACAAGTGATTGGCGGTGGTCCACCAGCATTCCTCCAAACACCAACAACTGTACTACTATCGGAAAAAGACAAACGAAAGTCAATAAAAGAAGCAAAGAAACAAGAGAAAGAACAATTGAAGGAAAGAGAGCGTGAAGAAAAAGAGAAAAAGAAAGAAAAGAAGAAAGAAGAAGATCAAGTTTGGAAACCTTCAAAAATTAACAAATAATAACCAAACCATTCAGTAATATATATTTATAATCAAATAACAATAACAATAACAACAATAACAATAACAATGATAAGATAGCTGAATAATAATTGTTTAACTTTTTTAAATCAGTAAAAAAAAAACAAAAAAAATAACCATTTGTATTCATATAAAAAAAAGATAATAATAATAGTTAAATTGAAATAATAATAATAACAATAACAAATAAAATAAATAAACTAAAATTATATGTATTTAATAAAACATTATAATTGTTATATCTATTCTATTCTAATTCATCATATAATATAACAATGTAGTTATAATTTGTCAAGTTTTCATTGCAGTCAAAACTATGATCTTTTTCGTTTTTTTTTCTCACCACACGAAATTTAGTTTTTTTTTTTTTTTTTAAGGAGAAATCTAAAAAGGAGTTATCGTCAACCTTTTGTTCAATCATTCTTGTTTAATATAGATCTATATTTATATAAATTAAACAAATATATTCAATTTCTTTCAACTTTCACATTTATATATAATAAATAACAAAAAGAAGAAGAAAGAATGAGAAATATTTGTAGATTAATTGAATTGTGTGACAAGTTACCACAAGATGTAGGTAACTACACTCTTTTCACTGTTGACAGTATCAATAATATAGTATATACAATTACAGATACAAATGTATTCATTGCATATGATACATCTTTAAAAAAGGTAATAAAAAGAACACAAACACAGATTTGTGTATTCGTCGTTATCGTGATATTAAAGTTTCTAAATATTTTTTGATATCAATTATTATTATTATTATTTAGGTAAATGTAAAGATTGAATTAAATCAACAAGATATATTGTCGGAAGGCGCAAAGATAAATGCGATTCAATTCATTCCCGATTTGGAATCGATTTGTATGGCATCGGATTTGGGTGATATTCTGATGTACAGCACGATGACACATCAGTTGGAGTGTGTCGGTATCGTTGGTAGCGGTATTTTGTGTATGTCTTGGTCACCGGACTACGAATTGTTGATACTGGCAACGGAAACACAGACATTGGTACAGATGAACAAAGACTGGGATATCTTGGGTGAGGTTAATATCCACTCGTTGCTCGCCGGTGGAAAACTCACAGCGAATATCATTACCAACTCGACGCTGCCACAATCGATCTACTCGCAATCCGCTTATGCACCAGAGACAATGGCTGCACCGGCGGGAGCACCGCAAGCGAACCGCTATCGTGAGACACCACCTTCGATCTCGTGGCGTGGCGACGGACAATACTTTGTTTGTTCGAGTTTCGATCCTGCCGTAGGCAAAGTGATGCTGCGTACTTGGGAGCGTTCACTTGTGTTGCACGCCATCTCCGAGCCACTGATTACCGGCTTGGAGAGCGTCGTCGCTTGGCGTCCTTCCGGCTCGCTAGTGGCGTGTCCCAACCGTCTTCCAAACAAGCATGAAATAGCGCTATTTGAGCGTAACGGTTTGAAACACGGAGAGTTCAACATTCGTGTCGGTGCCGAAGTTTTGGCGTTGGAGTGGTCAGCAGATTCCGAAATATTGGCACTGCATCTTCGTTTAACAAATTCAACAGCAGCAGCAGATGATAAACAACAACAACAACGTAGTTCTGTTGTTCAGATTTGGCATCGTAGTAATTACCATTGGTTCTTGAAGCATGAATTGCACTGCGCTGAGAATGACAGTGTTGTTTGTATTCGTTTCGACAATGCTAGCCAAGCTTCGATTCTTCGTGTTTTGACAAAACTCGGTGAGTTGCATGAGCATCTGTTTGCATGGGATTATAACGCGTCGTTGGGTGACGCCATTACCAATCCTGCGACGGTTGCGATGGTAGATGGTCAACACCTAAAGATGACACCATTCCGTAAGTTGGTGATTCCACCACCCATGTCACACTATCAACATCAGCTCGATGCCAATTGTTCGGCATTTGATTTCTCACAGACCGACTACTCGGTCGTCACTCTCCAAGTGAACAACTCGATTGCCATCTTCAAAGGAGATTCCGCTGGTTTGTTGGCCAAGTCGTTGATTTCAACCGCGACACTCCGTTTGGATAATCTTCGTCATCTCTGTTGGGTGTCGTCGTCCAACGCCAACCTCTACACGCTCGTCGCAGTCGATGGACTGTCGACTGCCAAAGATCAAATCGTTGAAATCGGATTCAAAGTTGATTTGGCACAATCCTCAATAGCTATTCAACATATTCACAGAACAAATGCACCTGAATCATCGTCATCTCAAAACAACAACAGTCGTATCATCAGATTAATTAAACATTTGGATCACCAAGATCAAGTACTCTTTGAAACCAATGATGGTGCAGTATACTATTATCATTTACAGGCAGGTGTTGAACACTCTGACTCTATCACTCCGTATCTCCAAGAGGATTCAAGTGGAATCTTCAAATTCCCATCGGTTTGTACATGGTTTGCAGTCACAAAGATTGCCGGTGAGGAAGTTCTCATCGGTTTGAACGACCGTAACAAACTCTATGTAAATCAAACTGTTTTGGCATCGGACTGTAATTCATTCGCACTCCACAACAAGTTCCTTCTCTACACAACTGTCTCACATGTTCTTCGTTCCATTCCATTATCCGTTCCACTCAACACTACAACATTAGCATCAACACCATCAAATACAACAAATTTAAATAACAATAACAATCAACAACAACAACAACAACAACCAAATGGAAAAGGTCATCATCACCATCATAAGGCTGTTACAACTTATGATGATTCTACAAGAGAAGTTGAACGTGGATCAAGAATTGCTGTCGTTGTTCCACATGATACTAGAGTTGTACTTCAAATGCCAAGAGGTAATTTGGAAGCTATTTCACCACGTTCATTGACGCTTTCAACTATTCGTGAACTTCTCAATGAACATCAATATGGCAAGGCATTCTCCACCATGAGAAGAAATAGAATCGATATGAACTTCCTCTACGATCACAACCCAGCGGATTTCCTCAAGCATATCGATATGTTTGTCGAGCAGATTCCACAGATCGACTATCTAAACTTGTTTATCACATCGCTTCGTGATCAAGATACATCAAAGACGTTGTTTGTCGATTTGGAGAATCCAGTTGCTCCACCACCAAAGTCCGCCATCAAGTCGGTCAACGAAACCTACGGCGACACACCGGGTAAAGTCAACTTGGTATGCGACAAGCTGCGTGAAGTATTCGTAAAGATCGATCAAAACCGATTCATTCAACCGGTTCTCACTACCTACGTAAAGAAATCACCACCCGAACTCGACGAAGCTCTCCGTCTCATTCAGAATCTCCGTGGTCTCGAAGAGGTCAGTGAACACGGTGAGACTATTGTTAATCGTCTCGCTGAGGAATCGTTGGATTACATTGTATTCTTGGTGGATGTCAATAAGTTGTATGACGTCGCTCTCGGTACCTATGATTTCGACTTGGTGTTGATGGTCGCACAGAAATCTCAGAAGGATCCAAAGGAATACATTGCATTCCTGCGTGAATTACAATCGATGGAGATCAACTACCAGCGATTCACTATCGATAAGCATTTGGAGCGTTGGCCAAAAGCTTTGGCTAATTTGGCGTTGGCCGGTGACGAACACCTCCAAGAGTGCTACGATTTGACCGTCGAGAAGTCGCTCTACCACGACGCAATCAAAGTTTTCGCAAAACGTCCGGAACTCAAAGTTGTACAAGAGCTGTACGCCGATCATCTCATGCAGAACAACAGATTCGAGGAAGCTGCTTTCCTCTACTTTAGCGCTGAGAATCACAAGAAAGCATTGGCATCGTTTAAGGACGCTGGAAAGTGGAAGTTGGCGTTGAAGGAAGCCAAGAAGCTAAACTACAGCGCCGAGGACACAAAGACTTTGTGCGAAGAGTTGGCCGAACACATGAGAAGAGCATCGAAATTCTTGGACTCTGCAATTATCTTCTCGCAGCACTGTGGCGACATTGAGAATGCACTCCGTAGCCATTGCGAGGGTGGATTGTGGGAGGATGCCTACGACTTGGCTGTCGACTCGAACCGTAAAGACTTGGTCGATAGCATTGTTGCCGAACAGCTATTGGAATCGTATAATAATCACATGAAGGAGATCGAAGAGAATCATGCGACCTACAACAAATCCTATGTTAGACTGGGTGTTGTGAGAACCACAAAGTTGAATCACGTACCTCTCCGTTTGATGCCTGGCGCCGCCGGTTTCAACGATGAAACCAGCTCGATGATGAGTGGCATGAGTGGAATGTTCAGTGAACAATCGATGGGATCGATGAACAGTATGAATAGCGCTTCGACAACATCGTCGTACCGTTCGACATACTCGTCGGCCACCGGAACCTTCTCACAGGCCACCAAGATCAGAAATAAGAAGAAAGATCAATCGAAGCGAAAGGTCAACAAGGTGAGAGTCACCGGTAAAGAAGGTAGCGTTCACGAAGAGGAATTCATCGTCGAAGCAATGAAAAAGATGATTCCAGGTCAGTCACAACAAGAGGTCGTCGCCAACTTGCTCAGAGGTTTGGTACTCCTCGGTTGGAGCGACAAGGCCGAACAACTACAAAACAGATTCAAGCAATATTTAGAGTTGATCAAACAATCGTTGGATCTACTTTCACAATCGGCCACCGCTGTACTCCCAGAGAATGTCAGAGAAGAACAAAGAGTTCAAGAATTGGAATATCAAAGATTGATCAGTTTGCAACAACAAGATGACAATAATACCAACAACAATAACAATAACAACAATCAACAAAATAGTAATCATCAAAATTCAACATTTGAAAAGATGACAATTAACAAAGTAACAATTACAATGGATACAATTAAATGGGAATTAAATATCTTTTAGGAAAAAAAAAAAAAAAAAAATAGATAAATAAAAATTAAAAACACAAGTTTATTTAATTTACAAAAAAATATTATTTATTATTCCACATATAACCTATTTTATTAAAGGTATTCCAGACCATACTTTTTTCTTATATTCTACATAGTCGTTACCAAAGAAATCGATTAATGCTTCCTCTTCATCTTCTATGCGATCCTCGAAGAACTTCCATGAGGCATAGGCATAGGCAGCCGTGCAAATAGGGTTGAATAAAACCAATTGAGTTGAGATACTCCAGATGAACCATCCGAAATAAGAGGGATGACGAACTAACGAATACACTCCATTGGTAACAAGTACATGTGAACTCTTCTTGGTTTGTTGAACGATATGTGAAAAGTTTCTACCGGCTGTTATCATTGCTGTGGTTCTAACGACCTGTCCAAACACCATCGCAATGAAACCGAGCGTCGAAATCCATCCCATCAGCTTCATCGATGGGAATAAAAGGTACTCGATCCAATACTCTATGAATCCTGCCAACAATGCAAGATTAAAAGATGTACTATGATTTAATAAAAATGCTATAGAAAAGTGTGATAAGTGTAAATATATTTGAAAATATTACTACAGTTTAACAGAACAGTGGTGAAATAATTGATAATAATTACAATTGGATGAAAGTTTAGTTGGATCATACATTGATACCCAAATGTATTCCCACATGTGAAAAGCAGCCAATCCCATCATATATATTCCATAACTGACATGGTTGACTGTTGAAAGAGAAAGAACCAATCCTACACCAAACAAAATACCCAAACCGAATGCATATGCAACAGTTCTAGCTGCACCTTTTTCATTCCATGCTGTCATGGCCATCTTTACCTCCTGTTGTTTTGATAGATCAGATGATTGATAATTATTTGATTCACTCATTTTTTATACATATATATATTATTACTATTCTATTACTATTACTATTATTACAATTACTTTTACTATTGTTGCAACACAATACAAATTAATATAAATCAATAACAGATCTCAAATTTATGTTCAAAAAAAAAAAAGAAAAAAAACTTAAAACAGAGATCAATCAAAAAAAGGCTTGTTTGTTTTTCAGCAAAATCATTCTTTTAAAAAGTTTATGTGAAAAATATATTTTTGTTTGTTGCTATTTTTATTCAAATTTTAATTTATCTGTATACATATGTTTAATTTTGGTGATGATACGAAATAAAATAATTGTATAGATTTCCAAAAATAAATCTCAAGTATATTGCTAATTTACTGTTTTTTTTTATTCATTTTATATTAAGATAAATGTGAAGTGGGTAGTTAAGTCGTTACAGCTGATAGGTTATGACTGTATTTTTCCTATTTATACAAGATATATTAAATTGAAAGGTTGTATTTACGTTTTTTTTGTTTTTTAATCAAAGTTGTTAACAACGTAGTATTCAATACAATCTGATCTTAACCAAAAAAAAAAGTAATTAGATTTTTATTTTATTTACTACACTCTGGTTGGTTGATTGTTTAATATTATGTTTTGTTCTGTTCCTAATTTGTAATTTGATCAATCAAATATAAAATAATTATAAAAAAATAAAAATGTTTTTATTAAACATCGAAAATTTGATGTCGCGCTTTCATTGTCTCTATCTAAATATTAAGGTTGGTTGTAGTTGATACTGCACTCTGTTCCCTTCTCTTTTAATAGATTGATGGATGATGGTTAACAACAACATTCTTATCTTTTAAGGAAAAAAATAACCTCAACAAAGCTTTATTTTAATGTGTTTAAAAAAAAAAACAAAAAATAAATTAAAATAAAACAAAACAACAAAAAAAAATCTGGTTAATTTTAATTTCTGTTCTGTTGTTGTTTTTTTAGAGTGTCACAAAAAAACTGGTCATAATTTTAAATTAAATTAATTTTAATTATTTTTGTTTTTGGTTTTTTGGCAATCAATAATAACCACACTCCTAATAAAAACAAATAAATACAATAAAAAAAGCAAAAAAAAAAACAATAATTAATTTTTTTCACCTTTCACACAACAAAAAACATTGCTTGCTTCTACTTCTTTATATTTTTATTAAATTTTCATCTTCCTCCAACCAACCATTCATCCATCCTTCTTATAAATTTAAGAAATAATAATAATTAAATCATTATCAATTTTTTAGGAATAGAACATAGGTGTTAAAATTAGAATATTATTATTTTTATTATTTTTATTAAAATAATTTAAATTTAATTAAGATATAGCATTAAAAATTATAAAAATATTTTAATTAAAAACAAAACAAAACAAAACAACTTATCTATATATCAATATACTATTTATTTTATTTATTATTTATTTATTAATTTTTTTTTTATGAAAGGAATGATTGGAAGAAAATATAATAATTGTTGAACAATTGGATTTCTTCATTATTTATCATTAAAAAAGAAAAAGAAAAAAGAAAGAGAAAAAGGAATTAACAAGAAAGTGAGACTCTTCTTGTTATAAGTTTCAGACAGAAAATTAATAATCTCACCTCTTTGTTCAGATCTTATAGCTTTATTTGTAACATTTTAGAGAATGTTCACTAAATTTAATCATCAAACAATATCTGGTATGTTTTTTGTTTATTTTAATATCATTTATAATTTTAAATAAATAGATATTAATTTCATAACTATTTACATATTGTATAGATCAAGGATCATATTCATTTCAACACCTACAGATACAACCACAACTTGAAAAACAGCAACAGCAAAATCAACAGCACCAACAACAACAACAAATCATTCAACAACAAAAACAACAACATCAACAACAGTTTAAACAGTTTGGTCAGCTGCAGCAGCAACAACAGAATGGTCAACAACTACAGCAACAACAGAACCAAAAGAATGAAAAGAAAAAGAATTTCTTTGATTTCTACAAGAGTGGAAAGCAAAAGATTATGATATCTTTTTATAATATCTATAGAAACTACCCGTCAAATCCACCATCGTTTTCCGCCAACTCTCCACTGTGGCTCATGGGAAAGTCATATAACACTCACAACGGAGCATCGAAATCCACTGCCTTAATTGTAACCAGTGGATTTTCATCGTGTTCCTCTGAGAATATGATTTACCAGCAGAATCCATATCAATTTGAAAAACAACATCACCAACAACAACAACAACAACAATCCACTTCATTAAATATTAATAGTTTATTTAGTTCAATTTTTCAATCATCAAACAACTCAAACTCATCATCATCTTCTTCCTCCAATTCCTCCTCTTCCAATTCCTCCTCCTCCTCTTCATCATCACAACAACTACCAACACCTAAATGTAATAATACAATGACACCATTACATCATCAATCACAAATCATTACACCAACACACTATTCACCAAACAACAATAACACCATCAACAACAGAGAAGAAGCAAATCAAGAGATTGATCGTTTCATTGCAGACTTTAAGAATATTCTGTGGTTTAGTTATAGAAAGGATTTTGCACCAATTGAAAATACAAATATAACCACCGATATAGGTTGGGGTTGCATGGTCAGAACCGGTCAAATGTTGTTAGCCAGAGCATTACTAAGACATTTATATCAAAATGGTAAGATAATAATATTATTTTATTACCCCCAGTAATCATAACCTAATTAATATTATTATTATTTTCTATTAGAAAATATACCAGAAGTAGATAGAACAAGACCAAGTTCAAAATATAGAAAAGTAATGAATTGGTTCTGTGATCTACCGACGAGAGAACACTACTATAGTATTCACCAAATTGTACATAAAAACAAAATCATTGCCAAATACCATAATAGCAAGCTGAAAGATTTCGATATCGAAACCGATGAGAATATCGATCTTTTGAATGTCGATGAATGGTTTGCTCCAACTAAAATATCAGTAGTTTTAAAGTAAGCTTAGCCTATTATTATCTGATCAGTTTAAGAAGCAATTCAAACTAACAGCTATTATTATTATTATTAGACATTTATTAAAATCACATGGATTGAGTGATATTACAATGTACGTGCCTTCCGATGGTGTAGTCTATAAGGACTACGTTAGAAAGCTGTGTACAGACGAGAGGTTGTCGTTCGATCCAGAGAGCAGTGGTATTAACAGTGGTTGCAATTCCTATATTATTGATGGCAATGCCGCGCGTGTCCCCTCGATGCAATCCTATCAATACAAGAGTGCTTCGAGTTTCGGTCAGAATTCACCGAGCAATCCGGCGTTCTCATCGTTTGTGCCCTCGAAATCACCACCATCCTCGATGGAAGAGGAGAACTACCTCGTCGGCGAGAACAGCGGTTCCTTCAAGGATCCACTGACCTGCTCCGACTTTTTCAGTAGTAGCTGCATTCCACAGCGTTGGAAATCCATCATCATATTGGTACCCATTAAATTGGGTCTCGATAAACTGAATGAGGTCTATTTCCGTGAAATCAAATCCATGTTGGAGCTGCCTCAGAGCATCGGTCTCATCGGTGGCAAACCGAAACAATCGTTCTACTTTGTCGGCTATCAAGATGAACACATTATTTATTTAGATCCTCATTTTGTTCATGATACAGTGAGTCCAAATGATATTAATTTTTCAGATGTAAGTTTGTTTGATCACGATCTACATATCATATTTTTTAAATGGTTATATTAATTTAACAATCAATATTTAGTCATATCATCATTGTGTACCTCAAAAGATGTTGATATCACAGCTGGATCCATCGATGGCTATCGGTTTCTATTGTCACACTCAGAGTGACTTTGAAGACTTTTGTGTGAGAATCAAGGAGATTGAGAAGAGAGGATTCCCCGTTGTCTCTGTAGGAGAGCAATGTCCCGATTACCAAGTTGAGAGTGACGATGTCGATCTCGATGAGTTTGAAGAGGAATGTGAAAACTCTTTTATCAATAATCTTCAAGGTCAAGTCTCTGATTTCATCGGTGCCAACAACAACAGCAACAGCAACAACAATACAAAGTTTGAAGATAGTGAAGATGATTTAGATGGATTCACAATGGTCAATTGAATTGAATAGAAACAAAACAATAATAATAACAAATAATAACTACTCCATACCTCATACCAACCAACCAACACCCCCTACTTTTCTCTTTTTTCTGTTTTGTTGTGTGTAATAAAACTCTTATATTTATAGTAATTTTCATTACTTATTTAAAAATCTAAATCTAAATCTAAATCTAATTCTTCTCTAATAATATAAATTATTTATTTTTATTATTATCTATAAGTTTGTTTGTTATTATTTATTATGCTTTGGTTACGTATGTTTCCTCAGGAAGTCGTAGCATGATATCACATCCTTTTGTTAAATGAGATGGTGCTTTGCATGATCTTCCATTGGCAAAATGTAAAACTAAATTGTTACTCAAATCACTGATCGAATCAACGTGCATCTTTACTTCGGTTGGTCCTCTGAAATCTAAAACCTTACCATTATATTCTAAGAAACTGTATTGTGTTTCATCTATATTAATTATAATAAATAATGATGATATTAGTTCAATCTTGTTATTATTATTACTAGTAATCTAGTCACTTACCTTGTGGGAAATACTCTATATAGTGACTGTAGACACCGAGTTGCTTTGCGTCTTTAACTACTACCGGTTCGGCATCTTCATCGTCGACACTCTTGAAAACGAGACCCTCTTTGGTTTTCTCGGTAAACTTGTAAAAAGTTCTCTCTAAATCGATTGCTTCCAAAGTTTCAGCACTTCTGAATTTATAGTTACTCTTTGTACCGTCCAAAGCATTTCTAAAATCTGCCTATTAAATCCGATGAAATTATAATGTTATACGAAATTTGATTAATTTTTTTGATTACATTCTAATGTTGATTCATTCATTTCTTATAATAGATAGATAGATAGATAGATAGATTACCAAAATAAAACCACCTCTCATAGCGACTTTCTGATGTTCAGTCTTTATTGTTTCCAAAAGCTTTCCTTTGTGTTCGATCATGACACCTCTCTTCAGTTCGCTTGCTTCGATTTCATAGAATCTCTTATTATATTGCAACTGTCCATTGAACAACAATCTTGAAGCTGATCTTCTAACTAAATGAGATGTAAAACTCATCATCTTTATATCCTAAAGTGTTATATATTATAAAGAGAACAATTAAACTTGATCAATAAACTTTTCAGGTTGAATGAAAAAAAATATGCTCAAAAAAATAAAAATAAAATAAAAAAATTAAAATGCTATAAATATATATTTAACTGTAAATCAAACAAATATGATATATCGTAATAAAGATTATATCTATAGGTGGTGTTAGATTAAAAATTAAATTTATTAAATAAAAAATAAAAATTATGAAAAAAAAGTAATATTTTTTTTTTAAATATTTATATCTTTATTTATTTATTTATATCAATAATAATAGATTGATTAATTAAGACAAGATATAAATTTAATCTTTATATTGAGAACATTGTAAATAATAAAATATATAGAATGAAGACGAACAATGATCGAATGAGTAAAATCGAAGTTCAAAAAAATTGAAAACTTTGGCGAGTTGGATTGTGTGGTCGAACGAGCAACACCACACCGCAGTAAAAAAGAGATAAAGGATACAGATAGATACCTTGAGTAGATTGCAGTATGTATCTATATCTTTAATCATCGATTATATCGTTTATCCAGAGATCATATTATCATCTATTAAAGCAACGAAAGTTCAATCATGAAGTGATACAGAATTATCATACTATCATATCTCATCAAATCAATAAAACATATCAAAACACAACACAAAACAATAAACAAACACACACAGTCAATTCTATTCAATTCAAGACAAGACAAGAGACAAAACAATCAACATAAACATAACAACACAACACACAAAAAAAAAAATTAACAAATCACACAATTTTTATTTGTTTATTTATTTTTGATTTATTTTAATTAGAATGATCTGTTATTATTATGATTATGTTATGCTTTTCGAAAAGGAAATAAAAGATATCAAATTATAATGATATTTATTTAAATTTATCATTATTCATATAAATTTTATCATAAATCACAATTCAATCAACAATCACAAATCTAATAATAATATTTAAACAATTATTAATTAAATAAACTCTAACTCAATTCAATTTAGATAACCAGCAACAAAAACAGAATATATAAAGATGTCAAAGATGCAACACGATCACCACTCTGAAGACGAAGATGAAAACATCGTTGAAGATCTTACTTCACCATGGGTTGTAACCTGTTACCAATCCGCTGCCCTCATTGCCAACAGTAATTTATCAACAATCAACAACTAATAATAATAGCATTACAATATAGTTTAGTCAAGCATAACATCTTTATCAATCAATATCCATAAAATCATAAAAAAAAAAAAAGAGTTTTTACAAAAAACGAAAACGATAATGAAGTGAAAGATCACATGAATGGATAAACAGATTGATTGATCGATCGATTACAAGATAAAGAAGATTACCATATTTAGAGAATGAATACATCGAAATATAAAAGAAAAAGATACAATTTATAAGAGATACAAATACAGATATAGAAAAATATATATAGGATGGAATATTTATGATAAAGATGAAATGACCACAGATTATATAATATTGTTGTTGAAACAAAAGTGAATATTATTAACCAAATAACTATTATTATAGAGGCTTTGAAGGAAGTTATTGCCAAGTGTGTTGAAGGTGCAGTCATTGTCGATGTTTGTGCTGCTGGTGACGATTTCATTGAGAAGGAAGTTGCCAAGACTTTCAATAAACGTAAGGGTTTGGAGAAGGGTATTGCTTTCCCAACCTCTGTCTCTGTTAACAATTGCGTCGGTCATTTCTCTCCACTTAAGGGAGACACCCGTACCTTGAAGAACGGTGATGTTGCCAAGATCGACCTTGGTGTCCACATCGACGGTTACATCTCACTCGGTGCCTTCACCGTCATCGTTGGTGGTGCCGCCGCTCCACTCACCGGAAAGGCTGCCGACGCCATCTGCGCCGCTCACTTTGCTTTGGAGTGCGCTCTCCGTTTGATCAAGAAGGGTAACAAGGCATCGGACGTCACCGATTGCATCACCAAGATTTGCGACACCTTCCACGTCAATGCCGTCCAAGGTATCCTCTCACACGACTTGAAGCGTTTCCTTTTGGACGGTGACAAGGTCATCTTCAACAAGATGCCAGTCGGTCAAAAGATTGAGGACGCTGTCTTTGAGGAGAACGAAGTCTACTGCATCGACATTGTTGTCTCCACCGCCGAGGGTAAGGTCAGAGAGCTCAACGACCGTACCACCATCTTCAAGCGTGACGTCAACCAAAACTACAATCTCAAGTTGAAGTCTGCTCGTGAGTTTATCCAAGAGGTCAACACCCGTTTCCCAGCCTTGCCATTCTCCCTCCGTGCCGTCTCTGACGAAAAGAAGGCCAAGTTGGGTCTCTCTGAGTGTCTCACTCACCAAATGCTCAATGCTTTCCCAGTTCTCTACGAAAAGGACGGTGAATTCGTTGTCCAATTCAAGACCACCGTTCTCTTGTTGCCATCCGGTAACCAAAAGTTGACCTGCACAGACATCCCACTCCCACACGTCAACTCTGCCTACTCACTCGATGAAGTCACCAAGGAAATCGCCACCAGACCATTGAAGAGAGAGAAGAAGGCTGCCGCCAAGACCTCAAACGCCATGGATACCACCAACTAAAATAATTTTTTTAAAAAATAAAATAAAATAAAAAAAATACTAAAATTATAAATAATTAAAAAAAAACAATGTTCTCATTTGTATAACACTCTTTATTTTATGTTTGGAAATTTTATTTATAAATATTCTGAAATATATCATGAACAAAAATAATAATTTTTTAAACTCCATAGAGATGTTTTTAAGTAATAATATTAAAATAAATTCATTTCTTATTCAAATCATGACAAGAAATCTTTATATTATTAATTAGTTTTTAAAAGATTTTTAAGTTTTATTCTTTTTCTTAAAGTTATTTCATAAATATTGTTCTTTTAAAATTTATTCAAAGATTTTAATTTCCAAAAATGATATAAAATATTAAGAAAAATATTATTTAAATTTCCAATTTTAAATAATATTTAATATTTTCTTAATATCTTTTAACTAATAATTAATACATATCACAAAACTTAAGATTTATAATCACCCCCACAAAATTAAAAAACAATATTTATCTATAGATAAAATTTTTGTGTAAATAATAATTATGTAAACTTTATCTGATCTATTCAAAAAGATGGGCATTATGCCAACAAAAATATATTAAATATTATAAATTTTAAGATATAATTCAAGAATATAGAAATAAACAACTATAAATAGAAATTAAAATGAATGTATTATCATTATAAACTTAAAACATTTAAATTTCTAAAACATTAAAAAACAAACTAACAATGAAGATTATTTTTGCTCTTTTTGTCTTGATGACTGTTGCTTTTTCGAGTGCTCACTACATGTGTGGTCCAAACTTCTGTAATCCAAATTACAGTTGTGTTTTTGACGGACACAATCACGGATGTATCTACGGATGTGGTGAAATGGTCACCCTTACCCAACACGTTGTCAAGGAATGGAATGTTGACTCACAACACTACGTCCAGGTCGAAGTCTCCATTACCAACCACGGACCACACAATGTCAACAATGTCGTAATTGGTGCTGCTGACGGTACTTTGAACTTGAGAGATCAAACCAGTGGTTCAATCTGGAACATCCAATGTCTCAGCTCCAATGACTTCACTCTCCCATCTGCCACCCCAACCATCAACGTCGGTCAAACCTTCAAATTCGGTTACATTAACAAGAACTGTATGGCCAACCTCTACATTAAGAACATTCATTACTGTTAAATGATTTAAATAATAATGTTTATTTAATAAAAATTTTATTATTTAAAAAAAATAAATATTTTTAGATTATTCTTTTGAGAAACCATCTAAATAATCGAACAATAGACAACTTGTTCGAGTTGTCGCTTAGCTAACTATCTAGCTATTAATCTTCATTATAGTTAAGTGTCGAAAGAAATTCGTCAATATTGTCAGGTATCATATTTGTATTGTTATTATTATTATTATTATTGTTATTGTTGTCAGGATTATTTTTATTATTGTTATTGTTATCTTCATTGTTGTTTTCATTTGGTTTTGTTAATGACGTAGATGCAGATGATGTTGTAGAGGTTGTCGTGGTAGTTGTTGTTGTTGTTGTCGTAGTCGATGTATTAGTTTGTTCGTTCTTTTCTTGATGTTCATCGGCTTGTTCATTGATTGGAAAAAGAGGTTGATGTCGTTTGTTACTTGTTGATCTGTACATAGATGTCGTGCTTCTACCGCTTCCTGGCGTAGACTGCAACGAGTGATATAGATATTCATTCTCATTATCATTATCTCTCCTTGGAGATAACGAATTATACTGATTTATATTATTGTTATTCATATTATTATTATTATTGTTGTTGGTTGTTGAATCAAAGTAATCTGTAGTGAAATCAATATTCATATGATCATTGAAATTCGATGTTTTGTTAAATTGCTGTTGTAGTTGTTGTTGTACGTATCCACCAATCTCTGGATCCGCTTCGATCGAAGATACAATATCACCAAGATCCCATTCGATATCCGGTAGTAACAGTCCCATACCGTCTGTCTCTGACAGTGATGCTAGCGGTTGCTGTTGAATTTGCAGATGTTGATTGTTCTGAAACTGTTGTTGTTGTTGCTGCTGTGTTAAATCATTATTGTTTGTATCAAATGCATTATTGTTATTATTATTATTATTAATCATATCTGAATTATTATTATTATTGTTGTTGTTGATAACTTGATTATACTGATGATGTTGATGTTGGTGTTGTAGTTGTTGCTGTTGTTGTGATAAACCATAGTTAATGTGATCAGCTATCTTTTCTTGTATATGAGGATTACTAAGGAGTTCCTCTAGACTCTTTCCGAAATCAGTAAGTGGTAACACATTAGAGTTTGAAGTGGTTACAGGTGAATCTTGTTCAAACATATCGGTATCACCTGTTCTCGTCAGTTTCTTTGGTGTCATATTCTTTCTCTTTGAAACACCTCCAGGTGGTGTTACTCTTGATGATTTAGTTGGTGTTGTTAAATCAATAGTTGCACTGACCAAATCATTTCTACTACTAATATTATTATTGCTATTATTGCTATTTTTATTACTATTGTTATTGTTACTATTACTATTATTGTTACTATTACTACTACTATTTACATTTATATTACTATTAATTTGTTTAAATTGATTTGACCTACTATTACTACTATTATTGCTATTATTAAATTCAAACTTTCTTTTCTTTTCATTGCTATTATTATTGCTTATTTGTGGTTTGTTTATTATTGGATTTGTTGTTGTCGTTGCTGTTATTGTCGGATTATTATTATTATTATTGTTATTGTTAGGTATTGTTTTATTAATTGTTGTTGACGATGATGTTGTAGGTATAGCGGTTGTTGGATTTGTGAAAAGATTAGATCTATAGGATGAGTAATCATCTAGTACGGTGCGAAGTGATATCAGTGTGCTTTGAATGGTTTGATACAATGGATCTGCAGTACCAATACGATTGTTCAAGAGTAATGTCGATACGAATGAATCATGTCTACGCTTTGTATCTTTGAGAACAACGTATTCATTGAGAATGGTAGGAAGACTCTTTACACCGCGATTCGCAATCTTCTGAAGGTTCTTGGTGATCGACTGACTCTCACGTGAGAACACCTCATAGCTCTCATTGAATCGTTCATCCTTCAGATACTTTAACACTAACAGACATACTTCACTCTTTTTAATTAAACTGATACCTCCAATATAATCTTGTTGTTGTTGTTGTTGTGTTTCATTCATTTATACTTTTGATTGAAAAAAACAACATCTCAAAAGAAAAACAACGCAAACACCTCACACTAATTTAATAATTTGAATTCCAAAAAAAAATTGTTTTTGTTAAATAATCTTGAAAATGAAAGTTTTTATTGATTAATTATCATTTTCCAAAAAAAGAATAATAACAGATAAGAGAATGATATGATATTTATCAAACAAAGAATAAATATACTATGACTTACTTGTATTCATCGAAATATGCGTGGTGGTAAAAATCTTCCGAAATCAATTGCAAAGTAATCATGTTCTTCAATGATCGATGAATCTCCAAGTCACCCGGACCATACAGGAATTTAGGATTGATACCAGAGAGATGACCTCTTAAGTTCATCACTTTACCGATTTTCTCCTTCTTTAAATTGACTTCCTCTACATCGTTATGTATACCCCATTACTACTACCATATATCAATGTTTCTTTATTATTTGGAAATTAATGATATGTTAATCTGAAATAATTACAGATATTTATTATTCGTAATATACTATCAAAACAACATTCATTTAATATTTATGACGGAATTAACAAAAGTAATCGATTCCATATATGGTACATTGATTTAGATCACCACAATCTATATTCCAATAGATTTTGAAAGAAATATGATAATCTATATTTATACATTGACAATGAATTTTTTTGGTAAAAAGCTCCTGTTTTAAAAAAAATCCCCACAATTTTTGTTTTATTACATCATTTTGAACTCTGTTAATAAAAATTGTTACATATGTTTAAATTATTATTTTTTAGTTTTGACAGAATATCAAAAATGAATAATTGTGAAATATTAATACCCAAAGATTGTAACCAAATATCTGTTGGGGTATATCAACAACTAGTAACTAGTAATAAGATTATTAATCCTCCATATTTTAATAATAAGACATCCCCGTCAAATAAATTATTATTCCTAGTAGAACACCAATAAATATTGCACTATTACTCCCTCAAAGTATTGGTCTATGGAAAAGGGAGATCCATTGGCATTCATATTAGAGTTTAACCATATTCACCTTCAAGATATCAAATATCCTTGTACTATTTGGGTAAAGGATATGGCTACTACTCCATGTATTCAAACAATTCATTCATTAGCCAACTTATCCATTGGAATGAAAAAATGGTCTTGGTTCAGATGTAGATGGACAAGCATTGTTTAGACTCAATGCTAATGGACATATATTTTATTGGTATGTATTAACACAGTTAAAGAATTCTTCTTAAAAACAATTACTCACAATAACATATAGTAAACCAGATTCAGCATTTATTTCCAATGCTAGATTTAATGCCGTTCCTCCTGCATATAAAAGACATTCATGCTTTTCCAAGTCATCCAGATTTTAAAATTGAAGTTCGATCCTTTTCAAATATTCCTAGCAATGAATTGAACAACCAATTACTCAAGATGTGTCGATGGATTTGATCTGGAGTGGAATCAGGTGTTTTGTTTGATGGATATGAATATCTACCTATTTTGTCTTTACCCAAATAGTACAAGGATGTTCACCTTCAAGAGGTATATCTTGGTTAAACTCTAATATGAGTGCCAATGGATCTCCCTTTTCCATAGACCAATGCTTCCCTACAAAATATCATTGTTTTTAACATATACAAAAAAGCAAAAAAAAATGAAAAATTTAATTAAATTTTATTTATTTCGATTTTTCATTGGTCAACTCACTTTCAACCTCGATATATTAAGAATGATATTTTAGAGGGTTGAGGGGACTGGTACTGAAAACTCCAATATGGATTGTGGTAGCTTGGAAAGTGTTGACACAGAAGTACAGTCTGCTGATGAAAAGAGAAGGAATCGGATAACTTGGGAGGTACTGACACAGAAGTAGAGTCTGTTGATACTGTGGAATCCAGTAGTGAGATAGAAGACACCATTGATGACGAATTGAGTCAACCAACTCCTTCAACTGCAAAGACCAATGGCTACTTACGTCCGCGTGTTTATTGCCAAAGAAATGGTAAACCGAACAACTTTAAATAATAGAATAATTAACTTTACAACATACTATTTAAAGAAAGAAACAAACTACAAACGTAAACAAGAAAATACATCTGATAGCCGTCGAATAAAGAGAACTAAATAAATTTAACTTCTCTTTAAAAAATTTTTCTCTTTAAAAAACAAACTAAAGATATAATAGAATTATTTTTCTTTATCATTTTCATTTACTATTAAAATCTTAGTACTTTTTATTTATTTATTTTCTGTAATTATATTATTATTATTATTGTTGATTTTATTTTATTTTTTAGAATAACACGAATTCTCTAAAATTAATAATAGAAAATTAAAAAAAGATCTGTATTATTACATTGGTTCACTGAAATAAAACCTTTTCATTATCAAAAAAGACAAAATATTTTTTTATTCAAGATTTGATTTTTTTTTTTTTCGAAAACAGTAAAAAAAAACATAACAATCATCGATGCAACAAAATATCTTGGTGTGTTGATGAATGATCAAAGAAATGGGGTGCTTAATGTATCGGAGAGGCTTTATTTTTATTTTTTAGTTTTTCAATAGTTTTTTGCTTCAAAGTAGGCAAAGTTTCTCTCCCACCAATAAAATTTGTTTTTTTTTTTTTTTTTTGCACATCTTCTCACTTGAATTTAATATCTTATTATTTTTTACATACTACACAAATTAAAATACTATAATTCTTGCTACTTTTACTTTTGCTGTTCATTTTACTTCAAACTACACTACATTGCACATTCCGCATATTGAATTCAATTCAATTCATCTTAAGATACTACTACGAAATTAACATAATATGTTTTTAAAAATTTAAAAAAAAGATATGTTTATTTTGAGAGACTAATAATAATAATAATAATAATAATAATAATAATAATAATAATAATAATAATAATAATAATAGATAGATAGTAGAATAATTAAAAGGTAGCAAAGAAGTAGCAAAAGAAGTAGATTTTTTTTTTTTTTTATATTTTTCGACCCACATAATCCAAATCCATAATAATGGTATACCTAAATTCCATTTCGTCGATTTCTAAAAATAAAAATTTTGGTACCGTATCAAATGCCAACAATACATTTAAGAAATCGGATTTAGATGTCAATCTTTTCGATACAGTCGACAAGCTGTTGGAGCTGAAAAGTGATAATGGATCATCATCGCTTGGCAGTGACATCGAAGTGAACAAAGCTTCCTCCAAAAGCAGCATGTTCATCACTCATAGTAAAATAAACTATAACTATAATAATAACAATTCGATTGGTCAACACCATCACAACAACAACAACAACAACAATGGTTTATCTCCAAAACAAGCAACCAAAAGCAACAACAACAACAATCGAAATAGCAATGAAAACGATGTATTCAATTCAGCATCCGATTTTCTAGATGATTTAATAGATGGATCGAAATATTATTCAAATATTTGGTTAAAACAACAAAATTCAACAATTAATAACAATAGCAACAACAATAATAATAATCAAAGTAATCAAAATAATCATCGTCATCACCATAATAATAACAATAATAATAATAATAATAATAATAATAATAATAATAATAATAATAATAATAATAAGAATTTCAAAGCTAAATCACCAGATATAAATTTCAAAGAGATTTTGGATGATGATGATGATGAAGATGACCTAAATTCACTTTTATTAGATATTGATTCACTTGTGGTCGATTTGCGTGGGATTGAAGACAATCTTCGAAATTCAAGAAGAGAAATCAAAATCCCACCAACCTCTGAAGTTAAGAAGCACTACGCAGCACCAACCACCATCAGTTCTACATCTAAAATATTCTCAAGATCAGAACCGAGTCTGCCAACACTTCCACCATCGACTACCACCTCACCAACTCTCCTAAGATCAAGTGCAGAGAATCTAGATCAAGTCCATCACGTGGAACATCAACAAGCTGTAGATGATCAATACTCATCATCAACGACATCTCCAGATCTATCATCAGATAGTTCATACACAACGAGTCCAGTTACCTCTTGGCTCAACGGATCGATTCCTTCACCAAAGCTCTCTGGTAGCTCATCGAAACCATCTGACTTTATGTCTAGCAAATGGCGTAGTAACGGCAGCAAGATTTCATGGAATCATCCAAGATCCTCAACCGACCCCTCCAAATACTCGTTCACCAGACAATCCGTGGTCAATATCGAACCTGTCAATCCTGGATTGAAGCATAGATCAACTTTTCCAGGTAGTTTCAATGCTGCTGTCGACAGCAACAGTAACACAAACAGTGGTACAAGCAGTCCAAGTAGCAAGTCGCCAACAGTCAAACAATCTCCATCGTCTTCAACATCGACATCACCGTCTGTCACACCACCACAGATGCAATCACCGAGAAACAGCGGTATCGTTAGCCAAGCTAGAAAGGCGACCATTGTCCACTCGAACTCACTAATGGAGAACATGCTCCCAATCCCATTGATCTCATCATCTACACCGATCGGTCCCAACTCCACAATCATTTTCGGCGGAAAAGGAATGGAGCACTCAGATCACCCACGCACAACCATTAAAACTAGCATCAATGAACTCAGACAATATCGTAATCTAATAGATCTTGAAAATAACCAAAAAGTTAAAAGGGTAAGAAGCAAAGAAGAAATTAGTTGTAATATTTTTTTAGTTATTAATTAATTCATACATCAATTCAACACTGTATAGTTGAAAGAATTATTGAAATCATACAACACAAAGATTATCAATTTAATAAATAAGATAGCCAAGGATGAGGATGAATTACAGGCAAAACGACAAGATCTACAACAAAAGAGTGAGAAAACCTGTAGATTCTTTCGTGAGGAGCATCAAATCGATCTTTTTAACGCCTACCACAACTATTTCGTTATCCGCAACCTCTCGATGGAAACAGAGTTGATAGTGACAAAAGAGAAGAAAGATAATCTAAAGCGAAGACTCATCGATATTGGTCATCTATCAAGATTTCTAGATGATGACACCATGCGAAAGAATCTCTTGGTCTACTCTACCTTTTTCTTAAAAACATTTGAAGTTATGATAAACAAATCTATTCGTACCAATTTGAATAGATTAAAGGTGAGTTGGTTCAGAAAGTTGGCAGAAATAATTCTAATAATCAAACTAACCCGTATTTATTTAAATAATCTATAGAATTTAGGTCAAGAAGAGAAAAAGTTGAAATCAATTTATAAGAATATGCGATTCTTATATCAATCGGAGACGATTGAGAAACGATCAAAGAAACTCAAGGACATCTTGAACCGCTCTGTGTGTCATACCAACTTCCATCACTACTTCCCATGGGATGAAAACCTGGTCGTCCAACGAGAATTCGATATCCTGGCGATGGACAGTCGTTTTATGGAGGGTCAACACCTGAAGGAGCTGATATCGGTACTTTCCGAGGATGTTCTCGTCGACAAGAAGATCAAACCGATCGATATCGAAGACTTTATCGAGCGATTCTCACTCAAGATGATCGATCTCCACAACTTGCCATCAACTATCACACTCTTTGAGGTTCCCACTCAAAACCTAATTGTACAGTTCACCAAGCGACTACTCTATCCCCGTATCCAATCACTCACCAAATCCATCCTCAACAAATGTGGATCCATCACAAAATACAACGGTGAATTTCAATCAAAGATGGATTTCCTACGTACTAAATCAATACAAGATTTAAAACTACTTCCATGTGTATGTTACATCTACATTTATAATATCATCTTAAACGAATTCGTTAAAACTAACTTTAATAATTTTCCAGAATTTTCCAGAAAATATCGATTTCTCACACAATAATCTATTTGATAAATCAATTTCGATGATCAACGAGATTGTATATCATGTAGTTCCAATTGATATTGTATATACAATTCAACAGACAATTAGTTCCATCTATAATATATCGATGGAGCTATTCAACTCTTACCAAGCCAAGAGACCATCGAATGCATTCACTCGTGCATTAAAGAATACAAACATTTCCAAAAGTTCCAGTTCTTCCTCGTCTTTCCTAAGAAATTATCTTCAACCAACATCAAATAACAATAGTAATAACACTAACAATGCCAACAATGACACTACTTCTTCATCCTCCTCTTCCTCCAATTTATCTATTTCATCAACGGTATCGACATCACCCGCATCATCACCATCGAACCCTCAAGCATCATCAGTTGATACTTTAAATAGTAACTCAACAATGAGTGCCGACGATCTATTCCCTCTTTTTGTATATGTACTTATACACTCTGATGTGATTGGAAATTCCTCACTTACCATAGCACTTCTCGAGCACTTTACAACAGAAGCTGAAAACTCTGGTGAATTTGGTTATCACCTTGTTTCATTCCAAGCTGCCATTTCACACTTAGATCAATTATAAGTTTTTCCAACAAACAACTAATCAACCCTATTACTATAAATTCTTTTCCAATTCAAAAACATCTTAATCTCATTTATTTTTTGATTCCACCTTTTTTACACTACCATTGTTGGACACCTTGTAATCAAACAAAAATCATTGAACGCAATTTATCATAAACTATTAGATTTATTTTATTTATTATAAATAATTGGAGACAAAACATTTTATACAAATAATATTATTGTGGACAGAACACGTTTGTATTCATGCCATTGAGCGAATATAGGTTTTGAATATTGACAGTATGTGAGGTGGTTTGAAGAGTATCAAGATGTTATTCTACAACAAGGAATTCATGCAACTCTTTGAATTTACTTTCAATTTCATGTTCCGTTTGCTCTAATTGTTGATATTACGCAACTTTTGATTTCAAAGAATAGAAAGTTGATCGAATACTAGTATTTGAATATTAGTATGAAATCAAAAATAAATGAAATAAAACAAAAGTATGTTCCAAAATTATATATATAAATTATATATAAATTTGGATACTTGTAACTTCTCTCTCCATTTGGGTCAAGTAGAGTGCACTTGTAGTGATGTATAATAACTGACATTTTGGTATCATTCGACGAGTAAGATTCGTTTTCAATTACATATTGAAAATTTATTTCATGTGATTGATTCATCAAGTAATCATTGAAAATACCAGGTGAGATAGATCCAACACAGTATGGTCTCATATTCTTTACTGTTGATTCCATGAGTCGATCTTTAATGAAGAATTCCATGTTATGCAAAACTTCTTTTAATTTTGCAACAGCTATTGTTTTCATTAATAAATTGGCATTGTGGAATGTAAGGTTTTCTTTATTGAAAAGAGCATGGATTTTGTTGAAAATATAACTTGGTGTGGATAGGAGCATACCTTTACTTTCCTCATGATTTGAGTTGGTTAAATAAATACCATCCTAACATATGTTGGTATATAGAAACTCAAGTTTTTGATTTTCATTCTCACCTTGAAAGCATTTCAGTTCTTGAGCGAATGAGAGTTGATGAAACACTCTTATTTCAATCTGAAGCCATCTACTTTCAAAATCCAATAGAGGTTATAAATATTTATAAATAAAAGTATTTTTGAACAAACCCATGACAATTCATTCTCTTAAATAGTGAAAAAAAAATAAAATTAAAAAAAAAATAATAAAAAAAACAATTAATTGATTTGCTGATTTTTGTTGTTGTTTAGATAAAATCAAAGTGTGAGTGGGGTTCAAAAATGGGAGTCATAATATTGTTGGAAATTAAGGTCGAAAAAGTAAAAAAAGCAAAAAAAAAAAGTCGAAAAAGTCGAGAAAATTTTATATGGTGAACCACATTAAATTAATATGAGTCAAACAATACAAAAAATTGATTTATTGCAAAAAATACTTTTATTGTTATTTCCTCATATCAACAAAGCTATTAGTCAATAGTCCAACACAACACCATATTTTATGGTGAGACAGCAGCAATTGTTTAACATTTTTAGCCTTTGATCTGAAAAAGTTACATGTAATTGCCCACTTTTTAATGTGAGCAAAAACATTTTCTATAATGATTCTTACAGACTTGAATCTATTATCTGCTTCTTTTAAGCTATCCTCTTTTCCATCCTTTCTATTTTCCCTGTCAATAACTATAAATTTTTTGTATAAATGGTGTGATCCTTGAAATCCTTTGTCTCCCATTATGTACTCCCATGAATCATCGAAAGATTTGAGAAATTCATCGACTTCGTACATCATTCCTTGATCATTCCTGGAACCTGGTCGAGATTCAGCCATATGCTGAATCTTTCCGTCTGGACTTGCGAATACCAATTTGGTTATTGATGAAAATCCTTTTTTTCCACTGTAAAAGTTAATCTTTTCTTCTTCATCCAAAGGTACAACAACTCTTTGTTCGGATCCATCAACGACAGAGGTTACCAAATGTTTAAAAGATTCCAGTGACATTTCATACATTAAATCGATTATTTCGTTGTAATATTCCTCAGCTGTGCTCCTTGATATTCCAAAGATTATTGATGTGATTATTGACTTGACATAGTGTTTTAAATAAACGAGAGTGATAAACAGCTTCCCTTTTAAGGGATAGAGTGGCTTTCTACCTCGGTTAGATTTTTTTTTAATTTCAATGTTTTTTTTATGTTTCAATACTGAATCAAATAACTTATTGAAGTCATTTAAAGATAAACCTATCAGTGACTTTAAGTCTGCTTGAGACAAAGTATTTAAATAATGATCTGTTACTATTTAAAATAAAAATATAAGGTTAATTTTTTTTTTTATTTCTTGTTGGATTTTTTCTAGTACCTTTAACTTGTTCAGTTTCTTTTTTATCATCTTTCACTTCGTCTTCATCATCTTCTTCATCGTCTTCTTCTTCTTCCTCTTTCTCCTTGCTCTTCATTACTTTCTCTTTCTCCTTGCACTTCTTTACTTTCTCTTTCTCTTTGCTGTTCTTTTCTTTTGAATCCAATGGATATATTAGTTTATATAACTCGTCTGCTTTATTTTTCCATACTCCTGCAGATGTTTTGCTAAGATATGCCACCATACAATTATAGGTACAAAAGTGGATATAGGATCCGGGAACAGGAGGCATACATGATGATTTAGCTTTGATTCTTGTGGTGCACTTCTGTCCACAATTGGAACACTTGTCAATTAATGATTTATCAACACCCACTAACGAATCTTTTGTATTGGGATTTGCGATATGGAGTGCAGACTGCAATAATTGAACGACCTGCTGGTCATTAAAGTGACTTAATTTGCAGACAGTTGCCATATAGACATCACCATTAACAACTACGACTCTGTTTGCTCCTTTTGAAGGAATGCCACATTTGAAGACCGGCTGAATACTCTTATCGTGAGAAGACTCAAGCATGAGCGTTTGGGAAAGGTAGCAAGAATTAGGCTCTTCACTATTATCAATGTCAATATTGTCTGAACCATATACTATTCTATAATCAAATTGTTCTTGTTTATTTTCTTCTTTGATTTTGAATGCCGCAGGAGTGTTACAGTTAGATGTTGATGTTAGTGCTGGTTTTGGTATTGGTGTTGGTGTTGATGATGTAGTTGGTGTTGATGATGTTGTTGTTGTTGATGTTTGTGAATGATATGATTGGTCCTCATCCATGAAAGTACTAGAGGTCGAACCAATAGACAACCTTCTTTTCTTAGTCTTTGCACTTTCCAATTTAACTTTTAAAGAATTTATCTGCTCCTCTAATTGCGCAACTTTCTCTTGTGCCTCCAATAGCTCCATAATATTTGTTACTTTTGGAAGTCCAAAGTATTCAAATAAGTCTGGAATGCATTCATTAGCTCCATGAAGTGTAAACTCCTTAATCGAATACGTTTTTTTTTCACAAACTATACATGTCAAATTATTTGATAACTTAGACATTTTAAATAGAATATCTTAATTTACTATAAAAGTTGATATGAGGAAATAACAATAAAAGTATTTTTTGCAATAAATCAATTTTTTGTATTGTTTGACTCATATTAATTTAATGTGGTTCACCATATAAAATTTTTCGACTTTTTCGACTTTTTTTTTTTACTTTTTTTACTTTTTCGACCTTAATTTCCAACAATATTATCAAGGTTACAGGCAAGAGCCAGTTTTGTTTAGGTGTTGAGGGATCAAAACGAAACTGTTTTTATCAATTACCACACTTTAAATATTTTTCTTATTTATCGATATTTAGATAATTGATATCAAAAGATTATTCATATATATTAAAAAACAATGAAAAGAAAACATGATCAGAATAATATCAGTTCAAATGTTGATAATGATGCGCTTCTCCAACTTGTAATGGCATTTGATCATGTTAATAGAGATCAACAAACAATTGTGCTACCATCAGGTGAATCAACAACGAAAGAACAACTTTTATTAAAAGTAATCGATCTTTATCCAAGCTATGCTAATACTTATTACCAGTTGGCATTAATACTTAAAGCTGAAAATCGATCATCAATCACACTTAATAATGGACAATCAATGACTGTACAACAATTATACTTGAAATCAATAGAGTATGATCCAACCAGTCACAGTTCTTATTATAGCCTTGCAAATACACTTTCAAATGGTGAATCAATCACACTTAATAACGGACAATCAATGACTGCACAACAACTATTCTTGAAATCAATAGAATGTGATCCAAAAAATTCATATTTATATTATAACCTTGCAAATACACTTTCAAATGGCGAATCAATCACACTTAATAATGGACAATCAATGACAAAACAACAACTATACTTGAAATCAATAGAATGTGATCCAACCAATTCCAATTCATATTATAACCTTGCAACGACACTTTCAAGAGGTGAATCAATCACACTTAATAATGGACAATCAATGACAAAACAACAACTATACTTGAAATCAATTGAATTTGATCCAACCAATTCAATTTCATATCATAACCTTGCAATTACACTTTCAAGAGGTGAATCGATAACACTTAATAATGGACAATCAATGACAGAACAACAATTATACTTGAAAGCAATAGAATGTGATCCCAGCATATACCATTCATATTATAACCTTGCCATTACACTATCTCGGTATGAAACAATAACACTCCATAATGGTGTTCGAATGACAAAACAACAACTATTATTGGAATCACTAAGAATAGGTCATAGACGAAGAATGGTTTACAAATCGATTGGACTAACTTTGCTGAACAACAAACAAACGATTACACTTCCAAATGGTGAACAAATGTCGAGAAGACAACTGCTTCAAAAAGCAAGAAAACTACTGTTCTAAAATTAACATTTTAGAATTATAATAATCAAATCAACTCACACTTCAATGATTATTAAGAATTCAACGATCACAATTCAAACAGTTTATTGAAGCGATTCAAATAACTAAAGTTAATAATCCAACTGTTAAACAACAATCCGACATTTATTCAACACTATCAAATATTATTCTTATCTTCAAATTGTAAATCAAATAAATTATTATCTTTAAATCTTATCCTGTAAATTATATCTCTAAACTTTATTACATTTATTAAATCCATATTTCTTGTACCAAAACTATTCCTAAAAGTAATTCCTAATTTTATATCAAAGTTGTAAGTATTATATTTATATGTTTATATGTAAATTATAATATGATATAAAAATATAATTCTTATAATTTTTTTAAAATTTGTTTGATACAAAATGTTGGAACAATTTGTTCTGCAAGATAGATCATTTTCGAGAATATATTCCCATTTGTTATTTTCAAGTGAGAACATGAAATTTCCAACTTTTCCTTGAATCTGTGAAATCCTAAGTCCGATAGAATATAGATATGGTCATTGCCATCTGTATTCTTAGTGGCTAAAGAGTCATTCATACTTCAAATCCATCTGTTTCCTTAAATGAATATTGTTTCGAACGCCAATATTGATGATAGATATTTTATTATTAGTATCAGTTGAGGATGATGATTTTGAATCCGATCGAAGATCATCACTATTATTATTGATTTACAGTTTGAGATATAATTATTGGTTGTATTCAATGATTTCATGAACCTTTGGTTGTCAAATTCTTTGTCTTGTTGGAGAAAAAAAAGTTCGTTAAACTAAAAATAAAAAAAATATATAATCAATATTAGGAGAGATGATCAACTTACCTCAATGTCCAATACTGAAACATAGCCAAATTCCCCTTCTTCAAAAGTTAGTTTCACCATTGATCAAGTCAATTTGAATTGCTTTGAAAGAGTGTTGATAGTGTAGTTGGAGGTGATGAGGGATTTAATCCCTATTATTTTTTTATGATTTTTCATTGGAAAAAACCTTTTCGATACCTTGATTATCTCAATGATCTTTTAAAAATAAAATTGTCATTTAATTAATTATGTTTTAATTGGATTTGATTTTCATATTATATTTTTTTTATAACTAGTTCAGTCAGATACGCTTCTCTCTAATAAACTCTAACTTTCAAAAAATTCTTAATATTTCTCTTTAACTGTACCATTGGAAGGGATGCCATGAATATTCATTTGATTTTTACAATTTGAAATTTACAAAAATTTAGTGAGAATTAAAAATAAAAATCTGTTTCATAAATGATCATTTTCACTTGAGTTTATAATGTATAAAGATTTAAATGTATTATTAGCAATATTTATATTAATACAATATTGTATTTGTATTACAAATGCTGGTTCTGTAACAGTGAGTGGAATCAGCAGTGGTGCTTACATGGCTGTACAAGTAAGTATAGCAAATATATAAGTACACTCTGTTTTGTTTTTACAAATTCTAACAATTTTTTATTAAAATAGTTTCATGTTGCGTTCAGCTCAGTTGTTCAAGGAGCAGGTGTCATTGCTGGTGGTCCATACTATTGTATGTTTTAGTTATTTTGATAAACATATTAAATACTTATTATTTTTAAAACATATTCAGGTGCTAATAACGATGTATTGATTGCAACGACATCGTGCATGGCAGATCCATCGTTGATCAATCTCACAGAGTTGTATGCTGCAACCGATTTCGCAGCGAGTACACTTACGATCGACCCAACCTCCAATTTGGCAAGCACCAAGGTTTGGATCTACTCTGGAATGAAAGATACGGTGGTAGTGCAAGGTGTCGTAAAGAAACTAGAGACGTACTACCAACACTATATAGATGCATCACAAATCAATACGACCTACAACATTCCATCGGAACACTCGTTCGTCACTGACAACTTTGGAAACAACTGTAGCTACTTGGGACCAGACTATATCAACAACTGTAACTTTAACTCTGCCTACAACTTGCTATCTTTTATTTTGCCAACCGAAATCAATCCACCATCTACTACCAACTCTTCAAAAGAAAATGTATGTTTGGTGGCTTAAATTATTTTACTGAATTAATATCATCTAATTACTATAATTACATCTATAGTTTGTCGAGATAGATCAATCACAATTCATACCATATGGAACAGCATTGGATGCTGGCTTATATGATTATGCATTCGCTTATATACCACCACAGTGTCAACAAAGAAACAAAGGAGGTAAGTTAATTAAAACCATAAAACTAAACATTTGTATGTATATATGCTAATCAATAACAATTCAATCAAATAGTTTGTTCAGTTCATATTGCATATCATGGATGTTTACAAACAATACCATTAATTGGCGATACCTTTTATGTGAACACAGGATACAATGAGATTGCAGACACCAACAACCTAATAATATTGTATCCACAGGCACAAGCAAACACTTTGAATCCCAAAGGTTGTTTCGATTGGTGGGGTTACACTGGTGCAGATTATGCCAGTCAACTAGGAGTACAAATGTTGACCGTCAAGAAAATGTTGGACTACTTAATATCAGAATATAATATTTAATTTAAAAAAAAAATAATAACACGAAAGATGTTTGTTTGTATAATAATAATAATAATAATAATAAATATAATAAGTTTAGTTTATTTAAATTTAATTACCAATCGAAACAGTGTTGATATAGCTATATCAAATTATCATTCATTTTCTTCTTTTGTTTATCTGGTATCTGAGAATAGATAAAGAATGTTGGTCGTTTTATTATTATTAATGTTTGGTCATTTTTTGTCGCTTAAAACCCAAATAACGTTATCGCAATTGTATTTTTTTTTTTTGAAAATTTCTCAACTTTGGTTTTTTATCACTTCATTTTTTTGATTTATAAAAAAAAAAAAAGTTTTTTAAAATTTAAAATACTTTTAATAAATAGTGATAGTTAATAGTAATAATAATTAGATTATTATTGTTAATTAAGTTAAAGTTAGTCAATTAGTTAATTTTAGTTATTATTTGTTAAATATATTGGAAAAGAAAATGGATGAACCAGTTCCACCCGCCGTTGCCAACAATATGGCAGCAGTCGCTGCCTCTGCAGCTAAACCAAAAGCTCAACTTGAGATCCAAGACCTCAAGACTCTCGATGTAACAACACTCACACCAACCTCAAAGAATGTCATCTCCAGACAAGCCACAATCAACATCGGTACAATCGGTCATGTAGCACATGGTAAGAGTACTGTAGTTAAAGCTATCTCTGACGTTCTTGTAAGTGTCATCCAACAATCATAATCATATTATATCATCTTCATCATCACCCCATATATATAAATACTCTACTATATATATAGTATAAATATTACTACAGGTAAACAGGTTATTTCAAGAACAGTTATTATGCGAATGTTAAAATACAGCATGATAGATTATCTTGGTGTAATATATATAGATGTTTATTTATTCATAATGATATAATGAAGCAGATGATGATGAATTTGATGATAGAAATTAAGATCTAACAAAAAAAAAAAAAAAGTTCGAATTCTAATTTACTTTTTTTTTCAATATTTATGTAGACTGTTCGTTGGTCAACAGAATTCAAGCGTAACATTACAATTAAACTTGGTTATGCCAATGCAAAGATTTACAAGTGCGAGAATCCAGAATGTCACAGACCAGGATGTTACAAGTCATACAGAAGTAGCACAGACGATAGCCCACTTTGCGAACGTCCAGGATGCGGTGGTAGAATGAAACTTCTTCGTCATGTATCTTTTGTAGATTGTCCAGGTAAATATTATAATTATATTACACAGAAAGAAGAATAGATAGTTTAATTTAATAGATTGTTAACGACGATTTTTCTATTTAATAATATATAGGTCATGATGTGCTTATGGCAACTATGCTTAACGGTGCAGCAGTTATGGATGCTGCTATGCTTTTGATTGCCGGTAATGAATCATGTCCACAACCACAGACAGCAGAACACATTGCCGCCATTGAAATTATGAATCTTCGTAACATTATCATTTTGCAAAATAAGATCGATCTTGTGAAGGAGGCCGCTGCCAAGGAGCAATACGGTCAAATCTTAAAGTTTATTCAAGGTACCGTCGCCGAGGGTGCACCAATCATCCCAATCTCTGCCCAAATGAAATATAATATCGATGTAATTTGTGAATATATTGTCAAGAAGATCCCAATCCCAGTGAGAGACTTCACCTCTGAGCCACGTCTGATTGTTATTCGTTCGTTCGACGTCAACAAGCCAGGTGCCAAGGTCGACGAACTCAAGGGTGGTGTCGCTGGTGGTTCCATCATTAAGGGTGTCCTCAGAGTCGGTGACGAAATCGAAGTTCGTCCGGGTGTCATCACCAAGGATCTCGATGGTCGCATGCGTTGCTCACCACTTTTCTCCAGAATCATTTCACTATACGCCGAAGAGAACGACTTGCAATACGCCGTGCCAGGTGGTTTGATCGGTGTCGGTACCAAGATCGATCCATCGTTGTGTCGTGCCGATCGTTTGGTCGGTCAAGTTTTGGGTTCGGTCGGTAAGCTCCCAGAAATCTTTATCAGTTTGGAAGTCAACTTCTTCTTGTTGCGTCGTTTGCTTGGTGTCAAGTCAGAGTCTGGTGAGAAACAATCGAAAGTACGTAAGTTGCTCAAAGACGATACACTCATGGTCAACATTGGTTCAACCTCGACTGGTTGTCGTGTCACCGCCGTCAAGCACGATTTGGCCAAACTTGCACTCCTCTCTCCAGTTTGCACACAAGAAGGTGAAAAGATTGCTTTGAGTAGACGTGTCGATAAGAATTGGCGTTTGATCGGTTGGGGTACCATCCAAAAAGGTACCATCCTCAGCACCTCTGATTAAAATCTTTCAAAAAAGAAAAAATAAAATAAAAAAATATAAAAAAAATATAAAGAAATTAAAAATATACATATACATTAGAATATATAAATATTTATTGTTATCTTTGTTATTAAATACAACAACGCGATTATATTAATTTGAAATGTGGGGAATGGGAAGAGATGTTTTCTCCGATTTATTAAACTAATAATGCTATATAGATTTATAACTTTGATGAATTCAAATTAGTTCATCTTTTTTCTGATTTGATCAAGGATTAGTTTCGATTTAGATTTAATTTCTTCTTTGTGTACAGCAGAGATTCTACGGTGTTGTGATTGATGGTGATTGTTGATGTTTGGTTTGTTCATCAATCCACACATGTGCAGCTCGGCACAGATAGCCTCTGGCTTCTCGTGATTCAACAACAACTTGATGATGGTAGACAAGTATTTGTTTACAATATCTTGACAAACTTCAACATCATGAGCATCTATATCAAATTAATATAGCAATAGTAATAATAATAATAATTTAATCAGTAAACCGGAACTAAATGTATAATATTATAAACTAATTATATATATGATAAATACCTTTGAAATCACCACAATCCTTATCTAAATCGGCAATGATTTCGGTTTCATTGGTTTTGTTCAAGAGATAGTGCTCAACTCTGTCGACTACGAAACTACAGATGATACACTCTGGCAAACCACCGACTGGCTTGAGTGGTAATCTCTCTGGAATACGAATTTGGTTCAAATCAACTGATCTTACTTGTTGTGGTGTCTTTAAATCGAGTGCACTACATTGATTGATCGATAATAATACAACTGTTAATAACAGTAAACTACTAAGTATTTGTTTCATTCTATATTTATCTAATTGATTTTAGGAGATGAAGATATTAAACTAACAAACAATTTTTGCTACCATTTTTACATCCCACAAAACCAGAGAGTTGATCTATTTTTTTTTTTGTTAAAACCCAAAAAAAATAAAAAAAAATTGTTTGTTTAACGAAAATAAAATTAGATATTTATTTTTTTATAAATAAAATATAAAATAAAATGTAATATCTAATTCTAATATAGATTTATTAGTAGATTAAAAATTTACCCAACATTTGAATAAAAATAATAATAATAATAATTTTGTTAATTCAATGGAATAAAACTTTTTATTTTTTTGTTTTTTAAGACATTTATAACATTTGAAATTATTTAGAGTATTTTTTTTCAGTAATAAATTTAAAAGGATAGAAATCTTTTTGGAATAGTTTTTTGATAAATAGATAAAGATCTTTCTTGCAAACTGCAAAGATGCTCTGAACAACTCTGACTTTTGAACGAGTTTAAACAAACATCATCTTTTCGCTTCAAAATTTTGATTTTACATCTTAAAAGTTGTACCGGTATTTTGGAAAAAAAAAGAAATATTTTGTAAAAAAAAAAGGTGATAATGAGAGTAAGCCTGTTTTTTTCATAACTCTGGAATTTGAAATTTCTGCAAACAATAATATTATTTTATTTTTTATTTTTGTGATGGCATCCACACTTTGTTTTAGACACCTGTTACAAAAAAAGTTTGCTAACAGCAGCTCCTCTTTGACAACCCTGTTAACTCAAAAATAAATCATTCAATGTTACTTCACTTCAAAAGGAAGATTTAATCAACTCTTAATGTATCATCATCAATAAATAAATAACATCAACATCAACATCAACAAATAATAGATAAATAGTTATATTATATCAAATTTATATTTTATTTAAAGCAAATATTAATATTTGGTTGTTTATTTATTTTTATTTTATTGTATTATAATAGTTTGTTAGTAATAACAAAAAAAATAATTATTTTTAGAAATATGCCTCAATTTTCAAAGATATTATTTGTGTTGGTGGTTTTTCAGTTTTTACTTGTGGTTACAGCAGCAACATCAGTGGCAAGTCAAAAGAAATAACATGCATGAATGAGAGTGGTAAACCAGTAGATTGGTGGGTCATCAGTAAACTCCCAGTTATTTCGTCAGAGCTTCGCGGTACCAAATTTCACGATGGTTACGCCTATGCCTATGCAGATGCAGATTCACCAGAGCTGGTGATGTCTGATATGGCAATCAATGACACTACCACTGCCTTGGCATACACTCTGGAACCGATCTATGGTGATACATCGCAATCTGGTGACCTACTTTGGTTACTCTACAACGACCAGCCACCCGAGTCCAAGGTCAGCAGCAGCTACGCCCACTCCAAAGGTGTCATTGCATTCGACGACACCCAGGGATTCTGGCTGATTCACAGCACCCCAAGATTCCCACTCGATCCATCGAAGGAGCCCTACCAATTTCCAGCTAACGAACGTCTGAAAGGACAATCGTTCCTCTGTGTCAACTACAGATCGAACCAGTTTGAACAAATCATGAAGAAACTCTGGGTAAATCGTCCGTATATCTACAATGCCTATATCCCTGACAAAACAAGTCTTCCAGTCTCGCTTTTGAATCAGTTGCTGGCCGGTGGTTTCCAATCGAGTCCAACTGCAATCACCAGTGTTCTGACATCGAAAGGTGGAGTTCAGTTGAATGTATTCGCCAAGAACAGCGAGTGGAACGATGACCTCTATGAAGGTTTTGTCCAGGTGACATTCGACCAGGATATGATTGTCCAATCGTGGAGACTCGGTGCCAACAGCACAATCATGCCATCGTACTGCCGACCAGAGTATAAATATGACAGTCTCAACATCATGAAGCTATCGATCAACGGAACCGATGGATCTCAATACTCTTGGAAATATACTGTCGATCACAGTAAATGGGCAGCCACCCTTGATTCCTCAGAGTCCACCAAATATATTTGTATCGGTGACATCAATAGAATGAAATCACAATACCACAGAGGTGGAGGAACCGTAAGTAAACAAAAACAAATACCAAATTAATTATCACAAGAATCTAACATTTATTTATTAATTAAATTTTCATAGGCATGTTTATCAGTCGAACCTCTTTGGAAATCCTTTAGAGATACCTCATTATTTATCAGTGAATGTCCAAATACCAAATCAAAATAATAATCACTTTTTCTCTATATTTATTTATTTATTTATTTTTACAACAAATTTAAATAATACCTATTTATCAAACATCAACTCAACTCAACTCTATTCATCAGTATCCGATTATCTGTAACAAATTTATTGTAATAATTCCCATTCCTCACACTCCTTAATAAAAAAATAGATTAAATATTAATTATATTTAATTATAACCAAACTTTGAATCATCAAACACCTTCTCTAATACTGTTTCTCTTTATGTGATCATCATATTTATTTTTCGTGATGATTCGTTATGATGTTGTTTAGATATTATCTAATATCAATAGACCAAAACCAATTTTATAATATTTTATCATCAAAAACAGATATTTAAGATAATATTTATAAAAAAAGATTTGGACCAATCACAAGAGCTTTGCTGAAACTATTTTGTGAACAAACTAAAATAGAAAAGTATGTTGATACCATTATAATACCAAAAAGTGATTCTTTTGATAAACTTTTAAAAAATATCATCTTGGTGAGTCAAAAAAAAAAACATTGTCATCTTAACTTTAAAAAAAAAATGGAAAAATACTTTTGAAATAATCATCAATCAAATTATCTTTTTTGAAAAAAAAAACTAATGATCATTAGTTTGTTAAATAATATCCTTTTTGATAAATGAACTCACACATTTTAATACCAGATACCAAACCAGGTTATCTTGTTGGTATTTTTCTGAAACCAGTATTCGTAACTCTCAGAGAAAAGAACTTAACATTTGCAAACATATCATCAGATAATTATCATAATATTTGTAGTGTGGTGGTGCCAAGAACGGTGTTCTATTTTATTTTTTAATTTGTTCTATGTCGTATGACGTGCAGACCAGTCTCTGAAGATTTTATTCAAATATCCTCTCGAATAAAATTTTATCTAAAATATCTAAAGCTATCTTATATTTTTGATCAATCCTCAGTTTCATTTTAAACAATTTTTTTGTTTTGCAAAAAATCTATAAATCTATTTTTTATAAACAAGGTTATATTTGATTTTTTTTAAATTTGTTGATAAAGTGTCGTTTTTCGATTCCATGAAAATGGGAATTTTATCAAAGGAAATTTCAAAATCATAAATTGAAATCAACAGAAAAAAGGGTGTGCAAAAATACAAAATAAGCAAAAAATGTTGTGTTTTGATCATGAAAATTCTTTTGATTTTATTATTTTTTTGAAATGATCGAAAACCAACTCAACATCTTGCCCACCCTGAATCATCATCTAAACACCAAAAAACAAAAAATCTTACGTAACTTTTTTTTTTTGTTTTTTTTTTTTTCCGTTTTCCAAAAAATTTATTCAAAATAATAAAATTAAATAAAAAATTGATGAGCATTTCGCCCAATAATGTTGATGCGACACCCCCAATTAGTGTTGACGACATACATTTAGTGGGGTATAGCATCAACTTTCAACTCTGCCTTTGATTCATTGAGAGAGTACAATGCGAAACTAATTGCTGAGTCCTTAGACGGACAGACGAGGAACCTTAGCAAAATAACTTTGAAATGTTCCAAGCTCTGGTTAAAATAGGGAAGTTTTCACAATGTTTGGATGTGTGAATAAACTTAACTAATAAAACAAAACACTTTGCATCACATCGGGGTTGTATTGCTAAACATCTCCTTTATCAAACATAGAACCAACAACAATAACAATAATTTTATTGATAATTGTGAGTCTTTCTTCCATTGGTAATCAACATTCTTCTTTCATTTCAATAAAAAACATTCAGATACCACTGTGGTAGTAGCAACTTATTTCTGCTTTTGCCCAGAATTAATTAATTTTGGTATCAATCTTTCCTATTATTATTATTTATTGTGCATTTCGGCAATTCTTCATCACACTTTCAAAAGGATTAAAAATCAATACTTAATTCCACAAACACTGCACCTATTCAATTGGTCTTTTAAAATACCATCCAAATATACACACACACACATACAACTTCACAAACATATAAATAACTTTTCAAATATATAAAAATATTTTAAATGTTATAAATATATATCTAATCCAATCCAACCCAATCCAACCACCTCTTTTAAATTTGTCTGACTATTCACATATATATGTTAAACTATATTTCAATTCAATTTGTTAGTTGGCTGTTCTGTTTTTTTTTTTTAAGAACAACAACAACTTTGTAACCCTATTTGTAATTACTACCATCTCTTTAGTTTAAAGATTTTATTGTTTGTTTTAAGAACCATCTTTCAATAAACTTACTCACTCAAACAAACACTCACACACAATACAAGTAATATAAAACCATTATTTTCAAATTTATTTTACTTTTATATACAACGTCATCTGTTTCACCTAAAGGTAAATAGAGAGACAGCCTATTTATCAGATCACGACCAAAGAGAGAATCACAAAATTTAATTTCAGAAATTTGTAAGTAAAAGCTGACCATATTTGTGGCATTACACTATTTGACACTAACCCATCACACACTTATTGGTTGATAAGCGCCAACATCATCATAACCAATATCACACGCACAACGATTAATATAATAAAAAAAAAGCTTGACATCTCCTGTTTTTTATTAAACACACTCACACCCACCACCAATCTTTCAAATTTTCAACTTTTTTTTGGTCCAAACAAGATGTCTGCCCATCAAATTTAATTTATTTTTACCTTTTTTTTTTTTGTTCACCCCCATATCCAAATTCACAAGAAAAAAAAAAAGAATCTCATCAGTAAAAAAAAACCAAAAAATCAAATAAAAAAATCACCTTTTATGATCAAAATTTTCGAAAATTTTGCACTCCTAGCTTAAGCTCAAATCAACTCAACAAACTATCTCATCTTAACAAACAATTTGGCCACCAAGATATTTCTTTGGATTCTTTTTTTGCTTCTACCCCTAAGAGAAGATTCCTGTTTTTTTTTAAAATTAATTTTATTTTATATTATATTTTTTTTTTAAGATTAATCAGGATAATTTTGCAACAGGTATGCCCTTATCGAATTGCAAATACTCTCAAATCCACTTCACCTATTTATTTTTGTTTGGTTTTTGTATGTAACTCAAACTCGAGGCTACAAAGGTTTTTTTGCTTTTTTTTTTTTTAGTACTTGTTGTTTGAATTGTTAATTTAAATTTCTCTCGTCTCCTAAAAATCCCAAAACTATCATCCTATTCAAATTCATCTCAATATTAATCTTTGATTTTATAATATAATCGTTTACAAATAAATAGATAAAATTATAATTATCAACGATAAAATTATTAAAAATTTTATTATTTTATTTTTTGTAGAATTCGATATCACAAGGAACCAATTCCAAATCATCATCCTCAAATATCAACTACCAATATTAAAAATAATAATATTCTTTCCTATTTTACAAAAAACCACAAACAATAATTATTTATCTATTATTAAATTATTTAATTAACATTTAATTTTTTTTTTTTATTTCTTTCTGGTTAAAATTTTTTTTTTTTTTCCATCTAGAAATAAAAATATAATAAGAAGATGTCTTCAGCACAAATTTATAATCAAACACCTTTTTTATACAAATTGCCTTTGCCAAAGTCACAACAAAAGATTTTTGAGGCTGGATTTGAAGATAAAAATAATAACACCAACGTTTTGCCATCGATCTCGTCAAATCTTTCGAGAGCCAGCAAGGTTTCCTTATCCGACCTGTTACTTCCACAACCATCCGCACCAGTCATCGAAGTAAAACCAAGACAACAACAACAACAACCACAACAAACAATTAACAAAAATGTTTCAACCTCTATCCCAGCTCAACAATTAATGATGCTCGTGGAAAGTTTTGGTCAACAACAAAATGAAAGGCAAAGGTCCAAAGAACAATACAATCCAGTTGTTCGTAGCTATCACCCATACCCATCGACTCAACGTCCAATCTCATACCACTACCAAACTAGTGCCACTAGCTTTGGAATCAATAAAGCCAACTCTGAGGTTATACTTCGTACCAGTGGCGGATCGAAGGGTGCGAGCTCCTCTGACCAACAAACCACCGAATTGTTGTCCCATCATCAATTCCGAACGTTGTTGGACACGGTTTCTTTTGAGGAAGGTAATCTTGAACTATCTAGCGATGATTCAAGTGCTATCACCTCACCAACCATGTCCACCAGCGTTCCAACGCCGCCATCCTCACCGATGGCGTCGCCCCGTACAAACATTCAAAGTCAGCTGCTCAGTTCAGCTGCATCTTCACCTGCCAATTCTCCATTGATGTCACCTGTTATTTTGAATTCAACAACAACAACACCAAACAACAATGTTAATTGTCAACCAAAGCAACAACCACAACAGATTCACCCATCTGTCATATTAAATCATCTTCTTTCCCAAGAGGATTATCAAATTTTACATGCTAAATTGCAACAACAATTGCAACAACATCTAAAATATCAACAACAACAACAGCAACAACAACATCAACAATTGCAACAACAACAACATCAACAACAACAACAGTTGCAAGCACAACAACAACAACAACATCCACAACAAATACCATTGCAAGCTAATCATCTCTCACAAGGACACCTCACTCCACTCGATTGCTTCCGTACTATCTTCCAAAATGTTATTTGTCAACTCGCCGATATAATCTCAAAGGTGCGTAACAACGAATCCTCGAGCATCACTGCATCGACACACTATTTGGGCAGCCGATTCCCAATTACCAACACCATCATCGAGTCATTCATTGTTGTCTCGCTGTTTATCAACTCACACTCTCTCGATCGCATCTCTGACTACTGGAGCACCGAGCAAGCCAAGGTCTTCCCAGACGTCGGTCAGATCCCACGCATCCTGTCACGCAACAAGTACTTTGAGATCAAATCCAGTCTCTCCAGTGTCCTGACAGGTGAGCTCTTGGAACAACTCCAAACTCAACTCCAGTTGGACATCTCGCGCAACAGTCGTACACCCAACCCAGAGCCACTGCAAGCCAGTCGCTTCAAAACACCGGTGAAGCACCGCAACTCCACCAAAGAGTTGGCATCATTCAACTTGCTACTCGAATATGGTTTATCACACGTTTGTGATCTGTTCAACCATCAACGTTCAAACAATGGTGGTAATACCCAACAAAACTTTATCCCATTGGTACAGGTCGTCGAGATACTCACCGAACAAATCTGTCCATCCAATTCCGATAGTCATGTAGTAGGTGGTACTATAACTACTTTTACCAATAACAACAACAACAATAACAATAACAACAATAATGGTGAAGATCAACAAACACCACATTCACCAACATCATCATTCTCACCGCATCATCATCATTTCCAAAATTATCAACAACAACTTCAACAACAACATATCTTGTTACCACACTCTAATAACAATACCAGTATCAAACCAATCAGATGTTTCACTTGCAAAGCCTCCAATTCTTTGCCAAACCGACCAATTTTGAAATGTAACAAATGCGCATTGTCTTACCACAAAGAATGTTTTGTATTGTCTCATGAATAGATCTAGAATAAAACTAAATCAAAACAAATCAAAACAAATCAAAACAATCTCTAAAAATAATATTTGTTTTTATTCAAACAAAAACAAAATAATAAACAAAAAAGTTATTACTATTATTTATAAATAACTTTTTTTTTTCTAAATTAAAATATAATTAAAGTTTTTTTTTAAATCTGTTAACTTATTTTGTTTTATTTTAAAGAAACATTAGTCAATGAACAAGAATAAAATCAATATGATATCATATTAATATATATAAATGAATGTAAATATAAAATATGAAAAGAGATAGAGAAGATAATTATTGTGATACAAAAAACAATAGCAATAGTAGTAGTGGTAGTAACAATGATATAACAACAACTACAACTACAACAACATCTACTTCACAAACAACTACAACAACAACAACAACACCACAACCTTCTACATCTTCAACTTCATCGAATATCGTTGGTATAGTTGTAGATCATAAGAGTAAAACTGTTCAAGATGTAAGTCATCTCTTCAATGTCTTCACTATTGAACATTGTATAAAGGTGGTACTGAATCTTGTTAATCAAGAGTGGAATACTATTATCGATAATGAGCTGGCTGCTACCTCGCTCTTTGATAACTGTGCAGGCAAGTGTGTGGTGCTTGCCTACATAGGACTGCCTACCACCAATGGAATATTGGCAAACAGTGACATTGACTTTCTCAACGATTGTCTACAACATCTTCAATCTTCAGTGCAGCGATACACTACACGACCACTCTACGGTGTTTTGGTATGCACCAATTCACCGTCACCTTCAGTTACACACACTCGTCGTATCGAGAAGCTGCTGGCGTCAAAGATGCAGGGTGGCTACTGGTGTGTATCGGACGCACCTCCACGCACCAAAGAAGCATTCCAACAGATTCTAAGTCTAATATATCCAACCAACAAGTTATCACCGAATCTTTCACTTGTCAATGCTGGTCCGACCACTTCATCATCAACATCTTCTTCTTCATCTACACCCAACAAGCAGCAGCAGCAGCAACAACAACAACAGCAACAACAACAACAACAGCAACATCAGCAGCAGCAACAACAAAATAGCTATACAATTACAAAACTATCTACTTCTACTTCTTCATTACCGACATCCACATCAACACCTACATTTACACCAACGACAACAACGACAACGACAACAACAACTACTTTTAACAATACATATTCGATACCGACAAATAGTGATGTAGTAACAAGACCTAATATAACACCTTCACAAGCATCTTCAGCGCCGGTAGTTGACAATACCAATAATTTTAACAGCAGATTTAATAATGGTTATGGGTCTGGCAGGAATCAAACTGGTTACCAGTACTACAATAACAAAGAGAGTGTGGATAGAATATTAAATAGATTCGATGATAATTTCAGTAAAGATGAGCTGTATAATAAATACAATGGTTTTAGAAATGGTAGTAATAGTAATGTAAATAGCAATGATAATGTAATTAATAATAGTAATAGTAGTAATAATATATTAGATAATCAAATAAATAATCCTACTATCAATAGACAACCTACAAATCGAAGTATAAATAGTAATAGTATTAATAATTGTAGTAATAATAACAATGTAAATAATAATTATTATAATATGCCAATACAAGATTATGTTAGAGGGTACAGAAGTGGTGATACACCTATAAATAGTGACAGTGATATCTCATCGTCTGGGATGGATTATGATTCATCGTCATCGCCTATTCCATCTCCTATCGACAATAGTATAACAAGTAAGCGATCTTCATTCGACTACAATGACAAGTTGTATATATCACCTCCATTATCAGTTACCAATTCAATTGCATCATTAGTCAATAGCAACAACAACAACAACAACAACAACAACAACAACAACAACAACAACAACAATAACAACACTGGTAATGGAATTTCAGTTATTGGTAATAATCCTTCAATGTCAGCGACATCCTCATCACCAAAGGCAAGAATGTTTGATGATATACCTTATTTGAAGAGGAGTAATGATGAATCACCACCGTTCTTGGCGGCCAATACACTGTCGTCCATCGAGGACATCGACAGTGCACTAGAAATCATTGAGAATCAAAAGTTGGTAAATCGACAAAAAGTTACGGATTTGCTCGAGCAACAAAAGGAGGATAGTAGCAGTAGCGACTCTGAGTTGTCGGTTATCAACAGCAGCTCAGCTCTGCGGCACGATGAAAGCAATCGTCGAACTCTTATACCTTCACTACGTTCATTCGATCATCTTACCAAACGTTTGTTAATAAATAACTACAACGATAGACAGTCGCAACAGTCCACTCTGACAATGCCAACCAATTTCAAACTAAAAACACCAACTGTTGGACCTACTGTTTCCAACGTTGTTGGATCGCCTTCAGCGCAATTAGTAATGGCAGGTACATCCTCGACGTCTGGCGACAATGTTTCACAGCTACAGCAGTTGCAGCAATCGGTTGGATTATACTTGGGTGACTACATGGTTGATGTCATGGTTGTCGAGGATAACGAAATGAATGCGGGATTCCTCTTGAAGTTGTTGGAGAAGTTTGGTGTCTATACTAAGCGTTGTCAATGGGTGACCGATGGTGTGCAGGCTGTACAGGCGTACAAAGCAGCGACACATCCTTTCCGTTTAATACTAATGGATCTGTTCATGCCACACATGGATGGTTATCAAGCGACAAACATTATTCGACAACTTGAAGGTGAATCAAGACACACTCCGATAGTAACTGTTGTATGTTATAGTAGTTGATATTGAATCACAAATCATTCTCACACTCATATTTTTAATTTTCTTTATTATTAGACTGCCAATGTAACAAAGGGGGCAAGAGAAAAGTGTTTATCAAGCGGTATGTATTACAATTCTTTTCAAATATTATACATAGATACTAAATAACTTGTTAATTTTTAATTAGGATTTGATGGATATATTGCCAAGCCAATTCGTGCTGAAGAATTGAAATATGTTGTTGATCGATATGTCCATCAGCTTAATATTTTGTAGAGATGATCAATATCTCAATGATTAATTACCACTTTTGGTGACAAGACAAATTTAAACAACTACTTTTTGAAGAAGCAATTCAAGCAAGAAATTCAACATATTTTTTTGTAGATTGTAAATATTATTCTATAAAAATCTGTTCATCAAAAACAGTATATCAACACCTATAAAATCAAATGAGTGGAGCACATAGTCTATAATGTAATTCTATTCTTAATTGGAATACTCACGACTTTTTTTTTGTTTTCCACACCTCTCATTGCACTTACTATTTTTCAACACAACCCCACTCATGTCCGAATACCAGTTTTGCGTGAAGTGAAAAATATAACACATTAATTGTGTATATATAATGTACCCCCATTCAATTCAATTCTTAATCACAATTTTCACCCACTCATCACATCAAACGAAACGCTATTTAATTTAGATATTTATTTATATATCTATCTATTCTATTTATTTTTAAATCATTAGTAAAATAATATAAAAAAAAAAACTAAATATTTTTATACAAATCATAAAATCTATTTATTTGTTATATAAAATTATTTATTATTATTATGTTTTTTTAAAAATGGGATTTTCTAAATTAAATATGTATATTAGAGTTTTGGCTTTAATATTGTTTTCGATCCAGTTGGTTTATTCCAAGAGTTATACAATGCCGATATTTCCTTATAATAAATATGCCGATACCATTCGATCTAAAATGGTCAGGGAGGTAGATGCCAATGAAGTTTGTAAATATCAAAAATAGATTTTATGATTGTTAAAAAATTTTACATTTATTGATTTTCCTTTTTAAACAAATAATTATTTTAGCAATGTTCTCAATGAGAATGATTGGTGACCCTATTGAGATTAGAACATACGTTTGGGTAGCAGATCAAAGACAAGAAGTTGTTGTAGATTCTGGATCAATTACGCTCATTGTTCCATCAGTTGCTTGTAATACTTGCTCCCAACCAAAACCATACTATCGACCATCTCCCGATGTAGAGTTTATTTCTTGTAATTCCTCAGAATGCTCACTAAGGAGTGATTTTTGTGCAAAAACAAAAGTACATCCAAATGGAATATGTGCAACTCAAATTCATTATTTAGATAATACTGTTATTAATTGTAATTATCACAATTTCAAATTCAAATGTTTATTAGTGTTATATTAACTTTTTTTATTTATTTAAATAAGCATTCCTTGTTAGAGATAATTTCAAGATGGCAGAGGATATGGATAATATCCCAATTGTTTTTGGATCTATTTTCAGTCAAATAGGAGGCAATCCATTAAAGTTTGGTATAATGGGAATGGGAAATACTGTAAGTAAATTTGTTTATATTTTAATTTTGACTCAATATTTATATTTATATTGTTAAAAGTGTGCCAAATGTGTAAAATCACCAATTGATGCAGTTTTCGAAGAAGTTAAGAATATGCAAAGAACTTTTGCACTCTGGTTGGATGATCAGTACAGTGGTGTTATGACTATTGGTGATTTAGATCCACAGTTTATCACAGGTTCATTAAAGTACTCCCCACTGATGGCAATCGATACCATCCACTATGGTTTGCTGCCAAGCTATGCAACAATAACCAACCCAAATGGTGAGAGTTTGGTATTAACTTCAAAAGAGATTGGTGTTACTCTACTTGATACAGGATCTTCATACACTTTACTTGCTGCAGATGCGTAGGTCCAATTTACTAAATTATCTCAATTTTTACATTCACTAATTCAATAATATTATAGTTATGATTCATTTAGAAAGCATCTATCTCAGAATTGTACTCTTCCGGGTTTATGTGGAGAAAAAACTTTATTTGATGGTTTTGTAAGTTTTTTTATTAATATAATGAAATTCTTAAAATATTAATTAATTTTTGTTATTTTTTTGATTTTCTTAGTGTATTTCTATACCAGATTCTGTTGTTGAAAAGTTCCCAACTATTGAACTTGGTTTACTTGGTGATGTCACTTTGGAAATACCGCCACAATCATATATTGTCACTGTCTATGAAAATGGAATCAAATTCCATTGTTTGGGTGTAAAGAAATCGCCACTAGCCAAGAGAAGTATTGTTGGTTTATCATGGCTGAGAAGTATGTATAATAAAAATATAAATTATATTTACAAGAACCTGAATATTAATAATTATTAAACAATTATAGATACTTATGTTGTGTTTGATAAAGAGCATAATAGATTGGGTATTGGTAAGAGAGCACCTAAAGATATCGGCACACACACGCCGCCTAATCAAGGAAGTGAAAACTCTACTGTTACAAAGAAGCCTAGTCATTCTGGAGTTCAACACACTAGAAACCCACACAATGAACCTTCAATTGAAATCGAGAAAATGATCAAGATACCATGTAAATTCGATGTCAATCACGTCTTTAAGGAAATTGACAGAACCACTGGACTTTCAGATTTCGAGGTGTCTATCACCAATAATGGATTCACGGATATTCAGGACCTAAAGATTCTAATGACAAACAATCTGGTTGAAATCATGAACAAGCAATACGATTTCCAGACATACTCGTTCAATCCACCTCTTAACTTATCGTCAAAGGCCCAAACCACCTTTAGATATCGTTCCATAGATAGAAAGGTAGTCAACATTCTATTCCCAGACATTCCAGAGTGTAATAAGTATGCTTTGCAACAAGATAATCAGGTTCAACACCAAGAAGATCAATCATTGATGGATCAACCACTTCAAGAGGATAAAAATCCGTTTGTTATGGAGCCAGCCATCTTGCAAGCTGACAGTACGGAATATTTATTAATACCTGATTCACGATCAATTGAAGGTGAGCTTGAAGAGATGGAGGAGATTGCAGCACAAAATCGACCAAGTTCACCACTAGATCAACAAAAGCAACAACAAGAAATTAAAGGTATAGATAGTGATGTATTGGGTCAGCCAAAACCAATCACGAAAGTAAAGAAAATTGATAGTGTATTATCGAATAGTATGTATTTTAATAGTTATCTAAAACCCTTTTTACATTGTAATTTGATACTTACAAAGGAAAATTATCTTCAACGTTTATAGAATGTCCATTTGAGTATAATCAAAGAAAAGGTTATGAATGGAGAGGATCGAATGGATTGACCTACAGTTTCTACGAAGTACAGCTCATCAACAGATCACCATACAATATCACCGATATTATTTTGTCGACATTAGACGATGTGATGCTTGCAATTGGAATGGACAAGAATATGGATGAAAATGTCAATACAGTCGTTTCATTACCCAAATCTCGAGTATTGGCTGCTGGAAGTGATTATCGATGGCTTTACTGCACAAGACAAGATGATTCTGTCACATTCTCTGTGGTATCAACCGGCAATTGTATATCTAATAACGCCACATTAACCACAACACCAAATTCTACTTCATCACAACCAACAGCCACCCAAACTTCAATTTGAAAAACTTTCACACAAATATTTATATAAAATACTTAACTTTGGTTGATTCGAAATACGAGCCTATAGTATCTTTAATATTGATATTGTTGAATTCAACTTTAAGAATTTCAAAAATGATACTATTAAAAGAAATTATTTGAATTATTTTATATTTATTATTTTTCTTTTTTAATATATTTATATTTATCTCTGTCTTGTTGCACATCTTACAACAATAGAATTAATATCAGCCACATTTTGACCTTGAACGATATATCCAGCAGTAACACAACGACCAACTTGAATTGGGTATAAATAGTTTGGTAAAGTGTATTTACCTTCCGAAACCTGAACAAATTCATGTGCTTGAACAAGTTTTTGGGATGGAGGAACTTGGAACTCCAAGTAGGTAATAGGAAGTTGACCAGTATTACAAAGTCTAAAGGTAACTTGAGTGTTGTAGACACCACCACTAATCCAAGTGTCTTCCTTTGATTGAATTGCACCTGCTTGACATGCACCATCAGTAGTAATTGAAGAACCAGATGTTGGAATCGCAGTAGTTGTTGCTGTGGTTGTTGGAACTCCAGATTGTGTAGTCGAAGCAGTAGTAGATGCAAGTGTAGTTTGTGTGGTAAATAGTGTTGATGCTGTTGATGATGCACTTGTTGTAGGAACTCCAGATGCAGTGGTTACAGCTGTAGTTGTAGTTGTGGTTGTAGTTGATGTTGTAGTTGTAGGTGTAGTTGATATTGTAGATGTAGTTGTAGGAACTCCAGATGCAGTAGTTGCTGTTACTGGTGTAGTTGTTACTGGTGTAGTTGTTACTGATGTGGTTGTTACTGGTGTAGTTGTTGCTGGTGTAGTTGTTACGGGTGTAGTTGTTACTGGTGTAGTTGTTGTGGCTGTGGTAGTAGCTGTGGTGGTTTGCGTAATAGTTGAACCTGCACCCAGAGTTGTAGCTGTTGTTGTATCTGTTGTAGAGGCTGTTGTTGTAGCAATTGTTAAAGAAGCTGATAATGTGACAAGTGCTATTGTTGAAGCTGTAGTCACTGGTCTTGTTGTCGAAGCAATTGTTGAGGCAGTTGTAGTTTGTGTGATTGTAGACATAGGGCCCATGGTTGTTGCAGTGGTAGATTGTGTAGTGGATGCAGTTGTAGAGGCAGTCACAGGTGTCGTTATGGTTGATGCAGTGGTTGTTTGTGTGATGGTTGAACCTGCACCCATTGTTGTTGCTGTTGTTGATGCAGTTGTAGTGATAGGAGCTGTTGTTGCGGCTGTGGTAAGTGTGGAAGCAATTGTTGAAGCAATAGTTGTTTGAGTTATAGTTGAGCCTTCACCCATAGTTGTTGCAGTGGTAGATTGTGTAGTGGATGCAGTTGTAGAGGCAGTTACAGGTGTTGTTATGGTTGATGCCATTGTTGTTTGTGTGATAGTTGATGCAGAATCGGTTGTTGTTGCTGTTGTAGATGCTGTTGTGGTGATGGGGGCAGTGGTAGATGGTAGCGTTGTTGATGCAATTGTTGAGGCAGTTGTAGTTTGTGTGATTGTAGACATAGGGCCCATGGTTGTTGCAGTGGTAGATTGTGTAGTGGATGCAGTTGTAGAGGCAGTCACAGGTGTCGTTATGGTTGATGCAGTGGTTGTTTGTGTGATGGTTGAACCTGCACCCATTGTTGTTGCTGTTGTTGATGCAGTTGTGGTGATTGGAGCCGTTGTCGCTGCTGTGGTAAGTGTCGAAGCTATGGTTGAGGCAATAGTTGTTTGAGTTAGAGTTGAACCTTCGCCCATGGTTGTTGCAGTGGTAGATTGTGTAGTGGATGCAGTTGTAGAAGCAGTCACAGGTGTTGTTATGGTTGATGCCATTGTTGTTTGGGTCAAAGTAGATGCTTCATTGGTTGTTGTTGCAGTGGTGGAAGCAGTTGTAGTGATAGGACCAGTTGTAGTTGTAACTGGTCTTGTTGTTGATGCAATTGTTGAGGCAGTTGTTGTTTGAGTAATAGTTGAAGCAGGGCCAGTTGTTGTTGCAGTGGTGGAAGCAGTTGTAGATGCAGTTGTAGAGGCAGTCACAGGTGTTGTAATGGTTGATGCAGTTGTCGTTTGTGTGATAGTTGAACCTGCACCCATTGTTGTTGCTGTTGTTGATGCAGTTGTTGTTATTGGACCTATCGTTGATAATCCTAGCGTTAGTGTTTGAGGAGTTGTTGTATATGTTGTTGAAGCAGTAGTTGTTTGTGTGATTGTAGAATCAGCATTGGTTGTTGATGCTGTGGTAGAGGCTGTTGTTGTTTGTGTTGTTGATGCAGTTACTGGTGTTGTGATTGTTGATGCAGTAGTTGTCTGAGTAATGGTTGAACCTTCACCCATTGTTGTAGCTATTGTAGATGCGGTTGTTGTGATTGGACCGGTGGTTGATAGTCCTATTGTAGGGGATGTTGTTGTATATGTTGTTGAAGCCAACGTTGTTTGTGTGATAGTAGAATCAGCATTGGTTGTTGATGCTGTGGTTGAAGCAGTAGTTGTTTGTGTTGTTGAGGCTGTTACTGGTGTGGTGATCGTTGAAGCAGTAGTTGTCTGAGTAATGGTTGAACCTTCACCCATTGTTGTTGCTGTTGTAGATGCAATTGTTGTTATTGGACCTATCGTTGATAATCCTAGCGTTAGTGTTTGAGGAGTTGTTGTTGTATATGTTGTTGAAGCAGTAGTTGTTTGTGTGATTGTAGAGTCAGCATTGGTTGTTGATGCAGTAGTTGAAGCAGTAGTTGTTTGTGTTGTTGATGCAGTTACTGGTGTTGTGATTGTTGATGCAGTAGTTGTCTGAGTAATGGTTGAACCTTCACCCATTGTTGTTGCTGTTGTGGATGCGGTTGTTGTGATTGGACCGGTGGTTGATAGTCCTGTTGTTGGGGAAGTTGTTGTAAATAACGTTGACGCAATTGTTGTTTGTGTGATAGTAGATGCCTCATCGGTTGTTGATGCTGTGGTAGAGGCTGTTGTTGTTTGTGTAGTTGAAGCTGTTACTGGTGTGGTGATTGTTGAGGCAGTTGTAGTTTGTGTGATAGTAGAGGCTTCATTAGTTGTTGTTGCTGTTGTTGATGCAGTAGTTGTTAAAGGACCAGTAGTTGCCAAACGGGTGGTAGCTCCAAGAGTTGCTATTGTTGAGGCAGTGGTAGTTCTTGTCATTGTTGCGTGGCTAGATGTGGACGCTGTAGTTGATTGTGTAGTAGTACCAACAATAGCTGGACTAGTGCTGGCTGTTGTAGTTTGAGTGATAGTAGAGCCTTCTCCCATTGTTGAAGCAGTTGTTGTGTATGTGGTCGAAGGACTGGTTGATTTGGATGAGAGATCCATAAGTGTTGATGCAAAGGTAGATTGGGTAATGGTTGACATTGGTCCAGTTGTGGTTGCTGTTGTTGATGCAATTGTCGAACTGGTACGAGTTGGGTTACCTGTAAAAGTAGAAGCAAGAGTGGTTCTTGTGAGTGTGGACATCTCTGTGGTAAGGGTTCGTGTAGTTGTTGCAGTGGTAGAGATATGAGGTGATGTAGTTGATGCAAATGTTGAAGCAATAGTTGTTTGAACACCTGTTGAAGATTCATCAGTTGTAGAAGCGGTAGTCGAGTATGTAGTGGTACCAATCGACTGAGTTATTGGTGATGATATTGTGGTGGCCAGAGTAGTTTGAGTTATAGTTGAGAATGATCCAATTGTTGTTGCCGTAGTCGACTGAGTAGTTGTGAAACCTGTGGTTGCTACACTAGTTGTGGTGGATGGTAATGTGGTGGAAGGGTTGGTTGTGTCAAGAGTTGTGGCTATAGTTGTGTCTGTTATTGTAGAAGCTTCGTTTGTAGTCGAGGCAATTGTCGAGGCAATTGTTGAGGCAATTGTTGAGGCAATTGTTGTTAATGATGTGGTAATTCCTGTTGTAGTTGTTGTTGTGTCTGGTGTTGTTGTACCAAGTGTTGAAGTCAATGCAGTTGTTGTAGTTGGTACTGCTGTTACAGTAGTTGTCTCACTCATTGTAGACTGTAAATTTGTTGTAGTGGCTATAGTTGTTGCAGTGGTTGTGGTTGTCGGATTATTTGTTGTTGTTCTTCCTGTTGTTCCCGACTCAGTTGAAGCGGTAGTGGTTGTTGTTCTTCCTGTTGTTCCTAACTCAGTTGAAGCTGTAGTGGTTGTTGTTGTTTGTTGGTTTGTTATCGATGCTAAAGTAGATGCAGAGGTGGTTGGTATGACAGTTGATGTGGTTACCGGTGAGGTAGTGGCAATGGTAGTTTGAGAGTTTGTCTTACTAATGGTAGATGAAACTGCTGTTGTGGGTGTGGCCGATGTGGATATAGTTGTTCCAATGGTAGGGACAGTGGATGCTGTAGCAGAGAGTGTATTTGTTGTTGATGCAGTTGTAGTGTATGTAGTTGATGCAGTAGTTGATGCAGTAGTTGAAACTTGTGAAAGAGTTGTGGCAGTTGTGGAAGCTGTTGTGGATGCAGTGGTAGAAGCAGTGGTAGAAGCAGTACCTATAGTCGACGCTATCGTCGAGACAATGGTTGATGCAGTTATCGTAGAGATACTGGTGGTAAGTGCAATGTCAGTAGCTACTCCAGTAGTAGATACTCCAGTAGTAGATACTCCAGTAGTAGATACTCCCGTGGCGGGTGCTCTGGTAGATACTCCCGTAGTAGATACTCCTGTAGTTGGTGATCCAGTCGTAGTAGCAAGCGTTGTTGATTGAGTAGTAGTTGTGGCATGTGCTGTTTGCTGGGAAGAAGCTGTTGTTGAGGTGGGTCCCATTGTTGAAGCAACGGTTGTAGCGGTAGTACTGGCGGTCGTGGTCAATGTCTGAGTGGTAGAGGCAGTAGTTGATGCAATTGTACTAGCGGTTGTAGTGGCAGTAGTTGATGCACTTGTAGACATTGTCTGTGTGGTACTAGCTGTGGTGCTAGCTGTTGTGCTAGCTGTGGTGCTAGCTGTTGTACTAGCAAGTGTGGTAACTTCATAGGTAGGTCCATAAGTTCCAGTGGAATATATAGTTGAAGCTGTAGTTGTTTGAGTAACTGTTGATGCCTGGTTTGTAGAAGATGCTGTTGTAGAAGCTGTAGTTGAGGCAATAGTTGTCTGGGGATTGGCAGTGAATGTTGTTGAAGCTATTGTTGTAGCTAAAGTTGTTTGTGTAATGGTGGATGCCTGGTTTGTGGTGGTGGCGGTGGTGGATGCGGTTGTTGATGCGACTGTACTTGCAATGGTTGAGAAATGATTGGTTGTTGTAGCTGTTGTTGTTGCCAATGTGGAAGCTGTGGTGGCAGTTGTAGAAGCTGTCGTTGTGATGGGGTAACCTGTTGTAGTTGATGCTGTGGAGGTAGCTGTTGTTGAGAAGAGTGTTGAATAGGTAGTTGATGCTGTGGTTTCTATGGTTGATGCAATTGTAGTTGCTGTTGTTGTAGCTGGTGAGGTTGTTACTATTGTCGACGCTGTTGTCGATGCCGTAGTAGAAGCAATGGTGTTTGCTGTACTTGCAAGAGTGGTGACAATTGTACTTGCAGTGGTTGATGCTGTTGTTGTTTGACCATAAGTTGATGCCGTAGTACTTGCAAGTGTTGTAGCTGTTGTTGTTGCAGTCATTGAAGCTGTAGTAGCAGTAGTTGATGCTGTAGTGGAGGCAATGGTAGTGGCAGTAGTAGACGTTGGCCTGCCTGTAGTAGTTGCAATGGTAGAGGCTGTTGTACTTGCTGTAGTGGAGGCAATAGTAGAGGCAGCAGTGCTTGCCAATGTTGTTGCAGTTGTACTTGCAATAGTAGATGCTGTTGTTGTAGGTGCCGTTGTTGTGGCAACTGTAGAAGCTGTCGTAGTTGCAATGGTAGAAGCAACAGTAGAAGCAGCAGTGCTTGCTAATGTTGTTGCTGTTGTACTTGCAATAGTAGATGCTGTTGTTGAGTGTCCATAGGTAGAAGCTACTGTAGTTGCAGTAGTAGTGGCCGTTGTAGTAATAGCAGCTGAGGTTTGTGTGGTACTTGCAATGGTAGATGCAACAGTAGATGCTGTTGTTGCAATGGTGCTTGCTATAGTTGTTGCTGTTGTTGTTGGTCTTGAAGTTGTTGATGTAGCAACAGTAGAAGCTGTTGTAGTGGCAGTGGTAGAGGCCACAGTTGAACCAGTGCTTGCTAATGTTGTTGCTATTGTACTTGCGGTTGTTGAAGCTGTAGTTGTTGGTGTTGTGGTTGTTGCGGTAATACCAGCCGATGTTTGTGTGGTACTGGCAATGGTAGACGCGACAGTAGATGCTATAGTTGCAGTGGTGCTTGCTATGGTTGTTGCTGTAGTTGTTGGTCTTGCTGTTGATGTTGCAACAGTAGAAGCTGTTGTAGTTGCTGTTGTAGAGGCCACAGTTGAACCAGTACTTGCTAATGTTGTTGCTGTTGTACTTGCAGTGGTTGATGCAGTTGTAGACACCCCGCTGGTTGTTGCTGTTGTGCTTGCAATAGTAGATGCAGTAGTAGTTGCGGTCATCAATCCTGAGGTTGCAATGGTTGATGCTGTTGTGGAAGCAATTGTTGTGGCTGTTGTTGTTGGTGCTGCGGTTGTTGTGGGAATACCAGCCGATGTTTGTGTGGTACTGGCAATGGTAGATGCAACAGTAGATGCTGTGGTTGCAATGGTACTTGCTATGGTTGTTGCTGTTGTTGTTGGTCTTGTTGTTGATGTTGCAACAGTAGAAGCTGTTGTAGTTGCCGTGGTAGAAGCCACAGTTGAACCAGTGCTTGCTAATGTTGTTGCTGTTGTACTTGCAATAGTAGATGCTGTTGTCGATGCTGTTGTAGAGACACCTGAGGTTGTTGCAGTTGTACTTGCAATTGTTGTTGCTGTTGTAGTTGCGGTCATCAATCCTGAGGTTGCAATTGTTGATGCTGTTGTAGAGGCAATTGTTGTGGCTGTAGTAGTTGGTGTAGCGGTTGTTGTTGCGGTAATACCAGCTGAGGTTTGTGTGGTACTAGCAATGGTAGATGCAACAGTAGATGCTGTTGTTGCAGTTGTACTTGCTATAGTTGTTGCTATTGTTGTTGGTCTTGTTGTTGATGTTGCAACAGTAGAAGCTGTTGTAGTTGCAGTGGTAGAAGCTACAGTTGAACCAGTACTTGCTAATGTTGTTGCTGTTGTACTTGCAGTGGTTGATGCAGTTGTAGACACACCGCTGGCTGTTGTACTTGCAATGGTAGATGCAACAGTAGATGCTGTGGTTGCAATGGTACTTGCTATGGTTGTTGCTGTTGTTGTTGGTCTTGAAGTTGTTGATGCAACTGTTGATGCAATAGTAGAGGCAACTGTAGATGCAGTTGTCGCGATTGTACTTGCAGTTGTGCTAGCAGTGGTAGTTGTAGGAGTAGCAGTTGGCTGTGAAGTTGTTGTAGCTACAGTACTGGCAACAGTAGAAGCAGTAGTTGTATAGACACCGGTGGAATAGGTAGTGGATGCAGTTGTACTGGCAACAGTAGATGCAGTTGTTGCGGTTGTACTTGCAACAGTGCTAGCAGTGGTCGTTTGAGCATAGGAGGAGTAGGTAGTGGATGCAATGGTGGAGGCAACTGTGGAGGCAGTGGATGCAGTGGTGGTGGCAGTAGTAGATGCAACAGTACTGGCGCCACTACCAACGGAAGTAGATGGCTTCTTACAACCAAGACAATTATCACAATTGGTTGCAAGACACCGGGTTTCACCTCTTACGATTGCACATACTAAATTTGGTGGGCACGCTACATCACCACACATCTCCCCATAATTATTATTTTTATTCCACTCTCTGGTGGTTTGCCGAATTATTTCTGTCGCATTTTTTTGAATACATAATGGTTGTCCCAAGATTTCCACACATACCAATCCAGGTAAACAGTAGTAATTATTACATGTTGCTGGTTGACTTTTGATGTATGTTCCACTTACAATATCTATATTTTTAGTAATAGTGAAACGAAAATTTAAAACATTTTTTTTTTAATTGGAAAATCTTAGTTTTTCAAAATTAAAGATTAAAATCTAATAGTTTACCTAATATTAAAATTAAAAAATAATATTTACAAAGAATCTGTAAATATATTTATTCATTATTATCTTTTATATTTTAAATATCAAGAAGATATTTAATATTAAAAAACAATATTTAATATTTGAGCTCTAGAAAATTATTATTGTTTTTGAAGATTGTAAATACTGATCATCATAATCAGTTTATCTTTTATTTTTTGTATTTTCGTATCTATTTATTTAAATAATTTAATATAATATTTAATTATTATTTATTTAATTATTTTTTTGATTCTATTGATCAATGGTAACAGATAAATATTATACCAAAATCATAAAAACATAATTTTAATTGAAGTATAAAATGATTCAATACAAGAATAATAATAATAAAACATAAATAATGTTTTTTCATTTGAATATTTTTTGGGAGCTACATATGGATATCATATTATTGAATTTCACTATGATCTATTGATATCAATGGATATTCTGATGTTTCTCACTATTAAAATACAAATTTTCATAGTTATTTTATTTATTTTTATACCCTATCACTAACAATATTTACCAAATATTTAATAATATTGATTTTTTTTTTTTGTACCCAACAAATTCTATTGATTGAATATACTCAGAGAGACCAATATCAAACACTCTTTATTCTTCACACAACTCAAAATAAAATAGTGGGTTGATTAGATGTTCAAGGGTTTTTTTAATTTTAAACATTACTGCAGTAATAATATTACCTTTCAAATTATTTCAAATAGAAACTTCTATTCACACTACAAATTTTTTTTATCTTTCAACCATGGTAACATTGTTTGAACAATCAAAATCAGCAGTATAGCTTCACATTACAATAATAATTCAAGAGAAACAACAATGATATTAAACATATATCTATTACTATTATTTTTTTAATTAGAAATTCTTTTAATAATTTTATAATATGAAAATTTATTTTCAAATTTATTTATTTTTTAGATTATTTAATTTATAAAAACAATTAGGTCTTCCATTCATCATTTTACACTCCATATGATTCGGACAGAAGAATGATTTACAATTATATTTTTTGTCGTCATTGGAAATACATTTTGCTTCTCCTTTATCGATAACACAATGTTCATTGTTGAGGCAATTGTGTTTTTTGCACATGTGATTTTCAAGTACATTTCCATTGCTATCCTCACTAGATTCATCAGTTTCACTTTTAATATATACACATCTTGGAGAATTAGAACCTTTCATTGAGCAAATCATATTCTTTGGACAGCCTTTTACTTTACAGTCATCTATTGGATCTTGAGGTTCAATCGGTACACATGATGGATGACCATTATCAACTTGACATTTTGAATTTTCTCCACAATTTATAGTAGAACATAATTTTCCATTTGCAATTTTAAAAATTCCTGTCAACACTTTTATAATTCAATAGTTAAATTAATAAATTCAATTATCGTTTGATTTTAAATATTTTTATTTTCACTTACCTATAAATAAAAGTATCTTCTTTATCATATTCGTTCGAATGCTTTTAAAGAGTATTGAATTTTATTAAAAAACAAATAATTAAAAGATTTAAAAAAAAAACAACAAAAGATTATCTTGTGAACATAGATGTTGAATAAATGAATATATATATTCATTGTTTTCGAACAAAAAAAACAACCAAATAAAACAAACAAATTAACACTACCACCAATCAATCAACCCCATCTTATCTTCAAAATTATGCTCATTTCCCACTATCCAAAGAATGATAAAGTAGTGAATTAAAGAAAAACCCAACCATACTGAGAAAGGAAATATAATATATTTGATTATATTTAAAAATAACTTTTAAATATAAAAATTTTTTAGACTCAACACTTTTAATAGTTTAGTTTGATTAACAAATTTTAATTTATTTATATAAATTGTAATGTTGGTTTGTTGGATGTTTGATTGTTATTTATTTTATTACTAATGAATACTTTTGTTTTGTTTGTTTTGTTTTTATACTTTATGATTATTTTACATTCATTACATTATATCTTCCATGCTATATGATTGATTGATTGATAGATAGATTAGTATATATTAAATTAAACAAAAAAAGATTAATTCATTAATTACTTACCTATCGTATTGGGATGACATTTTCTTTTCGGCATTCAAAAGTCTCTTTAGATATGGTGTACTAACAGAGAACTGCTCATCGATAGCTCTCAATTTGGTCTCGAGAGATACGACACCATTGATCTGTTGTTCCAATTCATTCAAAATTGAGTGTCCACTGAATGATTGTGGGTTCTCATGGAATGTAACCATACCATCCTTTTGACTGATAGTTGCAAATATTTCACCATCTTCAATCTATTATATATATTAAAACATATTAATATCTAAAAAAAGTTGATCATAATCACCATGTAGCTACATACCATCTTTAAAACAATAGCTTCGGCATCAGCTGGTGAAAGCTTTACATTGTCGGCGATATCACGAATCGACAAAGTCATAAAGGTTTGAGTCAATTTCTTAATATTTCTTCTATGTATCGATCTAATAGATAATTTAACTAAACCAATATTGTTATCCTATAATATTAATATAAAAGTAAGATTATTAATTTGTTAGTTAGAATGAAATAGATAGATGTTTTGTTTTGTTTTGTTTTGTTTTACCTTTTGGAAAGTCTCAGCATTTTGATGGAATTTGGTGTTAATCTCAGCCATGTTACCGCTGAGATAACAGGTACCAAAGTCAATGTATGTCTTACAGTGATTCTTGATGGTACGTTGCACTACGAATGGAGTGTACTTGGGGAATCCTGGGGTGGTACCGTGCACCGAGAGGAACACCAAATAGTATTTCTTGTAGGACTCGATTGCAATGGCACTGAGTGCGTGTGCCGGTGCAGTCCAGACCTGCTTGAACGACTCCAATGCCTGCTTGTGCTTCTTCATGGTGGCAAAGACGATACCGGCATAGTAGAAATAGGCGAGAACATCTTTGATGGCGATCGATGTCTGCTCGGGATTCACGTCGGTAATGCTGTTGGTGATCACTGGCATCGCGACGTGGTAGCTCTTTGAGAGGATACAGAGAATGAGGAAATCCGAGTGGATCGGTGTCAATTGTGATGGACGATCTGTCAACGCACAGATCGCATGCTTCAATGGTAACACTCCTCTTGCTGGTTGTCTCAATTGATGCAAAAGATCTCCAAGATGTCTACAAACCAAACAATCTGACAACAACAAATGTAAACATATTAATTAACAATGATTCTATTCTAATAAATTCTTATTAAACTTTAAAGGGTATAATATATACTTACAATGAACTGGTGCAGCTTTGATTTGTTCTGAAGTGGCAACTTGTATGAAATTTATAACTTGAGTAATATAGCTTTGTTGATTCTTTCTAGAGTCACTAATCTTTGCTTTTCTAAAACATAGTTATAAGAGTTTGGATTAATTAATTAATTAATTAATAAGTCAAATAATCAATAGTGTAATTGTGATTGATTGATTGAATGATTGAATGATTGATTGATAACTTACAAGACAAAGAGATAACCAAGAGAATGAAGTTTTGGATCCAAAGTATGTAAAATATTATCTAATACACCATGATTGTGCTCTAATATCTCTTCGAAACGAGTCAATCCATTCTTCATTGCCTTTGGTGCGACATCTTTCTTGGTTGATTCAATAACAAACTGATCCATCTTTTGTATGTCTATATTGTAATTCTATTTCTTTATATAAACACAAACTAATCTAATCTAATCTAATCTAATAAAACAACAACAACAAATAAAATTATGATCAAAAAAAAAAACAGTGTAATAACAAATTATTAAAAATAAAAATTATTAAAAAGATAGTTTTGATGATTTTGAATTTCAAGAAATTTTTAATAAACAAAAAAATTTTATTTTCTTTTAAATAAATATATTATTATATTTTATATCATGATGATGCTGATGATTTATTGTATCTATCTTTATCAAATAAACTATGTTTTGGTGGTTCATAATAATTCTTACAATAATCTACATATCTACTTTCTTTATCTCTTATCTTATTGATGTTTGATTGATGATTGATTGATTGATGGATGTTAGTTTAAATGATTGATAGATTGATTGATTGTTGTTTTAATGTTTGCTCAACCTACTAATTTAACAATGTTATTATCACCTTTTGATGTGATTGGTTTCGTAAAGATTGTAAGCATTCCATAGAGATTACCAAATACTACGTCGGTGGAATAACGATCACCGATCATCACTATCGATTGTAGGTTGTCGGTGTGAAAGTGTTCTTTGACTTTTTCGATGCCATTCGGCTTCTTGGTGCCGTGTTTCAAGACCGATAGACCAAGCGTTGACTCTAGTCTTGTGGCCTCTCGAAAGTCAACGTCGTCACTTGAACCAGCGGAATTTGAGAGAATCGCAATCGATTGCTCACCGAATACACCACGACAACGATCTACGGCCTCTCTAAACGGTTCATATATTACATCGGCATATGGTTCCGTCAGGGTGTTATCCTTATCAAACAACACCGCGCTGAATCCCATTTGCTTCAATCTTTGAAAATCTATAGATCTGACATCTTTAAACTCGAGATGTGGTATTAACAACGATCTATTTCCAATGATCTTACCAATACTTTTAATTGCCTCAAAGTTGAATCCTTGTACCATTATACATACATATATATATTGATTACAATTATTATTCTTCTTAAAAAATTAAAAAATTAAAAAAATTAAAAAAAGATAATTATAATTAATAAAATTTTAAAAAATAATCGAACGAATCATAACACTATAAAAAAGAATTGTCCACTTTCAAAAGAAGAAAGATAGTGTGCGTTATAAGGTTGTTAACTAATATATAAAGTTACTGTTTAAACAGTAATAATTTCTTATGATCATTTATAGATATTAAAAAAAAATGTTATAATTAAATTTCACCTTGATATGATTGTTAAACTACAAATAAATACTGTTTTCTTTAATATTGGTAGATATATCTATTGAAACAATAGATGAAACAAGATTATTCTTACATTCATAGCAAATGATCATTATAGTTTTTTTGTTGAAAAAAAATTTACAAAAAAAATTCACAAAAATTGAACAAAAATCAAAAGTTCTCTGATCAGAGAATATCACAGTTTATTTTATTAAGTTTACACACACAATCAGTTATTACAAAATGTTGTCGTCTGTTGCTAGAAGATCATCAAATACTTTATATAGATGCTATGCTTCATCAAGGTAAAATATAAGATATTTCAAAAAAAAAAAAAAAGATCAAAAGAAACATTGTCTAATTAACTAAATGACTACTACGATCGTCATATTATAAATTTATATTTTAGTTTGATTCAATCATTGAATCAACCAAATCAAACAAAAGCATCATTAGATAAAGTATTTTCACAGATTTCAGCAGATACAGAATCACAGGTTTACGATGGTTTGATTCAACAATACAGTAAGCTCAATCTCGAACGTTCATGCATCTCTGTTGTCAGTCTTTCCAACGTCAACAATATTACACTCTCTGACCAATCATACAAAATCATTCAAGATCAATGGGAAGATAAAAACGTAAAGGAAGAAGACGATCAAGACTACTCCTCTTTGAACTACATTCACAAAGAATACTTGGCATACAGAGAATCATTGACCAGAAGACCATGGTTAAAGAAATAAATCAATCGATCAATCAATCAATCAAAATAATAATAATAGTAGTAAATCAAATCACTAAAACACCTTTATAAAGAATAGTACATCTCTTATCTATCTATCTAATCAAACTAATCTACTTTTTTTTATAATTATGTCTCCGATATTATAAATAAAATTCTTACATGTAATCAATAATAATATAAAACGTAACGTACGACAACGACAATACACGTCTTGGTTATTATTAATATTATATTTATTTAAAATATTTATTTAGTTAATTACAGGATGATAGTAGTAATAATAAAATACTACTATCAATTACCTGTAATCATATAATATTAAATTGATTATATAGTATAAGATATTGTTGTTGTTGTTGTTTTTTTTTTTGTTTTTGTTTTTTTGTTTTTAGTTAGTTACACCTTTTTTATGAACAACTTGTAAATATGTATAAAGAAGAAGTCATTAACTTTGATTTATACTATACTATTGATTGTACGTGGAGAGGTAATAACAGTTAGTTGTAGAAGAATAGAGTTTGGAAGGAACATTAAAGAGAACACTAGATAGAAAAGCTATGAAACTTAGCCATACACGTGTTCTAATTAAAGGATATCAATGATATCACAATGTAGGATGATTGATTTTTGATTGATCTAGAGATTTTAAAAATGTTGTTGGTGACGGCCGAGCTTGACTTTTGTTCGTTTGGGTGGGTCTGATATTCATTATTATCAATCAACAATGATAGGGGGGGGGGGGATTACGCTGACCAGCTGGCACATCATCTGCAGTGTTGTCAACAAGCTCATTTTGATGAGGTCGAAGTTTGAGAGGATCCACTCGATCCGTTTGGAAACTCCTGTGACATGTCGTTCAGACTCATTGGGAACGACTGACTCATTGGCAGGTAGAAGTTGCCGGTCTGCGAGTTGGAGCCCTGTGACGATGACTGTTGGCTGTAACCGTTGATCGATTGCGATCCTTCGTATTGACGCATCGACATGTTGCTCATGCCCTGAGTGAGTCCGCGCGTCGATTGGTAAGGATTACCGCCTAGACCTGGAACGACAGCACCACGTTGTCCACCTTGTTGTTGGCGTGGATCGTAGTATTTGGGTGGCTTCTGACCGTAGACCATGTTCATACCGTGAGTTGGATCGACTTGTCCATAGTCACCATAAGGATTGAATCCAGTTGGCTGTGCGCCTGGAACCGGTAACTTTCCTTCACCGTACAACTTCTTTGGTTTCTGAAGAACAACCATACTTTGTTTCAAATTCTGAATGGTTCCTTCCACCAACACTTCCTTTGACTTGAAATGACAAATCAAATTATTCCAAAGTTGATCCTAAAAATGATGATAATAATATTGTCAGTTGTTTTTGTATGTTGATTCATGGGGATAAAAAACTAACTTACTCTTGAAAGTACTCTTGCGTTACCAAGGATAATTAAACCATAACGTGCTCTTGTTAGAGCTACGTTGAGACGACGTGGATCATGAAGGAAACCAATACCTTGGTTGTCGTTGGAACGTACACAGGAGAGAATGATAAAGTCTTTCTCACGACCTTGGAAAGAATCGACACTGGCAACTTCGATCTCTCTGTAGAGTTCAATGGAGAGTTTACCGGTTTTTTGCATATTGTTGACCAAGAATGAACGTTGTCCTTCGTAGGGTGTGATGATACCGATTTGGTGTGGCTTGGTTCCGAGCTCGAGAAGTTTGGTTACAATCTTCTCGGTGGTGCTTGCCTCCATACGATTGATAAACGATGTTCCCGAAGAACTGATCTCTTCCGCTCCGGTACTGTTGTAGAAAAACATCGGGTTGTTGGGTGATGGCCATGGGAATTTGATGTCGTTGTAGACACGATCCTTATAGGAGAGTTCATTGACGAGTTGTCCTTCGTAGAAAGTGGACGATGGGAATTCAGAGAGCGATGGATGCATACGATATTGAGTGGTCAAACGGAATGGATGATGTCCAAGATTGATAAGACGTTCGAACAACGATTGTGAAAGACCCGCTTCGATTACCTTCTTGGCGAGCAACACTGGACCGAGTTGACAATGGTCACCGACGAGCACGACTTGCTTGGCACCCAACATCAGTGGAATGAGACACTCTGGCTCTGAAGCCTGGGTGGACTCATCGATCAAGACATAGGGGAATTTCAACTTGGATAGACGTGGATCACCGGCACCAACACAGGTGGTAGCAATGACGTCTGCCTCCTTGAGGATCTTGCTCTCGGCGTGTCTCTTCAGGGCAAAGTAACGATGGTCGTCGTTGGTGCTGAGCTCACCTTGTTCATCCTTGAGTTGTTTGAACTTGGCAAGTTCACCACGACCGTGACTGTCGAGTTGCCATACCTGGTGATGGAGTGTGAGATGTTCGACTGGCGAAGCTACTTCCTCACGCAACTTTGAACAGAGACGAACCACCTTGAGACCGATCGAGTGAAGCTTTCCAGTGAGTTGGTCAATGGCGACATTGGAAGGTGCGCAAACCAATACTTTTTCATTCTTTTTGATTGCATGTTTCACAATGTGGTGCACAATGAACGAAGATACCACAGTTTTACCGGTTCCGGGTGGACCTTGAATCAAACTGAGTGGCGACTTTAATACCTTCATGGCAGCCGAGATCTGTGAGTTGTTCAATGGTGGTAGATTGTGGACGGCAAAGTTGGTTGGCATCGGTACGTTTGTCTTTGGGAGACGACGATCGTCGTGACCAAGCAGAGCATGGTAGAGATGCGATGAGATCGAGTCAGTGGAAACAGCAAATGCCTTGAGAGCAGCGTGCATTCTGTCGAACGAGGTCGAACGCCACAACATATCGATCTTGAATTTACCGGTGGCTTTAGTTGGTGCGTTGTGTGAGTTGTAGAGCTCCAACGATATCTCCATGTATGCCTCACTCTCGTCGTTGATCTTTGTGACACGACCGGTCGACTCCCACTCTGGATACTGGCTGTCGCCAGCGTAGATCAACTTGAGCTCGTCACCGGGCACCACCTTCAACTCGTAGTCCGACCGCGAGAACGAGAAGATTGCAGTCCACTTCTTGCTGAGACCTTGATCCCAACGGATAGAGACATTGTCCTGCGACAACGATTCTCTCATCACCTTTTCATACTCGGATTCGATCTTTATGAGCGGAGTGATGATCTCCTGGTATTGATAGGCGTCCTCATAACGCAGGAGAGTGGGGAGTGGTGCGGAATCTTCTTTGCCAAGACCATGTTGCTCGATCAGTATTGTCACATTGGGATTGATCTTCCACTCCTCCTCGAGCTTTGTGATTTGCTTGGTGGTGATCTGACGAGCACGCTGCTGATCCTGTTCTGACGGTGTCTTTACGAGCCAGTTGAGGAAACAACGGTCGCTGTTGATGAGTGGAACCCACTTGTTGAGATCCCAGTTGCTCGATTCTTTACCACCCATGGCGCAGGGATCACGACACAGCAAGATAACGACCGACTCCATCTTGGCGGGAATGAATCCGAGCAAGAAGATGTTCTTGCAACCGCAGTTGTAGCACTCGAGCACAGTGTCACCAAACGGTGACTCTGAATGCAGCGATATCTCGTTGTGCTTTGCTTTGACGAGATGGTTGACAATATGTGATGAAGTGGTCTTACCCTTGCCGTTGCAGAACCATTTTCCACAGGAGGGATGCATGCATCGCACCACAGTAGACGGGTCGTGTAGACCACAATATCTACAAGCATGATCTGGCAAATCGATGTTAATCGTATCCATATCCTCTGGGTCCTCAAAGTTGAGTTGTGATGACATTGACATTCCATTTTGTGATGACATGAAATCAAAGTTACCATTACCATTGCTACTGTTATTATTATTATTGTTTCCACTCTTAAGTCCACCAACTAACTGTTGTTGCTGTTGTTGTTGCTTTAGTTTATCATATTGTAACGATGATGGTGATGAAGGTGACTGTTGTTGTTGTTGTTGCTGTTGTTGTCTTTGTCCTTGATGATGTTGTTGCTGTTGATGTTGTTGTTGCAATGGTGATTTACTATTGGCACTGTTGATATTGTTACCAGTACTACTGGTAGTAGGTATCGATTGCGACTTCAAATCGTAGTCATCTTGTGAACTTTCATAATCAAAGTAAGCGAATGATTGACTTGCTAAGGGTTGAGATTGTGAAGAGTTACTTCCTGTTTCTTGTGATAATCCATACATTATCACAATCTATAAAAATATCAAAGTTACAGGTATCTTCTTTTCAAACTATTTAATATTTTACCAAGTTTAGTTCGTTTAGTCGATTTGATATTCAATCATTCTCTCTAATATATTTATATATTCTCTACCTACTCATATAATTTAACTTGTTTTAATAATAATCTTATGTTATATAATATATTATTTTAATACAAAGATATGTAAAAACAACAAACAATACTAAATATACAAATTATATATAATTAAAATATTAGATGTTATACAAATTAAATACAAATTTAAATATTATTATTATTTTTGTAACGGTATGGTATTATTGGATTCGTTGTGAAATTAAAAACAGAAACAGAAAATTAGCAAAAAAAAAAAAAAAACTTTTTAAGATTTTTTTTTGTTTTATTTTTTTGTTTTAATTTAAACAAATAAGATCAATGAAAAAAAGGAAAGTAATTATCTTTATACCAATTTATTTAAAATGTAAACAATACAAATAACAATAACTTAAAATTTTAAATCATTATTTGAATTGAAATTGAGTGTTTTAATTTAAATTGTTTTTTTAAAAAAAAAAAATTGATTTTTTGAAAAAAAAAAAAAAAAAAAAAAAAAAATTTTAACAAAAACGAACGATAATCAATTTAAAAGTTTAATGATAATTTTTCATCAACTTTATCTATCTAAATATACTAAGAAAAATGAGTAGTGAAAATAATAGATTAGATACATTGAAAAAGAAAAATTATAAATTAGATAAGAAATCGAATTTAACTGTTAGTGGAATTGCAGATACCAACAATCAACTATGGTTAATTAAATTACCTGAAGATGTAAGTATTGTGAACATTTTATTGTTTATTTGTTTGTTTATTTCGAATCAAATAGTTAATAAGATGTTGATATATGATGATATGATGATATTAAAATTCTCTTCTCTCTTGTTATACATACGAACATAACAAACATAATAGTTTGATATTAATCAATTGGATGGTAAATCAATCGATATTAAAGGAAATGAATTTGAATTGGTTGATAACGACGATTTGAAGTTGGGTGGATCGAGCTATAGATTCAAACAGGGTGACGTCAATGAAGTTTCATCGTTGGTGAATGTTTGGTGTTCCGACCAACAAGATGGAACCATGAAGTTGGGAAAACCATTCACCAAGTTCATCTCACTTGAGAAGACCATAAAGCTGCCAACTACCAACGCCAAGATACACTCTACCAAGAAGGCAGAACAACCCGACGGACTCAACGGTACATTCTACCCACCTGGTTCATCACAATGTATGTCCAACTAACTAACTAACTTTTATGAATAACAACTTAACTAATCATGATTTTCAAATACAAAACAACAACAACAAACTAGTTCTCAAAGAATTAAAGAGTGAAAAATCAAAAGAAGAAAAAGTAAACAAGATTGTGGAGAAGGAAAAAGAGAAACAAAAGAAGAAACAGATGGAGTTGGAAAAGGAGAGTGCAAAGTTGTCAAAGAAGAGTAAGAAACAGAGTCATCATTCAGCCGACGACGAGGACAACGGTACTAAAGACGACAGCAGTACCAGTGACGATGAGAAGAGCACAACTGCTGCCAATAATAAGCAGACCGCCAAGAAGAAGAAGTCGAGTTCTTCAAAGTCAAAGAAACAAGAGAAGAGCGATGACGACGAGGAAATGGCAGATGTAAATGATAAAAAGAATAAGAAGAGTAGCAGCAACAAGAAGAAGAAGTCATCAAAGAAAAGTGATACCGAGGATAGCGAAGATGAAGAGCCAGAGACCGTTTCAAAATCAAAGAAATCATCTAAAAAGAAGAGTACAGACGATAGCAGTGATCATGATGATGATGATAAGAAGAAGAAAAAGAAAGAAAAGGAAAAAGAAAAAGAGAAAGAGAAATCAGCAGAAAAGAAAGAAAAGAAAGAAAAGTCAAAGAAATCTTCATCTAAAGAGGAATCTTCGTCATCAAAGAAGAGAAAGGCCAACGAATCTGAAAACAATAGTGAAGATGATAAGAAAAAGAAAAAGAAACAAAAATAATCAAATAATTTATTTTTTCTTTTTTTAATTATTATCAACAAAAATAAAAGCAAATAATATTTGTTTTAAAATAAAGATTCAAATTCATATGCAAAGCTTTGTTTCTATTTTTGATACTTTATGCGAAAGTGAGTAAATAAAAACCAAAAATATCTTTTCACTAAAATTACATGCATCGAACATTTTTCGGTGAAGTTAATTTTGCGCAAAAATGGTTAATTTTTTGAAGTGTTGTGATTTAGTGTGTTTACAAAAAAATAAGAAATTAATTTAAGTTTATTTTTGAGAACAGTGTTAAAAATTAATCAAACAAACATAATAAATAATAATAATAAACACCAAATTAATATATAATTTTTTTTAAAAACCAAAAACAAACAACCCACACACAACATTGATTTACTTAGTAAGTAAGTACACTTAATCTGTTTACTTGTTTGGTTTTGTTTGATGTTTTTTTTTTTTTTTTTTTTTTGCTTTTGTTTTGTTTTATTACTATTTTAATACATATATTAAAATAATCAGGTCAATTAATTAAATCAACACAATTTTTGTACATACAAAGTCACTTGATATTAAAATCACCATATAGATGCTGATTAACTTACATACACATATACATACATTCATACAAATATCATAACACTAATATACTATAAAAATCAACTTACTATTATTATTATTATTATTACTACACTACTATTGATCAATACCGTTTAACTATCATCAATCAACAATCAATCAACAATCAATAAATATTTTAAAAATTATTTTACAACAAAAATAATAATAAAAATAAAACCTTCATTAAAATCAAATTAAAATATATTATTTACTTTATTTTTTATTATAAAATTTAATTATTTTATTAATATTTATAAAATTTAATTATTTATTATTATTATTTTCTAGAAAGATAATAAAATAAAATAGAATGGGACATAAATTAAGTAAATATAGTAGTAACAGTAGGAAGCGTCTTTCATATCACTGGAGAAGATCACTCAATCAAAACTCAAACAGAAGTGGATTCAGTACGGATGATAGTGTTTCCAGTAACAGTTCAATTCACAGCAATATCACAGAGATCATCGATGATAAACAGATAGTCGATGCCAACTCTGTTTGTGATACTTCACTCACTGTCACCAATCAAAAGAATCTAATCATTTTTAGAAATTTGGAATTAATCAATGCTTTAAATTTCGATTTATATGAAGACGACAATAACAATAACATTGATAATATCAATAATAATAATCATAGTAGTTGTAGTGGTGGTAGTGAAAATAGTAACAACCAAATAATTCAATTGGAAAATAATAATTATAATAATGAAATATTTGAAAATAATTCAATTCCAATAGATAATAATTTTAATAATAGTCCAGGTGTTGGTATTAGTAGTAGTAGTAGTTTTAGAAGTAGTTATATTAGTAGTAGTATCAATAATATGGATTCAGTAAAACTGGAAATCGGTAAAATACAAACTATATCTATGGAGTTATTATTGAATATTATGTCGTATCTTACAGTTAAGGAAATTTTGACACTACAGTCGGTTAGCAAGTTTTGGTATATGTTGATCAAGGATGACATGCTGTGGAAGTATCTGATGAAGCGTGATATTCACAATAAATGGAATTACCAGTTGCGTGCGCTTATGTCAAAGTATGAAACACAGAGCAATGTCAACTGGAAGAAGATCTATTGTGATCAATGGCGAACCAGACTTTGTGGAAAGTGTTCCAAGACCTACAGACAGTGTCACAACCAAAATCTAATGTGTAAAGTTCATACCGGTATAAGAGATATCGTTGAGAATAGAGGTGTTCCATCAGGTATGTATATTATATATCTATTTATTTTTTAAGCCATCATATTATTATTATTATTTTGCTAATTGTTATTTTTAAACAATTATTTATTTTAAATAGGTGTTTATTGGTTATGTTGTTTAGCTAAACCAAAGAATGCAGAAGGATGTACATCTTCATCACACCATGAAGATCGTGAGATTCCGAATCTATCATATTACAATTGTTAAAAGATTCTTTTATGTATAAATAGTTATTCTCTTTTAATTTTTATATTTATTTAAAGTTTATCATAATTTGGATCTAAATTATATATATACATATATATTTATCACTACAAATAAAATTAGGACATAAAAAGGGCTTTTATGATCCTCTTTGTTAAGAAAAAAAAAAAAAAAAACCAAATCAACTTGTTATTAAAATCTAAAGTTTATATTATTTTATTTAAATACTATGATCTAACCATAGATTCCCATTGAATAAAATATACATAAGTTGTATTAAATGTTGATGATGTTTGATTTTTTTTTTGTTTTTGTTTTTTGTTGGTAAAGTATATTAAAAAAATAGTTGTGTTGGGACTGTTCTGAAGTAGTTTTTCTTTAAGATATATATATCGGTCGGTCTGAGATAATAATAATAATAATAATGATAAGGTGGTGTGATATATTAGAAATCATTAACCAAGTTTTTAATGTCTGGTGTGATGTTGACTGGCTTTATGGTGATTCTTTTCACTGCTTTGGCGAATTCTTTCCAACTTTCATTGTTTCTGCTGGTGAGTTCATTGTGGTTGATGTAGATGTCATCGTATTGACTGCTGGAGTATAGTGCATGATTGTTGTAGTCATTCGAGCTCGGTTTCTTGGCGGTGGCGATGATAGAGAACGAACTCAGATTGAAGATCTCTGTTAGTTTCTTTTTGAGCTCTTCGAAACCATTGAGATTGATTAGATCGATATCACGCGACAGTGAACCATTCTCCAATGAGCATTCAATAATATTGTTGAAAAGTAAACTATTTTTGTTGTTATTGTTATTGTTGATATTGGCGTTGTTGATGGTGTTGTGGTTGTTGTGATGATTCTTTTGATTTGATTCAAAAATATTATTACTATTGTTATTATAATTATTGTTGTTGATGTTGATGTTGGTATTGTTGCTGTTGGTGTTTCTAATTTTCATTTGATTTTGATATATTGTTAAAGATGGTTCAGAATTGTAATGATAGAATGGTCTCGCTTTCGGTGTTGATTGTGGTGGTTGAAGATGTGAGGTTTGATTTGGATGTACCAAAAATGAAGATGATTGTCCATGATACATCACCGGTGATTGAAGTAGATGAAGATTGTGCAATGACGAACTACTTGAATGACCATTTTCTTTGATAGGCGATAATTGATCTAATTTAATTAAATAATTGTTAATAAATCAAGATTGTGATTTAAATTTGATTTTAATATTATAATACATACAAGAATTATCTCTTGGTGATATTTGTTGGTGGTTTATACTTCTTGAACTAAAATGAGTTGGACTGCTATTGGTAGTTCCTCTGTAGAATGGGATTGAGGTATTGGAAGTTGATTCATAAATAATATTGTTATTATCTTTCTCAGGAGTAGTGTTGATGTAGAAACTATCAGTAGATCTGTGAAGTGATTGGTTGGACTTGCCAATGTTATTGTTTCTAATTGGTGATTTTGATTGCGCTTGATAATGATTATTATTGGTATTGTTGGATTTGTAGGGATGGAATGATGAATGATCAATTTTCTTATTGATGAATTGTTGTTGATTGTCAAGATTATAGTTGAGATTATAATATTTAAGATTTGAAGTGGTATTGGGTGTTGATGCAGATGATGACGCTTGAGAATCAAATGAATAGTTCAAATGATTTTGGATTCGATTATTATTATTGTTACTACTACTACTACTATTATTAATATTGTTGTTGTTGATGATAGTATTGTCGTGTAATTTTGGAAGCAACAGCAGGTTTTGGTATTCATCTTCACTGTCTTCATCGCAACTCGATGACTGACTATTGTTACAACTGAGTGTTTGATACAAGTATGGATATGGAAGGAGTTGTGGTGAAGATGGAGCAGAGTATGGATGGAATGCGTAGGGTGGAGGTTCTTGGTCATCTTTGTTGTTGATCGAGATCGAGAGAATATCGCCACTTCTAGTGAACGGAATCTCATAGCTATGAAAATTATCAACAATCGTTTGGATGCTGGTACCAAGTCTCTCGTAGTTGGAGGAGATCCAATCGGCCAGTGCTCTATTCACCAGTTTCACATGATTCAGTGCAACCAGACCATGCAATGGACTACTAGAGTTTAACGAAGGTGAGTTGTGCTCCGGTGATGTTGATGCTGACGAAATATCACTTTCAAATTGAATCAAATTGGGATTTGAAGTTGAAGTTGAGGTGGAATTATTATTGTTGTTGGTTGTAGTAGTTCTATTATTACTGGTATTGGTATTTTGATTATTATTATTGTTGTTGGTTTGAGTAGTAGTAGAATTTGAATTAAAACGAATGATTTTATCCCAATTTATATAATGAGTATCTGAAAGTTTAAACTTTGATTTCTCACTTATCAAAATACGGTTTCCATCCTTTTTCTTATTGATTCGGTTGAAACGTCCCCTGAGGGTGGAGAGATTCACATGGAAAAGAAATGAAAGTGCCCTATCCGGAAAAAAGATTGGTTCGTTGTCAGCATTTACAAAAAATTGGATCAGATTGTGATCTGGATGACCAGGTTCTCCAAATTCTATTTCTTTGACAAAGTATTCACGCATTCTGTTCATGTGCATGGTTTTTAATTTTAATAATTAATGTTGGCTAATTTAAAATTATAAAAAAAAATAATTTAAAAGTATTAGTTTTTTGTTTGTTTTGTTTTTTTTTGGTGCAACAACAATGTAAAATTTAATAAATAAATAAATAAAGAAAAATGCAAATAGTAGTAGGAAATGGTAATAATATGAATATAGTAATGGATTTTAGTTTTCAAATAGAAAGTAATTTTGAAAAATGATTAATGATTAGAATTTTGATGGTACAAAAGTTGGAAATTTATATAAATTAAATAAATAATCAAAACAATTTTATAATATTTTTGTTTGGATTTGTTTTGGTATTGTTAAATATAGGTAAAATAAATACAATAGGAAAATTATATAATTGGGAATTTTAGAATAGGAAAAAGAAAATAGTTGATACTATATTTTTAGAATTTAGTTTGATTGATGTTGATGAGATTGCTTAGAAAAAAAGGTAAATGATGTTATAAAGAGTAAAAGTACAAAGTGTAAGTACTGCAGATAGTATTAACAACTAAAACAAAAAGTAGCAGCAATAGCAGCAACAGGAAGCAGTTATAAAATATCAATTTACATTTAAATAGATGTTGGTCAAGAAAAGTAGAATGGAGCAGCGCTGATGTTTTGTCTGTTGTAGTTACAGCAACTACTACTGCTGCTGGTGATGATTTTGTTGAAAATGAAATGATTGTAATTGTTGTTATCAATCAATTAAGTCAATTAATATAGATATGGATATGGAAAGATTACACACTTTCTAAATAGTTTTAAATAGTTAAAAAAGACAAACTAGTACTATCGATATGGCGGTGATACTAGTGTTCATGGAGCAAAGTCGATTACAAAAACAAAGGTACTGCTCCTATTAAGATTGAATATTATAATATGGATCAATCATAAATATTATTGTTATAGATAATTTTAAAAAATTAATTAATGTGCTGTGGTGTTGTTGTTATTGTTGGTTAGTTGTTGGTGGAAATAGGGGTTTGTAGTGATATCAAAGAAGGAGTACTGTAGTATTTAAATAAAAAAAGTAGAGAATTCCAATAGGAGCAGGATTTTAGTGAATGTATATTGGTATTACAAACAAAAGTGTGGATATATGATGTGGTAGAATAATTAAAATTGTTTTCGTGTTGTTGTTGTTGTTGTTTTTGTTGTTGTTGTTGTTGTTGCTGATGATGATGTTGATGTTGATGATGTATTGTTGCTGAACAACAATTAATAATCACAATTGAGAAATCAATATGGTTATCGAATGGTGTTGGACTTTTTTTATGGAGGTGTTTTTGTTGGTGTTATTGATTGTGTTTTGTTGATGTTAATTGAACATTTACATGATTAAACAAGTACATATTGAAATAAATAAAATATAACATATATAAGTATAAATGTTATGATATTGATATCAATATAGAATCATATATCATAACAAAGTGATTTAATATTGAAATATGTGGCTGGGGTGACAGAGTAATAAATTGATAAAGTGAGTGCGTGCGTGAGTGTTACTGTCAATATTATAATATGTATGTGTGAGTGGGTGTGGCTTGATGATATATTACATCAGATTACATGGAGATTGAATGGATTTTTAATTCGATGGATTTCAGAGTATCCTTGTTAAGTTGAACTGCAACTACTATAACTACTACGCTACTACTATTGATGTAGTTCTGTTGTTGCTTTTGTTGTTGTTATTGTTGTTGTTATTTTTAAAATTTTATTAATTTAGCACTTAGCTGTTGATTGGATAACAAACATTCAATATTGATGTGACAGTAACAACAACAAACACCACAACCTAATATTAATGAATAAATAAATAAAAACAAGTACTCCTTTTTAATTATTATTATGGAACAGCCACAATATTTATTAAAATGGTTATATGTTTTATGTATAATGAGTCTCATAGATAGATAAAGTTTTAAGTATTGAAGATTTAAGTGGTAGTGGTGATGAGTAGGTATAAAGTGTTTTATTAATTTGGTTTTTGGTTTTTTTTTTCTAATATGTATTATTTGTGTGTTTTGTTTGTTAGTGTGTGTGGTTTGTGATTGAATTGATTGAGTGATGATGTGAATGTTTTATTTTTTTTTTTTTGTGTGTGTGTTGTTCAACATCCAAATAATATTGGTTTATTGATTGAAGGTGATGATTTTTGGTGGAAGTGGCAAAACACATTAATATAAAGTTATAAATTAACCTTTAATGGTTCTTTTTTTTTTGGAAGAATAGACTATATAGGTATGTCAGCTCATTAAATGTTTGAAAACTCTATATTATACTACAAACAACCATATTTGTGATCCAAAATGGAAACACTCACTCCTCCTAAATGTGTTGATTATTGTTGGTTGTTTGATGTATCTAACTGACACTGCAACAGCATGATAATAGTAGAACAGAATAGAAAATAGAGAAACAGTAGCATAAACACTAAAAACATAGACATCTTGGAAACAACAACAACAAAATCATGGAATATAAATCTGTTCTAATAATAGTGCATTTTATAAAAAAAAAGGAAAATGCATGTGATTTTTGATTGAAAGAGGACAAACATACAATATTATAAATAAGTGATTTTATGATATTGTTATTTAAGCGAAAATGTAGATAATCGATGAATTTACAAACGGTCAAATAAATGTTAAAGTATGGAGGGATGAAACATATGATATGGAAAACAATAAACAGTAGTAGCAGTAGTAGGTTAACTATTGTGAGAATTAATTATAGAGTAAACACTTACTTCGAAATATTGTTATTATCAACATAAGGTGATGTTTATTAATTTAAATGATGACAATACCGATTAATTTTTTACAAGCTGAGGAGCTTTATTAAAAGTGGGCAAGAAATCAGTATTTTCTTTTAGATTTGAAATAATTATTTACTGTTAACACAATTACTATATTATCTTGTGAAACAATGTGATAAATAACAATGTGATAGATGACGATAATTGGATGTGTCAATTAAATAATAAAGAGACAAGTCAGTCAGTCAATAGGACACAATGTTAATAATAGAATATAAGATAATGTAAATGAGATGTTTTAGAAGTGAAGTGAAGTGGATGAATGGTGTGAGGCTCACTGTGTTGATTGAAATTTTCATATTACTTTTAATAAAAACAAACAAACAAAAAGATAATATTTTTTGGATGTTGATGATTGATTTTAATAATGTTTGATTTTGAAGTAATTGTTATTGTTGATGTTTGATTTTGATGTAGTTAACTACTACCAGAGGTGATTGTGTTTGTATGTTGTTTGTCAGTTGGAATCAATGGTTTTTAAAAGTATGAATACTGATAACAAATAAAAGGATGTTGTTCATCGAATTGGGTTGAGTGATGATGTATTGACACTTTCAATTCATTCGAAACAACATTTTAACTTTTAAATGGTAGTCCAATGCATAGTTTGACCATTGTATTCCACTTAATTACACAACTATGATAATTCTAAATATAGATGGAAGTTGGTTTATGTATGTTTTTTTATAATTATTTATTATTTAAATATTTTGTTTATGTTGTTGGTTATTGTTGTTGTTGGATTTTGATGTTGATTCAACATCTTTGCTACATGAATTGTTTGTTGTTATTGTTTGTTGTTTTTTCAAAGATGAAGCTCTTTTCTTTTTTTTTTGTTTTTTATTGGTTTACTGCGATATTTGCATCTAGAATTTTCTTTATACTTTATTCTCTTGTTAACATCAACATTTGAATAACAATAATTTTAAATATTAAATAGTATAGTATATATATCAAAGATTTGCATCAATACAATTTCAATGTCCTTCCCGATATCTATCTAACAACGAATCCAAAAACCAACCAACCAACTGACCAAACCATCCAACAATTTTAGCCAGTCTTTAGAACAAGCAAACCAACAGACACACCACACCATCCTCTGAAAATATAACAAACAAAAATATTAGAAGATGATTACTCACTTTTTTGTTTTTTTATCAACCAATTGTTAGATTAATCTCTAGATTTAATATAAAGTACTTTAGTTCTGAGAGTTGAATTGAATGTAGTAGAATTGAAATAGATGATTATAGATCGAGCTGGAAATATTACTTGACTATATTATTATAATATTAAATCTATATTATTTATATTTACAACAAACAAACTTTCATTATTATAATTATAAAGTAATTATTATTTCAATTCAGTTTGGTCTAGTTAAGTTTAGTTCTTGGAACAATATCCACAACAAAACTAATATTGGTTTTTTTGTTATTGTTCTTTGCATTACTGTTGCCTGACTTCTTGACTGATAAAAATATTTACTAAATTAATTACTTTAATAAACCAACTATTGAATTAGTACTTCTGTTTGAAACTACACATGATATTGGTAATTTAAAAAAGGTGTTTTAGTGTCTAAAATATGCCAATGTAAGAGTAACAACCAATCATCATAATTGGCTGCAAATAACTACAACCAACAAATGAATGTCTGATTATTTTAATTTATTTCCAATGTGAATAATAATAAAAAAACCAACATTTAACAAGTTAAATTAATAATGTTCATTTCCAATCATCACCAATATCTGAATAAATTAATTAATTGTACTCAATTTTCGTTGTGACAAATAACTTTACTAGATAAAAGACCCACACACTTTTTTTTTACTAATAACAAATACCTTTGATTAGAGTTCCAAAAACAAAAAACTTTATATTTGTTTGTTTGTTGTTTTTTGTTTTTTTAGACACCACCACACAAACTCCACAAGTCACTTCAAATGATTAGCCAATATATATATTTGAAAAAGGTAACTTTTGCATAATCGCAAAGCATTGAAATTATATAATTTTTTTTTGAACATTATTGTTATTGTTATTTTTTTGCAATTGTAATGTTGCTATAACAACAACCTATTATTTATCATTCTATTGGATAATATTAAAATAAAAAGTAAAGAACAAACATGATTGTGTAATTTGGTGTTTAAATATGTTTGAAGCCATTCTTCATCGTCGCTTATTGATTAACATTACCTACCCGTTTTCGAAAACTATTTTGATTATTATTATTACTAAAATAGTTCCATTTTGTACCGCGTTCAAATGTAATAGAAAGTAGTCAGTTAGTTTCATTGTTTATTATCAGATATCTTTAATGATTTTCTTTATCCTTTTTTATTTTATTTTATTTGATCAAAATGATATATCAAATTATCTTAAGTTATCATTTGAAGTTAATTGTTCAATTATTGTTTATATGATTTACTACTACTATTTATATTTGACAATGACGAAAAAATTAATGATCAAACAGGTTTTGCTTTAAAAAGGAAAAAAATGATCATCAACAAGTTTTTCATTTTTTTTATTTTATTTTTTTAGATTAAAATCATACTTATAATATAATATTTATTAAAATCATACTTATAATATAATATAAAGATGCAATTTCAAGCATTGAGATTATTCGAGAGAGCCAGCAAACGTGTTCCACTTATTAGATTCCCAAATAGAAAAGGTAAGCTATCAATCACTCTAGACTGCTAAACCAATTTAACAGAGTTATATAACTTTAAAACAAATCATCATTATGACTAATTGATTGATTTAGCTGGAGAAACACACATTTCATATGAACAACCAAAAGTAGCATCTACAGCATCAGTACCACCACAAGCACAACCACCAAAGAAGAAAGGTAATCATGTATATATCACTGCTGACCAAGCTCCAAAGAGATTACCAATGAAGGATGATGAAATCGATATGATCATGGTAAATATTATCATTATATTATTACTTATATAATTACTTTCTAACAAATTGCTCAATTAACTTTACTACTGCTACAACTATATTTTTATTATTATTATTATAGCTTGGTGGAATCAAAGAAGTTGCACCACCTCCAAAGAAATCGAAAAAGTAAACATATATAAATATATATATATATATCTTTAGAATTATCAAATAATATTAATAATAATAACAATACACATACACAAAAGTTTTTAATTGTGAAATATAGATAGATACGAAAGAATCTATCATTATCTTTTTCTTTTTCTTTTTATATTATTATATTATATTTTATTTGATTGATTACTCTATTCTATTTTAATTGAATTTACCGAATACTCTGACTATACAAGATGAATCTTTAGAATCTTTATCTTCACCAGAGAATGCAATCAATGGAAGTGTAGGATGCCATGCAATCGAATTCAACCCTACATCTAGATTCACTTGATATACTGCTTGTCCTGTCTCAACATGTCCCTATGTTTTATTTTATTTTTGATTATTGGTTAATATATATATATTGTTATAGATTTGAATATTATTATTTATGATGATGATAGTTACAATTTCAATGATTGGATCTTCAGAGGAATACGCCAAGAATTGACCGTCGGAACTGAAACTGGTTGCTCTTACCGGTTGGTTCAATCTGGTGAACGATCGTACACAGAACATCTCCTCGATGTCCCAGAGTGTGATTACAGAGTCGGCAGCACCGATCGCAAAGTAGCGGCCAAGCGGATCGATCTCGATCGTATAGAGATTCGAGGTGTGTGCATTGATCGACTTGAGTGGATTGTACTTCTTTTGGTCGGGCATCCACGCCATCACCTCGAGTATACCGGTGCCGGTGGTCAAGAAGAACAGCTCACCTTTGTTGTCCCAGCTGATTTCGTTGATTTCATGTTGATACTTGTAGGTTCTTACGATTGGTTCTTCGGCACGCTTCAAATCGATGATGCTAACATTGTCCTCTTTGTTGCCGATCGCAATCAACGTTCCGTCGGGTGACCATCCCAAGTTGATATTCTCACCGGGTGTATTGATTATCGTTGTACACTTTCCGGTCTTGGCATCCCAGATTCTCACGGTCTTGTCAGAGGATGCCGTTGCCAGAACATCCGGTGCTACCGGACTCCACTTTAGCTGTTCAATTGTATCTGTATGTCCTCTTAACTCCATTGAATCTTTTGATTTCTAAACAACAACAACAACAGTCAATCAACTATATTGTTAATATATATATATATTTAAACATAACAAATGATATCTTTACATACATGTGCATCTAATGTCCAAACTTTTACAAGATGATCCATTCCACCACTTGCCAGTTTCTTACCGTCACAACTCCACGCCACGGAATTAACTTTCTTCTTGTGTCCTTGATATTCTTTAAATGTACATTCTGAAAAGTATTTTGTTGCATCTGATAAACTATGATAATTTTAATGATTAGCTAACCTGACGAATATAGTATGATAGAGTATTGTATTTGAGGATAGAGATAGTAGTAGTAGTAGTAGTTTACTTTTTGAATTGAGTATAGGGTGTGTTGGTTTTTGCTTCTTTTGAAGATGAATCTTTAGAGTTTGATGATGAGCTATTGTCTTTCGATGTAGATGAAGTGGTTGATGATGATGATTCTTTTGATGTTGAAGATGTATCTTTTGATGATGATGATGAAGATGATGATGATGAGTTGTCTTTAGAGGATGAAGTTGATGACGATGAAGTGTTGTCTTTTGAAGATGATGACGATGATGATGATGATGATGTATCTTTTGAAGTTGTGCCTGTGGTAGATGCTTCTTTATTACTACTGGATGAATCTTTAGAGGTTGTAGGTGATGTTGTCGATGAGAAATTACCACCGGAGGATGAGTGTGATTGTTGTTGCTGTTGCTGCTGTTGGTGCTGTTGTTGTATAAGAATCTGCTGTTGCTGATACGACGGATATCCTATATTCGAATAACCGCCATGTGATATATTATGATGTCCCATCACTACATTTGGATTGTTTAGCATGAATGGGAATTGTCCTCTGTTTGGTACCTTTTCATTCATTCATTCATTCATATCTTGTTAATAAAATGTTATATTCATCTAGAGTTTCAACAAACTAGTTACCATTGTATGTGTAGGTATAAACATATTTGAATTAGGATTTAATCTGTTCGACATTTTATTTACTTTCGTCTAAATATATATATTAATAAACAAAACAATCTGACTAGTTAGGTATTTTTAATTAAAAAAACAATTATTTTTTTTTTTTTTTAAAATATTTTTTACAAAAAAAAAAAAAAAAACAATAAATTTTAAAGTGATCATCTATCAGTCAATAATCATAAAGTTTGTTGCATATCATATTCACTTAATCGTTACTTTTCAGTAATTATTATATTATATTTAAAAATACTAAAAGTTTTTACTACAGATAGAACTTGAAACGCATATCGATTGAACGTTATACTGTTTTTACATCTGCTATCATTTTTTGGTTTTTAATTACAGGTCAATCATAGTTATGTTTGTTATAAAGGTAATAATAAATAAAATCATGTCATTCAAAATATTGTTTCTATTTTTATTCGAATAATATCATAATAATGACTTGACAACTACTATCACACAATCATGAGTTGTATCTTCGACACTCTTTCATTTTTATACAGTCAAACCTTTAAAAAAACCCTCTCTACGATTAATCTGATTGTAAATCCAATTATATAGGAGGATTGCGATGACAACATATGGGTTATGGATCAAAAAAATATCAACAGTTTTTAATAAATCGATATTTTGGGTTTTTTTAATTAATTAAAAAAAAAAGTACAACACAATTGTTTTTTTGGGGCCAAGCAACACACCACAATTGATTTGATGAGGAACGAAAATTTGATTTTTCGCTAAAAAGACATGCCAATAAACTTTTAAATGGGTTAAAGTCTTTCAGAGTTCAACTCCACATATTTTTTTTTTTTTATTATATTTAGTATACAAGGAAATCAGCTTTTATTTTTTAAAATATACCATACTATTTATTTTTGTAACCTTTTATATATATAGATATATGTATAGAGTTACTTTTGTAATATTAATAATATTCTTTTTAACGCATTATTCAGATGCTGCATTGGGTCCGGAATGTAACTGTCTTACGAATCTCAGATATTGCGGTAGTACAACACTTCAGTTGAATGGTACTTGCAATCTCGGTCCAAACACCAACCTCTACACCTGTGTCACTCGTGGTCAGCCACCAGTCCTTAAGGAGACCTGTCAGTTTGGATGTCTACAGGATCCTCTCAAAGGTGGAGTGTGTATGCAAAAAGATAATTGCACATGCTACTCCTCCGGAGATTACTGCGGTTCCACTCTCAAAAGTAGATGTGACTATATCAACCCTGATTCACTGTACCGTTGTGACGGTGCCGGTACTCTTCCAGCATTCAAATTCAACTGTCAGAATGGATGTCAATACTCCCGGTCTGAGAATGACACTTGCAGTACCGGACAATCCAACGCTGAAGGTTTAAAAAAAATTAAGAAAATCGTTGTCTTTATGCAAGGTAATATAAGAAATTAAATATTACTCTGTGCTAACTACTATTTACTGACAATCCAAACCAAATCAATTTATTTTGGACCAAAGAGAATAGAGCATTTGATCATTACTATGGTACTATGAGTGGTGTCCGTGGTTTCAATGATCCACATTTAATGAATACCAGTGCTGGACTACCGATTTTCTATCAACCGTCGAACAAATCACCGGATGTAAAGAATGGTCAAAAGTATGCACTTCCATTCAGAATCTCTGGACCGAAAGCCGGTTGTACAACTGGAGGTTCCAATACATGGTCACCTAATCACGCTGCTTGGAATAACGGTAAGATGGATAGATTCCCATCGTATCTCGATGAGTCTTCAATGGGATACCTCTCAAGAACAGAGTTAAACTACTATTTCCAATTGGCCGAACAATTTACAATTGGTGACATGTACTTCCAATCGGTGATGGCATCTACCAATCCCAATCGTCTTGTACTCTGGACAAACACTATCGATGCCAGAGGTGAAACCAAAGCTGGTCCATCCATTGACAACAACCAGGATATTCCATTTACATGGCTTACCTATACCGAGCAACTTGAAGAAGCCGGTATTTCTTGGAGAGTTTGGCAAGATGAAGATAACTTTGATGGTAATATATAAATATATATAATTTAATTAAAGAAAACGATATCTTTTTCTAATACTAATTTTTATCAATAGATAATCCACTTGAATGGTTCGCTCAATATAAGAGTGCTGCACCAAGTAGTTCTTTGTTTACCAATGGTATGTTTGATTGGGGTATTAATACTTTTTTGTCTGTTGCAGCTAGAGGAGGTTTGCCCCAAGTTTCCTATGTCGTTGCACCAACTCAACTCAGTGAACATCCAAGGTAATTTAATTGAATTTGTTTGTACAATTTTAGTAAACTCTGATACTAACTGTTATGTTGTAAAACAATCCAATATATTAGTAATGGCCCAGAGGCTGGAATGTGGTTAGTACAAGAAGTAGTAAATGCACTCACCTCTTCCCCCGACTGGGAAGAAACCGTTTTAATTATCGACTATGACGAGAGTGGAGGATTCTTTGATCATGTACTCCCACCAATGGCACCACAAGGTACAATCGATGAGTATATCTCACAAGGCGGTAATCAAGTACCAATCGGTCCAGGTTTCAGAGTACCTTTGTTAGTCATATCTCCATGGACCAAAGGTGGAAATGTCTTCACAGAGTTAACTGATCATACCTCTGTCACTCAATTCATTGAACAATGGTAGTTATCAAAACATTAAAATGTATTATTATTATGATATTTATTCTTTCAAATCATAATTATTATTTTAGGGCACTTGCAAATGGATACTCACGTAATGATGTAATCAGTCCTTTGATGTCATCGTATCGTCGTAATATGTTCTCAGATTTAACACATGTTTTCAATTTCAATAAGACCGATACCTCATTTACTCCAATAGTTCCAGCTGTTCCAATTCCATCGAGCAACCACGGTAGATGGAACTCCACTGATGTTTGTAACAGTTTGCCAGGCAATGTCACAACCATCCCCTTTGGAAATCAAGTTTATCCAACAGTGGAATTTGGTTACAAAACGGTTCGTGGTGACAACCCGGGTGAAGGTAGATTCTATGTTTTGGAACTTGTCGATGTTGGTGCGCTTACTGAGGTCAGTGGTGACCTTTCAATGTCGAATATTTCCTATTCAAAGAGTGTTGCCAACCAATACTTTACGATGACACCAAACGCACCGATTGGATATAGTTTAATCTCCAACAATCAATTGTGTCTCGCAGATTCACTCAAATTCGAATCGTGTGGTAATCAAACATACAGTTGGTTGTTCATTGATTCTCTTTCAGGTTTTGGTCATGCCATTCAGAATGTCAAAACAAACAAATATTTAAGCTTCGATATCACCGCCAAATCATTTTCACTACAGACCAATTTAACATCGCTATTTAAAATACAATCAGGAAATCCAAACAATCCAGTTACAACTCCATCTCCATCACCAACTGTAGATCCTTCATCAACCACTTCCTCTATTAACGATGCATCATCTTTACTATTTAGATCAAATTCATTATTAATTTTATTATTATTATTGATTAGCATCATCATTTTATAATAATTATTAAACTGTATTACTATCAGAAATTCTCATCAAAACTAAATTTAGATAAAAAAAAAAACAAATAAAAATAAAATTTCTTTTTATACTACTTCTTGCTGTTCATTTACTTATTGGACAGGGTTAATGTTTCATATATACATTAACATTGTTCTAAAGAAACTCTTGACCACTTCAAAGGACAACCCATCATTTTTATATCCAATAAGTATTCCTATTTCTGTCGATCGGTTCGATTATTCATTAACAATACCTTCGAAATCTAGAAATAAAGCTAACATATTCTGCTCTGTTTATCTATACTCATCTCTATAAACAATAAATAATAAAAAAATTTGTGTTCTCGATTTTAATAAAGATCATAGATTTCCAAGTATTGATTGTCACAATTTTGCAAAATTTACCTATTTTTTTTTGTTGAATTTGGTTTCTAAATGATCCACACTGATTAATATCTGTCAAGATGTATTCTTTATTAAATAGATCAAACAGATGTTGTTATAAGTGGGCAACAAACAACAACAACATCAACAATGTCATAAAACCAACTTCATCTGGTATATCAATATCAACAACATCGTCTTTCTCATTTGTAAATAGTTTTCAAAGAAGTTATTCTTCAAAATCAAAAAGTAAATAATATGTTTGTTATTAATTAACACATAGAGTGAAAGAAAGCTTACTAATTAATATTTATTGCATCGATTTACTTTATATATTTATAAATTTAAAGAGTTAAAAGAAAAGATCAATAATAATAATGATGATGATGATGATATTGAATCTACAAACACCTCTAGTAAATCAAAGAAATCAAGCAAAGCAAGTGGTACAGGAAGTTCACAGTTGGAGTCGACAATGGCAGAGATTGAAAAGACATTTGGAAAAGGAACTCTAATGAAGCTTGGTACTTCTTTTGCAACACAAAAGGTAGATGTCATCTCGTCTGGCTCATTAGGTCTCGACGTTGCTCTAGGAATTGGTGGACTTCCTAAAGGTAGAATCATTGAGATATTTGGTCCAGAAAGTTCAGGAAAAGTAATTAACAACAATCATCATCCAATCCAATCCAATCCAATTCAACTTAACTAACATCTACACACTTACTATTATTAATAATAGACAACATTGGCATTACATGTAATTGCACAAGCACAAAAGGCTGGTGGAAATTGTACTTTTATCGACGCTGAACATGCACTTAATCCTTCGTGGGCACAGAAACTCGGAGTCAACTTGGATGAGCTGTTCATTTCACAACCGGATTCAGGTGAACAAGCATTGGAGATTGTTGATTCGCTGTTGCGTTCAAAGACGATGCAGGTTATCGTTGTCGATAGTGTTGCTGCTCTCGTCCCAAGAGTGGAGCTTGAAGGTGAGATGGGAGACAGTCACGTCGGTGTACAGGCACGTCTGATGTCGCAGGCACTGAGAAAACTGTCACCGAACCTAAAGGAATCAAACTGTATCTTGATATTCATCAATCAGATTCGTATGAAGATCGGTGTTATGTTTGGCAATCCAGAGACAACCACCGGTGGCAATGCACTCAAGTTCTTCTCGTCGATTCGTCTCGACATCCGAAAGATTGGCGCCGTCAAGAAGGGCGAGGAAGCGATTGCATCGCAGGTCAGAGTCAAGGTGGCAAAGAACAAGTTGGCACCGCCATTCCGTGAGGCTGTTTTCGACATTGATTTCGTGTCGGGCATCAACAAGACGGGCGAGATCATCGACATGGCTGTCACCGAGGGCATCATTGAGAAGGGAGGCTCGTGGTACAGTTACAACCAACAGCAACTAGCACAAGGCAGAGAAAAGACCAAGCAGTATCTCGAAGACAATCAAGAGCTACTCAATGAGATCGAATCGAAACTCAGACAACGTCTAGTCAAGTCTGTCGTACCAACTTCCAAACTCAACGATAACAATGAAGATTATAAAGATGAATACGATCACGATGTAGATGGTGATAGTGATAATACATCAACTAAAAAAGTAGTTGAAGAATAAGATTTAAATACACAATATTAAACATGTTTATAAGTTGTACTTGTAGAACAACCGTTAGATAAAACAGAAATTTAAATCTACATGTGTAATTTCATTTTATACCTCCCCTAAAAAATGAAAAAATTTTGCACAGCTTTTGTGTGCAATACAAAAAAACCCAACCTATAAAATGAAATAACACATATCATACAATTATTACTCTATTGTAAATGAAGCTACTTCATTTTTATTATCGTAACGATTTGTTTTATTCAAGAAACACACCACTTGTTATCAAATATATTGATATTAAAAACAAATATATATCTTCAAAAAGAACAAATATTTATTTGATTATCATTTCAACAGCACACTTATTTTCAATAGAAAGTTCTGCCCTATCATTATGAAAAGTGATATTCAAACAATGGCACCACCTTTTGCATTACAAAATAGCATTATTCATTATAGCTACTATTGACCCAATAAGATGAACAATGATAATAATATTTTGTGTGGTTTACACTTTGTGTTAAAAAAAAATATGATGCCATACATTTCATACATATTTTTTTTCATGGTATTTTTTATGACATCAGAGATTGGTAATAAAACAGTAATATCAATTTGATCAAACAGTAAATCAGTAGTGATACATATATATATATATATATAAATATTAATTTATAATATAATATTGATTGTTGTTTTTTTTTGGAAAGTTTAAATCATGATTGTTTGAAAATATGTTGTTAATCATCATAGATTAAAGATTAAATATTTATTTATTTTTTATCTTAAAATGAAAATTAGGAAATTATTTTATTTCAAGATTTTATTTATTTTAATGTTAACTGGTAAATCTTTAAATATTTGTTTGTGAACTTCAAGTAAAATAAATGAAATAATTAAAAAAAAAATTTAATTTTTAGTTATTTAATTTTAATTCAGTGCAACATTTTAC